GCTACACTTGCATAGGTTATCGGCCCACTTCTCAACGACGAGATCAATGATAGGACATGCCAACCTTCTAAAGGCGGAACCGCAAGCTTCTTACAAGCCCCACGGACACCTTCGTAGGTCTTACCCTCGCAGTACAGTGCTGCCTGGCAATACCGCTCCCGCAGCTTGTGATTGCCAGTGTTTGTCCTCCCGCAGCCTCCACTGGCTGATCGAGACTATTCGTGTGCCCGCAATCTGCGTACTATGCGTAGGGGACACCAGCAGGCCATAGAGATGACCATAGCACGATGCTTGAGGTACGGAGTGTTCAGATGCTGCCTAATGGCCGGTCCGTGCTCGGGATGTGATGCACGCATTGCTCCTTCCCTGTACGCATGAGTAGGTGCACTATCTATACACGTCCGAGTCGGGCCTAGTGTTTGGGACATCAATATTGTAAGTAAGAAGCTGCGGCCTCGCTTTTCTCTCGCGCATCAAGCAAGCGCCTTGCGTTGCTCAAGCACTGACATTTGTACCTCTCTTTTCAGGCTCAAGTAGAGCAGTAGGCTCACACAGGTTTCTCAGAGGCTAATCTGGCGCAATCCACTAGAGTGGGTTAGATCCCTGTAATAACTGTTTGTTTACTGTTTATAAACTGTTTATAAACGTTTACAACCATTTACTGTGTGTTTACAAAAAAAGTTTACACGTAAACTAAACGGTTGGAGCCTTAGAACTACCGAAGGTAAAAAAAAAAACTGGCCAACGCCGGGGTCGAACCGACGACCTTGGCGTTATTAGCACCACGCTCTAACCAACTGAGCTAGTCGGCCATATCATTAGTGGGAAAGACATTATACATGATACCATTATCAACGCACCACTCCTCGACACCCCCCACCGCGAACTACCCATGGGCCGTGGAGGCTAGGTTAGGTTCGTGAGTTCCAAAGCATGCTCACATACCCACAAGTTGATAGTGCAGATTATCCACACTCTCGTCCGTCCTAATACCCTAGCGCTCTATCCGACCCATTCGCATTACGCGAATTAATACCACATAAAATATACGAAGTGAGGATAAACACAGCGACCAGAGAAATGATTGCATGATTTAATGTAGAAGAGAAGAAGGACGGCCAAATCCATAATTCACAAGTACCTCTCAATCGTCATTCCCCGCTCCCCGAGCTTCCTGGCAAACGGTAAGAACCGTTCGTTCATAACGACACTGTCCCATTCTCGACCATGTAGGACTATCGTCTTCAATGCTGGGAAGAATGGCCGAGAAAACGCGGTGACATGTTCCGCAAGATGGCGCCAGAAGTCTGTGCCGTCCGCAGTGAAGAACTCGTTAGAGCTAGCATGCCAGCGTAGGGTGGTGAGGGAACGATTTGGCTCCTGGGGAACTTGGGGGGCGGCGGTGAAAAAGAGATAATATCCCAGCTCCTCGATGGCTGGACACCGCGCGACAACGTGCGAGACGAGGTCTAGGACATAGAACTTGAGGCCTTTCCCAAGTTCGACTGTGCGGATCTGCCCGCCGTAGGTCTCCCACAGCGGCTCCAGGAGAAGGGGAGTGCTGAAGATATCGATGACAATGTTGCGGAGGGCAGGCATGTTCCATCGCGTGACTTGCTGTAGAAATAGGAGGTTTATGCGCCTGATGCGGAGCGTAGTAAGGTGGGGAAGGGCAAGCGGCTGTCGCTCCATGAGGTTCAACCATAAGTCTCCGCCCAATGACAGGTAACGAAGACGTGGTGCCGCGCGGATGACCTCGGTCAAGGTATTCACTCCTCCGCTCCTCGCTGCTTCGTTGATATGCCACCAGTCTAAACGGCGTAACGAGCGAAGCGAAGGGCACTCTGCGGCGGGATAGTCGAAGATCATAACCTCAGCGCGCATGGTGCTGGGTCTGCAGAGGACCTCTAGCTCTGAGCAGCGGTGGAGAAAAGCTGCGGCGGCAGCGATATTGTGGGCGCTGTATGGCGTGCAGCTCGAGTAGGGGAGGCAGGCCCGACGGACTTTCCGGAATCTCTCCTCGCCAGCTCCGCCGGTATGCAGGGCGCGTTGAACCGCGGGCGCGTCCCGGACGGTGATATCCTCGTAGAGTAGATCTCGTGTGAGCTCCGTCCATAACTTGCACACGCGCACGAGCGTGCGCTTGACGGCAACGGCCTCCCTATCTACGCCGTCTGGATCTCCTGCTTGGAAGGGGATATAGTCAGTTACACAGTTCGAGAGAGTAGAGCGCGAGAGCGTCGCCCAACGAAAGATGCAGAGCCAGAGCTCAACGGGGAGCGTCGGGGGAGTCATGAATATCAGAGACATATGCTCAATCATCTCACTAATTATATACAAAGCGACAAAGCGGAGATGTGACGGAATCTCGGAGCGCATCCGTAAGGGCGGGACCCAGCGGGGCTTGCCGACTCGGCCCCAGGCGCGCCGCCAATATTCCAAGCTCATCTCGACCGTCGACGTCAGTTCTCTCAACGACGACGGGCGCGGCGTGCGCGACCGAGACGACTGCAACAGTCGGAGACTCTTGCGGCTGTTATTTATTTTTCATTTAATGTATGTCTTGTCCTTGCGCCGTGGCTGAATCCTTCGAAACCCCAGGGTTCACTTGGTCTCTGCTTTTATCCCGCTGTATAACTTCCGCATCTATCAGCCTCAAGTCTAACATTCACGTAGATATCGTAGCAGCACATCCCACTGTGTCTTAATGGACCCAGATATCGCCCAAATTCAAACCTCAGAGGCCCCTGAGCCTTCGGTGGAAGCGTCCGCAGCCCCTCCTCCAAAAAAACGCGCCAAGACCGCGAACATAGCTCAAATTCAAGGTGCTCTCAAGCGACGAGGGAAAAAGAAATCCCTCAGCCTGCTCACAGACATGCCTTTAGACGTGATCTTTGAGGTTATACCTCCCGCACCTGGATCTATGCTCCAAAACTGACGCATATATGCTATAGATATTCAGTAATTTGCTGCCGGGAGACCTCATCGCCCTTTCCAGAAGCAACAAAGCCTTCCGCACGCTGCTCTTTCATCGGTCTTCTATTACTGTCTGGCGATCGGCTCGCAATAACGTGCCCGGCCTTCCTGACTGCCCTCCAGAGTTGAGCGAACCAGCGTATGCTAATCTACTCTTCACTACCAACTGCCACGTACGACACCATGCCCATTCTTTCATACATCGTCGGCTCATGGTATCTTTGTTCTAGTACTGCGGCAGGCAAGGAACCCAAATTATTGAGTGGCTTTTGTTGACCCGGTGTTGCAAGAGCTGTCGCGAAAATCCGTACGCGCGCTGTGTCCATTCAACTAAATAGCCTACTGATGCATTTCCAGTGCCTTTTTCTTTGATGCCACTAATCACCCGAACGATCATAAACGAGACTGGCTAAGATCATACCTCCCATCGATAACTAGGGGCAGAAGTACGCTCTCACTTGCATGTATGCGTGTGTCGCTCAGTATCGTGAATAGATACTTACGTACGAATGAGCGACCTGGCTCCCTTCCTAGAGCAATGGGAGACTCAGGGAAACGATAATGGAGGAATAGATCATCTTCTGAAACGGTCCAAAGAGAAGACGAAGCTTCTGAAGCAGGTTAGAAGTTCGCGTTTCGGCGCCTCCAATCTTTGCTAACTGCGCTATGGCAGAGGCTTCTGCCCCATCAGCTATGGGACGAGCAAAGGAATCGTAATCGCGAACTGGAGCTGGATGCAATCCGCAAGCAGCGACGTCGCGCGTGAGCTCCCTACCCACTTCGCGTTAGTCCTACATGTTAATTTTTTTTCTAGCGTGTGGGATAAGCTGTCAGAAACTGGTCTGGGCGACGAGAAAGCCTTCCTCAACAGTTCTCAGAAAGACTTCCTAAGAAATATGGAAGGTATGAAAGAGCCTACCCCTCTTACAGAACGGAGTACGTCGTCTGTAATGTACGCTGCTCAACATCTTCTGACGCGTTTGTATATAGATTGGTTGAAGATCAAAGATCCCATTATCAGCTGGGTACAGAGGGCGCGTAGGGAACGGATACGAGAGCAACGATCGGCTCCGTATACCACCGCTATCAATGCTATACGCCCCCTTCTCGACGCTTATGGGCGTACCCGCCCGCTGACGGACTGTTTCCCGACTACCATGGATTTTTGCTGCATCCCGCAAGCCCGGGCGTATATCGATGAACTCGTTACCTCTGGTGCTGCACTTGACGCCGCGCACTTCACAGGTCTCATCCCCATTGCCATTCAGCAGTGGCACAACGACGCCTCGCAGCATCTTTATCCGCTCCTGCCTCCTTGGCTCATTGGCACGCGCCACCCGGATGTGCTGCGCTCCGCATTAGTCTGGTTCCACTGTGCGAGCAAAGGATCATATCCCCTGCCATGCAACGACACGACGATAGGATATCCGCGCATACTCGTGCATACACACACGCGACACGAGCGGCGGCGCGTGGACGAGCCCCAGAGCCCCGACGACGACCTCGCAAACGCGGTCTGCGACATCTACCTGTGCAGCTCATATATGTTAGACCCCGCGCAGCTCAAGGCGAACATTACGTTCGACCTGCACGCGAGCTTTGCTGCGGCGGAGATCGTGCAACTGTGCGGGCTCGATCCCTCCACGGCATCAGCGGAAGAGATGGACGAGCTTGACGCGCGCATCGCATGTGTGCCATGCAAGGAGATCATAACCTGGCGTAAAGCGGTACGTCCTCCACTCAGTCTACACTTCTTGTCTTGGTGCGATCCCGCACAGGTCTCCCACGTCTATAAACCCTGTCATGCAGGCCAGCGCGAATGGGTCCTGCTCGACGACGCGGATTGCGCGGCGCTCAAGAAACTCGAGGCAAAGGACAGGCCGAAGACAACGACGGGTACGTTCTGGTGCATGCGCTGCCGCCGGTTCGATCGCGCGATGTGCAACTTTTTCTTCTCGCACAAAGGCCTCAAGGCACTTAAGGCGCATATGGAAAGGGCGTGCGTACACTCATTGCTTCTTGGCTTTTCGGTATGTGCTGATTATTGGTCGGCAGACATGGTGTGGTACAGTTTAGGCCCAAATATGGTGTGGACTACTATGTCCCTGATGGCGAGCCGACGAACGACAACGAACGCCCGCTTCCCGTCATGTATAAGGAACTGGACTTTAAAGTGTCTACGCCTGAGCTAATTGCTCTCGGGTGGTAAGCAGAGTTCGCGTAGTGATTATGGTCTCTATACTCTAGTGCTCGGATGGTGTAGCTTACACCGTCATGCAGACTTCTTGTTACTAGGCTCCTTATTAGAGTACATGTATCAGTTAACTGCGTACAGTATAAGTATATATCCAGACAAAGCATCTGCGAATCCCTTTGAGGCTGCGCCTAGTCCATTTATCGATGCATCAGAGCTTGTAAAATACCAGAACCAACGCGTTGTCTCGCAACCCCGAGTGAACGAGCTGCAGTGGTCGTCAGGATTATCATTTCGTGCAAGAACAGGCAACGCACCTTTGGTCCATCTTCATCATGCTGAATATGCACCCATCCATCTTGGAGGTCCACCTCTTCGTCGAATTTCACCAGTACCTCTCGATACGCTAGGCCGGTGACTACCTCGCCGCACAACCCCGCGTCCTTACTGGCGATACTCGGCCCGCAGTGAAGCACGCGTCCCCGCGCCTCACGGCTGGTATTACACTCCGACTCCGCATTCGAATCCAAACGCACGGGCATGTATGCGTTAGTCGCGGCGTCCCACGGGTTGAAGTCGAATATCCGATCGGAGAGGACAGCACGCATTCCCGACAAGGCCAGCAAGTCCGCGCCTTCGCAGACTCGCGTGCGCTGCGGGCCCCAGCTTACCCAGGGATGCACTTCAGGGACGTCTACGCTTGGCTGGACAGAAGTGAACGTCGAGAGGGGCACGAAGAGCATCGCACCACCCGAATGGCGCACGGTCAAGCACAAGAGCGCGGTCTCAGGTGCGTGCGGGCTCTCGCAGAGGGAATGGTCTGGACGGGCCGAGAAGGTGAAGTACCGCACGCTGTCGGCCTTGGCGTCTGCATCTAGCTCAGGGAGCGCGAAGCGCGCAACGGGCGTATCAGTCCGCGTCGGCGCGGGGAACGCGGAGAGCGCGTAGACGTCGATGTGCGGCTGGCGAGGAAGAACAACGTGGGAGATAAAGAGGTGCGAGGTGGTGAGATACGCATGTTGGTACCAGACTTCGCGGTCGCTTGTCCATCGCTGCGGAGGTGTTAGTGCCCTGGATGATGTGATAGTGTACGAGAACATACCGCCCGAATCTCTCCCGTAGGCCAGTGGCACAGGTAGATGTTAAGCTCGTCGCAGGTATGGCCGACCTCGAAGATCAACCAGTCGCCGGATATCGACATACGTGCAAAAACGTCCATTACGCAGTTCTCCACTGCCGCATAGCCAAGGTGTGTCTCGTCTATTGCTCGCCTTTGTGCGCGGTGATGGCGGCGACCCGTTTTGAGAGAAAGGAACTCCAGCTGCCGAAAACCCAGAGTTTCATCCATTGCGACAACAGCGAGGAGATCCTGGCTCACGTCGACGCCGCGCGGGAGCACGCGCCGGTTCATCGACAGCTGCTCAAAGCGCGGTCCGGGATCTGAGTGTACAATAAAAAGGTCTGTGACATCAAAGGAGGAGCCAATAACCACACCACCAAAGGCGTCGCAGAAGGCGGATGGCGTAGGAGAAATCCAGTGCAGGACCTTTTCAGGCCGAGGGTCCCTCCAATTGCGTTGGACCTTGCGGAAGTCTTCGAACTTGTCGACAATGGACTTTGTTCTATCTTGCAGTAACGGGTGTCTGCTATACGCAGCGGCCTGTGTCTCCAGATAATATTGAAGTTCGGGCGTGTTTTTGATGATCTCCTTAAGCCTAATGGAAACCTAGATGAAACGTTAGGTACCCGCTACTTACCTCAGAGGGTAACAACAACGCACCAGACAACAGTTGCCTAGGTCTCTGAATTGCAGGTGAGAGAACACTATCACAAGCAGCTCTGTGGAGAGGTGTATCTCGTTGGTCGCGTCTGCTTGGAGCTCGCCGGTCGTTGCCGTTGCCATCTTCAAAAGTTCAGAGGTCTGCTGTATGCTAGCTGCAACGTAGTGGTTGCCGGAAGACAAGAGTTAGGTGTACCCTGGGTACTGTGACCGGCCACATTCTGGCCATAATTTGCTCTGGGGCACTGCCTTGCAGGTTCTCGAGACCGAGGTCGCGGCGGGTCGCGGGTTGGAGGCTCGGCCTGGCGAAGCGCCACAAAGCTTGCTTGGCGCTCATATTCTTATTTGGCCGTGTGACGACACGCCGGCCTCTCTTGCTCGACCTCCGCCGTGATGCACACATGAAACGACACATTGTCCTCACTGCCCTCGCCGTCCGCATCTGCATCGCACTCTTGACCCAGACATTCTTCCAACCCGACGAGTATTTCCAGTCTCTCGAAGTAGCCCACCAACTCGTCTTCAGCTATGGACACCTCACCTGGGAGTGGCTCTCTCCGGAGCCCATTCGTAGCATTTTGTATCCGGGGCTGAATGCACCGATATACTATGCGCTCAAAATACTACACTTGGATGGAACAGAATTGCTGGTAGGTGAGTATGCTTTGACCTCGCTTTGTATCTGTTTCATTCACATTTTGAACCAGATCTGGGGACCTAAGATCCTCCACGGTGCGCTGGCTTCCTTGACAGATATTTGGCTGTGCATCCTTACGGAGAGAGTTATTGGAGAGAGATACGTATCTATCGTGGTGAGTCGTGAGTCTCTAGGATTCGGGCTTTGTCGCTCATTTACAACCAGTTGCTGCTCTCCTTGGCCTCGCTATTCCATGGCCTCGCTTTGTCTCGTTCGCTGTCAAATTCTGCAGAGACATCTCTGACTACTGTCGCGCTGTCTTATTTTCCTTGGGATACACAGTCAAGTTCCTGGAAAAGATCGTTCAGACTATCACTGTCAATCGCGGCCGTGGCTTGCGCGGTCAGGCCGACAAATGCTGTCCTTTGGGTCTACATGGTAACTCTACTCGCCTGGGAATGTCGCAGGGACATCAAAGACATCTTGTATCTGGCGATTAACGTTGCATTAATAGGGTATGTTTCTTATTTCACTCATGCGTGGCACGTTTTAACACGATAATGAACAGGTCACTTGCTTTGACCACACTATGCGCTCTTGACTCCCTGTATTACGGGAAGCTCACAATCGCACCTTTGAACTTTGCACGTACGAACCTCTCGTCTGTGTCTCTATTTTATGGAACAAGCCCCTGGCATTACTATCTGTCTCAAGGGCTGCTTGTTCTTGCCACCATCGTGCTCCCGTTCTCATTGCACGGGATGCTGCTCTCGGTCGGTGCAGGTGGAACTCCGGCGTCCAAATCGCTTGTTGGGCTAGTCCTGTGGACAATCACCGTCTATTCCCTCGCAGGACATAAGGAGTGGAGATTCATACATCCACTCCTACCCATATTGCACCTATTTGCCACCCGCTCCATCGTCGATGTCTACTATCGTAAATTAGCCAAGAAAACTGCAACGAAGAAGCGCCACTCCAGGTCATCGAAACTGCCAATTTCCAGAGCTCATTTCCTCCTTATATTGCTCAACATACCCCCGTTGATCTACCTCATGCTCTTTCACGGCCGCGCGCAAATAGACGTCATCTTGTATCTTAGATCACTTCCCGATGACGCAGTGAGCTCTGTGGGATTTCTTATGCCTTGCCATTCCACACCATGGCAGGCGTATCTGCACAAGCCGACATGGTCGGACGACCAAAGGTTATGGGCCCTCGGTTGTGAACCGCCGCTTGGGTGAGTTTCCGGTCTCTTCATTCTCTGCATTACCGCCCCATATCTCTAATACACGGGGACAGTGGTGAAATCACCAAAGACTACAAGGACCAGGCCGATGTGTTCTACGACTCGCCCATGGCGTATCTCCGCACGCGCTTCCCTCCAAGTGTGGACCACTCCTTCCCGCCCTCCCCTCACCCGTCCAGCAGGCCTGGAGAACCGCGCGAAAGAAGGGACGTGCACGATTGGATGCACGAATGGCCTGAATACCTCGTCATGTTTGGCGTGCTCCTGCGTGAACCTGGTGTCGTGGATTTATTGAAGGAGAAGGGCTACGTGCCGGTTTGGCACGAGAACTACGGGTGGGAGGGCGACAGGCGGAGGCGAGGTGGTGTTCTGGTGATGAAGGTCGCGTAGGGAGAATTGGCTGTGTGAGACTTTTATTTCAGGAAGTTTCTACCCCTCCAGCGATGATCCGTGAAGAGGAGCGTCGGCTTTCGCCGCTCCGAAGAGCCTTGGTCCGTCAAGTGAGGACAAGGATAGTGAATATATATATATATATCATGCAGGCCTTTTCATCACACCAGCTGGAAATATTCAGACGGACGTCTGCACATTACTGGTCACAACAGGGCGGCGAAAGTGTGTGCGCATCGGTACTTCGCCGATCAATGTCATTGAAGTTTTGTACGACAGCTTGCGAGGGCTGGCCAATATGACGGAAGCCTTAGCCTCCACACATGGTGATAGCATACCTACAAGGCCACTGTGTGTGTTGTGGTCCTGTTGTCAGATATTTGCCACTGGCGATAACTTTCGGATGCATTAGGTCTGGCCTGAGACTTGCCAACGTTCAAAGTGATTCAGATTGCTGCTGATAACAAAGATGAGTAACCCCTAAGTCCGTACATCGAGGGAAACTCACAAGTTGGGGTGAACATGCGTCAGATGTGGTGTAGCGTGCATGACAAGTTCACAGTATAAGATAAGACCTCACGCATGGTGCACATACCAAGGTCCATAAGATGTCCGAATAGATTCTAGTCACATATTGTAAGACCTGCGAGAATCTTTCAAAAAACGTGGCGAGTAGCGCAAACGAGGCAAAAAATTTAGTGTACATAATGTAGTGCAGACCAACCGAGATCAACCATTGTAAGCACCAAGAGTTCGAGTATGGTGCTACCATGATCTCGCCGGCGGCACGGACAAGACATCGAATCAGTCCTACAGAAGAGTCTATAGATTAGGCAGAGGGAGGAATAACATCAATCCAATCGTTGTCCCAAGGGCGAGGAGTAAGAGGAGCATCCAGAGATGATATGGCGGCAGGGGGTAGATGAAAGGTGTCTTTTGCCAGTTCTTTCCAGGACGGAAGCGCGAAAACTTGCGGGAGTTGCTCCCATACTCTGGTACGCCCCTCGCTGATGCTCTGCGCTATTATGCCCGTGCAGGACGAGCAGAAAAGCTCCGGCAAGTCTTTCCCGAATGCGCGGGCTGATTGGAGGGGGTCCAAGTAGCCGTCCGGGCCCTGGAAATCGATGATAAATGCCAACCGAAGTGCGTTGCATCTCTCGGCCTGCTCGCATGCCCCGACTTCGAACATCTTGGTGAATACCTCCTTCCGACCCAACGTGGAGAGCCGCTGTTTTGCAAGCAAGAGCGCATGCTTCACTTTAGGGCTCAGAATGAGCGTTTTCGTGTAATCCTCGCCCCCAGAGAGGATGAGGTCTAGGACCTCGGTCTTTTGACCCGCCATGAAATGCAGAAGGGAGGGTAGGAAGCTTGGTGCCGCAGACTCGAGTGCAAGTTCAAGAGAGATGATGTGGTAGATGAGCCTAAGCTGATATGACTGAGGAAGGGCACCTCGAGAACGTAGCTCGTCAAAAGCGGCGAGCGTTGTGGGGAACAGAGGTGCGAGCGCGGTGGTGACACGTCGTCGGAGCTTGTGAGCCTCATATTTCTCGCTGAGTTTGAGAATCGCGACCGCCGCGCAGGGGTCAGCTATCAACGATTCAAAATGCCTATCGGGTTCAACAACTCAGCGGCAAGCTCTTCGTATGTGGACGGGCCACTTACTCTATGTCAAGCATCGCCAGCAGAAAGTTTCGAACATCTGTGGGGCTGTCTCCTCGCATGGCAATAAGGAGACACCCGTCATATGTATCCAAATCTGGAGGTCGTGGGGCTGCGAAAACATCGTTGAAAAAGGAAGAGTGCCTGGAGAGCACGCCCGCGTAGACACGAAATAGAGTTTTGTCGGCCTGTAACACCACAGTTCCGTCTTCGAACCAAACATCTTCACAACGCACTAGCTCAGACGTCTCTTCCTTATGGCTCATCGTGAGGGGTAGCGTTTAACGTATTTCGCAGACTCAAAAAAGTGCTAGCAATCATGATAGCGGTCGTTGCTTAGCGGACAGCCTTGAGCTCACGCTTGTCAAGATCATGTGAATTGAAGGCGAGCCTGGTGAGGTCGCGAGCGTGCACTAACAGTTATTAACAATAGTACTTACCAGTTTCCCAATGGCCGACTAGCTCAGCTGGTTAGAGCGTGGTGCTAATAACGCCAAGGTCGTCGGTTCGATCCCGGCGTTGGCCACTTTTTTTTCTTCCTTTTTCAGGTGTGCGCCACAAGGCATGGCTAGATATTAATAATTACACGTCGTGCACGTTTTGTTGCGATCGCCATTGTGACCTTTTTTTTTTGACTCATGGACGTGGATACCAGCGACCTGCAGAGGTGCGAAGATCTCTGGTTCGAAGATGGGACAATCATACTTCAAGCAGAGAACATTCTGTTCCGCGTGTACACTGGGATTCTGACCAGACATTCCCCGTTTTTCAAAAACCTCTTCACGCTACCGCAGCCCGAAGATGCTGAACAACATGACGGGTGTCCGTTAGTGAAGCTCGCAGGAGATAACGCACAGGACGCGCACGATTTCTTGTTAGCATTACACGACATCGAGTACGTTCCACTGCCTCTGCACACAGTGGCGAGGTGCTAACGAAGCAATCTGTAGCCCTCCGGAATCATTGATGACCAATGCGTATTCCATCGTTGCTCTCCTAGAACTAAGCGTCAAGTACGAAACCAATAGCCTTCGCCAGAAGATCGTGAAGACCCTTGTACCCTACTTCCCAGCGACGCTTTCGGCGTACGATATCCTCACGGACAAGCACAAGAACGACAAATCATTCATATATCCGTTCAGAACCATACCAGAAATAGTTGCCTTGGCAGCTGCTCTCGACAAAGCTGCACCGTCTCTACTTCCCTATGCCCTCCTGAAGCTAGAACGCTGTTCTAGCGACGAGACCGCTGGACCCATAATCGACGGCATCTACGCGCGGGGCAAACATATAGTCCTCAGCCCGAAACTTCAGCGCTGTCTTCTAAGAGGCAAAAGTGCACTTTATTCACGGGCTCGCGAATCCGTCCTGCCTCGGCTCTTCCAGATGGGCGATTGCTTCGGGGACTGCGACACCCAGCGATTGCAGTACTTGACGAAGCACACAAAGCCTGACGGGTTCCTGGATCCCCTTCCGAAACGGACCTTCAAGCGGTTTTGCATGGAATGTAGGAAGGCTCTGGAGGCGGACGCGGAGGAGGGGCGACAACTCGCTTGGGAGCAGTTGCCGGAAGCATTCGGTCTCCCCAGCTGGCAGGAACTGGAGAGCGCGACCACTGATGATGAGGTATGATACACCGAGACATACACGTTCTCGGAGGGTGGGCGTCCTCGTTTCTCTCTGGGGCGCTGTTCGACAGTCCACTGCAGACATCAGCTCTGCTCCAATATCAGCGGGCTGCCTGCCAACTGTTACAACACCAATCGATAACTTCTTCCTAACTACTTCCTATGCCTTCAGCCTCCGGCTATATCAGAACCTCCCGCGCATATACCATCATATTGATAAGAATACGCAGCCGCAGCCATTCAAAATTTGATGTCCCTGCTCCATGCTGTCGTTAAAAACACAACTGTTAATATCGCCGTGCATAAAGACAGACCAGGCATTGTAAGTAAGCGAGGATCTTGGTGTGCGATTAACATCGTTGTCTCGAGATCAGGTCCCGGATATTTTCATATTGTAACTCGAATGCAAGGTTTGGGACAGCAATGCGCGGTCTGTGTACCTACAGAAAGACCATATTGGTGAGAACATCGCAGGAGGGCAGGCATCATTGACGTACCAGCTGTCAACAGGATCGATTCAACTTCTTCCACTGAATGTGCTAAGGACGTCTGAAAGATACCGTTAGTCCGTAAGATAACCCACACTTAGCTATTATTCAGCTGCGGGGCCATTTTACAGACATCGCACGCGCATGGTTTGAGCCGGTAGCACCCGATGCAGCAAGTGTTGTCCATAGATACACCTAAAATACAACAGAATCGGCTTGTACTGATATCTTTCAAGCCCTCTCCGCCTTGAACCGCGACACCTTTTGTTTCCTTTCCATGCTCTGGGAGCTGCCATCTGACGCGCCCGAGGCAGTCGCCTCACGGACGGTCGGCTTCACCACAGCAGGCGGCTTTCGTTCCACCACACCAGCGCGAAGAGGAGCTCGAGTCACAGGAGACGCGGGTGTTGACAACAAGGACGAAGTTGGGCCTGAGACGGGAGTACCAATCACCGTGGACGAAGAAGAAACTGACGATGGCGAGACCTTAGGTGAAATAAAGGAAGGTGACTCCAAGATGACGCTGTGAAAGGGTACGCCCTGCGAACATCCAGAAGCTGCAGCAGGCTGAGTCGTCGTTTTGGAAGTCATCGGCCTGAAGGATGGTGACTCAACAACCATTCCAGGCGTCTGCCGCGGAGCGGGGGAGGCAGAAGCGGAAGGAGGGAGTGATCCCCCGGTGATGGATCGAGTAGTGGCTAGCTTGGGGAGCGGATGGCCAGACGAGGAGGTTTCGGGTGTGGTGTTGCCTGTCGGGTGCATCTTGGGTGACGAACGCTCGACAACATCAACGGGTGTAGACATGGCTGAGCCTAAGTTCGGGGATGTCTGTCCGCCACTTGTTCCTGGCTGTGAGAGTGCGAGCCTGAACTTGGATACCTTCAACCTCTTCGGCTCCTGGGTAGCATTTGATGGTTGAGTGGGGGTTATTGCGGTCCCTATCTCTATGTTAGCCGGTGTTGAACCGTTCGACATGATGGAGGGGCCAGTAGACTGGGCAGCGGCGAGGACCGGCAGCGGGCCTGCGTTCGTTACTTCGCCCCTCCGCAGCATTTCCAAGAACTGCCTTGCATCTTCGTCTTCGACGGTGATCTCGTCTTCACTCTCGCCATCCTGACCCCCAGCAAGCCGTCCATTTTCAAGCTTCCCCATACGTAGAGCGGTCTTGAGAGAAGCCGACTGAGATGATGGCAGAACGGCGGCTTCCAGAGAATGCGAGGCGAGCGAGCCGGTGTTTGGCGGAGGGTGTGCATGGCGATCGACTTTGAATCGCGAGACAGAAGGTTTCGGCGGAGCCGATGCGAACGTTGCCTCGAGTGGTACCTCCTGAGCGAGACGCATCAGACCAGTGCTCGACTAAGTAGCGGGAGTACACACTGGTTGATCCCATTCACCCTCGCCTGTGCCATGTGTGTGCGCTCGCATTGCACTCGCAACATCGGCGCCGATTGTCTTCCGCTTCTCGTAATATTCGAGAGCTACTTCGCGCTGGTGGGCGGCCGTGTCAAAATCAATGTCGTTCCATTCTGAAGGCTCTTCGTCAAAATGATGGTCGTCTTCGCTGTCAACAGACTCAGAAGGCGGTAAATGTGCGTCTCGACCATAGTCCTCGTCGGACTCAGAGTGAACTCCGGGGCTTTCGTGCTGATCGAAATCCTGATCCGAATAATCTTCGGGTTCTGATTCGTCGTCCGAGTCGCGAGGAGGCGGACCGGGTGAGCGCAAACCACCAGAGTAACGTTCGACCACGTGCATCTTCATGGTCGGTCTATCCGAGCGACCGTTTGCTGGATTTTTGCGAATAGTCCCAGGCACAACATCGCCCCAATCCACACCCTTTCCCTTATCGTCATTCGCGGGACACAGAATCTCCACAGGACTGGTCTCGGCGAAGCTGACCGACTTCTTCGGCTTCAATGGTTTCTGGGCGTCCGCAAACCGATCGCGTTCAACCTGTTCAGCCTTCTCTTTATCCGCCTGGTCTCGGCTTTCAACTACGCTTCTGATCAGGGCCCTGCCCAGCTTCTTCTGTAGCTCCCGAGCCTTCTTCAACTTGTCCATCTCTTCCCTGGCCGCCTCTTTCCGCTTGTCCATCTCTTGCTCCGTGCGTTTCCGAGACGCCTCAACATCGTGAGCTTCCTGCGCATGCTCCTCTTCCTCGAGCAGATTGAGTATGCGTTCACGTTCTCCTTTCCTGCGAGCCTTTTCTTCAAGAGAGAGCGTCCAGAGGGGAAGCAAGTCTGGATCGTCAAAGGTACTGTCGGGGTCAGGCCTGAAAGCGAAGTCGGCAGCAGTTACTGGTTCGTTAATTTCGATAATGGGCAGTCCCTCCTCGTCGACGAGCTGTATACATATTCCGACGATCATTGAACTGCAATTACGTCGAAGAATGTGGCGTACGCACTTCACCCTTCTCGTTGCGTCGTGTACCATCCTCCTGGGCCTCGCCTAGGATCTCGTCAATCTTATGAGAAAGCCTTCGGACTTGGTCATTAGTCAACTTCCCGCCATTTGGCTCGTCGGGCTTGCCGGGGGACAGCGAGTTTAAGAGTGCCTGTAAAGCTGCCATGCGTTAGACGCGAGCGAATCAATCATTCTGCTCATCATATGTCATACCTTCTACTCTGCCTTCGTTCAGAACTTTTGTCTCGTCAATATTGGCCATATTACGCTCCTCCTACAGCGATGAAGGTAGCAGATGGTGAAGGCCGAGTTAGGGTTGTGGAGAAGAGCAAACAGCGATGTCTGCAGGCTGGAGCAGTTGGAGCAGGATCGCGGAATCGCATGTAATTGGATGGTCACCGCCGTTTCGGAAATCGCCGAAAGCAATTTCTGCTCATCGTACTTACAGGTCGATCATCGCTTTTCCCTCTCTATCATCCTGTCCTTCGGCTTCACACATAGAAATGGTTGTGGTCCACGCTCAGCCCAGCACATCCTCCCCCGTAACACAGAAGAAAAACCGCCGAAAATTGCACAAAAGACACACGGCTGGCGGTGAAGATGCTGCAATGCGCGAGGTCGACGCTGGGGCCCCCGCCGTGAAACAGCCTATCTCTAGCGACGATGGTGATGTTATGATTGACACCGAGGATGCTGGCGTACTTGCCAATTCTTCTGCCCCCGCGTTTGGTCCACTCCCCGCATCGGCGCAGCGGACGACACTCAAGTCCGAAACGAGAAGAGTCCCTATACCCCCTCACCGCATGACCCCTCTCAAAAAAGATTGGGTGAATATCTTCGGGCCGTTGACAGAGATCCTCGGCCTGCAAGTTCGGATGAATGTTCAGAGGAGATGTGTAGAGATCAGAGTACGTGTTCAAGAACTACTTTGATAGGTCTTGTATGTGAACTCTGCACAGACGTCAAAGCATACCAAAGAGGTGGGAGCTCTTCAAAAAGGAGCAGACTTCGTCAAATCATTTGCCCTCGGCTTCGATGTCAATGTGAGTATTCCTGGATGTCGTGGTGCAATGGTGTCTTTAAAACTTGTATCCAGGACGCGATTGCGTTGCTTCGTTTGGATGACCTTTACCTTGACTCCTTCGAGATTAAGGACGTGAAGACTCTTCATGGCGATCATCTATCCCGTGCCATCGGTAAACCATGCCGATATTAAGCCAGGTCTTCTTCTCACCTGTTCTTCCAGGCCGAATCGCTGGTCAAGATGGTAAAACAAAATTTACGATCGAAAACGCCAGTCGGACACGAATTGTCCTCGCAGATACGTGCGTAAATTACGTTGTCTTGAACTGCTTTAGTTTTCATGGTGTGCTACAGCAAAATCCACATCCTGGGTTCCTTCCAAAATATAAAAATTGCAAGAGACGCAATCGTCTCGCTTATTCTAGGTTCACCACCTGGCAAAGTATACGCAGGTCTCAGGACTGTCAGCAGCCGTATGCGGCAGCGTGCATTGTAAATCCCGATGGTGTTTGTACTTTACGGTCACTATGCGATCTGAGGAGGTGTCCTCTGTACGTCCTACTTGTGAGAGTTTTTGAGAGGTGCGAGTGCATATCTCTGACGATGCATTTTTTTTTAAAATCTGAGAACTTCAATCAGTTCGTGTTTAATGTTATTGTTTTCCACGCAGATCCTTTGCTTGACAGGCTGCCATTTTTACCAGGTGTCTCATGATTGCGTTGAATTGTAGGATGGTGAGGCGGCTTCGGTCATTCCCGACCACAGTTCCCACGCACATCGTCCATCTTTGTTCGGATTGAGGTCTCCGTGCTCCCTTCAAAAGCTACCCTCAATCTCCTTTCACTGACCTCTTCAAAGATGGTTGTCCGCTCTTTGTTGGCTTTATTCACGCTGGTCGTCCTAATATCTGTCTCTTTGGCCTCTGAAAGCGCATGGAATGGCCACACCACCCCCGGTTCGACGAACCCCACCAGATTCTCTCCTTACTATGTCGCACCCGGCACCAAAAGCTACGATTCGAACTCTCCCCTGGTACACTACTCCTCACACTGGAAAGAAATTTTCTCGTCTGCATACATCCACAAGTCCGTTCGATCAACTTCGCACAAGGGGGCGTACATGACCTTCCGTTTCACGGGCACTGGCGTCGAGTGGTTCGGTAACACTGGCGGCAGACACGGTATTGCAAAGGTCTACCTGGATGGCAAGCTGATGGAACGCGTTAATACTTGGAGCTCGACGACTAGACGGCAACAACGCCTGTACTGGAACTTCAGCCTACCTTACGGAAAGCATACTATAAAAATCGTCAACACTGGTCAGAAACAGAACCACTCAAAAGGTACCAAGGTCGACGTGGATGCTATCGTTGTTACTCTCGGATCAAATCCTACACCCTCAAATCCTCCCCAGAACAACTACGTGCCAGTTCTCCAGAATGTCGCAGCGTCTCCGCAGAACGGTTTCCCCTCCGTCAACTTGGACACTTCTAGCCCATCGGAACAGTGGACACTCATGCAGAAGGGGAACACCGGTGTTCATGCTATGCAGCTCGCCGTTATCTCAGACTCGCACGCTATCATCGTCGACAAAGTCGAGCACAACCCTCTAACTGTCGACGGGCATCCTGCCTGGGCAGCGCTTTACAACCTTAACACGCACGCAGTGAGACCCCTACGCATGCAGTCTAATTCTTTCTGTGCGGGTGGGACCTTCCTCTCCAACGGGACCCTTATCAACGTTGGTGGCAATCCAGTCGTGGAAGACCACACGTCTGCTGCTGACTTTGGCGACGTCGACGGCCTACAAGCTGTCCGCATCTTCGAGCCCTGCAACTCTGATAATATCGACGACTGCGAGATGTTCGAGGACCACAGCCGCGTACGGATGGCTAGCCCTCGATGGTACAACACTGTTCTGCGCATCTCAGACGGCTCCGCTATGATCATCGGTGGGTCGCTCAAGGGCGGATGGATCAACAACGCAACGACCAACAACCCTACAGTCGAATATTATCCTCCCAAAGACATTAGCGGCTCTAATGGCATGCCCGTGAAGCTCCAGTTCCTTGTCGACACGCTGAACTCGAACCTCTTTCCTATTGCATTCTCGCTCCCAGACGGAAAAGTTTTCATTGCAGCTAACCAAGACGCCATGATCTACGACTGGCAGAGCAATACCGAGCGCAGACTTCCACAGATTCCTAACGGCGTGCGGGTCACCTATCCAATGACAGGCACCGGCTTGTTACTCCCTCTGACGCCAGAGAATAACTATACCCCGGAAATTCTTCTCTGTGGTGGCTCAACTGTCGACGACACGAAGCCAGGCTACGAGATTTCCTCGCAGGATCCCGCCTCGGCGCAATGCTCCCGTATGGTCCTTACTGAGGATGGCATCGCCGCAGGTTGGCAGGTCGAGCAGATGCCCCAGGCGCGCACCATGCCCGACGCGGTAATCTTGCCGACGGGCAAAATTCTCATTGTCAACGGCGCCGCAACTGGTATCTCGGGCTATGGCAACGTCATCAATCAAGTCGGTGCATCGAACGCGGACAACCCCGTTTTCACGCCCGTGCTGTACGACCCCGCGGCACCTGCGGGGACGCGTTTCTCGTCTGCAGGACTCCCTACTAGCGACATACCACGGTTATATCATTCCATTGCGACTGTGGTACCGTCCGGGAGCGTCATGATTGCGGGCAGTAATCCGAACCTGGATAGGAGTGAGATCAAGTACGGGACCGAGTACCGCGTGGAGTGGCTTGACCCGCCGTACATGGCCATGGACCGCCCCACGCTGGACAATGTTCCAGAGAAGATCGGCTTCGAGCAGACCGTGCAGTTCAACGTGAAGCTGCCGTCTACAGCGTCTGGGAACGTGAAAGGTGCGGCTGGCTCTGGAAGAGCTTGAAGCTTGTTGAGACTCACGCACACCGTTGCAGTCATCCTCATGGACTTCGGATACGTGACGCATGCCGTACATGCCAACTCTCGTTACGTGGAACTTGCGTCCTCCATCGATGGCGGCCTTGTCACCGTCGACGGCCCCACGAACGGTAAAATCTACCCACCAGGCCCTGGCTGGCTCTTCGTGGTAGTGAGTGATATCCCCAGCAAAGCAGTCAAAGTCATGGTTGGCGACGGACGCGGTCCGGAGGTGAATGAAGCTGCGATAGCGAAGTAAGCTGCCCATCCTGATAGTTATAGGACCCAGCCGATACTGTACTGACAAGCTTTCCTCTGAAGCGTGCTGGCGAAGACCAATGCAGACCAATATGACGAGGAAAAAAAGGAAAAGAAGTTTAATGACGACTCTGAATAGACGGCCTCCTGGAGCGATCTTTCTCTATAGCATTTTCTAGTTGCATGTTACCTTGTCTCGTCCTGTAATGTTTTCTGAGCACATATGTCGCGATTATGAACCATTAATAAAATCATCCGTAATAAGCGAATCGGCAAATAAATGGCCTAGCGAATATGCAGGGTAGAGGAAGACAAGACCCGTTCTACAGCCTTAGTGAATTGTGTACTTGCCGTAGCTCTTCTCGGGATCATATACCTAGACCGTGCACGTTAGGAGCAACGTACATGTAGAGTTTGGCTGTACATACCTCCCATCGAGAGGCTGGGAAAATATGCTTGTTGCGCTGGTACCAGCTCCGCTCCACGACCTTCCCGGCGTGTGATTCGTCCTTCTCAACAGTAGCGTCAGCCAGCAGCCGGACATCGTCGTGAACGTCGAAGTTGAACAGCGGGCCTGACTTGCCACGAGCCTTGTTCACGATAAAATCGTAGAACGTGTAGTGCTACAGCAAAGTGGTTAGCTAAAGCATGCCAGCATGGTACGAAGGGGCCTTACATGCGGAACAATCAAGTCCTCCTTCACATACATCAAGTTGTCGACGTTGACGCCCCGAAGTTCCGGGAACTGCTGGCGGCACTTCTCCAAGAAGGCTGCAATGTCATCCCCCTTCTTGCACTAAACAGGTATCGCCAACCATTCATGTGCGCGTATCTGTGTGGTGAGCTACAGTATACTAGACGCATGAGAGGACGTTTACCACTACACTCTTCCGGTGGCCGCTTCCGTCCCAATAGGAGTAGGTGATCTCTATCTCTTCTTTCTTCATGTCCTCCTGCTTCTGGAGCCATTCCTGCCTAAGCTCTTCTCGTTGCTTGCGCTCCAGCTCTTCGCGTTCGCGGTCGGGAAGGAAGGAGGTGTCCACCTCAGGGTTCTTGCGCGACTTGGGGCGCTTAGCAGGCTTTTCACCATCCGCATCCTCGAATGTTGGCGGGCCTGCGCTGTCTTCGCCGCCTTCTTCGTCCAAGGCAAACGAGAGTGTGGACTTAGCGACTTTCTTACGCTTCTTCACCTTCTTCTGTTCATCCCTAAACAGGTTCTCCACGTCCTGTAAGCCATCATACGCGCATACAAAAGCGTTCCAGGCGCATATAGCTGCAGAACGATAACTTACTTGAGCTCATTGGTCCGTGCTGCCTCACGGGCTTTGGCCTCTTCGAGCTCCTTGCGTCTCTGCTGGAACTCCTCAAGCTTCACAAGACCAACAGTGCTCTGCTTGAGCGTATCCTCCATCGAGTCGTTCTGCCCGACAAAGCGGTGCGCAGACGGCCGTGCCTTCTCGGTCTCGTGGATGAGCGACTGCTTCTGTCGCTCGAACTCTTCACGCATCTGGTTGCGCTGCTTCACCAGAGCGTCTTCGCGACGGCCCTCTGCCTGGCTGTTCGACATGTTGAAGTGTTGCGCGAAATGACGAGATGAAAGAGATGGTTTGGCTAGCGGAGAGTTGGTCTGTGGTTGTATGAAAGAGAGTCGCGCCTGCCTGCGGAGTTCCAAAACCTTCTCAAGACAAACCTCCGAGCGCTTCGGGACTTCGGAACGCTGTGGCAGTCGACGACCAACCATGCATATCCTGGGTATATTACTGCCAGAGAGCCACCTGGCCAGGGTTGGTTTTTAATGATTTACCATAATGCATGCTTACATCTTTGTGTAGCATGCCCTGCAAAATTTCTTTGGTATTGGTCCCAAGATTGCCCACCGCATTTGCGCGCGCATGCAGATTCATGACCGTTGCAAGGTTCGGGATATCACCCAGCAGCAGCAGACAGCCTTAACGGCTTTCCTGTCGTCTCCTTCGACCTATCCGCAGGCACAGTGTCTCCCCCTTGCGTCTGCTAAATTCAGGGCACCTAGTCTTGCGAAGCCTTCACTGCCTGCGCCTGCACCCGCCCGTTCGGTCTCGCAGGCCGAGTCCAAGAACCCTCTCGTCAATCTCAAGATTGAGGTGGAACTCAAGAGGGAGATTAGAGACAACATCCAACACCAGCGTTTGATTGGAAGCTACGTTGGTCGTCGGCATGCCTCGCACCTGCCCGTCCGTGGACAGCGCACTCGGACGAACGCTCAAATCGCGAAGAGGCTCAACAGGGTGGATCGTCACATATAGACGAAGGCTTCTCAAGTATGTGCAATTACCCTACAATGGTTTCTACCCTAACTACCTTCTCTGCAGAATGTTCACGTCCGATATTATACACTGGACAGTCCGTCATACTAGTCGTCTCCCACAGGGACCTCTTCTTCCAGATACTTCACGAGTGTAACGCGAATCTCCGTACTCTCATCTCCTCTCAAGACGTCTGATGTGAAGGTTGCCTGCACCTGCATTTGTATCTATGACGGCTGTCAGTCAGTCCACAGCTCGCGACACGGGAGCGGGTAGAGCAGCGTACCATTTCCAGGGCACCGCGGATGACTCCACACAATACATTGCTGAACCAAAGGCCACCTTCCAGGGCCTCCTCTGGCAGCTCGACAAATTCTGTCAGCGGGTTTTCGTCGAAAGTAAGAGTGAAGGATGTGCTGCTTGTCGCTTGCTGCGGCGTCGCGGCATTCGTTGGTGACGTTGCAGCTGATAGGGCCTGTCCATGAGTGACTGCAGGACTGATATTGAGGAAGGATTTGAAAGCGACCTGTAGGAGGTGCACTCATGAGAACTTTCGTCTCAACATAACCATGAATTGGATGTACCTTGCCCACTACTTCTCCCACCTCTCTAAAGTCTGAGCACCGTCCAAGGTTGCTCTTGGCGAGGACGTCCTCGATGAGCCGCGTGCCAATATTGTAGCCCATCTTCTCGAGCTGCTTGTTCACTTCGTCATAGTCTTCATAATCTTGGATAAGCTGCACGACCAGTGCACCATATGTCAGAGCAAACAGTTCTGCATTCTACCACTGCCGTCAGGTTTAATGGCATGCAACGCGGAGGCACGAAGAGGGTGTCAACGTACAATCTTCTCGGTGCGCCCCTTCCAGAGGTCCTCGCCGATGGCCTTGTACTGCTTACTCGTCGTCGCCATTGCTCAAGCTCAAGTCGTGTCTATGGGCGTTTACTCGCCGAACGCTGTTTCACGCGAGAGCCGCATCTCGTTCCGCGACTCGCACCTTCGCACATCTCCTCTCAGGCTGAATGCCACCTAAACGGCCTCGGAGGACGTCTCCAGCCACACACGGCCTACACGCTGGCGAGAAGCTGAAACGTACGAAACTATCCGGCAACGAATACCTTGCATGGAGCTGGGTCGGTACGGAGGTCACGGATGCCGTTGATATTACCTCGGAGCACCGTCTTGCGACGTGTGGGTTATCTAAGAAGAATGGGCATTGTTTCTGCGTGAACAAATACGCACCTGCCACGTCCCACGGACCACCTATCAAGGAGGAGCCTAGCAAGCCTCTAGCTAGTGGCGAGCTGGAGGACGATGTAATAGTAGTTTCGGACGACGAGCTGCTAATTTGCGACGCCAAAACGTGTAAAAGTAATCCGAACTGTCTGAACTATCTTGGTCAAGAGAGATGGCAGAATGAAGGTATGTCTGGCACGTCATACTACGTATGTCCTGCATGTGTCAGAACGGACATATAGGCAAAGCAAGGGACGCGTTCTTCAGGGCAGTAGAGCTCGGCCTAGACCCTACACTTGATTTCCGAGCTTCAGGAAGCCCTATTGGTTTGAAGGTGCGCTCTCTTTTGCTATATACGCACTCTGTACCCAAGTTCATGATCAGGACGTCACGTAGAACCTTGGAGCAACATGCTACGCGAATGCTTTCTTGCAGGTATATGGGATCACTCTAACATGTACGACATTTAATACTGAACACATATGCAGGTGTGGTATCAAGATCTACCATTTCGTGCCGGTGTATACCAGTGTGAGCCGAGTCCAGACAAGGAAGACAAGTTCTCGGTCAGCCTTCTATATCTCGTCGTAATTCTTGTCGTCTTAATGAAATTATAGGAGTCCCCGATCTATCAACTCCAGGTGACATTTGCTGCCATGCAGATGAGCAAGCAGGCAGTCTTCAATCCGGTCAGACTTGTCGAGAGTCTGAAACTTCGTGCTACCGAGCAGCAGGACGCGCAAGAGTCAGTATACGTGACATGTTTTCCTCATATTGCTAACTGGTCTTCATAGATTTTCGAAGTTGTTCATGGCCCACCTCGATTCGGAGTTCCATAAACAACCTAACCCCGTTCTGAAGAGTCTTGTCGCAGATCAGGTTTGAAAGACTCTGTCTTGATATATGCGCACATACTCACATCTTGTTAGTTCCAAGGGAAACAAGTATACACAACTGTATGCTCTAAGTGTCATACCCGGTCGGAACGTGAGAGCGAGTTTCTCGAGCTTGAGCTCACGCTTGCGGTATTCCGGCATCTGAACTAACAGTTTGGCTGACACTGACAGTGGGGATGTAGAATAATGCAAAGCTGGAAGATCGCCTTAGTGCTTCACTGGCTGCTGAAGAACTTCAAGGCGACAATCAGTACGCGTAGCGCGGTCGCATTCATCGACGGTTGTTGATCATACTCCGTAGGTACCTTTGCTCACGATGCGACAGCCTTCAAGATGCCAAGCGCTTCACCGAAATCCGGGAACTGCCTCCAGTCCTTCACTTCTCCCTCCTGCGCTTCGTCTATGACCTGTCAACAATGGAGCGCAAGAAGTCGAAGCACGCCGTGCTATTTCCCGAGACCCTTGAAATGGACAAGTTTTTCGGTGGTGGTGATCATGTAGGCAAGAAACGAAAGTGCTCCGAAGGTGGCAAGGGTATATACTACTTGAGAGGTGTCCTGCTCCACAGAGGCGCGAGCGCGTATCATGGACATTACGAGACCCAGATCTTCGACATGAAGTGAGCGCAGCCACTCTTGTGAAATATCTGCTGCTGATCCCCACTTGTGCGCGAAGGAACAAAGCCTGGTATCAGTTCAACGACGAAGTGGTTACCAAGCTGGGCTCTCTGAGAGCACCGCCGAAAGCAATGAAGAAAGACGAGTTGAAGTCTACGAAGTATATCTAGGGATCTCGCCAACTCGTGCATTTGCTAATTGCGACACCACAGATCCAGAAAAGCGAATGATAAAGCGAGACCGTCACAGGTAACACCTCCTAGGGCTGGTAGCGACATAGAAATCGTCGAGTATGCTGTAGTCCTTCCTCTACGTAAATCCCTCGTTGACGACCCGAACAGGAAGTCTAGGCCTAAGGAGAAGCCACCGCCCCAAGAAGCTGCTGAGTCAGTACCTCGCTGTGTTCATGTTGACGGCACTGCATATTGACGATGCAAATAGCTACATCTCATCCAGAGATGCCTATATGCTCATCTACGCTCGTGCCCCGGACAACATGACTGGCCGGCCGAATGGTATTCCTGACCCTCAGCCACCACCCCGGGCGCTGCAGGTAGTTGAGGAGCTGAATGCGACTCATGAAAAAGCCTGCGAGGAATACTCTGACCAGTATATAACCATCTCACCCGGGCATGCATATATCCAACATCGCTGATGCCTTTGTCAGGGAGAAAGCTGCTGAGGAGCGCTTCCAGCAGACAAGATGTATGGTGATGGACATATATCGCTCATGGAGCTTGTCGCACGACGATGAAGACTCTGTTGTATGCAGCAAGCAGGCATTGGAAACATGGATGTCTCGGCATCTGACCAAACCCAAGGACCAGAAACCGGAGATGATCAACGAGGGTACATTGGCTCTTTGTCGTGAGTTGCGAGCCGGACGTTAACTGCATTGTAGAGACAGACAACCGCACAATCCCTAACGGAGATATTACATGTGCTCATGGACGCCTTGACCCAAAGAAAGCTCAGAATATGAAGCGTCTCAACAGGGTCAGTGAGTTTCTTATATGTCATGAATGTGAATGAACTTTCTTCAGTCAGCGTATGATCGCATGTCTACTGAGGGTCATTGCAATTTCGAGCCGTCTTTTTCCCCGGCTGACGTTTGTCCAGAATGTGTTGAAGAAGGCTTCCGAGGTCGGTCAACTAATTCCGAAACTGTTACCGAATCTCATCTTTTGTTCTCAGATCGCATATATTCGGTAGAACATCCAAGGCTCGTGTCTGTGTTCGATGAAGTGGCACCAGTGAACGAAGGCGACTCCGCGTTCTGGATCTCGAAACCGTGGCTGAAGGACTGGAGGTCAACCAAACCGAAGATGCACATATCCTCACGACCGGATCCGCCTCCAGACGATTCAGAGTATACTCACCATGTGAAATGTGAACACGGTGGGCTGACGCCAAATGTTATCTCGCGCAAGCGAATATCCCCAGCGGTATGTTGCCGCCTATACTCCGGGATACTACACTGACTCCCGAATCAGGCCTACGAGTTGCTAAAGGGCGTTTTCCCCGCATGGACAACGCTCTCAACGGACTCCGATACATGTGCTGTCTGCGAAGCGATGGTGCAGATGTCGCGAGAAGATAAGCGGGGCGCAAAGATCCAAGCGGAGGATGAGAAGGTGCAAACCGTTCCTTTTTATTTTGACCGCCTGCCCGTTAATCCTCTCGTAAAACGCAGGCGAAGCTTCGCCACATGCACGACCATGCGCTAACAGGCAACAACGCTCTCCTTGAGGAGATTCCTTGCGCGCTTGTTCCGGCTCCTTTCATCCGCGCATGGAGGCAATGGTTATTTCATCCTGCCAACGAGAGGCCGGAGAGCGTCGATACGCGGCAGTTCATATGCGAACACGGGCTTCTAGCCCTCGACCCAAACACCCCCGGGGATCTAGATGGTGTAGCAGCAATTATCAGCCGCGATGACTGGGCGGTGCTGGAAACCTTGTAAGACACCAACGACGGCGTCTATGCGCGTTAGGAGCTAACTCGTGAACAAGATATTCATGCGGTCCGTTGATCGCTATAGAACATGCAGATGGCGCGTGGAGACACGACCCTGCTGTTTGCAAAGCGTGTCGTCTGAAGTGGTACGTAAATATAGGTCGCAGTATCTTGCTGTTGCTGACGAGTAAGCTGCAGCAAGTCCGCTTACGAGAAGACTGAGCTAACAATACGCGTCCTCCGAGCTGATGATCCTACGCCAACTCCGGAGACATACGCTGAACAGTTATCTCAGCCTGCAGAAGCGCGACCGACTGTTGTCACGTATGGATCGAAGAAGATTGGAAACCTGCGTCAGTCGAAGCGAATACGCCAAACAAGGGAGCTCGGACGACGGAGGAAGCTGATTATCACACCAGACATGACTGTCAAGGATTTGAAGATTCAGGTTCGGTGCCTTTTGTTTCAATTTTGTCGCAATCATGGACTAACGGTTGACGGGCAGATACAAGCAGAGCTCGAGATTCCGACCATCTCGCAATGTCTCTATTATCATGGCAACGAGCTCGAGAACAGCGCAATGACGTTGGGGTCGCTAGGCGTGTTGTCCAATGACACCATGGACCTAAGGGAAGAGTCCGAAGATATTGATCTCCTAGGCTCGGGATCGGATGCGGAGCCAACAACTAGGAAGAAGGAAGGTCGAGGCTTTGGTGGTACCCTTCTCGGGTACAGCAGTTCATCCAGCCCCCCGCACACACCCTCGCAACATGCGGACGAGCTCCCTAGCAACACGACGATCAGTTGCCCTGCTTGTACGTACGACAACGCTGCAGACGCGTTCGCGTGTCTCATGTGCGAGACGATGCTAGACGGAGCGCCAGAGTAATGATACTCCACTTCGCCTTCTTTTTGTTTTGGAGAGAACTACAGATGTTGAACATAGTACACGGGGGAACGGACGGGCAGCGATAGCGTTAAGAATATGTTCTATATCAAGAGCGAACTCACGAGCAGGCAAGTAGCAATACTATGACAACAGCGAAGTAAGCACGACACAAGCAGAAAGAAAAAAGGCAAACAGGGACCCCATTCATGTCATAAATATATAACATACAAATCCCGGCGGATTTGAAACTCGCCATATCCCGTACACTCCCGAGATCATGAGCCACCATGCGCGAAGAAGGTCGGTATGAGTGGCGGTGGGGGAACGACAGACTGCGTCGGGAAGGGGATAGGAAGGATGTTGCCTGTTGAATGTGGCCGGATAGAGTCAAGCGACGCCGTGAGCTGCGCCAGATCTGCCGTGAGAGGTGGAGGCAATGGCGGGTTGCGCGTCTGTTGCTGGAGCAGTGATTTGGCCGTCATCATCACATCGACCTCGCTTGAGAGAGGCCCGACCATCTCCACGGCTTGTGCGACAGCAGACTGAGTCGCAACAGAGACCTCCTTGACGGTAACCTGAACCTGATTCGCCACTGCCTGGGAGGAGATGATCCCTGATGATAGCGTTGCCGAAGTACGGTCGGCGGCGACCTGCCGCGCGGCTTGGAGAACCACCTGCTGGGCTGCCGCGGCAAGAGCGTTTGATTGTGACGTCGATCCTACGGGTGGTTCGCCGCTACTTTTGTTGTTAAAGGCCTGGGCCGTCACCGTGAGGACGTGTTGCTGCTTCGCGAGAGACTCAAGTTCCGCTTGGGAGATGTCGATGTGCGGTAACGTGGAAGCAGCAACAACCTGAGACTGAGCTTCCTGCGCGACTCTTTGGGCTGCTGTAGTTAGCACTTGCACAACTTGAGAGTCTGGTGCAACAACCGGTGCCGGTGCAATTGCGGGAGCCAGCGGAGGCTGTGCTCGCAGAATTCTAACGCGAGAGCGGATCAGACTCATGTCGATCACCAAAAAATAGATCCTGAGAGCTCACCTTTGAGGAGCCTGCTGCGGCAGCACTGAATCGCTCATTACGCGTCTGGTATTGTGCATATCGCCAACTAACGACGGTCGTCGTGACGGAGTGAACGACGCGTCGACGGCGGTCATAGGAGCAATATTAACGTGCACTGTATGTGAAAGCATCTCCTCTTTGCCGTCTTGCACGAACTGCAGAACGCTATCAGGATCGTCACGAACACGAAATAGAATGGAAACAAACCTTTGCTTCAACGGTAACGTCGCAACTCTCAGCGTCTGGCGGAGGAATGCCAGATAGCGTGTCTTCATTCCAGGACAGCCAGGAGGGGAGATTCGGAGAAGTGAATGTGACAGGCATATTCGAGCGCGACGCCTGGGGATCCCAGATGCGCGGCGTCCAAGACCATCGCAAACCAATGTACGCTACCCCTGGAGGCGCGCCCGCCAGCTTGCGCTGGAAAGGGCGGAATGCCCACCCACCCTCGGTCTTCTTTGCGTCCACATGCCATATGTGATTTCCCTTCGATTTCGACTTCTTTCCCTCCTCGTTGAAGCGCGAGATGTACTGTTGATTCCACAGGAAGTTTCTGATCTGCACGGTTATTGTCATGTGAGCGTCGTGGAATGCTGCATGGTGAAACCGGCTGACCTTTTTCATTGGGATCTTTTCCTCCGGATAACCTTGTTGGGCGAGCTACGCCAGAGGTGTTCGTCATCACATGCGCAGTGTGCGCAATTTCTGCCACTCACCTCTTCCAAGAAGGCATTCGTGAAAGCTTGGATGCGGAACTTGAATGGGCGAAAATCAGGAGACTCGTCCAAACGCTGCATCTTCTTCGCCATAAGCGTCTGGTGGATGGGTTCGCCCTTGGCGTCGGTTGCGTCCACTATGAGAGGACGATAACGATGAGACAAACCGGGGAGTACACAAAAAAGGAGAGGACACACGGTTCGAACATGTCTTGTTGAGGAACTCAAAGAAGATGCGCTCGACTTCTCCCTTGTACTCAGCCGGGACTTCGTTTCCGTGTGAAGCACCCCCACCCTCCGCAGACGGTGAAGTGCGGCTACCTCGCCGTGCAGACGAGCCTGGGGGCGTGGTTGTCGTCGAAGTGGATGACCTCTCTTTGGACTCATCTGAACCGCCTGACATGTGCATCTGATACCCGTTTCGCGCGGTCGAAGGGTGCTCGTCATCCGACTCGTCGCCGTCATCCTCGTCGTAATCAGGAGACGCACCGCGCGCGCGCTGGCCTCCTGAGGTCGGTGGCCTGGATTGTGGGTGGTCGAAGTCGAACGGGTTAGCAGGTGATACGTCAATACCAAATGCGAATGGATTGGGATTCGGCTGAGACATGGATGACGACCGTGACATTCTGCCGACTGGTGGTGGCATGGTAGAAGGCAGAGGAGCTTGCGAAGGAATTGTGGGGTGTGTTGGCGAGTGGAAAGCAGTAGTTGATGTGGTAAATGCAAGGTTTGTAGCGACCGAGAGGGGATGTGGTATACCAGTCAAGCCTGAGCCCGCTCCAGACAGCGAATGCGAATGTCGAGTAACAGTGGGACGCGTTTCAGGCCAAGGACTAGTCATAGTAGGATTTGAAGTAAACGATGAAGACAATGGTGCGGGGGCGGTAGCAGGTCCTGAAGGCAGCGCCGAAAAGTCCGTCGGCGCATGCGATAGCTGAGGTGCAAATTCCAGCCGTGTTGGGAATTGCATAGACGAATGGGTGGGCTGCATGTCTTGCATGAGTTTCATGCTATGGCCAGACGAGCTCGGAGGACGCGTGCCAGGTAATGAGGAAACAGAAGATATATTCGGGTGCTCTGTCATGGGAGCCATCGTAGATGGCATCGAGGGAGGAGTGGAGAACGAAAAGGATGGAGAGGCATTCATGTGCGGTGGTGGTGGCATTTGCAACGAAAAGTCGTCTTGTGGTTCCATTTTCATCGCCTTAGCGACCCTATTACCTTCCATGGTGGATGCACATCGCTTCCGGGACATGTCAGGAGCGTCGAGTGATGGGCCTGGCTCTAGCGCAGACGAATCGAAGCTGGGAAGCCCATTTAAATGCTGCTGTGCCTGGGCCGATTCGAGGCCAAGTCTTGCTGGCGAACCATGAGATGTAGTTGTAGCAGCGACGGTTTGCGCATGTGGGGACCCAGCGGCAGGAGGAGAACCTGAGTTCTGATCCCGCAGTTGCAAGCTTGCCACCATCTGTGCGACCAACAAGACATTCTTGGTGAGTTGATCCACTATGTTCGCTGCGGATGTTGTCTGGCCGTTCGAAAAAGCCTGGCTGCCAGAACTTGCAGTCTTCGCGATACTGCGGACAAGTTAGCGATCAGAAGCCCCACGCCACCATGAGGAAGTACTCACTTCTTCAGCATGTCGCCTAATACCATGAGATGAGGATCTGCAGAGTCAGGTGAGCTCTCTTTGCTTTGCGACATTGAGAACCCTTGCGAGAACGGAAAGTTTGGGTCGTGCGCCGAAGTCGGAGGACCGCTACTGGCCGACGGGAAGCCGAGGTCGCTGCTTGTTGCATGGCTTGGCGAAGCGGCAGACCCAGACCGGCTGCGCGGCTCGTCAAGAGCAGAAGCAAGCGAGGAAGAACCCATGGCATATGTAGGAACCATGCCGTTGAGGGCGGGAGAAGATACGTGTGACGGATTGGTCGACGTCGTGGTTGTGGTTGTGCTCGGTGAGGACAGCATATGGTGCCCACTTTCGTGGTTCTCGATACCACTCATGGGCGGGTCTGGGACGAACCCAGGGCCGCTTTGCTGTGAGAAACCAGTCAGCATGCTGGACGAGGCGAGGTGGTCGGACAGCGGCGGGTTCGCAAGGTCCATTGGGTCGACCGTTGACATCTGCGTGGACATTGCCATGGGGTCTGCAGAAGCGAGTTCAGGGGGGAACATGGACATGTGGTGAGTGGGGGAAATGACGGAGTCGTTCATAGTGGACTGAAAGCCAGCGACGTCTGTCGACTGGAACTGCTGGAACTGCTGAGTGTCGATCGGAGTCGGGGGAGTGGTAGTTTTGGCTTCCTGTATGAGATTCATCAAGCGAGCGGTATGCTGGAGGGCTGCGTAGCTACGCGTCGAGCTTCTCACACAAGGCGATGCAGGGTATCGGGCGAAGAAATGAATGTGTTGACGTCTACGGGCTTGCGCAGGAGGGCAAGTACTGGGTTTGAATCGATTCGATCAGGCTTTGCGGCTCTGGCGTCGAAAGCGTTCAGGACGGTTGTTTTGTGACGAGATTCAGAATGCGTACCAGTTCGCACAAAAGCTCTGATAATCACACAGAGGAACGTACACCAGAAGTTCCTCTCGACGTCGACCGATCCACAGACGGGCGCGCGCGCAAGCCTAAGATACGCAAAGGGCAAACAGACCTAGGAAGGAGAGAACAGACCGAAACGGCGGCAATAGTTGGCTTCTGAGAGACGGAGGACGTCTAGCGAGAGCGAGGCATGCGGGCTAGGCAGTGGAATCAGACAGGACGCTCGACGGGACAAGCTTTGCCTTGAGGCAGAGCCGTTCTCGCATGCGGTCTTCAATTAATTTCCTCCTGCAACACAATCCAAAAAAGGCTAGTCACACAAATATCCGCAAATATTTCTTCCCGCTTGTCTCCTCCCGCCGCGAGCAGCTACTCAGCTTGAAAATGTCATCCGAGCCAGCAACCAGACCTCACAACCGGCTGCCGCATCTCGTCCTTTTTTCGTGTCGTTGTCGTCGCCGTTAGGCTTTTGCCTTTGACCATGGGAATGCCCGCGAGCTCTCGCTCGCTTGCTCGGCGTTCCTGGGCACTGCAATTCGACAGAGCGACTGCAAACATGCGTGTCTTGCATCCCATCACATCACAACATGATTCTCAGTTCCAGCTCCTTAACAAGTCCCCGCAAGCGGACCTCGGGGATACACCCGCTCAACGACGTGCGGACGGCCGGTCTTCGTCATCTCCGCACGCCGGCATCATACTTCCAGACTCGCAATGTCTCCTTCCGCTGTGAAACCGCACCAGTCGGGAAGCCCGGGCAGGCTTACCGGCCAGCTGGACGTGGACGGACAGATTATCCCAGCCCACTTCATGGCGATTTGTTTAATCAGGTCTAACCATTCCGGTGGTGGACCATGCTAGTCGCGGACCCGCACCGCGTGAACACGCTCTCACAAGCGGAAAAAAAAATCGATCGCCCTGCGTCCGGCGCCGGAGCTGGGAAGCGCGATTATTCGATAATAATGTACGAGCACGTCGGGTTCAGGCCATCGCATAACGATACTCGTAAAGTAAACAGCGTCCGTCTATTCTCTATCGCCGTCGCCATACGAGGAATCTTGTCTGCTCTCCTCCGAACTGCCATACAAGAATGGTGCACTGTATACTACCGGAAGTTTACTTGACAGGGTTGAATCACAGTCATGCACACGTGGCCCAGGGTGAGCTCTCGTCTGACTCCTCATAGCTATCGGTTCGGTCATCCTGGGTCCGATGTGTTAGCGCGAAGCGGCGGATATGAAGAGAGATCTGCCGATAGCAGCTGGGAATGTAGTATGCACAGGCTCTGCAAGCGGTAGGTGGTTTGGGCACACCGCAGCGGTGGTCGCAGTGCGTCTGGTAAGCTTTATCAGCGGTAAGCTTGTGCACTCAGAGCTTGTGAACTCCGGACGCTTCCTTGCCTATTGTGCGAACGAGCGGATCCGGTGGCTGTTTCCCACTGTTCCTGTCAGGCGTTCGCAGCACGGAGCAATGCGGGCATATTGACATCGCGCTCACGCACATCGGATCGCCTGTAGGCCCTCGAAAGGTCATGGTACTTGCTAGTTCCGATCTTGGTGTTAAATTGGTGTGTCGATGAATCATAGACCCTATAGAATCTCTGTACCTAGCAGAAATCGATGGTGAACCCTTACAATCATGTCTTCATATTGGCTCAGACCGCAGGAAGACCCAGATCGCAGTGCGGCGTTGCCACGGCAAGGCGGACTAGCAGCGCCCTCGAGGATGAATGCATGGAGGGAAAATGAAGCTGTTGCCGCACGAGTCAAAACATCTGAATGAGAGAAGCAGACAACGTTTCCCGTGTATGTTGTCAGCGGAACTAGGAGAAGTATGACGTACCTTGCACGAAGCGCGTCCCCGCCTCAGGCTCTCTCAGGCAGCGTGTGACGCAGCTTCGTTGCAGACAGTTGGACGGGATTTACAAGGGGCTGCACGACGGCTTCCGGGCTTTAGCCTTTACCGTCTAATTATGGGCGACGTTCGCACGTCGGCGAAACGGCGTATCAATCTGGTCTTCCTGAAGTCGAAGCGACGCTAGGGGCATGGGCCTAACTGAGAGAATACAGGGAAAGACCGACACACGATGCGAGAAGTCAGAAAGGATCGACGGCCTGACCCAGTGTGTAAGTCACGAGCCACTGTGAAGTAGTAAGCTGCAGGTGAGAAGTTGCATCTCGAGAGATACATTACCCCTGACCCTAGCATATCCCACCGTTGTGTCACGTCCTTTTCGATGAATTTCCAGTCTTCTTGGAAGCTGTACTGTTTGAGCGAAGTAAAGAAGGATCGTAGCTAAACTGGTCGGTAACCGTGAAATTTAATCCGACCTTTACCGAGCCCCGCCACGTCACACGGACGGTTCGAATGCACTGCGGGATTCTGCTTGCGACAATCGATACTCAAGGCTGTGCATATGAACATCATTGTGAGAAGACTGCAAGCATAATTCAGTTTATGACTATAAGTTGTATGCAAGCTCCCGCTTACCTATTCCCGAAACAAAGATATTAGCAACCCAAACCAAATACTTAATATACAACAGTCAAGCTCATGCGATACCTGCGAGCCTGCTCTCGTAGGCTAGCCAGGTCTTCGACTCGACGTGGTAGCGAAAGGAAACAGTCAATACATTTGGCGCCCATACCGAAGGCGGGGTGACGCGCGCGTACCGCCGCCGTCATTGCTACCACCACCTGCTCTTGTCCCGCTAATATCCCATCACAAAGGACAGCGGCTTCCCGTCGGATTGGTTTAGGCTTTATGCCACCCAGAATACTGAAGAATCTTCTCGCCAAAGTTAAGGGCAAGGGCGACAAGAATATCACGCGTATACGGAGGAGACGCGCTCTGGCGGACGTCGCATGGAAGGCATATCCGAGGCTGCAGTGCGCTGAGCAAGTCCTTTTACAAGTTGTATTGGCTCATGAACGTGTTTCTAGACTCCTACTTTTTGTGATAGGCTATGTATGGTTGCTTACAATCCCATCTACATTACACGGACAGCGGACGTACATCGACGAGAATGCCTTGCAGCCAGGGCAGGTGCGTGACGGTGCAGTACACTCCGTGCGAATTCCTAAGTGGCTATCAGGTCAATACGAACTGGAATTGGGGCGATGTTCAGCGAGCCGACCGCTACCTTGAACACCTGGAGCTCATGAGAGACCGGAACGCTTCGAGTCACGAGTGAGGTTACAATCCTTGACAAACAAGCCCTTCGTTCATTTAACATAGGGCCTAGAACAGCCACGTTTATCTCGAACGAGTTTCGCAAGCTGGGAATACCTTCCTCTACCCAGGAATACGGGTTCTTGACCACGTCGGGGGTGCGTGGCGCACGCTTCTCCCGTCCGCCTCCGCTAACTTCGATGTCTTTGTGGGCAGGTGGTCAGCGGAACGAACGCATATGCTGTGCTTTCATCACCTCGCGCGTCTGGGACGGAGGCCATGGTCATCAGTGCCTCGAGGCTCAGTCGAACCAGTGAGGGGGACGGGACGCCAAATCTCCGAGGCGTTGCCACCGTCCTGTCCCTTGCTGCGTGTTTCAAAGGTGAGTACAGTCATTGAGAGCATGTGCAGAATGCAAAGTAAAGTTTCATTTCTAGGGTATTCATTGTGGGCCAAAGATCTTGTTTTTGTAATCAGTGATGGCTATCTAGACGGTATGCAGGCCTGGATCAGCTCATACCACGGCGTCACGCAGTCCAGTAAGTCGATGGCCAGCTGCTGGTCTTATGCGTGTCATGTACAGCTCCGACGTATTAATTATGATCGTCCCATGTTTCAGATCTTGTAGCAGAACCATTACAGCTGTCGTCTGGGATTATTTGGACAGCTTTGAACATTGACTACCCTGGGCATTCGTTCTCCCACTTAGGAGTGTTTTTCGGTAAGTGGGTTTTCTGTATTCGGAGATAGGTTGCTCAATCTCCGTCTTGAGAGGGCCTGAATGGGCGATTGCCCAACCAGGACCTCATCAATTCCTTCCAGATAATCTCGCGGCACACAGGAGGCGTCCCTGTGCTCGTTTACGAGCACATTGACCAGAACGAGTTTCCAGACCTCGTACCGGACCTCGTACCTCAGTGGCTGCCAGACGGTATAAGACGTCACGATACAACAAAAGAGTACGCCTACCGGGCCCAGAATGTCATACGCCACGTTGGCTACCAGGCGCGGGGTCGTGCGAGCGGCGTGCACGGGCTATTGCACCAGTACGTCCGTCTTCTAGCGGCCCTTGCACTCCTTACACGCTAACTCGAGATACGCCGTTTCGCAGGTTTCATATCGACGCCATCACCCTGTTCGCCGTTCCCGCGCAAGGTCCTCATGGCTTCCACGCCATCGGTCGGTGAGTCTCGCCCCTGTGCTTTGTGCATGCGGAAGGGCACGCCACTAAATCCGCGGACCTCGCTCGTGCTCACTTCCGCAGAGTCGTCGAGTCGACGCTGCGCACGATGAACAACCTACTAGAACGGCTGCACGCGTCTTTCTTCTTCTATCTACTCGTGGGCAGCACGACGTTCATGAAGATCGGTAGCTTCCTGCCTGCGCCGGTGCTCGTGAGCACTGCAATGCTCATCGGTGGAATGGGCGCGTGGACGCGCGCGCGCTGGACCAGACAAGAACAGGCGGAGTACGCTACAGAGAAGGGGGAAGAGGATCGCGACGTGCCAGCAGAGAGGTGGGTCGAGCGGTCGAGGCCTATCGTGCCCGCCCTGTTCGTCATCGTCTACACCCACGCGCTCGGCATCGTGTTATTCCATCTTTGTACGCGGCCGTGGATCGCCGCGGGTGGAAAGGTAAGTTCGTCTACTTTTCCGGGCATGAGTGCGACTAACGGGCGACAGCTTGCGTCGACTTTGCTGTTCGCCACTGTGTCCGTCGCAGCAGGGGCAGGGTCTCTTCTAGCACGATCGGAGTCATCGAGCACGAAGTCTCCAAACTATATGATCCTCAAAACTTTCAACCTATGCCTCGCCTCAACCGTCATTTCCGTTACGTCCGTGCTGAACTTCTCCCTCGCTGCAACTCTCGCGGTTTTCATGGGTCTACCGTTGACGCTCTCCGTGCCCTCACGATCCGTAACGGCTGGACTGGCGAAATTCGCGTTGTATACACTGTTCGCCCTCGGATGGCTTCTCTTTACACCGGGAGAGATAGCGCAGGCCGTCAAAAACTGGGAAATTCTCCGTGTGTGGTTTGCGCCATTTGTGTGTATAGTGTATACCCCACTGGTATTACAGGCAGGCATCATCTGCCTACTGCGCCCGTAACACCGACACCTCATGTACTTATCTATCTCGAGTATACGACCGTGCATCAGCCTATGTCCATCTGGCTGTCAGCAGGATCTCCAAAGAGGTCGCCCTCGTCGCTGGACGCGTCGTCCCCATCTCCGCCTTCTGACCCGCCTGCATCGTCCGCGCCGCCCTCCATCTCTAGTCGGCGCTTCTCTTTCATCTCGTCCCGCTGGGCAAGTTTCGTGTCGAGATCCGCCTGCAGCTTGCGGAGCGCGTCCTCGAAGCGGCGCTGGGATGTCTCGGTTAGCAGTGCACTGTACGCTAAGTGACAGACTACGACATACTCTGATCAGCGGGTTCGCCGAGCTCGCGATCTCCTGCTTCTTCTTCGCAACGGCCGCATCCAAGTCTCGGATCTCCTCGTTCAGGAGCTTCTTCGCTTGCACCGCCTCGTCGTCCTCGTCGTCCTCCTCATCTTCGTCGCTTTCGTCCTCATCCTCATCTTCATCGTCGTCACCATCACCCTCCTCATCCGCCTCGTCGCCGAGCGCCATGTCGAGCTCCGCGGCCAAGTCCTCGTCGATATCACCCTCTGCCTCCTCGCCCTCGTCTTCCCCGCCCTCCCCCTCGCCTTCGCCGAAGTCTGCACCAGGCGTCATTCCATCTCCCGCCTCCGAGCCGCCAAAACCTGGAGTCTCGGGTTCTATAGCGTTTTCTCGATCAAGGTACTCAGAGTCGGACAGGTCGGGGTTGACATTCTCCAGAACATCTGCGATAGCGAATGAGAAGCTAAATCACGGCTGGTTTGCAAGTTGCTCACCATACCGCACCTCGTCTGCTAGCTCGTCCTCTTCCAGGAGCCGCTCGACTTCTTGCTCCACTGTTTCAATTGTCTGCAGGAGATGTCAGCAACACTCCCAGCAGATAGATGGACCCGCGGACCCGACGGTTTATGCGCTTACGGAACCTTCGTTTCCTGACATGATGCAGAGGAGGCGTAATCCCATGAGGGTAAATGAACTCGTCGATGTTAATATTCTTCTGGTTCACAATGGCATCTTCATTGGGTATCGGCTCTCCAACCAACAGCATCTATAGTGAAAGCAGGAGGTCAGTAACTGCAAGGTTAAGCATGCGAGAAAGTTGCAACCTGACATATGTCGGCTACTTTGAACATCTGCTTGTTGTCGAGCGTCTTCTGCGACTCAGTGATACATGGCAGGTCGACGAGCTTCGCAGAGTACAGCTTGTTGCCAATATGGAACACTGCTCGTCTTGAGTCTACACATCCCAGTCAGAAACTTCAAAGTCCATCTGCGAAAGCACGTCTGGTGCACCTTTGAACTTGAACCACACATCGCCTTCCACGTCCCTATTCTGTACCATCTTCCGCAGGCGGTCACAGTCCTCGCCGGGGGGCATGCGCAAGACGAACTGCTCCTCGAACGCGAGGTCCTCGTCGTCCGAGTCGAGCTCGCGGTCGTACGGGCCCAGGAACGACATGCCCGGCGCGAGCGCCGCGGCCTTGTCGCTCAGCTTCAGCCTCAGCTTCGGCTGCGGCTTGCTCCCGGAGACGCTGCCGCGGTACGTGGATGAGCGCGTGCGCCGCGTGTCCAGCTCGTCGTCCTCCATCTGCGCCGCGTACGACGGCGGTGTGTTCCGCCGCTGGCGCAGCGAAGAGCGGATCCCTGTCGCTGGCGATGCCGTCGCTGCTGCGCGGCTGCTTGGCCCCGCCAGGGGTGTCTGCGGCGTCTGTGAAACGTCGTCGTCGACCACTATAAGGTCGTCATCTTCCATGCCGTGGGCCGTCGGGTGGCGGGGGTGTCGGTGTGGACGGGCGGAGTGCAGAGGCGAGCGGTGTCACGCTCCCGCTGTTCCGCGCCGTTGTCACGCTTAGTCGCTTCCGCTTACACATGTGACACGTGACAGTCCTCCAAAGCCGAGGGGGCGCAGCGAGAATGCATTGTTCTCCGGGTATGGCTACCACTATGACTACATGTACTATGACAACGAACGACAGATGTGACAGCAGAGAGCATAACGATTATGTACAGCGGATCCACGTAATATGAAAACGAGTGAGGGCATAGGGTTCATCTAATGTTCAAGGACAGTCTAGGGTATCGCGCATGAGCGTCGTGAGCAAAGCAAGAACAAAGTCCGAGTGTGAACGATTCCAAGTGGGCAATCATTGCCGGCCATGACCAAGCGACGAGTGCAGGGGCGACGAGTACGAAGGCGGCATGCTCCGTTCGCTAGGGGGCCTAGTACGCGATGATGCCGGCCTGCGGTCGATGCGCCGTGCGAGCTGCTGCACAATGCGGTCGACCATGTCGGAAGGTAGGACAACATTCGAGGGACCAGCGGCGTCCGTGGCACCAGACCGCTCGCGCATGTGGCGGGCGTCTATGAAGTTGGACTGTCAGTGTATGAGCGCGTACGCGAGAAGGGACGACTAACCGAACTGGCCGTCGACCTTCTCAGACGCCACTTTCGCCTCAGGGGGCGGTGCGACTGGGGAACACGTGTCAGCTTCTGACATCCGTGAAATCCCGCGCAAAACACACCTGAAGACCCCGATTGGTGCGACCATGGCGAGTTCCCAGTGCTGCTGCCAGGCGTCGCGCCGCTGGTGGCATCCGCTGACGGAGCTTGCGCGTAGAACGGCGTGGGCCGAAAAGCAGGATCCGAGCGGTATCCGTCTTCTTCCTGACGCAGCCGTTTACGGCGCCTCGATAGCATGACATACAAGGCTACGGCGGGAAGGAGGAGGAGGACCACGGCGATGGCTACGATTCCGACGATAGAGCCAGGGGTCATCGAGGAATGTTGAGTAGCGCCTGACACTGGAAGCCTACCCAAAAGCTTGTCAGTGAACGACCATGCGCTCAGAAGACGAAAGATGCATACCCGGTACTGGTGGAAGCAGATTCGGTAGTGGACAACCCATTGTCGCCAGAATTCGTCGACAACGATGTTAATGTACTCGATGCCGCTAAGGGAGGCGCCGGTGGCGGCGGGTTGACAAGGACCTTGTCGATGACGTGCACGACCCCGTTAGTGGTGAGAATGTCAGACTGGACGATGTTCGCCGTCAAGCCGTCGAGTGTGACTTTGTAGCCCTGGCTGTCGTTGGAGAACGAGTACGCGTACCCGGACGTCGCCGTGTAGGTTATAGAGTGAAAGAGAGAGCTAAAGACAGTGTGACTAGCGATGTGCTTCGATAGTAATTAGCCGAGGGTGCGAAGAGGAAGACGAGGCAGGGTACTGACGTGATTATTGTAGGCGTCTGTCGCGTTTATGCTAGCGAGTGCAGACTGTGCGGCGGCGAAGGCATCGTCCGTAGGCACGAACAAGGTGAAACCTTCCTCTAGACTTGGGGAAATAATGTTTGCCCCTAGACGCAACGCCTCGAACTGGTTCATGGCGTTATTCTTCGTGAGAACATCGTAGGTAGGCGGGAGGCCTATGACCGCGTTCACGACGTTGATGGTGAGGTTATCTGCCCGCAAAACGTCCTGGACTGTTGTCGTAACCAGTTGGTTATAGATCTGGAAGCCGCTCGAGGTGGAGCCGCATGCGATCTGCAGCGGGAGGCCATTCTCCAGCGTCGGAGGGTCGGCATCCAACGTGGTCGGAAGGATAGTGTAGTTGAACCCCGTGCCCAGCTGCGACTGCATCCAATTTCCCGGAAGGAGATGGTAGCTGAGAACCTCGTTCTGAAATACGAGGCTGTCGCTTTGAAAAGTGCCTGAGAAGAAGTTGGCGCCGGGGTTGGTAACTTGAGTGAAAGGGCAAGCCGTCAGTAGGGCGATACGAGCCATCCAGAGCGCTTGACTTACAGGCATCGTTATCTGGAACAAATAAAGTGTAGGATGGATCTGAAGATATTGTTTGGAAGAAACTGCTCGACGGGGTATCTGCACCAATTTCGTGAACCCAGGCTGTGAAATTGGTGTATCCTAGATCGTTCAACCCACTCATGAGAGCACTGAAGTACGTAGCGTTTTGGGCGAGCACGCCAGGCCCCGTCGCCATAAATAATATCAGAGCCCAAATGAGCCTGGGCAAGGAAAACGAAGGCAGGACCATGCTCGCCAGGAGACAGTGGCAGGGGAAAGAGGCATGGTGGCCCGGGTTCTCCGGCTTTGTTATAACGCGTCCAAGGCGCTGAGCAGGATCACCGTTGTTTTTGGCACATCACCTCGAGGACGAGTTGGGCCTGGCAGCGGAGGGCCACCCTGCCATTTCGAGGACAAGGGCGACCCGGGAGGTGCGCTGGCGGGGCACTGGAGATGCGCCGCCATCTCAGGCAACCCTTATAGTTGCCATAGATGGCATTATTGTACGCTCTGTAGGCTCTAAAACGCTAGTTACCACCAGAACCTTGACCTACCTGCGCCTTGAGAGACGATGTGACGGATCAGAAAATGACGACTCGTCTCTGAAGATCGAGTATCACAAGCGAGGAGAAATTAGTTCAGCCAACTCAGAGACAATTGGAGATGAAGAGTGGGACAATTAAGAACTGTTGCGAACGAGACCAAGTATCATAGGGACATGGCATCTGTCCAGTGTCAAAGCGTAACCAGGAGGAGCGAGTTCAACCCCGGGCGTGTCCGGTTCGTGTTTATCCTTGTGGGTGCCGACCCTGCGCCCATATCTGGCAACCGCCATCTGATTTCAGTGATCGCATTAAGCGCCATACCGACGAGGAGGCGCTCCGAGGGAGTGGTCTTGGCACCTACCACCTGAGCAGCCGCAGACGGACCTTTTCACCCAAGTTCCACCGCAGGAGTTTCGTCGGGATCCTCTCAGAGCAACTGCTGCCGTCTGAATAGGCCTGCAAAGGCCGGGGCTACACAGTACGCTCCCGTTTCACACTGCTATGAGCTGCAACCAGTATCCTGGGCCAGGTACTAATCGCTCTCGTGTCTCCCCCATTCCACCACCGCACCCTCGCCCACCATGCTGCCTACGCACCGACAGCCAGATACATACACGTTCGGCGAGGCTCGACGTCTCTGGGGGTCGCGACGTGCGCGACTAGTCTCGTTCGCCTTTGCCGTCTTTTGTATCCTCATCGTCCTCTCCGCTTCTTCCGGACCGAGGCTGCGTTTGTTCCCATCTCCTTGGTCTCCTTCGCAAGATCTCGATGCTGAAGAGACACCATCATCACCTCCGCCCCCATCTCTGCCAGAAAAACCGCCATTGCCACTGCCGCGACCGCTATACTGGCCGAGGCCTCCTACAAACAACCCGCCGCTGGCAGCAGCTCCAACACCTACCAGGGCGTCCAACTTGCCACCTCCAGCGACGGTCATCACAGATCCTCCACCATTCCCCAAGCTACCCACTCCCGAAGACTCTGGCGACCTTGCGTTATGGCGACAAAGGGCTGAACAAGTCAAGGAAGCATTCGTCAGAAGCTATGAGGTCTACGAAGAGTTTGCGTACCCTCACGATGAGCTTCGCCCTGTGTCAGACGGCATCAGAGACAAGTAAGTGACGAATGCGCCGTCAATCCTCGTACAGGTTTCGACTGATCGTTTGTTTACCACAGCTTTAATGGCTGGGGTGCCACTCTCGTAGACGGTTTCGATACCATGATCCTGATGGGGCTCGATGATCTAACTAACCGGTCTATAGCCCATATTGCCAAGCTTACCTTCGTCGAGGTATCCAATTCGCCACACCTGCTACACAAGGTCTGTGCTTACTCTGCGAACAGAACAAGCAGATACAATTCTTCGAGACCGTCATCCGCTATCTTGGAGGTTTACTCTCTGCGTATGCATTAGCTTCGCAACCTCTGTACCTTGCGCGTGCCGATGATCTTGGCCGGGCATTGATACCAATCTTCAATACTACTACTGGCCTCCCGCCGTTCGGTATCAACACGAAGACGTAAGCCTTTCTCGTCTATTTCTATTCTTCACCAGTTAACCGGTCTACAAAGTGGTATTGGTGGCATAGGCTGGCCAGGCAATTCCGCCATCCTGTCCGAAATGGCCAGCTTTCAGATGGAATATCGCTATTTGGCGCATTTGACTGGCAGGCCTGAATATGTCAAACATGTGAGCCTCGCCGGGTGCGTTCGCCTGCTGTCCTTATACTGGATTTCAGGCAGATTTTATTACAGAGTTCCTTCGGCAGCATGAGGAACACGACGGTTTGCTCCCGCTTGCGTACTCCTTAAAAAACGGAGAGGCGCAAGGGAAATTGTATTCTGTGGGAGCTCGCGCAGACAGCGCATACGAGTACCTGCTGAAGCAATGGCTCATGACCGGTCGCACGGAGCCAAAGTTCCTCGATATGTGTGCGTGCTTCCATCGCTTTTCGCGCAGGGTGGACCTTCTGACAGCACCTCCAGACCTCCGTTCCGCCGACGCCATCATCGAGTACATGCTCTACATCTCCCCGCAACGCAAGCTGCTGTACGCGACCGACCTCCAGCGCACGACGCTGCGCCCCATAGGTGACTTCCAACACCTCTCGTGCTTCCTCGCAGGTGTCTTCGCGCTCGGCGCCGCCACCATCCCCAATGTAGATCCGCGACACGCCTGGGCGGCCGAGGGCCTCGCGCACACGTGCTGGATCACGTACGCCGACGCTGCGACAGGCCTCGGCCCCGAGGTCATCATCTTCCGGGGCAACGCGGCGGGGCACCGCTGGGTCGACGAGCTCCGGAGCTGGGACGTCCGCGGCAGGCCCGGGGCGGTGCCGGGCACGAGCGAGGCGACGCCTGTGCGCGGCGAGGAGGACAGGGAGTACGAGATCCACGACAAGCGGTACCTGCTCCGCCCCGAGGTGCGCCGCATCTTTCGATCTGATCCATGTTTGCAGCGCGTGCTGAGACGGGCCTGTGCGGCAGACGATCGAGAGCTTCTACATCCTGTACCGCACGACGGGCGCGGCCAAGTGGCGCGAGCGCGGCTGGGCGGTGTTCGACGCGATCGAGCGGCACACGCGCACGAAGAATGCGTACGCGTCGATCAAGGACGTCAACGCCGTGCCGGCGCCGCGCGACGACGACATGCCGAGCTTCTTCTTCGCCGAGACGTGCGTGACTGGTCCTCTGCGTCCGACGATTTTCCCTGCTGATGCGCCCGTTGATGGGGCTTTCGCAGGCTCAAGTACGCGTATCTGCTCTTCGCGGAAGAAGACAAGGTCCCGCTCGAGCGCTGGACGTTCAACACCGAGGCGCATCCGTTCCCGACCTTCACGTGGTCTGCTTGGGAACAAGAACATCTGGGGATTCGGTAGATGCTATAACCATAATACGGCACACACGAGGACGATGCCAGGGCTTGTACATAAAGAGACCGAAGCGATGCTAGTAGAGTAATCCATGGGCACTAATGCCGACTTTTTCTCCCCCGGATCCTTGACACTCGAGAAAGGCGAACTCGACACTCCAACGGAGGGTCGGATTATCTCACGTTGTGCCCGAGCCCATGGAAACCGCACAAGCACTCGGGTGAGCGAACAGTCGGCGAGCCAGGCACCGTCTCGAATAGCACGCGGCGGGTCGGACACTTGAAGTTCGTTGAACAAAGCTTGACAGCGCGGGAGGCGCACGGGGAGGTGCACGAATCGGAGACGACGGAGCACGTCGCTGGCAACGCGCGGAAGGCCGGCAGGCCTCGGCACGTCACCTGCTGCCTTTTTCGCTCAAAGTGCGGGAACAAAGCGGCGCACGAGACGAGTCGCCGCGGACATGCTGTAACCCCGAGCCCGATACTTTTGCGACGCGGCCGGTGGAGATGGGGAGGCGAGTAAGAGGCGTGGTGAAAAGTACCCGCGCCGAAGAGTCGAGCTTTACGTTGCTGCACAGCTGTTGCTCAGGCTACTGCTCGGCTGAGCTGTATCGCTTGTCTGCAAAGATACCTGTGGGGTCTCGCAAATTGCGTTCCACGTCGAGGCCGACGTGTGCAGCAGTGTTTCACTCAAGCAAATACCGCCTGAGCGGAACGTGTCATCCGTCGTGGTGTACATCGCTGTACATTAAAATTTCCGAGGTGGATGAAGGCTATCACAGACTCTTCAAGCTGCGGGACTGACAGCTGACGATGAATTTAGAAGGGTCGGTTCGTCGCACTAACAGGTGCCGAGCATTGAGCCGATATACAAGCAAGGTGTCGGACCATGACCTGCGGGGAACTTGTTCAGGGTGCTGGAAATGAGATAAGGGTGCTGCCGAGGATGTACTAATTGCGGAAGATTTGGGCGGGTCATTGCTCGGATTTTCGAACCAGCTCATACTGTATGCCTAAACCGCTTTCATTTTCTTCTGGGCGTGATACGAATTTAGTCGATACTGTATTGCTCAGTATATGAATAGTGCTTTGTCAAAAATCATGTAAGGAAATTACAATCTGCTCCTAGAGCTTGTGGCATACGGCCGGGCGTATCCCAGGGCTGGATTCCTCACTAGGTGCAGTACCGCAACCACATGAGCATCGCATCCTGAGTCCTTGTTCTTTTAGACCACCCCTGCGCTGTATTCACCTCTGTGTTCATCCGTCTCCACTCTCTCTGGACCCGCTCAACTGTCACAGATGGCTCAATCACCGTCCCGGGGCTTGCGTGCAGCTACAAGCCGCCACAAATAGTCCTCTCTCCTGCTCCGTGTATTACGAAGTAGCTATTCCGCGTGCTCGGCGTCGAGAGCGCTGGTGACGCGGTCAACGGTGTGCTCTGCTTGTGGGAGTAGGATGCCTTCCTTGTGATGGAATCAGAGCCAGGGGATAAGAGTTCTGGCGCGCGCGACCTGAGGACTCAATCCAGCTGCATGTACCGCAAGACAGAGCTCTAGAGGTCTCATACTGCGAGTTGTCTGGTGCTCTGATCTCAGAGTATGAACTGCTAGGCGTCCGAAGGAGATTGGTAGCTCGAGCATTCACAAACGGAAACTAAAGATCGATACGTTCAATATATCCAATTGAAAGCCCACTCCCCTAGCCCTGGACCGTGCTCAATCGACACGCCATGACATGGGCAATGACATAACCATGAGCAGGAGTGTTCTGTGCAGGTGAGGAAGAAAAACAATCCCAAGGCTGGCAAACGACGTATAGTGAGCTCCACGACAGTTATCTCCATTGGAAGACATACCGGGCGCATTGCCGACGCGTAGCAATATCGCGACACTTGTTTTTTCAAACGTTCCAAGTGTCGATGCGAGCGAGGTGCTTCGGCTGGAGCTAGGAATGAAATTCTGCAACATACCGCCCGAGACATGATTATCACCGCTCGGCAGGTATATGATTCCTGCGCGGTCGTTCAGCCGGGGAAGGGGTAGACGCAAACCCATGCGTAGCGCATATCACCATACCAACTGACGCTTGACACGGAAGATGTGCTCAGCGGATGATAGGAGTATCCAAGAAACATCCTGTTCCTCGATTTGATGCCATGCATACAACAAGAAAAGCTCGCCATCCCCGTGTCACTCGCAGATTTGCAGCCGAGCGCATCGGACAGTAGGTGAGTTGACGTCTTTGCGAATCACCTAAGGTCCTCCAGAATGGGCACTGTTGTTCTACCTACCGACTGCGTGCTCTTGCCCTTTTCGTCAGAACAAGGACGTGAGAACACTCCATCGTCGTAAGCTTTGTTTGCTTACCTGGCAGGCTGCTGCGGGGCTGCGCCAAGTAGTGAACTTTACGCCCAGCCTTTACCGTCCCGAAAATCACCCACGACGTCGTATTCGAGTTTGTTGGTACTTCTGAACATTGTGTAGCAGGCAACTTGGCGCGTTTGCGGGACCGGGAAATTAAATAAAACGTGAGGACGAATCGAGCCCACAGCGCCGCTAGGAGGGGAGGAGGTGAAATTTCCCGGGCGGCCGCCGCCTTCATTCCGCGATCCCGGTGCTCGGCGCACCGCTCGCGGCCAAATGCATACTCCGAGCTTTGTCTTGTTTCTGGACGCCGTCGCAAAATTGAAACGCGGGGACAAAACATGATGCGAGCGGGCTTTACGCGGAAAAACACTCGATTATGTATTCTAGCGTGGCACAGCCTGAATAAGTGCTTCTTCTGAGGTGAGTGGACTGACGACGAGCCTGAACAACCCGGCACACTAACTTACGGAAGAGTGACGTTGATTCCACTAAGGCCTCCAGGCCTCATGGTTTGTTGCGTCTGCGCGAAATTACTGCTCGGCATGATGCAAAGATCATGCCTCTAGCACATACCTTTACTTTCCGTGCTGCCACCAAGTCTTTCTCAGTAAGATCAAACAGTATTGGCCGCGAAAACCTCTCGTCCGGCATTCTGGCATCGTGTTAAATTGTCACGGCTGAATGGCTATCAAGAGCTCCCGTGACCTTATCAGAGAGGAGGCGAAAGTCTGCTTCCGAATGTTCTTCTCCGCAAAGGATCAGGAATCGTTGCAACTGTGAAAATGCAGGTAGAAGGGGGGTGATTGTGGACCAGTTGCGAGACTGGAGATAGAGACGCAGTTTGTCATCGACATGTGATTCAGCGAGGGTAATTTGGCGAACAGACCAAATCTCATTGCTGCTGCCAGAAGGCAGAGACTTGACAACCTGGACTGAGATAACCACAGTATGCTGTAGCCCGATTGATAGGGAACCAACGAATCTGTAAGTATCTTGGAAGCAGCTCATGAGCGCGATGATCTAATAGGGTGACAGATTAAACTCGCCTAGAGTCGCTTCCGTGACATTGAAACATGAGTTTTCGATCTAAGAACGTCCGGATAAGCTCCACAATGGCCCATATTTCCGCAGAGACTGTCGGCTCCGTAGTTCGACGTCAAGTGAACGAATGTCGTGTACTCGCGGCGGCCAGGATCCAAGCAGGCATCGACGTGTTGTCTGTGCAACTACGCAGTGAAATTTTGCGGACATGACTGAAGGTACCGGTACAAATATTATGCGCAGTGTCAGCTGTCGTGAGGGGTTCACCTGACCATGTAACCTCGCCGAGATGGACGACCTGCAAGCAGGTAATATCTCCAATATGCGAAACAGCATTCGGAGCGACGGGAAGTCACAGCGGAGCAGGGATAGAGATTTGATGCACTTCAACGAGCTCTTCAAGGCCACGTTATGCGAGACGCGTCCATGAGGTTTAAAGAGACCGGGTTGGTATGACTGATGAATTGTGCGAGATACTGGTAAGAGCTGCACGAGTGTCATCCAGAGAGGGGGGCTGGGAAAGCAAGTCTCGCTGAGCTCTAGCATAGTGATATGCTCTGCAGGCCAAGCTGATAACGAAGAGCCCAGTATGCCATAGAGTATACGACAGTCCTCCTCGTTCTTCAGACCAAGGGCGGCGAATAGACGGGGACGAAGTTTTAGACACCACGCTTTCAAGATTAGAGAGAGCTTTGAAGAGTAGCTTTGTAGTCGGAGCTTGACAGAAGTTCATAGATGTAGCCGTGCAGTTCGGGAGGGAGCTGCTCCCAACAGTGAATGAACGCATGAGACACCCCAGGCTCATCGCCTGGAGGTTCACTGTAAACGATATAGCCAGACAGTCATTAGATATCACGACTCACCCCACATGACAGGATATGGGTCTCCCGTGAAGAAGGGAACAGGCACCGCCAGAGGATCCGTGTCCGGGTGTGGATGTATTTCCATGGAAGTCGAGCTGAGGTCCGACCGGCAGTCTAAGCAAGATACGTCGTCAGGCATGGGGGGGTACTACCAAACGGAAGCGTGTCAACCAGCAATTTAGTTCCAGTCAATAATGCGGGCAACTCGATAACTACGGCCTTTTCGCCGCGAGTGGTGGCCAGTTTTAGACCGACGCTTTGTGACAATCACGTGCGGTACGTAACGGGAGCGCATGCGTGACGCCGCTGACGCGCTGTTCGACTCCTCGTTGTACGTGGACTGTGCGAATATGGCCGCACACGCAGGCTCGCCAGTGCTTCATATCTGGCCAAAGACGGAGCAGAACCTCTCGCTCGACCCAGCGTGCGTTGCGGCGCTACTCTACCTCCAGCTCGCCATCCCGAACCAGTTCGAGCTCGACTACACTACAGACCCGGACCTTTCGCCGAGCGGTAGGTTGGTATTCTTCGCTTGACTAGCTGAGTGCATCTAACAGTTTTATTGTGTGACAAGGTCAGCTGCCTTATCTGTCCCATGGACTGCACAAAGTTGCCAGCTTTGAGTCCATCGTAAAATATGTTGAACGTTTGGCGTTCGAGGGAAGGCGGCATCTGGATGAGGACCTGGGTCCGCTCGAGAAGGCGCAAAACGCAGCCCGCGTTGCGCACGTCGAGTCAACATTGGGTGATTTTGTGGTACGTACCCGGATTTCTTTCACTTAGCACACGCTCAGATTCGCGTCTTCAGGCGCACGAATACTACTCGCTTAGCGCGAACTGGACGCGCCAGACGCGCCATACCCTTGCCGTAATGCTGCCAATTCCTCAACGATATTACGTACCGGAACGCATACGTCTATCTTGGAAACCACGTCTAGAGGCTGCCGAGCTCTGGGACGTGGTCGGGATTGAGGAGGAGGAGGAGAGGGAACGCCAACGCTTCTCGTTCGGCTTGCAGAAGAAGAGAACAAAAAAGAACCAGGATAAGCTCAAGTTTAAGGAGACGTTTGAGAGAAAGAGGGTGCGTCTCTTTACTAGCTATGTGCGACGATAATTCACTCTCGCGTAGGTCACAGACAAGGCGAAAGCATTCTTGGACATCTACTCTCGAATGCTCGGAGATCGCTCACTCTTTTATAGCAACGACTCGTGAGTTGACACTACCTCGAACAAGTTGTTTCCGGCTGCGAACTAACAATCACTAGTCTTACTACTCTGGATGTCGTCTTCGCCGCACATGTCCACTTACTTGACGCCCACCAACCAGACCCGCTATTCTCAAAGCTAATCGAAGAATCATACCCCAGCCTCTTCGCTCACTGCAATCGCGTCTTCGCTATCGCATTCACGGATGGGTTCCCCTCCGCCGCTACTGGCAACACCAGCTTCTCCTTCCGCTCGATCTTTCCCCACATACCGGCAGCTCGGCCTTATCAGAAGCTCCACTCTCCTGCGTGGGACGCTCAGCAGCGCAAGTTCAGGCTCATACGATGGGGCTTCTTCGGTGGCGTCGGTCTGTTCCTTGCTTCGTACCTCTATTTCGGTGGTTTGGTCGGTGTGTACCTTGAATCGTTCCGGAAGATACGGGCAATGGTGGAGGCTGCGGAAAGGGAGGCAGAGGAGCAGGAAGATGAAGAGGTCGAGGGTGAAGACCAGGATGAAGAAGATGAGGAGGTTGCAATTGAAGAAGAAATGGAGGCAGAGGTGGACAGCGAGGTGTAATGTTGGGTGCTTAGAGCTCACACTTGGTAATATATTACACATGTGCTTATTTTTGCTATTACCATCTATTCAGCCGCTGTATGTTTGGTTGCCATACTAGCGATGCTAAACTAATGCTACGCTTTGGCTGGTCTGCTCAACGTTCAACCGCACTTGGGCGCTTCCACAACCATGATGACGCAACGCGAGATAGCAGTCTCTTGCGAGCTACAGCTTGCACCCTTCCACCAACTGCGCGACGACCATGGCCCCCATACGACTCCGGCACCCAAAGGGTGTCACGACACTCCAAGTTGACCTCGACAGCTTTACCGTGCTCGACCTACAACAGGAGATTTTCGCGGTGACCGAGATACCCCCGTCCCAGCAAGAGCGTGCGTCTGCCTCGATCCCCACTTGCCCCCATGCTCACATCGCGAATCCGCAGTCAAGGCCGGATATCCCCCACACAGCCTCACCCTGATACCGGAGCTCCCGCTCGAAAGCCTCGGGCTCAAGACGGGCGAGCAGCTCATCGTGACGCAGAAGCCGGGTGCGGCACGGACGGCGGCCCCCGCCGCGAACACGGTGTCCAATGCGTCGCCTGCAGCACCTATGACGGGGCTCACGAGGTCGCAACTTTCAGAACCTGTAGTTTTAACGCCCGCCCCGGCGGCCCCGCAGGAGAGTGGGCCGGACTATGTTCCCACTGAGGGAGGGTATCTCGTGCACCGGGTACGTGCGCTAACTGCTGCTTCATGATGCAGCTCGCTAAATGCGGTCATCGTAGATTGTGCCCGACGATAACTCATGCCTTTTCAGCTCTATTGCACTTATCTTCGAGCAGGACATGTCCAAGGCGCCACAGATCCGGAAGAGTGCGTCCTCAAGCTCACGTGTCTGTGTGCAGTGACCGGGTCTAACTGCGCAACTGCTAGTCGTGGCAGAGGAGATCAGGAAAGATATGGACACTTGGAACGAGGCCATCCTTGGGTGCGTCCCTCTCCCTCATTTCCCATTTGTCCCACGTCTCAATCTCGCTCCGCAGACGGCCCCGCGAAGAGTACATCTCGACGATCCTGAAGCCGAACACATGGGGCGGCGCCATCGAGCTCGCGGTGCTCGCAAAGCACTACAACACCGAGGTCGCGTCCGTCGACGTCGAGACGGGGCGCATCGACCGGTTCGCGCCGCCGGCCGAGTCCGACTCGGGCAACCGGTGCGTACTTGTGTACTCGGGCATTCACTACGACGCAGCGACGATCGCGCCGATGCTCGACGTGCCGGACGACTTCCACCAGACGATGGTGCCGCGGGAGCGCGAGGGAGACGACGATGCCGTCCTCCAGGCCGCGAAGAAGCTCGCGGACAAGCTGAGGGTGAAGAAGGCGTATACGAACACGGCGACGTTTGATTTGCGTTGTCAGGTACGCGCTTGTTTGTTATACGCAATTCTTCAAGGTACGGACTCATTTGCTGTGCGGCAGGTATGCAAGACGGGGCTGAAGGGAGAAAAAGAGGCACGGCAGCATGCAAAGGAGACTGGTCATGTAGAGTTCGGAGAATACTAGTTCCCCTCGGATCGGTCCTACCTGGATGTAAGTTATCGCCGATTTTGTGATTATAAGCGCTGAGACGTCACAGGCCTTATAGTATGTCTTATGTTTCGTTGTAGAATTGCCAGTTCATGAGCTCAGTCCACTGTGAATACCTCGTGCACTTCAAGCTAGGCCTCGTTTCTCCTCCAGGTTTATCAGGTTTCTCGGGAACAATAGCGTAGACGACCACTTGCACGCAGTATCAGCAACGGTAGCTGTTCGTTCCCGGCGTGAGCTCCCCACAGATTGACGCCAGACTGAACACGACTGAGCAGCATATCAACTCGGCGCTTTTAGGTGCTCTAGCGCTTCCGGAGTTTACCGATGCTTCTCCTTTGTGGCGTCGAGGACTCTCGGAAGCGTCCCTCCAGCATCCCTCCCTCTTTCCTTCCGAACAGGCCTTGCGCCTCGACATGCATGCCTCCGCGGCTTGGCTTTATGTGCTGTCGACCAAGAATGCAACCATATGTCCAAATTGCGCTTGCTTCATCCCGGCATGGACATTGATCGCTGCTGAGTGAAGGGCGGCGAACTTCTCAGTTGTCAGGGGTGAGAGGGGAAACAGCGTTTCATAAACTTATGCACATCCTTTTCTTGGGCTGATGCAAGGTCGGTGACACTCGATGCTTGAGTCTTACTGAACCCAGTTAGCATATGAAGTGTGTAGCAAGGTCTGAGCTGCGGCCGAAAATGGGCGAGACAATACTGGAATGTCCATGCTGTGGGAGCCTGAAGAAGCGCAGTCGTCTAGACTGCACGCGGCTCGAGAATCCACCGGGAATACATCTCACCAGGGCTGCTATTCCCGTGCAACAGCTGCCGCGATTGCAGGGGTGCGGCGTACTCTGGTATTTCTCACCCTGGCGAGATAACGACGATCCATAAGTGTGTTGGTGGCAATTACAAAATTGCACAGCCCTGCTTGCTCCCAAGGGACCCGCCAAGGAGGCGCAGTGCTTGCAAGTATGCGATATCTGCCGAACAAAGTCTTCTCTTCAAATCCGCAGCAGCTGGACGGATGCTGAAATGTCGCTTTCAGATGTACACCCGCACCGCTGCCTGCGGAGAAGCAGGATGGTTGGTCACGAGCCAAGTGTTGCTGTGCAGAATCTGCGAGAGCGGTCCTCGACGCAGTCGCCCTGATCGAGACCGACGGCTTCTTTTCGTCCATGCATGTGGGATACACGCGCTCGGGAGTGCCACCCGGTGTATACTTCAATTCAGCGAGCTCTAGGTTACTGTATGTTAACGTTATGTCGACCGTCTACTGTGAGCGCGAACGGAGAGGCTAGTCCTCCCTGGGAAGACATGTTTTTTGAGCTGGCTGCGGAAGGGTCACGAGCTGGCGTCCTAAGAATGAGTTAGGAATGGCGGTTGCAGACGTGGAGCACTGCTGTGTGACGCAGCAGAGGCTTGGTAAATAGCGTTCGCTTGTTAGCGGTACCGGCTTTGCACACAAGCCGCCAGCGAAAAATTACAGCCTCCACAAGATACAGCGCTATTTCTGGCAGAGCCACAGCAGGGTATCAGGGTATCACATGTCGGCGGTGTGTTGCAGAATGATAGTATGACGCGGGGTCACGATCATCTATCGCAACGAACGGATTGGTCGATGCAAAACGTCCGATGAAACAGCGAGGGTTGCCTCATTCGAGGGCATTTTTCGCGAGGCGATGTCGTCTTGGCAAGACCCTGACCGTCAGCGACCCCTCTAGGGACGAACTTGCTGCGCTTTGGGAGTCTCGCTTGCGAGGCGCTGCAAAGCGCCTTCGGCCCCCGCCCTCTGCGGACTAGTGAGGCCTCTCAGCTTTTGCTGTGCCTGGACTGTGGACAGGCTGTGGATAGTCGATAGACGACGACGGCTCCTCGAGAACGACGAGACTGAGATGGCTTGACAAAAGGCCCGCCCCGGTTACCTCGCCAATAATGTGTTCGGCAAATTGGAGTGGATGCGAGTGGAGTGGAGAAGATCGAGGTCGCGACGAGGGGACGATGGTGTCCACCGATGCCAGTTGGCGCGCGAGTGCTATGAAATTTCCCACGGTCGATCGTTTAACAACCTGGCGTTGCGCCTCGCCAAGCGAGCTTTCGGTTCCCCCTCCGACCTCCGTCAAACGACGACGACTACGCCAACGATATCAGCCCAGCTGCAGCGCAAGCTGGTAGACTTCCTCAATTCTCTCTACTAGATCTCCCTAATTCTCCACTCCCTCTCACACGATATACCCCACGTCAGTATTACTTACTGGAATCATGTCTGAAATATCAGAGCAGCACAAGGACCCATCCTTTCATTTCGAGGTCGAGCTGCACGACGAGGACGCGTATGAGAAGGAGGAACTCGGGCTGACAGCTGAGGTTGCGCCAGCGGTCCCGTCGATATGTGGCCTGCCCTTGAAATACGTTTCGTACGTCCTGCGTTTCGCGCCGCGGCGATCAACACCGCGGTTCCGAGCTTGAGCTTACCGTTCTTCGACCCAGGCTTGTGACGCTGGCAGTCCAAAACGCCGCCTTAACGCTTATTATGCACTACTCTCGCGTGTCTGCTGCGCCCTCGCGCACGTACTCGGCTGCTGCTGCGGTCCTCATGGTCGAGCTCTTGAAGGGATCCATTTCGCTTGCCGTCGCCTTCACGAGAATCGATTCCTACGCGCCGCAATATCAGCCCCTTGGCTCGCAACCCGCGACTTCGCTCCTGAACCCATGGGTCTGGCTGTCACGCTTCAGGCGTTTGGGCAAGGAGGTGTTCCGTAGTGATTGTTGGAAACTGTCGATACCCGCTATCTTATATGGTGAGTATCATGTCGTCTCTAGTGTCAACTTAGGCTAACAATGCTCTGGCCAGTGATCCAAAATAATTTACAGTTCGTCGCAGTCTCCAACCTGGAAGCCGCAACATTTCAGGTCAGCTACCAGATGAAGATCCTCACGACTGCCGCATTCTCTGTCGTAATGCTTCGCAAGAAGCTCAGCCCCGTCAAATGGCTTGCTCTGCTCTTCCTTGCGATTGGCGTCGGTATCGTGCAGATTCAAAACGGCAGCGGTCACAAGTCTCCCGATGATATGCATCGTGACATGAATGCTTTTAAGGGCTTCATGGCCGTCGCTGCCGCTTGTTTCACCTCCGGACTTGCTGGCGTCTATTTTGAGATGGTTCTCAAGAATTCGCCGGGTGACCTCTGGGTCCGCAACGTACAGCTTTCGCTATTCTCTCTGCTTCCGGCTCTGGTTCCTATCGTCTTCTCCGGATCGTCAAACCCTGTGCCCACCACCGGCTCTGGATGGTTCAGCACGAGTCTGTTCGAGAACTTCGGCGTATGGGCATGGGCTACGGTTCTTACCCAGGTCCTCGGTGGCCTACTCACGGCACTTGTCATCAAGTACGCAGATAACATCCTCAAAGGCTTCGCCACTAGTTTGAGCATCGTTATTTCTTTCCTCGCTTCTGTCGCCCTCTTCCATTTCCAAATTACCGTCTCCTTCATCTTGGGCGCAACCGTTGTCCTTGTCGCTACGTGGATGTACAACCAGCCGGACTCTTCATCCACCAGCGGCAGCGAAGGAACAGCTAGGGAATCTCGCTCGTGGAGCTGGCGCTGGCGTCGCCCGTCCTTCTGCTCTTCGCGCAACGCCTCCGCTGTCGAGCTCACCGGTGGCACCCTCTCTCGCCGCGCATCGACCTCCTCACTCTCGTCTCTCGCGTCCTTCAACGCGACGAGCCCCCGCCCACCGTACCACCACTCACCGTCCAGGTCATTCCCGTCGTCCCCGACCGAGCGGCACTCGCCTGTGCTCGGACAGCTCTCCGGGGCGGCGCCACCGTCCGCGCGAAGGCAGGGCCAGTTCTTCGCCGCGCCGCTGCGCGCGACGAAGGCCTTCGCGAAGCGCTTGACGCTCTTCCGCTCCGCGTCCTTCTCCGGGCGCGCTGCCGAGGCCGAGGCCGGCCTGCCGGAGTACCAGCTGGCGGGCTCGTACCCGTCTTCGCGGCCGGGCAGCGCACTCGGGTCGTACTCTTCCCCGCGCCCACCCAGCTCTCTCGTGAGCTCGGCTCGGCCGTCGCTCGACCGTGCGCAGTGAGCCCCCGGAGCATTTTGCATCGCCCGCCATCTTTTTTCGTCTTCGCACGCTTTTGGCAAAGAGACGCTTAATTGATTAACAATACCAGAGACCTTATCTTTATTACTACTAAAATTTCTCCCGTACAGTCGGTGATCTGTGGACTTCTTTTTTTCGTTTTTGCTTCTGCGTCTTTTTTCTTCGTTTATCCCAGAAGCCTCATGCGTGTGCCTTTCGGGACATTTTTTCTCTCTACAACTACCCGCCCGTCGCTTCGTGTTATCTGTGGTATCGATGCTATCCTCGCATTCGCTTGTTTCCGCTGCACACATCTGTTTGTTTGGGACGCAGTAAATGAAATCAAATAGAAAGTCTCAAGTACTGTGATACCCTTCCGCTTGAATATTTCGTCTTACGAGGGATTGTATGCGTGGAGTATGACAGAAGTTAACCTGGGGAGAATGCTCCACCCCGCGGCCGAATGAGCTGCGCGGGGCACAAACGGAAAAGAAAAGCTGACAAAATAGTACGTACACCAGATGCTTCGAACATGTAGTATACAAGGCGATAACATGTACCAATCCTAGCTTTGCACCGCCCACAGTGTCTCCGAATGATGATACAAATTAACAGAGATAGGATACGTGGATTGTACACACGGGCTGCAGAGTGGTATCACTGTGAATTCGGGGATCTCAAACTTGGCCCAGGAGCACCCTCCAGCTCGGCAGGCCAAATACGTCCGGTAGCTTCTCCCACGCGGCACGCGAGCCAGACGAGAAGCCGAGCTCAAGGTGCTCCAGGCATTTCGCGCAGAACAAATGCGCCTTCCAGCCCGGCCGGTGCTTCGCGAACTGGAACGGGTCGATGAGTCCTTCTGCGTTGACCAGCTTTCCAATTGCGGACGCTCGCCCATCGTCGCACCACGTGCCTCCAGTACAGTCGGCGTTGCTCGGGTTGAACAGGCCCAGGTAGATTTCCTCGCGTGCGATACGGTCGAGGGTCTGTTGCGCGTGCAGGACGGTCTGCTCGAGCGCGGGATGCAACACAACAGGTGCGTTCTTGAAGACGCCTCGCCCAAACGGGGACTCAGCGGAAGCGTGCGCACAGAAGGGTACCAGCGCGAGCAGCGCGGCGGGCAGGAGGTGTGGCGCGGCGTGCTCGGCGGCGTTCACGAGGTGGATGATGGCGCTCTTCTTACTGAAGGGGTTCCGCGCGCCGATCACCCGCCGCCTCTGTTGCCAGTCGAGGAGCGTGGTCGGAAAGTACGGCTCAAGCACAGCCAGGAGCGCGGCGCGTAGCTTGTGTGCGTGGTACTTGTGGCTCATGCGCAGGAGCGTCGCTGCGAGACTTTCGTCGTCGAGGAGCGAGCGCGGGAAGCTGCGAAGCAGGCAAACGTCGTTCGCGGGAATTACATTAGCTTCACTGGTAGCTGCGCTGCGCACGTGCGACTCACTTGGGGTAGTAGAGCGCTAAGAGAAACACGCGAACGTCCTCCTCCGAATCGTGCAATACCACTAATGGACACCCATCGTACGTCTCTTGCTGCTGGTGCGGCGGTAGAGCAAGCATCCCAGAAAAAAGCGAGGATTGTTTGGCTAGGACACCTTTGTACACACGAAACAGTTTAGTCTCGGCTTGGAGAATGATCGTCCCATCTGGAAACCAGAGGTCTTCGCACCGTGCGGTGCACGTTGAGTCTGAGACATCCAACTCCATTCTCTGTGGGGGTGCCTGCTCGAGGAGCATCCTCCAGTTTTGCAGTCCGAATGCTTGAGGCAGCTGATTCCAGGCACTTTGTGTTCCGGATCGCCAGTCGCTTTCCAAAATGCGCAGGCAGTCTGTACAGAATTCTCGCGGCTTCCATGCTGTTTCATGCTTTCGGTGCATGAACGGATTGATGACCCCGTCCTCGCCACACAGCGTGTTTGCCGCATTCATCCTGCCAACGATGCACTGGGTGGACTTTAGTATCCGGTGTGGGCCTCTAGAGCTGAAGAGGCTCGGATATACCTCAAGGCGGGCGATATATCCAATAACTGACCGCCCGCGCAGAACAGCGAGCTCGAGAGACAAGTTCAGCGTGACGGGCTTCCCTTGAAACGTCCCGCTGTAAAACGGCTTATCGCGACCGTCGTAGTAAGGGAAGAGCAAGAGCAGTGCGGCAGGAAGAAGGTGCGGGGCTGCGTGCTGGGCGACATTGGCAAAGGTGATAATGGCACCCTTCCTGGAGAAGGGGTTATGCTCGCCAAACTTGCGTTCTTTGAGCTCCCAGGAGCGGAGTGTGGTCGGAAACCAGGCGGTTAACGCATCCAAAACGGGAGTTCGCAGGTCTTGCACCTCGTATTTGGTGCTCGTCTTTAAGAGGGAAATTAGGAATTTGTCCTTGGTGAGAAAACGGGCAAGGGAGCTACAGTAAATCAAGGTTAAGTCAGAGCCACCGCGCGCATGCGAAGAGGTGCCTATAAAGCTTACTCTCGCTCCTGCAGTGCCAACAGGAGCACTCGCACATCCTCTGCGTCATCAGCAAGCGAAATCAGTGGACAGCCTTCGTATGTCTCCTGTGCAGGTTGAACAGCTGCAAACAAGCTAGCGAAAAGCGGAGACCGTCTGGCTAAAATGGCTTGATACACGCGAAACAGCATGTTCTCCGCTCGAAAGACAACGGTTCCGTCGTCGAACCAAAGATCTTCACACCTCACAAGGTCTTGGTCCATACTGTTAAGGTCGTTTTGCGGTCGGATTCACCTAGAGCGCGACAAGTGAAAAGAAGCTCGCGGATCTGATCAACGTCGAGGTGCAAAGCATCCAGCATAAATCTGATGTCCCACAAAAGTATAGAGGGCGACGGCATGGACCCCGATCACCAATTGTGGGACCCTCCCTCCCCGGGTTTCAGCTTACGGTGCGTTTGCGGGGGAATTAACTGTGCAGTCTAAATGACTGAGAAGCAGAGCTTGCATTGGACTAGAAGAGATCCCATGTGCATAGCTAGCTATCCCGGGACCGCAGTACATTTCAAGGCTGCCCGCCCATGCCCATTATTGAGGATACCTTGTCTTCCTGTCGATAATGACTAAGGCTGGTATATCACTCACGGCGAGCCTATGTAGGCAGGGTCTTTTAGACATGTACATAGACAGTACACCAAGAATACAGGTCCAAATGCATTGACATTGATCATACCGTAAGCGCGAGATGTCGAGGCACCAGGTGACTGAGCATTCCACTTTGAAACACAACTAGGAAGACCAGCCAAAGAGTGAACCGTGTCTCTCTGAGGCATCACAGATGCTAGCCCGCCATGCGCGCGTGTGCGCTCGCGAACCAGCATGTGGTTGAGTGATGCCTGCTGTAGTTGTTAAAAGATGAGAAACAGCATGACCGGCGCTTGGTAGACAGAAGTACGGATGTGTTTAGGGCAGGTAGCGCATATATATGGCGCAGTTATCGCGACCTCGGCATCTGCTACTACATCCATTACATACGTACACCTCTCATTTGTTCTCGTCCTGCATCACAGTGTAGCTCCAAGACGCTTCGATTCGACTCAGGGCCAAACTGCTTCCATGCATCATTAATATTGATCTCTCGCTTTTTCTTGTTCGTCACGAGTGGCAGGTAACGCGCCTTCAAACAAGGAGGATACTGAAGGCACTTTGGGATGATGTGCACTTCCACACATCAGTGTTCATGTATCAGTCTCGCTACATGAGCGGAAAATAGGCATCTACAAGCCCTCGTCGATCCAGGTAGCCTGTAAAGCGAAAATAAGCTGGACGCCGCTTTAGGTGAATTGTGATGAGTTCTGTACTCACCCATACACGATGATGCACTTGCGATCCCGCCTCGTCAATCTCGCGCTCTTCGGCATCCGTGATATCAGGAAGCAAACCAACGGCGACGTACTCCGCGAGCCGCTCCTTCTTCGAGCTCGTTCTGAAGAGGCGGAATTAGTCCGTAGCTTCATGATATAAGCGTGTACCACGTACGTGATGCAGACGATGTTCTTCTTGCGGAGCCAGAGCTGCAGGATCTGAGCTTCAGAAACGAGCTTGCCGGCGTCTTTACGGAGGCGCGCCGCAACTTTCTTCAGGATAGGGTTGACAGGACCATCTGAGAATCGTGAGAGAGGGCTCAGCCCACCGAACGCGGCAACCGCGATGCCGTGTTCCTTGCAATAGTCGAGGACGGGCTGGGAAGCCTTGACAAGGTAGGGATTGTATTCAATCTGTAGGATGTATTCAGCATGGCATATCCCAGCAATTGATAAACAATGTGCACCTGGTTGACCGCAGGGACAACCTTAGCACTCTCGAGAATAACATCCAAGTGCCTGGGCTGGAAGTTCGACACCCCGATGCTCTTCGCGAGGCCCTCCTCCTTGACCTGTTCCATTTCGGCCCAGGTGTCCTTGAGGCTCGGATGGTCAACAGGCATGTGCACGAGGAAGAGGTCGACGTAGTCGAGTCCGAGCTTGCGGAGCGAGTCCACGAGCGAGTCATGCACGTTCGCACCCTCGAGGAGTCTGTCGAGCTTCGTGGTGACGTACAGATCCCCGCGCAACGCTCCCGAGCGCGCAATGCCGCGTCCGACAGAGTCCTCGTTCTGGTACATCTGCGCGGTGTCGATGTGCACGAAGCCGGCGCGGATCGCGTGCTCGACCTGCGCCGCGGCGTCCTGCTGCCAGAGGGCGGTACCGGAGCCGAACGCAAGCCAGGGCAACTGAATGCCGTCGTTGAGTGCAATCCTTAAGGAAGACATTTCTAGTGACTTGTTGAGCAAAGGTGTGGAAGTGTGGTTCTGAGTGCTCACCGCCGTGGTCACTGAGGGCAGTCGTTTTATACCCTGCGCTGGGGGGTATGACGTGGAAATAAGAGCGGCCAAGCCGGACAGCTTTGTAAATGCATTCTGGTGTCCGCAGGCAGAGGTAAGTGCGTGCAAGCCTGGTCAAGCCCGGTGCGGGCGGTGAGCAGGACAAAGAGACGGAGCCGACGGACTTACCGAATTAGTCAGAACGGCGCCTACTCCCGCTTCGGGCGGAGGTGGCGGGCGCGCCGAGCTTCTCCGCCCCGACCTCGCTGCATAGCCGCACTCGCTCGGAGTCTGGGTGTCCACTCAGTGCTAACCGGGTGATATGAATACTATGGGAACACGACGAACACTGCAGAGATCTGTCAAATTGGCTCTTGGACATCGGAACCAAGTGTCAGTGAACGGACAGCGTCCAGCCTGAGCTCGCCTTTGCGTCGGGAACTACAGGTACTTCAGGTAGGTCGGTCAAGCACCTCGAATATTATCACCGAAATCATGGCACCTTGTTAAAAGAAACAGCAGGTCCTCGCTTTGTCCTGCTATTACTATGCCGCCTGGCCGTAAACGGTCTTCGGCTAAACAGGTGAGTACCTGGCACGAACGGCCTCCAAAGCTTCATCTCTTCATCACTTTTATCTTATAAATATGCATGAATGAATAAATTATTCCACGGGACTCTCCTTACTCTGCTGCTCAACGTCCGACAGTGCACTTGCGCTAGCATACACTCAGCGAAACCAAACGAAGCGCAGTTTCGAGCAATGGGCCTATCTGAACCCACAACGCCGGGATAGAGCACCAGAGGTCTTCATGAGCTCGTGCTTGGCGTTGCATATCTAGCCTTCGCGGAATCCACCGCCGGAGGACTTGCAGAGTACATCAACCAACTCAGGGCCTTGCAGGCTCCTTTGTCAGGCATGGTCTAGTCTCTCTTATCGCAGCAATATGTCACTTTTGCTCACTGTTTCTTTACTACAATTACACACATTTTCATTCTACCCTTGCATGCTCTAAACTTCAGACGGCTCAGAGCTTCGGCTCCTGGTCTATCCATTTGGCCTGCAAGTAACAGTGTAATCAGTGTGCACCCTACACAGAGCTATAGGAAAACTCACAAATGCTCTATGGTGCTGTGTCGACCCAACCTCGTCAATCTCTGCAACCTCTTCGTCAGAAATGTCAGGCAGAGCTCGGACGGCAAGGTACTCCTGCAGCCGCTCGAGCTTAGAGGTCGTTCTACAGATTTGGCAGCCTTCTTAGCTGAAAGTGCCGACCGAAGATAGTAAGGCACGTACGTGACACAGACGATGCCCTTCTTGCGAAGCCAGAGCTGCAAAACTTGGCCCTCGGTTACAGCCTTGCCTGACCCCTGCGCGACGCGCGCTGCGATCTTCGTGAGCACGGCGTCCAGGGGTCCACCCGTGGCACGAATCAGGGGTGTCAAGCCTCCAAACGACGAGGTAGTGATGTTGTGCTCCTTGTGCGTGGCAATGAGAGACGCGCCTGCCCGAGACACGTACGGGTGGTACTCGATCTATACACGTGAGCGCGCGAACCTTCAGCCCGAAAGAACACAGGTGAAAACGGGTGCTACGCACTTGGTTCACCGCGGGCGTGATCGTCGCGACCTCGAGGACCTCCCGGAGATATCTCAACGAGAAGTTCGATACGCCGATCGAGCGCGCGAGACCCTCGCGCTGGACGCCCTCCATTTCGCGCCATGTTGCCTTCAGATCCTCGTGTAACGTCGGCATGTGGATCAGGAAGAGGTCGACGTAGTCGGTACGCAGCTTCCGGAGCGAGTCCACGAGCAAGTCGCGCACAGTCTGGCCCTCGGGCACCTTGTTGAGCTTCGTCGTGATGTAGAGCTCCGCGCGGGGCACGCCCGCGGCAGCGATGCCCGCACCGACGTACTCCTCGTTCTTGTACATCTGCGCAGCGTCGATGTGTCGGAAGCCCGCGCGGATTGCGTCCGTCACGGGCTTGCTGGCGTCCTTGCCAAAGAACGCGGTGCCCGAGCCGAATGCGAGCCACGGGATGCTCGTACCGTCATTCAGAGAAATCGCAGGGGTCGACATTGTACGAAAAGTGGTGTGGATAGTGAAACAACGCGTGGGACGAGGGTAATGGAACAGCCTGGGTCGCTGGAGAACGTTATATAGGGGGAGACGGGAAACCGCGCCCCGCCGGCCTCCGTGCGACATACCTGCTTGCTAACAGATAACATTGCGCAACGCGCGATCGATAATGGGTTCGGTACGGGGAAAACAAGCAGGCAGCCGACTACCGGAGCATCTTGCTCAGCAATGTTCCAGCGTTACCACCTGGCGCCCCCCCAGCGTAGGTGATGTTTCTATTTATACAGAATGCATGCGGAACCTCTCTCCACATTGATCAACGAATCGGATGACTTGATTCGACTATCGTCGTCGCTTCCTGCACCGCGTGGTCGCGAGCAGAGCTACATGGCCATGTATGACGACACATTGAGGCAAGATTGGCTTGGCCCGAAGAAAATCACAGAATAATTCCTGGTTTGGAAAGTATCGACGCGCGATCGCAGATATGTGTGGGTCCCTGTGGACGAGTGCCATCATCGTGCATGCTTTATTCTCCCCTGTGCTCATGAAGTAAGTCCTGAATATATACTTGTGATGAAGGGTTCAAAGAACCAGGGGAATGGCTAGCACTAAGGTGTACGCGTGTACGAGTCATGCTGAAAGAAAGGAATCCATATGATTGATCAGCTTGCGGACACTACCAGCACCACGCAGTGCTAGCTCAGTTGATGATCCACGCGTGAACGGAGACAACTGACAACTCACCAGTTACAAATCGTAGTGTAAGTAAAACTAACGCACCTTACGAACGCGGCGCGGCGGAAACAAACCGTGTGAGTATCGGGATTCTTGTCCGAAAGTCAGGCGTTGCGTGCGGCTAGCCTCGAACACGGGGCTAATTAGTAAATATTTTTAGCTGACAGAGGTACGAAAATGACCGTGAGAAAAGAAGCTAAAAAGCCTGAACACTTTCTGGCGAAAATATATGGTAGGTAAAATTTGAAAATAAGAGTAAAACAAAATCGCCTTTTTTAGTCAATCTTGTTGTAAAAAGTTGGTCAGCTCGCAGCAAAAAGAGGTGCAAATACCGCTGGGCTATCTGTATATAGAGTAATACACATGGAGAAAGAAATGATGATGATTTCGCCCTAAGGGTATTTCGACTCTTCTAATACCTCAAAAGGTGTAAAAGCAGTGTATCTTTTTGTACCACTAAAACGATAAACATCCTCATGGGGGAATAGCTTAAGTGTATTCATGAAACAAACTGAATGTGCTTTTGCACCTCTATCCGCGCAAAATAGTATAAAATTAGCCCCGTGGAAATTGCCGAAAATAGTAACTTCCGTCATCAATTGCATTGGTCGCCACAAAGGGCTCCACAGACCCGGCGCGGCTGCTGCATACGATGCCTCTTGCTCTTACAGAGTCGGCCCGCTGTACATGGAGTGCCGCCGTGGCGTAAGTGATGTAAGCACTTTCTCATTCTCGAGCCGTGATCATCGGCAAGTGGAGGACCAAAATCTAAGCCAACGATTTTTAGACGGCGGTGCCGAGCCGTCGACCAGACTGCCGAAACCGCCTCCGACCCCACATACGATTTTTTGCACAGCTCGACCTCGACGACTCTACCATCAGCTCACCCTAATCCACAATGCTGGACAACCATTCATTCCAGCGGACCCTTTCCCATGTATTTTCCCACGTAATCCTTTCCAGATTGCTCGTCTGTGACAACCAATCAACCCACTCTGACCACACCTCCAGCGGCAGCCGGCGTTTGGTACGCCGATTCAGATGCTTCCAGTGCAGTCGCGTGCCGACTGTCGAGCCGGGTATGCCGGGAGATGACAGGGATACAATGTATATCCTCACTAACCGGCACGGCGCTGCATAGTCCCAATTGCAATAAAATTGCTCGATATTTTGCTCAAGCGTGGTGCTACTGACACTATCACAGGGCCGTGCAAAAATCACCTGCAGGGCTAAACAAACGACGGAGGGATAGGCAACTGATTAAAAGCGCCGGATGACACTGGGAGGATGACATTAGGCGCCCTCTGCCGACTCCAATCCAGCACCCATCCCACCCTCGGACATATATACAGGCATTAGGCCATATGACAACCCCAACTCGCTCTGTGAAGGCCTCGCCGCCTTCTTCACGATCTTCACGACAAGTCTTACGACGTACACATGGCGCTCTCTCCAGAAGAACACGCTCACGGACAGTCGAGCGAGCCGCTCTCCGGGACGCCCACCCTACACAATGAACCAATAGATGTCCCACTCAGGGAGAAGTCAGCCACGGACCCGAACCCCGAGACTGCACCAGATAGAGGCGTTCGAGAGGAGTATCCAGAAGGCGAAACCGCCTCGGGGGACACGCACATCTCCACCAGCGATACGATAGTGGTCGACTGGAATGGACCTGATGATCCAGAGAACCCGAAAAAGTGAGTACTTGTTGCATATATTCCCCTTCATGGCCTTACAGCCTTTCAATACACAGTTGGACATTCAAGCGCAAATGGGCAGCAACCGCCATCATATCTGCGTTCACCTTCATCAGTCCTGTATCGTCCTCCATGGTTGCACCCGCCAGCGACCAGCTAGCGGCGGACTTGGGCATCACTAGCGACGTCTTGATAGCACTCACCACATCAGTCTTCGTCCTTGCATACGGTATGCATCATATATTGCCGTGTTCATAACACCCACTCATCCGCGTATAATCAGCTTTTGGACCACTCTTCTTGGGCCCTCTGAGCGAAATCTTTGGCCGCTCGCGCGTGCTTCAGCTAGCAAACCTGTGGTACCTCGGTGCGTAAATTTCGCTACTCCCTCCTTTCGGCCGAGGAACTGACGCCCTATCGCAGCATGGAACCTGGGTTGTGGCTTTGCTCAAAATAAAAGCCAGTTAATTGCCTTCCGGTTCCTCGCCGGCCTCGGCGGAAGTGCACCCCTGTCTATCGGTGGCGGTGTGCTCGGCGATTGCTGGCGACCGGAGGAACGTGGTCAAGCTGTCGCACTTTATTCGCTTGCACCGCTGCTGGGCCCTGTCGTCGGCCCTGTCGCGGGCGCGTGGGTCGCGCAGAAGTCAACCTGGCGCTGGGTGGTAAGCATCCCAAACCCGTTTGCTGACGAAAGGATGTGCTGACGACTGGTGTGCGCAGTTCTGGTCAACAAGTATTGTTGACGCTTTCATCCAGGTTCTCGGAGTCCTCTTCCTCCAGGAAACGTTCGCGCCTATACTACTAGAGCGCAAGGCAAGCAAGATGCGCCAGGAGATGACCGGCGATCCCGAGAAGGGCGGCGCCAGGGAAATACGGACGGTCTACGATAACACCGACCGCCATTGGCGGGAGATCGTCTCCAAGGCCCTCGTCCGTCCCTTTAAGCTATTCTATCGTGAGCCGATCGTGCAGCTTCTCGGTGTCTATATGGCTTTCATTTATGGCCTGCTATACTGTAAGTTATGTCTAGCCGCGCTCAGTGCATGATTGCTAACGAGGATTCAGTGTTCCTCACAACCATCCCTTCGATCTTCGAGGGTATCTACCACCAGCGTGTCGGCGTTGCCGGCCTCCACTACATCGCACTGGGTGTCGGTTTGACTGGTGCATCACAAATAAACGCCCTCTTCATGGACAAGATCTATGTGTACTTCACCAAGAAGAACGGCGGTGGCGGCAGACCAGAGTACCGCCTACGTGAGTCTTGCTTTTTTCCACTCCTGTGCAGTAGCTGAACGAAAATCAATTGCAGCACCAATGCTACCCGGCACGATCTGTCTTCCCATTGGACTCTTCCTGACCGGCTGGACCGCCCGCGCCGACATACACTGGATCGTGCCGGACATCGGCATCGCGTTCGTTGGTGCGGGCACAATATTGAACTTCCAGGCGATCCAGACGTACGTCATCGATGCGTTCACGCTCCATGCCGCGTCCGCACTCGCGGCAGTCACGTTCTTGCGTTCGTGCGCCGGCTTCGGCTTCCCCCTCTTTGCGCCCACGATGTACAACGCGCTCGGGTATGGCAAAGGCAACTCCATCCTTGGCGCCATCGCCATCGTCGTCGGATGCCCCGCGCCATGGGTACTCTGGACGTACGGCCAGCGTATCCGCCAGGCGAGCAAGTACGCGCGGTCGTGATCTAGTTTTGCCGCCGTTGCTCGTTAATTTCTGGACGTTTGCACATCCTGCGATGCACGCTCACATCTACGGCCTTCATGATTATACGAATGCTCTAGATACAGCAAAGTAGAGTGACATTCCCACATTAAAGATTCCCCCCACCATTTAGCATACGCATAGCTGTGTTCGCACGCGTAGCAACTATCTGTCATGTAGCATTAGTAGATTAATGTAATCCTGGCTCTCATACGTCGTCGATGTACTTGCACTTCACAGCGCGAGTCAGAGACAGACCAGTTCAAGTGCTGAAGGTGCTCACGAAAAAACGATGGTGAGCGGTTGCACCGACCGAATCTATGCGCTCCTCGTCCACATCTGATAGTGCAGGGAGGCTTGCAACAGCGAGATACTCTTTCAGACGCTCTGGCTGTGACGTTGTCCTGTAGCTCGACCATTAGCGGGCAGAGTCACAGCAGCCGCGAGCTCGCGCACGTAGTGTACGGCACACCTTTCTTCTTCATCCAGAGCTGCAGTACCTGGGCCGGCGTGATGGGCTGCCCTGCCCCCCGGCTAAGACGTTCTGCGATTTCGTCCAGGACTGGGGCTAGCGGTCCTTCCTTCACGCGGATGAGCGGTGTGAGCCCTCCGTACGACGTAGGCAGGATACCGCGCTCCCGCATGTACGCGATAACGGGCTGGCTCGCTTTGTAGACGTATGGGTGGAACTCAATCTGGAATGCACTCAATAAAACACTCGGTATCTTTTGCCAAGCATCCATTTATCGAACCTGGTTGATAACCGGAACACTCGCACCCTCCTCGAGGATCTCCTCCAAGTCCTTGACGCGAAAATTCGACACGCCGATGCTCCTCGCGAGCCCGAGCGCCCTGCACTCCTCCATTTCGCGCCACACGCCGCGCAGGTCCGCGTGGCGCGCGGGCTCGTGCACGAGGAAAAGGTCTACGTACTCCAAGTGCATCTCGCGGAGGGACGCGCGCAGCGTGTCCGCCGCGGTTGCGCCGGGCGGGACCGCGAGGAGCTTCGTCGTGATGTACAGAGCCGCACGCGGTACGCCGTCCTCTGCCACAGCGGACGCGACCCCGCGGCCGACGGATGCCTCGTTCATGTACATCTGCGCGCAGTCGATGTGGCGGAAGCCCGCATGGATCGCGGTCGAGACAGGTGCGCTCGCGTCAGTGCCGCGCAGCGCGGTGCCCGAGCCGTAGGCGGGCCAGGGGAAGAGCGTGCCGTCGTTCAGTGGGACTGGGGGTTCCATGAGGAGTTGGGAGTGAGTATGAAGGGTGTGCAGTGGGGGTCTTATAGTGTTGTGAGTCTAACGGAGCCCCGCCGGTGTCGTATGTCTATTCCTGCGGGGCTGGCACGGCGTCGCGTGCTTTTTCCATCGTGTCAGACGATTAAACGTCCAGATAGACACACAGAACTGACCTGCAGGCGTGATATTCGTAGACAACTCATTCTCCTCTGTCAGTGTGGGTTCAGCAGAGTGCAGTTACCAGCGTGGCGTCGAGGTTGCGGACAGGACCTCATCGACCTGCTTACCACTTACTTACCGTGGGAACCGGTCCGATTACTCCGATAAGTAAGTAAATTCTAGAGAAGACGCGTTCGAGCCAATCGTCTCTCTCTACTTCCCTGCTTCTTACTTTCATGCTCAGAGCTGTCGCCCCTGCTGCAAAAGCTTCCAGAGGCTTTATACCCGCTGTCACATTTGGCAAACACCGCATGCCCAAGGCCGTGAGCCCACCTGTCTCCGCGCTGTTCGCGGTCGCCAAGCCGTCGGGACCGACGTCTATGGCCGTGGTGAACGACATCAAGAAGCTCGTTACGCGGTCGCGCCTGTTCGTGAAGGAAGACGAGCTCAAAAAGGCGGAGAAACAGCGGCCAAAGAAGGGCAAGAGCGCAAAGTACGCGCGGGAGGCGGTTAAGATAGGGCAGGGAGGCACGCTGGATCCCCTCGCGGATGGAGTACTCGGTATTTGAATCGCTCAACGTCTGGTGCATCGGTTATAAGTCATTCTGCCGAACAGTTATTGGCGTAGGCAAAGGAACGAAGAGGCTTTCTGAGTTTTTGGACTGTGTCAAGGTGCGCGCTGCCTGTTCGCTTTCTCCGCCATCCCGACGCTCATGTTCGCGCAAGGAATACCGCACCGCTGCACTTCTGGGGTGCGAGACGGATTCTTTCGATAGTGAGGGTGCTGTTGTACGCGTCGCGTCATGGAAACACGTCACACGAGAAAAGGTGGAGGAAGCTCTACCTAAATTTAGAGGGGACATCCAACAGAAGCCGCCAATGTGTGTGTTTTCCGCCCCCAATTTGCGTCTACTCATGCAGCAACTCCCGACGGGCAGATTCTCTGCCCTCAAAATGGATGGCAAGCACCTATATGACTATGCACGCCAAGGCATCCCGCTCCCACGGCCAATCGAGGCACGACCCGTCACCGTGCACGGGCTCGACATCCTCGAGTGGAAGGGTAGCGACCACAGCTTCCGGTACCCAGAGACAAAGTTCACAGACGAGCAGAAGAGCGCGCTCGAGAAAGCGATGCACGGCATCGAGGACCAGGTCATCGTCAAAGATGAACCTGAGGCCGCTGCTTCGGAGGACACACCATCGACAGCGTTCGTACTGCAGATGCGTGTGTCCGGCGGAACGTACGTACGTTCCATCGTGCACGATCTCGGACATGCGGTTGGCTCCGCGGCACACGTCGTGACCCTCACGCGCTCGCGGCAGGGACGCTTTGCCCTCGAGCCGAGCGAAGAGGACAACACCCTTGGGTGCGTGCCATGGGAGATCTTTAAAAAAGCCGTGGAGGACCCTGGAGAATCCGACGCGGACGGTTGGCACGAGTGGGAACGGGCTGTCATGGACAAGATGGAGGTTCTCGAGTGAAAGCTAGTTAGACTACGTGTGTGAGTGCGTCTGATATGTTGCCGCCGATGACTCTACCTAGGTACGTGTGTTCTCGGAGCATCATGCCAGTGATTGACAGCGGGTTACACACGCAGATAGTAACTTGTATTGTAGAAGAGGCAGTATCCGTTGTTCGCAGCCTTAGGGTGATATCATACGCTCAGAATGGCTCATAAATTCCGTCTTCCGAGCCGTCGGTCGCCCGTCGCATCCACAGTTCCTTTGCCGTCGTTTCAGCCTTCGCTCGGCACCGCCCTGCTCGTGCTGTAAAACTGCCGGACCGTGCACATCGCTAGCCAAACCCAATGATACCTTGCGACAAGTCTCTGAACAGCTGCCCTCTCTAGGAATCATCCAGGAAACAAGATTGACACGGCCTCCTATCTTGTGCTGCAACAGATATCAGCTGCGCCTCGAAGCCCGGACCGGTGCAGGCGGGCGATACGATATAACTCCAAAGTCTGTTTGGCCATCCGCCTTCCACATACTAGCATCGGTTACACCCGCTCGTCGCAATGGCACCGCGTCTATTGAGCCCAGGGATCTACTGTCCCATCCCGTCGTTCTTCCTGCCAGAGACCGAGGACCTTGGTGCGTGCCACCCGTTTACCACATTCCTGCTTCACTAACCACTCGCAGACCTGCCGTCATTCGAGAAACACGTTTTGCGGGTCGCACAGGCGGGCGTCGGGCCGCTGCTCGCGGGCTCGAACGGCGAGGCGATCCACCTCGCGCACGACGAGCGCACTACGCTTGTACGCACTGCACGCCGCGTGCTCGATGGCAACGGCCTCGCAGATGTCCCGCTCATCGTGGGCACCGGCGCAGGCAGCACGCGCGAGACGGTGCAGCTGTGCCGTGCCGCGGCGGACGCGGGCGCGGACTATGCGATCGTCATCACCCCCGGATACTTTGCGGGCGCGATTGCGCAGGACAGGGAGGCCCTCAAGGCGTTCTATAGAGAGGTGGCGAAGAAGAGTCCTGTCCCGATTCTGTTGTATAACTGTGAGTGTGCGACGGCTGGGGAATGTGATGATGCGCTGAGCGTGTCTCGTCAGACCCGGGAGCTAGCGGGGGCATAGACTTGGATTCAGAGCTCATCACAGAGCTGGCGTCGGAGGATACGAACATTGTTGGGGTCAAGCTCACGTATGTGTCGTGCTTATGGTCGTTTTATCTGCGTTATTGACTTGTGGACAGATGCGGTAATGTTGGGAAGCTGACGAGGATCTGCACAACTGTATCGGACCAGTCGTACACGTCCAAGTATCCGCGTAGGACTGCCACACAAGAGTTTCTTGTTCTCGGGGGATATACGGACTTTGTCCTGCCGTCGATATACGCGAGAGGACACGGTGCAATAACCGGGCTGGCAAACGTCGCACCTGTGCGTTCTGTAGTCTGTTAACACGCATGAGCTAAGCTGTCTTTGACTGTAGCACTCGATCAAGAAGCTCTACGACCTCTCTGTGGAAAGCCTCGCGAACCCGTCCGTTCTCCCAGAAGCGCAGCGACTCCAGGGCATCATCGCACGAGGAGACTTCACGCTCGCCAACTCTGGTGTGTCTGGTACCAAGGCGGTACTGCAGAGACTCTACGGGTACGGAGGGTGCCCTAGACGGCCACTGCCACCAATTTCATCAGAGGCTGCGGAGGCGGTGTGGCACCATCCACACATCAAAGAACTTGTTGCGCTTGAGAGGCAGATCAGCGGCCAGTGAGGATGTGGGTGACTGTCGCGGACTCGAGTTCTCGAAGGGCTATATGCGTCTCGTTCCGTGCACTTTTGTACTTGTATATGTAGCATACACCCAGCAAACGTCGGCGAAAGCTAGGCGAATGTCGGCAACTTGGACCAGAAATGGTCGCTTACCCCGGACATAGCGGTGCCTGAGGTGCGGGGAATCTAGGGGAGGACATCAAAGTGACCGCGGGCACATGCCCCTCGCTTGTCGACAATTCAGATGCATTTTGTTCCCGCATGGTGGCAGCTGCACATGTGGCAAGCGTTTGATCAGCGCGGCCTCGGATTTCTAGCGAGCCGGCTCTCCCGTCCTCGACGTTTTCCTCTGACCGTATCGACCATCTACCCTCACGTCGGGGCGTGCAGCGATGCTCGACCTCACCCTCGCACGCTCGTGCCCGCCAGGGCTTCTGAGTGTGCTGCACAGACTGCCTGCGAGGAGATATGCGAAGCATGGTGCGTATCTGCTCGCTTTGCACAACAGTGGCGATGAATGACGACCCCGGCGGCCACGCCTCGTAGTGTCGCTCGCAACTCGCAGTCTACACACCTCCGCGTCCCGATGGAACGAACAGAGCAACGGCGCTCCTGCTAAACCAGGGCCAATCGGTGCGTGTTGATTACCACAGGTGATCAGAGGCCATTGTTGACATGGGCTCTATCAGGCATACCCTACTCATCCTTGACGGTCGGAGTACCCCTAGAGATATACCCCAATGAACACCGCGTCGCACTCACACCGCAGAACACGGCCTTGCTCCTCAAGAAGGGTTTTGCGAGAGTGCTCGTAGAGAAGACGGCCGGCGCGCAGGCGCAATTCCTAGACGAGCAATATAAGGCCGCGGGCGCGATCCTGGTCGACAGAGATGAGCTCTTTGGCTCGACGGATATCATGCTCAAGGTCCGGCCCCCGGTCTTTGGCCAGGAGGCGGAGAAAGTCAAGGAGGGTTCGACGGTCATCTCATTCCTCTACGCGAACCAGAACAAAGAGATCGTGGAGGCGCTGCAAGCTAGGAAGACGAACGCCTTTGCGATGGAGATGATTCCTCGGATATCGCGTGCGCAGGTCTTCGACGCCCTCAGGTACGTGGCAGGGTTGCACACATGAGATAGGCACGCTCACATGGATCGTCTAGTTCAATGGCCAATATTGCGGGATACAAGGCTGTGCTCGAGGCGGCCAATCACTTTGGACGTTTCCTTACCGGTCAGGTCACGGCAGCAGGGTCAGTAGAGCTATCGCTTCTCTTTATGCTGCATCTGAACATGACTACAGCAAAATCCCCCCGTGCAAAGTCATGGTCATCGGTGCTGGTGTCGCTGGTCTCAGTGCAATCGCAACTGTATGTCCTCACCAGCCACGAAACTCGCTTTCAAGCTGATCGTATGCACGCTAGGCTCGTCGCATGGGTGCCATTGTCCGCGGGTTCGATACTCGTTCAGCTGCACGCGAACAGGTCCAGTCACTCGGTGCAGAGTTTCTCGAGGTTACCATCAAGGAGTCCGGTGACGGTGCCGGCGGATACGCCAAGGAGATGTCCCCGGAGTTCATCGAGGCTGAAATGGCTCTGTTCATGGAACAGGCTAAGGATGTCGACATCATCGTCACTACGGTGCGCGCGATGATTATATGTGTAGCTGACGGTGAGCTCATATAGGCACATATAGGCACTCATTCCTGGTAAACCGGCCCCCAAGCTCATCACTGAAGAAGTAATGTTATCATCGCATTACTTGTGCGCTAACCAATTGCTCATCGCACTGTCTCGCAGATGGTTTCTGCCATGAAGCAAGGCTCGGTCATTGTTGACTTGGCTGCAGAGACAGGCGGCAACTGTGCTGTCACGAAACCAGGCGAAGCATCTGTCTACAAGGGCGTTACGATCATTGGTACGTCTTCAGGTCATCCAAAGACGCGTCTTGTATCTCATTTCGCTCGTGAACAGGCTACACCGATCTCCCGTCCCGTCTACCAACTCAGTCTTCGACGCTATACTCGAATAACATCACCAAATTCTTGCTCTCTATCAGCCCAGGTGACGGCCGCTTCGCGATCAACCTCGACGACGAGGTCGTCCGGGGCTCCATCGTTCTGCACGACGGTGTGCGCCTGCCGCCCGCTCCGCGCCCGGTGCCCCCGCCCGTTGTCGCGCCGCCGACGCAGCCGAAGGAGGCCGAAGTCACCGCGATCACGCCCTGGGAGAAGGCTAAGCGCGAGGTCGCGCTCATTACCGTGGGCATGGGCTCCACCGTCGCGCTCGGGAAACTCGCGGGCACCGCGTTCATGTCCAACTTCTTCACCTTCGGCCTTGCTGGCCTCATTGGCTACCGCGTCGTGTGGGGCGTCGCGCCTGCGCTGCACTCGCCGCTCATGTCCGTGACGAACGCGATTTCTGGTGCGTCTCTTGATGGTTAAGAAGTGAGATGCACGCTGATGATACGCGTGTAGGTATGGTCGGCATTGGTGGTCTGTACGTTATGGGCGGAGGCTACATGCCGGAGACTATTCCCCAGGTGCTTGGTGCGGCTTCTGTGCTTCTTGCGAGTGTGAACGTCGCGGGAGGTTTCGTCATCACTAAGCGGATGCTGGACATGTTCAAGCGTACGTCTTGTACTTGCGCCTTTGTGTAGTGTACTGACATTCTGTTCTGTTTAGGTGCTACTGACCCACCAGAGTACAGCTGGTTGTACACGATCCCTGCTGTCGTTTTTACTGGTGGTTTCCTTACCGCTGCCAGCACCGGCATGGCCGGCCTCGTCCAGGCTGGCTATCTGACCAGCAGCGTCCTCTGTATTGGTAAATATATTGTCCTGACAAGCCCTACTGCATCTGATGAACTGTACTGGTAGCCTCGCTCTCTGGTTTGGCCTCCCAAGCAACCGCTCGCCAAGGTAACATCCTAGGCATTCTCGGCGTCAGTGAGTACCGACGACACTTCTCATCTATTGAGCATATACTCATTGTGCATGCCAGTCTCTGGTATACTTGCGTCCCTCGCCGCCGTCGGCTTTGAACCCGAGGTCCTTATCCAGTTCGCCGCCGTCGCAGCGATGGGTGGAGGCATCGGTACTCTCATTGGTCGTCGTATCACAGCAATTGAGCTCCCGCAAATGGTCGCAGCACTTCACTCTGTGGTCGGTCTCGCTGCAGTGCTCACGAGTATCGCGAGTGTCATGGCAGATGCCGGCCACGCTGATACGCTGCACCTCGTCACTGCCTATCTTGGTGTCCTCATTGGTGCGCCGCTTCCTTTTCACGCAATTCTTCGTGTATTGATACTGTGATCAGGTGGCGTGACCTTCACCGGCTCCATTGTTGCCTTCTTCAAGCTCGCAGGCAAGATGTCGTCGCGGCCACTGGCGCTGCCCGGACGGCACATCATCAACAGCTCACTCCTCGGCGCGAACCTGCTTACTATGGGCGCGTTTATCAAATTTGCGCCTGCTGTGCCTCTCGTGGCTGCCGCCTACCTCGGTGCGAACGCCGCGCTCAGCTTCATCAAGGGATTTACAACAACTGCTGCGATCGGAGGCGCTGATATGCGTGAGTGCTTAGGTCCTTTAGGGTTTGGATAGGACTTATGTGCTGTACAGCGGTGGTTATTACGGTGCTGAACGCGTACTCCGGCTTTGCGCTTGTTGCGGAGGGATTCATGCTGGACAACCCTCTCTTGACAACGATCGGTGCTCTCATCGGCGTCAGCGGTTCTATTCTGTCCTATATTATGGCAAGTGCTTGATACAACCTGCAAGCGAGTTGCATGCTGACATACCTTCACCAGTGCGTCGCAATGAACCGCACGCTGACGAACGTGCTTTTTGGTGGCATCGGCTCGAACGTCGTGCAGAGTGACTACAAGATCGAGGGCAGCATCACGAAGACATCCGTGGACGAGACCGTCGACGCGCTGAGCAACGCTGACAATGTGATTCTCGTCGTCGGGTACGGCATGGCCGTTGCGAAGGCACAGCACGCTATCGCGGAGATTGTGAGCGTCCTGCGCGCGCGTGGCGCAAATGTGCGCTTCGCGATTCACCCCGTCGCGGGACGCATGCCCGGGCAATGCAATGTGCTCCTCGCAGAGGCCTCAGTACCATACGACAGTATGCCTTTCGCGTTACTACTTTGCTGGTATGGATTATGCTGACGCAGGAACGTACAGTTGTGCTTGAGATGGACGAGATCAACGACGACTTCCAGGAAACAGACGTCACGCTCGTCATTGGCGCCAACGACACCGTGAACCCGATCTCGCTCGAGCCGGGCTCTGCTATCGCTGGCATGCCGGTTTTGCACGCATGGAAGAGCAAGCAGGTTATCGTCATGAAGCGCGGCATGTCCAGTGGTTACGGTGCGTATCTGCTGGAGTGCATGTTATGTAGGTCGACGCTTACCGTGTTTTGCGCAGCGGATGTACCGAACCCAATGTTCTACATGCCGGGAACGAAAATGCTGTTTGGTGACGCGAAGGACACTTGCGAAGGTTAGCATTTGTGCTCCCCTTCTGACTCGATACTTTGCTTACCTTCTTGCAGCTATCAAGCAAAATCTCGAAGCGCGAGGGAACTAATTCCCGCAGGAGTGTTCAACGAGGCACCTCTGACTCTAGAAGGGCTCAACGCTCTCTTGGATGGGGTGCCCTCCGTGTGTAAAATTACTTGTGCTGTGGACATTTGTTGCTGTTGTGTGTTGTACATTGCTGCAATCTACCAGACCATTGAATATATCTGGGTTTTACACCGCCTGATCAGTGGCGTGCGAAATGCGGAATGAGACGCGTTCGGACGCGACGCGTAGTATATTAGACGCTTGGTTCATGCTCGCTCTCTTCCGTCGCGTACACACAGCAGCACGTACATCCTTCGCGCCATTGTTTAGACATTCGCCTGCCGCCTTTCTGTCAAAGATTGTCCTTGGCTCTCAGACATTTCCCAAAACTCTCGTGACGATGCCACCGAAACGAATTGCAACGACCAAGGCCGAGTCATCGACAGCCTCCGCGAAACGCAAAGCGGAAGAGGACGAGGGTGCAACAGCTAGTTCGGAGGCTGCGGCATTCAAGAAGGCAAAGACGGATGCGACAGTGGAAGAGTCAAAGGATGGAGCAAATCTTGCGCCGAACGGGCAGCCTACCAACAAGACCATTCCCGTAAACGTACAGTTCCCACCGAAGAAGGCGGACTCGATCCGGATTGCGACGTGGAACATATGTGGGCTGGCTGCAAGCTCGAAGAAGGTGCATTCAATGTTCTGTAGAGCAGTTATTTGGTGCTAATGCCACATGTAGGGCTTTAAGTATTACGTTGAGGCGGAAGACGCTGATGTGCTCATTCTGACCGAGACAAAGGTAAGCTCCTTCAAAATGGCTCAAACATGCATTCGCTGACCGTAGTCATTTCCATAGGTCAACGATAGTCCTGCCGACCCTCTCTTGACGAAACGCTACCCGCACCGGTACTGGTCGATATCGGCGAAGAAGACTTACTGTGCGTGTGATACTCTGTATCGTGACTTAGCTTGGACTCAGTGGTGCTCGTCTTCTAGCTGGAACCGCCATTCTGTGTAAAGTCAAGCCTCTATCTGTGGACTACACTCTACCTGGCCATCCGGATCCGGAGCACGTGAGGGGTCGGATCCTCACGCTGGAGTTCGAGAACGTATACGTTGTAGGCACATACGTCGTGAATGCTGGTACAGGTCTCAAGGTGCCTTTCGCGCCATCTAGCTCTCACCTTTGGGCCTGGCTCATGTCCGTCTCTACAGACGCTTCCTGAGAAGAGAACATGGAATAAGCACTTCCACGCGTACATTCATTCTCTTGATGCGAAAAAACCCGTGATCTGGACGGGTGACCTGAACGTCGCGCCCACGGAGCTCGACCTCGCCAATCCCAAGCCGAACTGGAACAAAACGCCGGGTTACACTGAAGATGAGACATCTGCGTTCAAACGCGTCCTCGGGCCTGAGGAAGAAGGGCAGAAGAAGATGATCGACGTCTGGAGGCACCTACACCCCAAATTACGGCACTACACCTATTTCTCGTACCGCCAGAACTGCCGGTCAAAGGGCGTTGGATGGCGCCTGGATCACTGTACGTGCTCCTTTGGCGCAACGAACATCGTGTGCTAACTATCTGCTTGTCCTCCAGTCGTGGTCAGTGAGAGACTGCTCGAAAAGGTCGACATGTGCGAGATTCGAAGCGAGATCTACGGCGCATCGGACCATTGTCCCGTCACACTGGAGATTGGGAAACTTGGTGACGAGGGATTGTAAAATGACTGCGTGATATTGCATTATCCTTACGTGCTGACGAACTACATTTACATTCGCTAGATAAGCTGTGGGACGAAAATCTACCCATTATTACATCTTGGAATCTCTTCGAGCTCTAAGCAGCTATTGACGCAGGGATACCAAGTGCCGCCGGCAAGAGCTTCTCGCACGGATCCAAGAACAGAAAGTCGGAAGTACCGTCCCCTTTCGTGTGCTCGAATTTGAAGATGTCAACTTTCCCACCATGCTCCTGCACCGTCACCACGAACTTTGCCGCAGGATGAATCTGCTCCGCCGTGTCATCAGTGTTAATGAACTAGATGCCGATATCCGAATAACACCATGGCACTAGTCTCAATGACAATGCACTGTAAGTCCGCTCCTACCACTTTCGTGGAGATCTCGTCCGTATGCGTAGCCGCTTCGCCAAATCAAATCCAGTCCTCCTCGCGAGGGACCCGCACTTGCTGCAGCGCGGGAGTTCGTCGGGTAGCATCGGTGGTAGCAGTGTCGATAGACGGAGACCTGTACGCCGGAGGGTTGGGCGCGTTCGTAGAGAGTCAGAAACGCGCGAAGTGCCGCGAACGGGAACTGGGACCTGTCGTCTGTGACAACAGGTGCTTGACCAGCTATAATCTCGATTTCGGGCTGTCCGAGGGATCGGTGGGAGTGGCAGGGCAGGGCAGGTAGGCAAACCATAATTACTCTATCTGCGTTGGCACCCAAACCTCAAGACATCCCAAACGCGTCCGTGCATCTCTAAGACTCGGCTTTTAGTGTCGGTGACATCTTTGATAGTTGCTGCCAAGTCTAGACAACCAGCTTGCGCAAGCTCCTGGCCAAGTTTCATAATGCTTTTTGGACCCGCTTTTAGAAATGAAGTTCGAAATTTGAATCGATCCCTCCAAGTTATAACTTATGACTCCTGGAGTCCTGAGTCCCGTCCACGAACGGGGAAGAAAAAAGTGGCCAACGCCGGGGTCGAACCGACGACCTTGGCGTTATTAGCACCACGCTCTAACCAACTGAGCTAGTCGGCCGTTGATACAAACCCTTAATCTCAATATTACATTCTATTTACTTAGCTTCAATCGTGACCTAGTGGATGATCAAGCTGTGCAGTCTCCTCGTATACAGCTCGATCCGTTCGTCTTTTTCACCCTCAACTCACTGCCAACGGCGGCCGATCGTTGTGATGTAACATAGGTAAATGAGCATTTGTGATGACTCGATGACTGTAGTCTTGGCGTGGGAAGTTGTTTAAACGCGGCGGAAGCGCCACAAAGTACTCGCACAACACTTGCGATTAAGCGGCATGTGTACTTAGTGGCGACTTGTCAATAATTTGAACAGTCTGGCAGCCATGCATCCATCTTCAAGCCCAAATCACAGCTCACTGCGGACTACTACTTCTCATGAACATGCTTCCCAGACTTTTGGCACTTGCCTTCGAGTCTTCTGCTTCAGGACGTAACGAGTCAAAGACGCTTGCCCGGGCCTCCTCAATACGGCATCTCGATAATAGTGACTTGGTGCGGGTCAATTTAGAGTAAGGTCGGGAAAGGGTTCAATATGTGGCGGGATTAGTATCAGGTCAGGCAGCACTGTACCCATGTGCAGTACCCACATGTTCTGACGGTGAACAACTGTAGGCCAATGAAGAGACCTATCAGAACCTTGACTTTGCCGCTGGCATGCTTGGAAGTTGTGCAGGCTGTGCTAACCCCACTACCCGGCAACATTTCTTACTTTTCATGGATGCTCGTCTGGACTCCCGTGAGTGCTTAGATCTCGTGTTAGGAGTTAAGCTCCGTTGAAAAGGCCGCCGTGAGGCTTATGAGAGCCAACTGGGAGCTCCCTGAACTCCATGGAAGGCGTTCATCATGAATGTGGAAAGAAACTTCCGATATATAACTCTGGCCATAGCCTGTAAGTGCATCCGCTGCCCTGACGCTTTATTCAAGATGAACGACACCTCCCAGTTCGCTGAAGTCCATTACAGACCTACAGATCCTGAGCCACTTGGTGACCCAATCCCGACGTCCGAGGGACCTTCGACATCGTCACAACATGCTTCTCGACGCTCGTCATCTGCGTCTGGAGCGCGGTGCACGTCGACGTGCCATTGCAATGGACCAGATGGTCCATCATCAACAAAATTGGCTGGCTCATCACAGGGCTGGTCGCCCCGGATCTGCTACTCTACGTCGCATGCTGTTAGCTGTGGCGTGCCCACGTCCTGCTCGGGGAAGCCCGGAGGTTTCTGGTTTTCAAGCCTCGACAGACGCGCAGCCGTCCCAGAGCATCGCAGGTTTCTTCGGCGGGCTCCCCAGTGCGACACAGGGTAGGGCGTTCGCATCGTCCGTCGAGCCAGTGACTCATCTCCATAAGCAGGCATTCTACGTAACGAAGACCCCAGAGCACACGGAGGAAAGTGTATCATTGGCGGATTGCCATGAGGTATATATTCTTTGTCCGTCCAAATAGTCGAGTTGGGCTTCATGTAGTCTTTCAGACCTCGTCCGATGCTCCCCCGGAAAAAGAGCAACCCTCTCGCAATCACCCGTGGACGCTTACACATGCTTTCTACGGTGTCATGGGTGGTTTCGCGCTGAAGACATCGATCGGTGGAGAAGAGAGACGCCTCGCGCTCCCACTGAGCGGTCTTCGCTTCATCCTGGAGTTCGCACCCGACCTTCTCCCAGACCTCACCGAAGACGAAATCTGGAACAAGTGTCGGTCTGACGCCCTAGCAAAGGCGTTGCTCATGCTGCAGTTGCTCTGCTTCTGCGTCTCTTGCGCCGCTCGCCTTTTCCAATCGCTTCCGCTCAGCCTGCTCGAGGTCACAACCGTGGCACACGCGCTCTGCACCGTTATGACGTGCATCATATGGTAGAAAAAGCCATTCGACGTGCAAGAACCGACTCTCATCACCAAAGAGCCTGCCGACGAGCTCGCAGCGTACATGCTCTTTACGAGCCCTGCCCACAAAGACTACATTGTGGGGCTTATATGGTGCCTAGTATGCGACAGCGAATCATCGTATCTCAAGGTCTCTCCAGCCCCTGCTGAGATGACTCGCCATCAGACACCCCCGGACTTGCCACGCGACTTCCAGACCCGGGGAGTCATTCATCATTGAAGGCTATCATTTCGAGATCATGGGGAGGGAGCCCGACTCACGTCATCGCAGGGTTTTTGGGCGCAAAAATCTTCCGTGATACAATCGCCCACGCCGGAAAGACGACCCTGTGTCATTGAGCCGTGAAGACATGGACCGTTGGGCGCTGTTCGCACGAGGCTTGAGATTGGGGAGATGGGAAGATACCCAGGCTGGACTGCGGCCGCCCCGACTCGTTTCAAGACACGGCGGCCTGCAGATGTCTGTATTGGAGCGCGGCGAAACGGCGTGGTGGCCCGTCGTCTCACTGGCAATCGCGACCGCATACGGCGTCGTCCACTTGGTGGCATGGGACGCACAGTTCCCTACGCTTATTGAGCGTAGTCTTTGGCGATACGCTGCGGTCGCCCTCATTATCCTTGGAATCGCATTCTTCCAGTATTCCGCCGTCTCCCGGATCGTACGAGAAGGCTCTCTTGGACACCGTATCTCGCGGTGGATCTTCTATTTGTGTCTCGTATTCTATCCACTGGCTGGTGGATATATATTTGTTGAGAGCGTTAGGCAGCTTTTATTTCTTCCCGACAAGGCTTTCGAGCTTCCCGATGTGTTGCAATCGTTTTTAGCGTAGTGTACGTAGAGAAATGTGGATATGCCAGCTGCCCTAGCCTACATCCATGGTCAACAGTGCCACCCACGCGTCACACCGACTGCCGGGCGGGATGGGGCGGCGAACCGTCGTACGTTCGTGCGGTAATTCTCTGTCACGCCAGTCACAAACCGTCAAATGTTGCGGTCACGTACAGTCCTGTCACGCCCAATGCTTCTCCGCACGCTACCACGACCGCGACTGCTGGCCGCCTGCCTGCGGCCATGCAGGTTCTATGCTGCTAAAGCGGATGCAGCAGGTGCTGCACCACTAGCGCAGGCAGCTCCGGACGATGTTCTCGGTACGTAGCGTCATCCCGACGTCCACGAACCACAATTGCTCATTGGGCTCGGAACGCATCCTGCCTCAGCCCCGGCGAAGTCGTGTTGCGCCGAAGGCACCACCCTCGCCGGTTTGAACTGGAAGAAAGGTCAGATGCCGGTCACCGCGTTGCCTGACGACGCGTATCCGGACTGGTTGTGGACGCTACTCGAGCCGACGCAGCTGCCCGATGATGGGCCCGGAGGCAAGGCCGAGAAGTGTCGCATGCGGAAAGAGAATAGACTGCGTATAAGAGAGCAGAACTTCATGAAGACTCAGTGATGGGGTTGAGGAATACACAGGTGCGTCGCTAACAACTGAGTTCTGTATCAGCTCTAAGGCTTCCACTGTTGGCAGCGGTACTCCTGCCCTTACCATCTACACGGTTTAGTCTACAAGACCGCCTCGCTCGGCTGTAGGATGACGACGAGTCTAAAACAAAGCACGATTGTGCGAGTGTCACGTGTGCGCTTTGGCGACATACTGCTAACTCTCTCGTATGGAACATGACCGCCGGTACATATCTCTATTACGGCGGCCATACGGGATGGCGAGCGACGATACAGGCGTGTCTATACCAGATCTTTACGGAATACAAGGTTATTCCTCTTGTCATACACGTGCAGTCCACACTTAAGTCGGGAACGAGCCCAAAGTGAACAAAGTCTGCTTCTGCTTCCCCTTACCCTTCTTCCCTTTCCCAGTATTACCGTTCTCTTGCGCAGACTCAGACGCAGCCGTCTCAGGAGACGGGCCTGTACCACTTGAGTTCACAGGAGCCTTCTCCCAGACAGGTGTTGACGGCGTCGAAGTACCCAGAATATTCTGCAACGATTTGTTGCCGCCTACTGCGGCCTTGGGCACGCGCGCCGCCGAAGCCGACGGGAGCTCGGGGAATGCCGCCTTCGAGAGGTTGGGTGGCGGCGGGGCCTTGCCTGAGCGTGCGGCGGGCCCAGGGACAGACGTCGGGCCACGAATGACCGAGGCCCCGCTGGACGAAGCCGCAGCCGCTGCAGCAGACGAGCCAGCCCAGGGTGTGTTACGCTGACCCTGTCCTTTCGGAGCTAGTGCACTCACTGCACTGGCCCCGGGAGCGAGAGGTGGGAAGCCAAGAGGTGGGAAGGCAGGCGCCGCGGACGCTGGTGCTGATGCAGCTGGCCTTCCCGACCCAGGAACAAGCCTCGTAGAGGACGATGCTGCAGCGCGCGCCACCCGATCGAGGACTTGTACAGAAGACTGAGCACGAGATCGAGAGGCTGTCGACTGCTTCGCGTTGAGCAGTCGTCCACTTGTGATGCCGGCCCATTGCGACCCTGATTCGGAGGGGACCAGCTCAGGGAACTGATTGCGTTGCTTTTGTGAAAGTCAGTTATAGTAGCCGTAAGCATGGAACTGGGTCGCTCACTTCGATTTTGAACCCGTTCCACGCTTGCAAGAGATCCTTCTTCTTGTCTTCCTCTTCAATGAACTCCACAAGGGCATTGATCACACCCGCAGTGCCCTCGAGGTTGTTGTCAGAGATATTCCAAATTGTGGAGATGAGGTCCCGGGCAGCCGACTCGTTAGCGCGGTACGATCGGATGGCAGCCTTGACAGCGGGGATAGCACCATTGGGATTGGGCGCGACTGAGCTGACACGAGCAAAGAGTGCTGAGTAACGCCTGCGTAGCCCGTCTTAGTAAGGATCGTGTATGGGCCAAGACACAGAAGACATACTCCGCGAGCGCAGGGTCCATGTCTGGTGAAGGGCTCTGTCGACGGCTTACTGAGTGGTTCACGCCGTCATTGGGAACACCAGGTCCGCTTTCAGTGGTAAGGTTACCTCCGAATGCTTCTCTGCGCCTTGCGCCAGCTGTGTTGGCTCTCGAGGAGCCCACATGTGGTGGTGGCTCTCGTTCACGCTCTCTGTCGCCGCGATCGTGTCTTCCTCGTCTTCCACCCGCGCTGACTTCCTCGAACTCAAAATCGGCCTGTATGCGTCGTGCGTCCTTCATATCCCGAGAAGACATGTCGGAGCCATGCACTTCGACCATGTGTGCCTTGAGGTCGAGCGCAGAGCCGAAAACGACGAACTTCTGTGCTTGACAGGAAGCGTAGGTGCATGGGTAGTGGGCTTGCTGGAAGTGTTGTTCCTATCTCGCGAGCTAACAGTCTGCGCTTCCGCCAAAGGCGCGTTCTACTCACCAGTGCTTCCCAGTTTCTAAAGCTAGATGACCATTAGCATTCGGTGTCTCGTTTCGGATGTCATACTTACTATTGGTCTCTAACTTCGTTGCGCTTACAAATGAAGCATTCTTCGTGCTTTTCACGCATGTGTTTGAACATTTCGTCCTCGCTGAACAAGCATTCGCGACAGAATTCGCAAAGGGGATGCACCCCGCCTTCGATCTTGTCCTTTTTTCCGCTTTGACGATTTCCTCTCTGCAACGAAGGCAGATGGATAGGGAGCTGGCCGGGGTTGTACAGTACGTGCTCATGCGCGAAAATCTTCTTGAAGCGTATGCACAGATCGCTAGATTCTCGATTAGATGGCTGTGTACAGACGAGAACAAAGTCATAGACGTACCACATAACCTTTCCATGCGTCCCCCGCGTATGAAGCTTCAGATCGCTCCACCCATTGCCGATGTAGTCGCATTGTGGGTCAGGGCAGTTGAAGCGCAAGAGGACCAGGCTGTCCTCCATCATCTCTTGCGCCTCAAATGAGATGTTGAGCTTCGCATCCTTGTATGGCATATCAGAGAGGTCGTAGGACGACCATGGTGCATCCGGGGACATGGTGAAGACCATGGTGTTTTGTGGCTCCTGCAAAGCGCGGATGAGATTCCCAATGATCACAATTGCAGCACACCACTTGCCTTGCAGAAGGTACACTCTGTCTTCTTGTACAACGCACGCAAACGAAGTGCGCAGACATGGCAGGTCCGGTGTCCACACTCGGACAGAGCATAGTACTTGACCGGCTCCGCGCAAATCCAGCAGACCGCGTCGTCGACATCGCCGCTAGCATTCTCAGCTTGGTCGTTGGCCTTAGCCTCTTCCTTTCCTTCCTCCTGCACGACCTCAGGCTCCTTCGCCTCAGGACTTGCAGGGCCCTCCGCCTGTCCTTTCGCAATCTTCCCTCCGCGCCCTCCTCTGTTTCCGCCACGACCACGATTCATCCGCCGACCGCGCTGGGCCGTACCACGGGTCTGGGTCTGGGTGTCGACTTGCGCGGCCATGTCCGATTATGCAAAAGGTACGCGGACTCAGGATGCTGGGTAGTTCAAAGTTGTACGAGTAAGGTATGCGGTGGCGACTATTTCAATGACGCCGCGCGGTACTATTCGGTTCCGCACGGGCGTCTGTTCTGCTCAGCTAGACTCTAGACTCTTGGACAAGTCATCTCAGCTGCCTTGCCAGACTCGCGCACAGTCAAAACGGTGTAAAGTGGCACTGTAATTGTGTGGTACAGCATGCAACGTGCGACTATGCATAGGATTTGAAGCGTCAATTGCTGCTGTGAGGATAGCATCGCTGTGCCGTGGACGGCGGTCCTTGACCATGAGGCTGTCCAACTCTATTACACCTTCCCCCAGATCCGTCGCAGAATCAGTTGTCTGGAGACGATTAAGCATGCGACTGCACACATAATCGAGGTGCCTGAGAACGAAGGTTCGCCCGTCAGGGTAAACCTTCGCAAGAAAACGAGACGACGCACCGGCGTAGTAGCCAACCGCCTTATACCCACCAGTGGCATCGTTAATGGCGCCAGATATTGGTGGACCTGCTAGCGCACCAAGCGCGATGATGCTGAAAAACATTCCTACTCGAAGGCCTACAGTATGCGTCGAGCCCATACCCCACAGAGGAGCAGTCAGCATGGATGCGTATGATCCAATGAAGATGCTGCAAGTAATCTCGTTAGATGACCGCTTTCGCATGGAAAATTATTTGACCAACCCGTTCGCTAAGCCGAGGACAATATATGCTCCTTTTGTCGTGATGAAAGGCCAGATGTACGTCGTAACTCCAGCAAAGAGCGTCGCTGGTATCATGATATTGAGAGGTCCTAAATTGTGAAACCGAGCCAAGATCAGCTAACACTTGCGAGCTGCACATCATCGTCGTACCATAGCGATCTGCAAGGAGTCCGGTGAGCACGCGACCAGCTGCTGAACCCGCATTGGCGATTGACACTAGGTAGACCGCAAAGTTCGGGTCAACGCCAACGAACTCCGCGCTGACGTTGATATATGTCAACATCTGGCAAGAATAATTCATGAGAGATTGGAGCGAGATTATTCACGGGGCATCCTCACCGTGTACAGACCAAGAAAGGTCACGAATCCCGACAGGCAGTAGACCGTGTACGGCACAGAACGGAACTCCTGCACATTGATTATTGGACCGGGATCTGGTTTCGGCGGTAGGCGACGCTCGATCGTGAGAAAAGTTACAGTTAGAAGACAGAACAGAATTAAGGCAACAATGCGCATTGTCCATTGGAATCTATATGCGTAAGCAGTCAGCACCTATACACCAGGGTAAGTTTAGGGATCATAGCGCACCCCACAGCACCTATGAGGTTGTGGATGGCGACGGGAAACACTGAGCCTCCGATGCTTGAGCCCAGGGCAAGAAAGCCTAACGCCAGTCCTTTTCTCCGCCTGAACCAATGTGCCGCGACGGCGACTAGCGGTCCAAACGCAAATCCCGAAAACAGCTACCAATAGAAAGTCAGCCCAGCATCCGAGCCAACTGGCCGAAGTACGTACCCCAACGGCAAAGCCTTGGCAGAGAAGAAACTGCCAATAGACCTTGCATTGCGCGACCAATAAAGTGCATACAACGAGTCCAATGGAAGAGAACAGCAGCGGCATTTTGAGATATCCTCGGTCGAAGAGCTGACCCATAAAGAGCCCGGGCATGAACGTAAAGGCGTACTGCATATGGCGGTCAGGTGCCGCTACGGCTCGGGTTCAAAGCAGCACGCGCCTGTATGGAGCCTATCCATGCTCTGCATTTTATCAGAAGATGATGGTGTGCCGTGCAAGTATGGGTGTACTGACATTGTTGAAGGCGATGAGTCTTTCAGAAGCGTCTGCTGGTAATATGTCTGGAAGATCTGCAACAATTTGGTCAGTAGAGCACCATGGATGGCTCGATTGAAGGCTACACACTCCCCAAGCATTGACGTAGCCAAACGTGGATGCATTGCCCAGCGCACACTTCACGCAATAATCAGCCCAGACCCAACCACTAAACGAAACACGAAGTACTCACACCGAGGACGACCATCCATGCCCTGAGGCCGCCGTCAGGAAAGTCGTCGTCTGCGGATGCCCCGACCACATTGTCGCGCGTTTGGACCTCATCCGAGCATACGCCGTCCTCCTCGCACTTCTTCGCCCCGTACGCAGGCTCCAGCTGCTCACCGCGCACAGTCTTCTCATCGTCGCCGCGCTCGGGGAGTGAGCTCGGGGGCTCAGGATCGGTGCCCAGCATGGTCTAGCTCACGCGTGTCGAGAGGGAGCACAGCGGACGAGTGAGGAAGCCGGGAGGCCCAGCCCTATGCAAGTGCTGCTAATAAACGTCCGCGGAACTCGCTCTCCGTGAGCCGTATAACAGGTGCGCACTGTGCGCACGGCTGTTTAAGCCCCCGGCCGTGAAACACGCCTGCTACTCCGCGGAAGAGCCTGCCGAGCCTCTTCCGAGCCAACGAGGCCACCTGCCGCGGTCGGGGCGGACCCCAGAGGAGCTCCATTTGGCAGGGGCGCCGTATCCGAAACCTTTGTGGCGACGCCGCTTCGCCCGATCGAGCCGAAGGGACCCAGACATCGTGCATATGCGGCCGTCTCATTCGTTCTGCCGCGTTCTGCATGAAGAATGCGGCATGCGACTGGAAGCGTGAAAGTAGTTGAATGGCCTATTACATAACTTACATGCGTGGTGGTCTATCCTAGTCGTGCGCGGTATAAGGTGAATGTCTACAACATGCGTGTGCAGAAGCGTGAAGACGGCATGAGAAGAGAACGCGGTCGGCACAAAGTCCGAAGAAGCGCGTCTTTAGGTCTTTCCCCATAGCCTTCGCAGAACAAGTTGTCTAACGAGGATGAGCAAGACGACGGACACCAAAACTGCGGATCCTGGTGGTGTGTCAGTTCGGCAGGCAGCTAAGCTTGAGAGGGAGCATACCTGCATAATACCCCACCGCCTTGAAGCCATCGGTCGCCTCATTGATAGCGCCTGAAATTGGCGGGCCGCACAGGGCTCCAAATGCAAGGACGGTGAAAAACATGCCTAGCCGCAGGCCGACGTCGTGCGTCTCGCCCATCTCTACGAGCGGCGCGGCAAGCATCGAGACAAATACTCCCGAGGAGATGCTATCAGTGATATCGTCAGATAAAAAACAAGGTTTGCAGAGAATCAGGCTTACCCATAGATTAGACCAACGGCGACGTAACCACCTTTGTTCGTGACGAATGGCCAGACGTAAGTCAAAATGCCTGCAATAAACGTTGCGGGGATCATGACGTTCAGAGCGCCTGCCATAGGTGAACGTGAGTTGCCGCCCGTCCGGCGGTGCAGGCCGTAGAAACGCACCGTATTTGTCAGCCAAAATGCCGCCCGCGAGTCGCCCGACAATCGAGCCCGCATTAGCTACCGAAACCAAATAGAACGAGAAGTTCGGGTCCAGCCCCACAAAGGCCGCGCTAACATCGATATAGGTCAAAACCTGGCTGCCCGTCAGCACCGGCAGAACCACCGCGGAGTTCCGTACTCACAGTGTATAGACCAAGGAAGGTAACGAAGCCTGCTGCGCAATAGAATGTGTAGGCAGGATTGCGGAAAGCTTGGAGGTTAATGAATGGCCCCGAGGCATCTCTGGGCGGCAGCCGCCGTGAGAGCGTAAGGTTCGTGAACGTAAGGGTCGCCAATAGAATGAATCCAACGATCCGCATGGTCCATTGGAAGCTGGAGAACGTCAGTAAGCTTGCGGTGTGGCGTGTCGACTGTTACGTACCCTACTTCTTGTATCAGATTGCGGATAGCTATGGGGAAGAGTGTTCCCCCCAGGCTGGAGCCGACGGCGACAACGCCGAGCGCGAGACCTTTTCTCCGTTTGAACCAGTGCGCAACAACGCCGAGCAATGGGCCGAAAATGACACCCGCGCCGAGCTATGGCAGGGACGGTGAGTGAAAGAAGCAACAAGAGGGACTAGAAGACACTGACCCCGACCGCAAACCCTTGGCATAGAAGAAATTGCCAGTATTCTTTGCATTGCGCGACGAGGAAGGTCGCCGCAACCAAAAAGACGGATGAAACCGCAAGCGGGACTCTGAACATGCCCTTATCAAACAGTCGTCCGGTAACGAGCCCGGGGACGAAGACGAGAGCATACTGTGTGCGAGTGAGCGGACTAAGCGATCCGAAGGAGGCAAGTACCCACCTGTATCGAACCGATCCATGCGCTGCGAGAACAAGGGCATCAGCTTCGGGAGCGCTCGCATATGAATGGAGCGGGTACGCACATCGTCGACGGTGACGTATCTTTGAGCAATGTCTGCTCGTAGTACGCCTGAAAAACCTGTGGGAGAACGTCAGCTGGGCTGATGTCTCGAGTGCAGTAGTGTACTTACTCCCCAGGCATTAACAAAACCAAATGTGGCGAGTGTGCCCAGTGATGCCTAAGGCAGTCGCCGATGTCAGAGGCGTGGCGGGAACGTAGAGGCGGGAGACTCACGCCCGCGACGACGGTCCAAGCTTTCAGGCCACCATCGGGGACATCATCCTCGAGAGCAAATTCTACCTCTTGACTCGATTGTTGAGGTTTGATTGAATCCGCACCGCAATCGGTAAGAGACCGAGTACGTCCTGCCTCGAGATCCTTTTTCTCAGAATACTCGCGTTCTGCACGGAGGGTCTTTTCGTCGTCTGCACGGTCCTGGGAAGCGGCGGGGACGATAGCCGGCTGTTGACTGGGAGTGGCCATTTTAAACCAGATATCAGACGGCTTACAAAGAGCTGGATGCAAGCACTGTCCAGATTCAGGCTTATATGAGGATGGGACTCGTCTGGGGATGAGACTCACCGAGAGGGGAGTGGGGAGAAATCCTGTCTAGTTATAGGCGGGCCTGGTGGTATGTCAGCGCGCTCCAGGCAAAGAGATGGCTTAGTGGGTCGCTAAATAGCATCGTCTGTGGCTTGCCGGTTCACTTCCGAGTCCGATGGATGCTTCTCTCTCGCAGGGCGGTTAAAATGGAGCCGTTGTGATGTACTTTTCTCTCGTCGGCGATCATACAAAGCAAACACGTTCAACGGCTGCAACTTGAGGAATTAACCGGCCCATTGCCGGGGGGCCTACCTGAGTACTGTGAGCAAGACAAGAGTGCTCAAAGGTTACAGGATAGGGACGCGCTGGTCAAAATTGAGAGCGTAAAAGTCGGCCATTGCAGGTCATGAGTCCACGGCATAAGTCCACATCGCGAGTGTTGAACGGAGCCGACACGGCTCGCGAGCGGCAGGCACAAGAATACTCGGCGTCTAGAGACCGGGTTTCGGCAGGGATTCGACATTGCTTCTCCTTGCATTGACGGGATACCGGACGGACGGTGGGGGCGCCTGATCGGGTGTCTCGAGACACCCGAGCGGTGCTAGGCGAGGTCACGTGAATCTGGTGTCTCGACAGCCAATAAGTGCCTTATTCCTGTCGAGACACCAGGCGGCTTGTTTGCCATCATTTCCCTGCCAAAATCTGGTGTCTTGACAGGCAATAAGTTGCTTAAGGCTGTCGGGATACCCGCTTTTTGCCGGGGCGTCCATCAGGCATCAGTTCGCCTATTTTCCTGTTTTTCCTTGGCAGATGGCAGAAAATGCGAAAATATTCAGAAAATGCGAAAATATCGGCTCCAAAAATTGAATTAAATTTTTGTCGTTCGAATACATGTTTATGTACAACCTGGAGGTCAAAAAGGGGCCGAAAAGCGAAGTTGTGGCCACAACTAGGGCTTGCGGCACCTCAGCGCGGTCTGGCGTCTTCGGGGGTGCGGCCGGATGCCTGAAGCGCCCGAGAAGCGTCGGATCGGTCTGGTATCCCGACACGGTTGCTCAAACGTCCTTGGGTATTCGAGGTCACGTCCCCATCGCCCACACAACGCATGTCTTTATGGCAGCTTTATGGCCCCACCATTGGAAAAAATACGACGCCGTTAAAAAACCCCAAAGATTTATGGTTGCTCAGACCGGAGGAGTCGGATTACTGGCCATGCTTCCAGATGTTTTCGCGACTAAGGCATGACGCAGGATCGGCGCATCAATATGGCGTGATCTAAACCTTGTCGGAGAACATATCTGATAAGATTATCAAGACCTGCACGATTCTTCTCGCGCATTTGATTTGATCTCGGCCACAGATATCGATAAGTCCTTATCGGGTTTTATCTTGGGAAAGAACTACATAATTGCTCAGTCCTTCAACCAAAAATTTCGGCGAAGCGCTAACGTAAAGACCAGCAGTCTACGCACACTGCTAGTGGGATAGCATGGCATTTGGTGCGTCTATATGGTGTAAATGTCACAGAATGATGTGCGCTGATGTGCTGTTGAAACTCTAGGTCAATCAGGCGGTCGTGGCGGCTTTGGCGGTGGACGTGGTGGACGCGGTGGAGGAGGAGGAGGCGGACGTGGAGGTGCTGCTTGGGGAGGCCGTGGCGGGAGCAGAGGTGCGCGCGAAAAATCTTCATGATAGTTTCGGGCGAGCTAAAGAAATTTATATTCCAGGAGGAGGCTTTGCTGGCCGCGGCGGTGTAGCAAAGCGCGGTGCTCCCGGTGGATGGGGCGGAGGACGAGGTGCCCCCAGAGGTCGCGGTGCACGAGGCGGCGGACGTGGAGGAAGGGGTGGTGCTAGGGGTGGCTCGAACGTTCTCCTTGAGCCTCACAGGCACCCCGGCGTCTTCATCGCCAAGGGCAAGGACTCCATGCTTGTCACCAAGAATATCGTCCCTGGAGAGTCTGTCTACGGCGAGAAGCGCATCTCTATCGACGGCGGTGTTGAAGGTACCAAGATTGAGTACCGTGTCTGGAATCCTTTCCGTTCCAAGCTTGCTGCCGGTATCCTTGGCGGTATGGACCACATTTACATCGAGCCAGGCAAGAAAGTTTTGTACCTCGGTGCTGCAAGCGGTACCTCTGTCTCTCACGTGGCTGATATTGTTGGACCAGTATGCAAACACATCTCTCTGCCGTTTATCATTTTACTCACAAGTTTGCAGGAGGGTGTTGTTTACGCGGTCGAGTTCTCTGCACGGTCAGGTCGTGACCTGATTGGTATGGCAAAGAAACGCACCAACGTTGTCCCTATTGTTGAGGATGCCCGGACACCACAAAAATATCGTATGCTCGTCTCGACTGTAGACGTAGTTTTTGCCGATATCGCCCAGCCCGACCAAGCGCGTATTGTCGGTCTCAACGCCGAGTACTTCTTGAAGAACGGTGGACACGCCGTCATATCCATCAAGGCCAGCTGTGTCGACTCAACAATAGAACCAGAGGTTGTCTTCGCCCAGGAGGTTAATACCCTGCGGGAGGTCAAGTTCAAGCCTTTGGAACAAGTGACGCTTGAGCCGTACGAACGTGACCACGCCATGGTATCAGGTATGCAGTCTTGTAGGCTCTTACTGGTTCATCTACTAACTTGCTCGGCCTCTCATAGCGGTATATCAAAGGCACAAGTAGACTTCCCGCAGCTTCTTTTGCCGGTGTCGTTTTTCTCTCGCTGTCTTCTCTGTCTCTGTATTAAAGTATCTTTGTTTCAATATCTTTCTTGTTCTATTCATGTGCATAATGCCCTGGTCTGTCTCTATGCGTACTCGCTATGGTGGTTTTTGCGGGGGAAACGCTAGGCAAGTTAAATGAAGCCGGCGGCAGTCAAGCTGCTGTGCAACGTGTCATTTGGAGATACCAGGGCGAAACTACGCATCATTCATACCTCTATCCCTCACATTTGTTCCTACTTTCTTGCTTGTCTCGCTGTCCGCTCTTTCTCGCTTTTGCCAGCGCATGTGTAGTATTTTTGGCTGAAGGGTTCTGCACAGCAGCACCGATCAACTCGACGCCGGCGAATGTTGAAACGCTCAGACTCTATCTCTCTCAACTTTGGCACTCCGGAGGACTCTCCCCGCACGTCCTCTGATTTCGAAGAAATCCACTACCCGCACGCTTCCACGACGGCTTCACGCACCACTGGCTGGCCTGGAGAGAAGGAAGAGCTGCCTCTGCATTTCATGGGCGAGGAGACTGCGCGCAGGCGGATTACCCGCACGCCAGGGGGCAATGGTGTGTACGACACCCATGTCGATGCGCCCACCGAATACGATGACGAGGGGAAGGATGTGTACGCAAAAATGAGGGCTTCCAAGGTGCCTGTCAGCAGCGGACGGCCACGTAGGCCGCCTCCGCCGCCAGCGACCACCATCGTGCGTACCCTCGGCTTCCTCTTCTGCAGCTCCCACTGACCTTGCAACGCACGATACACAGAGCGAATTTATCCACCAAAATTTAGAGCACATCCCGCCGATCGTCTACACACTACTCTCGTGCTGGACGCGGTTTCACAAGATTGGTCACGCGCCGAATGTCGTCTGGGACGAGGCACACTTTGGCAAGTTCGGGAGCCACTACCTCAAGCGTGAATTCTACTTTGACGTCCACCCGCCGCTCGGGAAGATGTTGGTCGGCCTCGCAGGCCTGCTGGCAGGCTACGACGGCTCGTATGAATTCAAGAGCGGCGAAAAATACCCGGATAACGTGCCCTATGTGGCAATGCGTGTCATGATGGCCATGTTCGGCGTCGCTCTGGTGCCCCTCGGGTGGTACACCGCCGTCGAGCTGGGCATGAGCTGGAGAGCGTGCCATCTTGTTGCGCTGATGGTCTTGCTCGGTGAGTGATGTACTGCGCAGCTGCGTCCCTAGTGATGACCGAAGATCACAGATGTCGGCTGGCTCTGTATCTCACGCTTCATCCTGCTCGACTCTATGCTGCTGTTCTTCACGTTTACCACCGTCTTCTGCTTGACCAAGTTCCACAATCAACAATACCAGTGCGTGGCCCAGCCTCGTTGCATGCATGATATACGACTGACTGCGGGCAGGTCTTTCTCCTTTGACTGGTGGCTATGGCTCGCCATGACTGGTTACTCTATCGGATGTGTAACGAGTGTGAAGTGGGTCGGTCTCTTTGTCACGGCCTTGGTGGGACTCTACACAATCGAAGACCTCTGGGATAAGTTTGGCGACCTCAAAATGTCTGCGGTAAGTTTTTGTCCTGCACGCGTATTTTATGATTAGCTTAACGTTATCAAGCGCGACCAATGCTGGCATTGGGGCGCCCGCATACTCTGCCTAATTATCCTGCCGATTCTGGTCTACATGGCGTCCTTCAAGATGCACTTCTTGATCCTCAACCATTCCGGTCCTGGTGATGCTCAAATGAGCTCGCTTTTTCAGGCAAACCTCGTCGGAAACGACTTCGCTTCCTCTCCTTTGGAGGTTGCGTTTGGTTCAAAACTCACTTTAAAAAATGTAGGCTATGGTGGAGGTCTTCTGCATTCACACGTCCAGACATTCCCTGTTGGTTCAGGGCAGCAACAAGTTACGTGTTACCACTACAAGGACTCAAACAACGACTGGGTTGTCTTGCCCCGTTGGGATGAACCTCCATACGACCCCGATGGCGAGATTCGCTTCCTTAAGGACGGCGACGTCATTCGTCTGAACCACGTACCGACAACTCGCAACCTGCACTCACATACGGTTCCTGCTCCGGTCACAAAACTCAACCATGAGGTCTCTTGCTACGGCAACGAAACAATTGGTGACGACAAGGACTACTGGGTCGTCGAGGTCGTCGACGACCTCAAATCGCGCGAGAAGCCTGACCGGATTCACTCGCTCACGACCCGCATGCGCTTTCGCCACAAGGTCCTCGGCTGCTACTTGCGTGCCGCGAATGCGATTCTGCCGCAGTGGGGCTTCAAGCAGGTCGAGGTCAGCTGCGACAACGAGAATAACCCGCGGGACGCGCACACGTACTGGAATGTCGAGAGCCATTGGAACGACCGCCTGCCGCCAGGGAACGCGAAGCACTACAAGTCGCCCTTCCTCCGCGATTTCTGGCACCTCAACGTCGCAATGATGACTTCGAACAACGCGCTGATCCCTGACCCTGACAAGGAGGACATCCTCGCGTCCAAGCCGTTCGACTGGCCTTTCCTTCGCCTCGGCTTGCGCATGTGTGGCTGGGGCGACAATCAGACGAAGTACTACCTCCTCGGCACGCCTATCATCTGGTGGGGCGGCACAATCAGCTTGATCCTGTCCCTTGTCGTGCTGCTAGTGTATCTCATGCGCTTGCAGCGGAAATACGTCGACATGGAACCGAGGGAGTGGGATCACTTTCTCTATGTTGGCAAGATTGCCTTCCTGGGCTGGTTCCTGCATTTCTGTGAGTGTAAATACAACGTCGCTCTGGACTAGCCTAACCTGTTTCGTAGTCCCATTCTTGATCATGGGTCGCGTCACCTACATTCACCACTACGTGTGTACCTTGTTCCATTTAGCCATCATGCCATACTGACGGCCCTGCAGCTTCCGACCCTCTACTTCTCCGTCCTGATGCTCGCGCACCTCATCGACCACTTCGCCTTCACCTCCCGCCGCCTGTCTAACCAAACAAAATGGATTGTCTTCTGGGTCTGGGTCACCGCCATCGTTGTCACCTTCTGGTGGTGGAAAGGCGTCGCCTTCGGAATCGACGGACCTATCAACGACCACTGGGGCTTGCATTGGCGCAAAGTACGTGTTCCCATTCATCGGCACTTTGTATGGAGATTGATGTATATTTGCGAAATAACAGACATGGAACATATATAATATATAATGTAGGCTTAGGATGGATGTGTTTGCGTAGTGTCTATCCGTTACTCCCTGTGCTTTCCTTTTCTTCCACGGACACGTTAATTATAATGACGCATCTGCGAGCGAGGATAATATAATGCAAAATGGGGTTGCGATCTCGCCATTTAAAAGGGAGTGAATGCTGGTAACGGGAGGCGACCATAAAGATGCAGATCAAAGCAGGTAATGTATTTTGCAACAGGGCAGACAGCAAAGTGAATGGAAAGCATGACAGAGCGAGCAATGTGAACCATCCAGCTGGCCTGGGTCACAAAGTAAGGGTTATCATTTTGCTACTTGTGACCACGCCTTGTTGGGGACACCAGCACCTAGCCTGCGGTAAAAAAGTAGGTACGCGCACCGGTCATCGCGCGGCTCGCCTCCAAAGACATCTTCGGGTCGGACATCGGATACCAGCTCGTCGTCGATGCGTACCCACGCTTGCCGCGGTCGATCGCTCATGTCCCGGTTGGGATGCAGGACGTCGAGGGTATAGTGCCCGCCGGACGCGGACTGGCCGTGGTGATAGAGCGCGCCAAACAGCTGGTATTTAACCGGATGTGCCGGTCTTTTCGTCTGGGTGATGAGATCTGTGGAGGGGAAGTGAGCACACAAGACTACACTCTACGTCATGAAGTAATACAACATGCCTGGAGAAATCTCAAGCTCGGGACTGAAGCTGATGTGCTTCCCGATTTTGACAACGTCGCCAACGTTGGTGTCGTACAAGAACCGCTTCAGGTGCAGGATCAAGACAGGCGGCAGGGCCTCGATGAGCTCTTGCCGCTTAGCTTCGAGAATTTGCCCAGGTCGTGTTGGCGATGTAATCTCCACCGGATGTTCCTGTGAGATGTGCTGGAGAGCGTCCTTAATCGTGTGGACCTGCTCGCGCTGTCGAAATATGAGTAAAGACATGATTAAACATCTTGATTCTTTGACAGACCTGGATATCTAATCGTAATGACCTCCAGTCCTCGATAGTCACAGACTCACGCTGGAACTGAGCTTTCAGTGTGGAGCGGAACTTGCCACCAAATATCCGCTGTATCGGAGAGTCGGCACCTTTTACCTGGACAAGCAGTGAGCTATGTTGGCGTGAAGCAACGAGAATCACGCGCACGGTTCGAGTTGTCACGGAACGGTTCTTCTTGCCGACCTCCAACCACCCGTTATCTGCTGCTGGCATCTCATCCTGTTTCGGAGTCTTCTGAGATAACGATGACGAGATTGACAAAAGCTCTTCCTCCAACGTATCCAGGAAGAAGCCAAGAAATTCTTCCGCGTCTTCCTGGTGGCCAGTCTAGATATCGTTTTCAGTGCTATCAACTAGGATGAGTGACGATCACGCAGGCTTACCACCATACTCGCAAAGCGCTTCTTCTCCTTCATCACATCGTATACATACGTCGGGATGAAAGAGTCCAAATCATCGAAATCTTCCTCACGCTCCTTGCCCTTGCTTTTCGAACCCTTCTTTTCCTCCTCCTTGACGCTGAATTCTTTCAGGAACTGGATGGTCGCGTCGACGAGAGGCGTAGCCTTGGTATTCTCCGCTTGCGAGCCAACGACAGGGCCAGAGATATATTTGCTGAGTTCAATGAAAAGACGATAGAATGGTGGACAGTAGACGAGGACTTGAAGAACGGCGTTAGCAAAGCACATGTTACCCGTGTTGACGAGACCGCGGGGGCAAATCTTTGGTGGAGGGCTGGGACCAGTGGGGCCAACGTTCAAGAGGTTGAAGACCTCAGGACGAACGGTGGAGCCAGAAGTAGCCAAAGCACTGCTCTGTGAAGGTGCACCGTTTTGGAGGCCAGCAGGGATGGAAAAGCCAACGACAGATGAAGTCGGGAGGCGCGTCTTGGAAGAGGAGGATGCCACGGCATCGGAAGACTGTAACAGCGATGCCCATGATTTCTTCGGTGCTGCCGCCACAGGCTTCACAGGAAGAGAGGTGGACGCGGAAACAGCTTTCTGCTCAGGCTGAACGGACGCAGGCATAGGTTGCTGTTGTTCTGTACTCGACGCAGCGACGACTTCCACAGCCGCAGCAGAGATCATTTCCTGGGAAATGACCTCGGTAAGAGGCACCACTGCAGGCTCGTCCAGCTGCTTAGGCTGTTGAGCAGGCGAGGCCGCAATAACCGAGGTGTTCGTGGTAGAAGGCGAACCCGCAGTCGGCGTGGCAGGACCCGTAGAACCGATCGTCGTCTCCGTCACAGATGATGACTGTGCTTCAAGAGAGTCTGACGATACATCGGCTACATCGCTATCTCCTAATGCAACATCAGCGAGCACTAAAGACGCGGGCTCTGCATCTTTTACAGGGACGACCCTTGGTGATTGTGGAGGGGTGCGAATATCTAACGCAGATTGAACGGTCTCCTGTGGCGGGTGAGCCAGAGAAGATATCATGACACCTTCGGCACGAGATGGATCCCGAGGGCGCCTTGACCATATGACAAAGCTAGTAGGCGACATTGTGCTCTGAGATAGACGAAATATTGCGGAGACTGGGCTCTGGGGTATTGGAGAGTCAGATCTATCGTCGGGAGCAGGCTTCAGAGGTGATGGCTCGGAGTGTTCGCTCGGCGGAGGTGGTGGAGGGGATGGTGAACGCGCTGCGGGGACGGAGTCGATAACTGATTCTATGGTTGTCACAGCCTGCGGATTTTCAGGAGAGTCGTAAACCTGAGGCACAGGTTGCATTGTGGGAGCAGGCATAGAAGTTTCGTCGTTTGCAGGCAGTGGAGATTGCTGCTGCATTGGAGCAGGTATCGGGACCTGTTTCGGCAGCGGTGACAGGTTCGGTGCTGTCCACGCAGGGGAATAGACGCCGTTGGGCGGCTGGTATGGCGGTGAGTATGGCATGTGATGCGTATGAGGAGGGTACTTTTGTGGGTGGGTGTAAGGGCTTGCTGGAGTAACCGGGGCGGGTGACATGGGTTGAGGCTGGAGGTACGGCTGATGGTGATGGTGGGGCATATGCGGGAAGTGCTGGTAACTGGGACCGCCTGCACGGTGAGCATTATAGCCACCACGGCCCGCGCCGGTCATTCGTGGGGAAGCAGGCTGGTGCGGTGGCGGGCTGTGGCCGTTCATGTGGGGCATAGGGTAGGGATAGTACGGAGCGGCATGTGCGGGTGCGTAAGGATACTGGGGGCCAGGCGGCGGAGGGTGGTAGTAAGAGGGTCCAGGATGCGAGTATGTATGGTGGGGGCTTGACATGATATCCTATGTTGCCACAGTATACGCAGGAGAGTGACGAGGGCAAGTCGTGAGTAAGAAAGGTCACAACAATTAGAGGATTTGGAAGCGAAAATTAGGATACTTACAGATCAAGTGGTATGGATGCAAGAGTGTCTGTGTATAACCACTAACGATACATGCAAAATGGGGAGAAGATCTTGGGTGGTAGAACGACCAATTGCACAAACTAGTGCAAGGACTACGTCAGGCTGCAGTGTGCAATCCGCGTGGACTACGCTGTCTGCGTCAGTCCTGGACTTTTTTCTTTTTTCTTTGGAACAAAAAACAGGTTAGTTCGGTACGTTCCGGAGTGCCCACGCTGTCCCGTGCGGGATAGGTGCCGTCGAGAGCGTCGAGGAGGTGGAAGGGGATGCACAAGACAGACCCAAGCGAGACATGAGCTGATTGCTCCCGGCCGGAGCATCAGCGCATGAGTAAGTTCCGGCGCCGGAAAGTAAGCGGTTGCCGGCCGCCATCGCCGAAATCGCCGGGGTATCAGAGGCGTGGCGCGAAGAGTGCGAGCTGGCAGTGTTAGACGAATCGACGCATGTTCTCCTCATGTCGGACCTTCAGATAGGCGAAGACCATCCCTTGTCACTCGAGCTCGCTAGCCTAAGGGCGACTGTTGCGAGTTACCAGGTGGGTGTCTGAATCTTACGGTGGTTTCTTACCCTCACCTAGTCTCTTGCTCATCTGAAGCTGACATGCAGGTTTCCCATTAGCATGAGGCCCATGCAGCCGCGGTGAAACTGCAGCGACACTCTCTGGATACTTCACGCTCCTTGGAGCAGACAAACACCCTCCGGCAAGAGAATGCGCGCCTGCGCGAGGAGATTGCGGTCCTGAAAGCGCATCCGGATGTTGCGCCGCACCCCGCCGCGTTGCAGGTTCAGGAACTCACCCTCGCTTTGAGACGTCTTTCGGAGAAACTCACATCTACTGAAGATATCTTACTCCTACGTACGACGGAGCTCACGCATGCTCGGAGCGACCTACACACTGCGCAGTTAGACTCGGAGGCAGCACACACTTTGACCGTGCAGGCATACATTCAGATTGACCATGAACGACAAAAGCAGCGCGAGCTGGAGCGCAGGATTCGTAGCGCAGAGGAAGAGCGTAGGCTCGCAGATTTAGTCGTTCAGGAATACGCAGATCTTGTTCGGAATCTCGAGGGCCGGAATACGAAGGTCTCGCCGTCTCCGCTGCCGCTGGCCACGCGTGGTAGCGCGACAGACTCCAGCACTACCCTGATTAACGGCCTAGCAGAGGGGAAGCTAGGTTTACACAAGCTTCTAGTCGAACATCATGCCGAGACCGAAAAGTTGGCAGCGCATGCCACCAAGCTTTCCGACGAAAACGAGTTCCTGAAGACTCAACTTGATGTCGAGCGAAAGCGTTCCGAAGCAGATCGAGAATCCCTTGCCAAATTACTGCTCGAGCTCGACAAATGCAGATTGGACGACAGCACTGCTACGAAAATGGTCTCGAGATACATGTTAGTAACTACCCTTGTTCCGCGAGTGTCGTTGCTCAGAGTTCCGTAGGAAATTCTCGCAGTCTACGATCGATTCTCTACAGCAAGCTATGGAGAATACGAAGACGCGTCATGCCGCGACGCTAGCGACGTTTAATGTCCAGGCTGACCATTTGCAGAAGGCGCTGTCAGCTGAGCGCCGCCAGGCAGAGAAATTGCGAAACACTCTCGACGAGCTCTCAGAAGACATTAATCGTGAAGCATATGGGCGTCGGCGCGAGGTCGCACTTAGGCTTGCATTCCTGTCACGCGAAGAAAGTCTGGCGGAAAACTTGCGTAGATGGCTTCACCGCTCGAGAGAGTCCATGGATCGCTCCCTAGCCGGGATCCCGGAACAGGAAAGCAGGATTCGCGACGCCTCTGATCGCCTCCTTCGCGATGCAGAATCTCTCTTGGACTCTCTGAATGGCCAGCCTAATGTGGACGACTCTCCGGCTTCTGTTGCTCGCTTGGTTGCCGCGCAGGATGCCGTCCGGTGTATGGCGAAGGAGCTGCATGAGGAAACGGAGAAAAGGCTGCAGTTGCAGTGCCAGCTCGCCGAGGTTGACCCTCAGTCTCTTACAGCGGACGATGTTCAGAGTATCATGCTATCAGCCCCTCCGCCTCGCAATGTGTCTTTAGGCCGAGTTTCCACCAATGAGCCCGCCAATGCTCGCATCCCCAGCACAGAGACTACAGAGGCTGTTGTCGCTGACGCCGATGGTACATCGATCACCTCGCCAAGCACACAGCGACCTGAGCTACCAACATCGCCGATAACCTCCGCAGCCTCCCCTGAACAATCGCCAACAGCACAAGTGGAATCATCGGATACATCATCGCCAATACCTGCGTCTCACTCCTTTCGTGGAACCTTCCATACTTCCACTAATCCCGAAAATGGAGTCGAAACGAAGATAGTCTCAGTCGAGCAGGTGCCAACGCCTGACACTCGGAGCGCGATCGAGGCGGCGCGGCCAGATTCGCCTATACCCGTCGAGAGAGTCCAAGATGCCGTCTCTGTCGGGACTAAAGCAGATACCCAAGGACTGACGTCGACTGTCCTTCCGCCTCCGCACGATGCCCTCCCGTCCGGAGAGAGCGTCGATGCTGCGGAGCAGGACCCGTCCACCGTTCCCGAGCCGAATGACACTGCTCCCATTTTATCGGACGTCGCTTTATCTTTGCAAGAAACAGTGATCTCAGTCTCTGTCCTTACTCTTCCCAAGCCACCTGCCGAGCCTTCCGAACCAAGTGCTCTGCTCTTCGGCCCTGCACACAACCCTCCACTTGTGGCTACTCCGTCCGCTGGTAATAAACAAGCTCTTTTGGAAGAGCTCTCAAAGGTCAAGTTTCGCTACCAAGAGCTCCAGAAATCATTTCGTGACTGCAATGTAACCCTCAAGGACCTAAAGAAGGACGCTGGCTCATTATCGCCTACTTTCGACATGTCTGGTGTCATCCGGACGGCTATCGATCGGTTAGACGATTATAATGAAGATGCCCGAGTCGAACTCGAGATTCAAGTCGCAGACGAGGAGCGCATTCTTATCGGTTACGAGACCCTTCTCTCAGTAGCAGGCGCACTGGACGAGGATATGGAGGAGAGCAAGCTGCAGGAAGACATCCGCGCCTTTATCGATGGCTCCAACCGCGCGGTAACTCGAGCTATGACCCAGTTCCCCCGCAAACTCGATGATCTCCAGCACGACATCGCATCAATCAAGAAGGCGTTGCACGAGATTTCCACTGATGCGGACGACGCTGCGCGCCCCACGACACCCCCCAAGCACGGTGCAGGCTGGTCGTCCTGGACCGCTGGCATCCTCGGCAGTGGCGGCGCCTCACGCCCTGTGAGCCCTGCGCCCTCGTTCGGCGCGGTTATGACCTCACCGCGCCAGCGTCAGTCATCATTCTCGTTCACGCGGCGACCGTCGACGTTACTCGACGCGCGCAGTAGGTCGCCCTCTGACGACGGCCCAGACCCGTTCGCGAGCCTCGGCCTGCGCATTCCGATGCCCGTGCACGCCATGCCCACGCCCGCGCTACCGAAGACAGGCACGTTCCTCTCGCCGATGTCCATGGGCACGCCGCTACGTCCTGGCCCGAAGCCCCGCGCGTCTTCGGCGTCACTCTTCTCGCTCGGCCTCGGCGCGCGGAGTAGCACATTCTCGTTTGTTGCGCAGAGCCCCAGATCGCCCAGCAAGAGCGCCTTATGGAAAGAGGAAGGGTCGAAGGATGCGAATCCTGGGAGAGAAAGTTTGGAAGAGTCGAGCTCGGATATAGAGTAAACTTGTGTTTCAGTCTTAATCGCATATTACTAGCTCGTTCGAATATTGCGTCCGCGGGGCGATATCACCGGAGACTGACTTGTTAATCATTACACTATTCATGATGCCATAATGCCAGCAGCAAAATTCCCGCGACTACACTACTAGGACGTAGAGAGCTCACTCATAATCCTCCTCCTCTTCCACCTCAACTTCGCCGCGTATACCCTCGATGCTATGGTACGGAATCTTGTCGTGCAGCCACCTGCCAGTCAGCCAGTCGACCCGACAGAGCCCGCTGGCAGTTGCGGAGGCTAGCCAGGAAGCGCTTGCAAGCCCATTCCCTTGATTCCAGGCAACGCGAGTCACACCGACCTCCGGTGACCACGCACCGCTGGCCTTTGTTGGTTCTCTGCTCGCGCCGCCAACCCTTGGGACTTCCTGTACAAGATATTAGAGGTATTCCCGAGGACGAAAATACTAAGAAAGTATCAAAAAAAAATGTGCACCTTCGGCTTAAAATGTTCGAGCATCCTGTACTCGCCTGTCTTCCGGCTGTAGTCCATCTGGTAGATCTTGTGCGCCAGGAAGGGCTATAACACCCCAATTCAGCACGCCCACTCTTAGACGAACAATGAGGTGGCTTACTACAGTGCCCCCGCGCCGCGTGAAGCGCATCGTATTCGCCGTCACGACACTCCCGTCTGCTACGGCAGCTGCAACTTGAGGGTGGTAGTCTGACGCAGAGACATCCTATGTATTCTCGTCAGAGTCCGTAAGGACTGTGACAGTGAGACAGAACACACCCATACAGGCCCTTCGGGATCAAGAATTGTGTGTCCCTTGTTGAGAAAGATTGGCGAGATCGATATGGCCTTTAGGAATCCCTGGTCGACACATATGGGTCCGCCGCAGTAGGTCGAGAAGCATATTGCATTAATTGCATCTACATTCAGGTTAAAATTCACCAACGCTGATACTGCGAAGTCCGGCGCACCTCTTGTGCGAGAGATGTCGCTCCCACATGGTTCGCGCAAGTCGATAGCGTGCATCACGCCGTCATATCCAACGCTGATAATCATCGTGGGGCTATCCGATGTTACCTCTGCGTTGGCAGAGTATGTGGGTGCTCGTATCCATGTCAGCGAGCGGATAGCGGACTGGTGGGCACTGAAAAAGTGGGAGGGCAGAGGGGCTGTCGTTGTATCTGTTATCAACTGCTGTCAACTCGACCGCCAAGTTGCTTACCATCGCTATTCAGGGAATCAACGACGTTATAAACGGCAATAGTACCTGGCGAAGAATTCAGTTAGGGTCGACGCGATAACGGAGCCCGTGCATACCATTGGTACACCCAACTGCTAAAACTTCACTGTTCGCCCAATCTAAGCACCAACACAACGTTTCCTCGAAGTGTATGCGCAGAAGTGGTTCAGATAGTTTTACTGTAATCGAGTCAGACTTTCAAATACTCACTAGCGGACATGACGCACCGCATACAGGTCCAGAATCCTTCACTGTGCCCCTTGAGATATCTGGAGGATATGGGATCGCATATATGCACATCGACCCATCTTCAAATGTCCCTGCCAACAAGCCCATCTTTCGGGGGGTCCGTAGCGGAGAGTCTAGGGGCTTTCTCCAGCGTTAGAGCGTGGATGGACCTCAGAAGAACAGAAACACCGACCTGGAGAGAATCATGAGAGGGCAATGGGCACCACTTCAGCTCATATGCAGGACCCGCGCCTGTACATAGCACTATATCGCAGCGCATAAACCCTAGGTCATCCTTCTCGGCATCCCCGTTCGTAGTACTGCCATCTGCCGGTGGTGGTGTTGGATTGAGGGACCATATCTGAATGCATGCCGAGGTTGATCGCTTGACCCCTATGAGAGGGGCGTAATCGTGCGAAGGTAATGGCCCAATAGCTAAGTACTGTCGCCGCTGTATCGCTTAATGACATGATCAGCTCATGATTGCGTATGTAGAATACTAAACTCCACCTTCACGCCCGTCGGGTGAGATCGGGCACCAGTCCAACGCCCAGACGGGACCTCCAGCACTGAAGACGTGAGAAATATTTTCAGGGAAGTATTTATCTGCAAAAGTATTCAGCGTCGCGCCGTGGCTGCGCAAGTGTTGTATTACCCATGCGTAGAGTGTCGAGCGGCTTGATTGCCAACTGCTCCTGTTCAGAATATCGCCCAAAAGAGCACTTGATTTGTCCCTTAGGCAAAAAAGCTGCAGCCTGCCTTACTGCGAACATTAGAAACTAGGAATTCATGCGCATATACTCCACGTACTCGCCGGTCAACTCTTCAAAAGCCCCCGGTTTCATTTGAATGGTCTGATGTACGGTGGGCCTCCGGATGCCCTCGCGTTCATCTTCGTTGTATGGCGCCTCGTTGTAGAAACCTCGGTCTTCCATCAGCTCCCAGAACGGACCAGGGCCGACATTGTAGCTCCACGACTTGGGCACTCGAGTATCTATCAAGGGCTCTGAGAAGGCTTGTGTCGGAATAAGAGGTGGCGACTTGAAAGGCGACGGACGACACGCTAGACGTTCTGCCCTGGAGCTTTTAGGCCTCTTGTGGAGCGAAATTGGCCGGTGTCGATGGTGTGCGCTCGGCAGCGAGGACGCTGTAGATTGTTGGCGGACAGAGATGCCTGGTGCAAGCGATACCCTCCTTTTCGAGGTTTTTCTCTGGCCCTTGGGATCCGTCTGAGCAATCACAATCGATCCTTCTTCATCTGAAGGTTCAATGGCGCCCGTCTTCTCGTCGTCCTCTCCATCGTTGTCGCCGAGCTCGTCTTCTTCCGACTCTTCTACGGGCTGCTCGCCCTCGGGCGCCGGCACAAAGTCACTGCCACTTTCCGCATTGTCTTCAAAGTGAGCTTGCATATTCGAGCCTGAGGGTCCGGCACCGTCGTCGTCGTACTGAAAGAGGGCCGCATAGTTGAGGCGCGACGTGCGCTGTCGCAGTTCTCGAGGCATAGAAGTTCCCTTTTTAAGAGTGACCTATCCAAGCACTGGTAATGTCCCACGTATAAGCTTTAGCGTTTTATTAATGAGATAACGACCTACGATGTCAAGAAAGGTCGACTGAGCGTTGTGAGCTCAGTCAGAAGTGCTCAACTAGACCAACTTACAAATTGGGTCACAGGGGCGAATGCCGGCAAATTCCGTGTATGACTTCCGGCCAGCCAGTGACCGGACTCCGACGGATCCATGATATTCGTGTCATCCCCATCCAGCAAGGTAGCTGAGTCGACCCTGTACAATGCCATGAAGCAGCGTTGATAAGCGGCCGTACACATCTGCATATAACCTCAAGGTGAGCTTGTGATGTACGTTGCCTCTATTTGTTCTTCAGCAGTCGGTTATAGCAAGATTCAGACTCACACGCTTGCGAGACACTACAGTCACGCACGCAGGATGTCCAACGTATGCTCGACCATGTCTGCCCATAGGTTGTAGCTGATAAATATCAATGCAAGCTGCCCGTTTGTACGAAAGCACTAGTTGTAAAGCCATCCCCGCCAGGCAGAAAGCCGCTGTACCATGACGCGGTGCTCGAGGACCAACCAAATCCCCAGCTCAACCCGGGCGAGCTGCTGGTGAAGGTCAGCGCTGCGGCTTTCAATCATAGAGATGTTGGTGTCTCGTCGATATTTCCCAACTAAGTATAATGGTAAACATATTTTCTCCGACAGCTGTGGATTCGAAAGGGGCAATACCCCGTCATTGCCTTCGGAAGCACTTTTGGTGCTGATGGCGCGGGGACAGTCATTGCTGCTGCAAACAAAAATGATCCCTTACTGCACAAGCGTGTCTTCCTCGTTCCGATGAGAGGTTGGGAGAAAGATCCCGATGCACCTGAGTCGAAGTATGATCCACGAAATATCGTCTCTACGCTGCACTGAACGTTCGTCGTCTAGCTTCTTTATCCTCGGGGGTGGTAACGCTGTGCCAATTGGCACATTTCGGCAATACGTAGCTGTCGAACGCGACCAGGTCATCCTCTCGCCAGAGCACCTGAATGACGATCAGATAGCTGCTTGGCCACTCGGAGCAGTGACGGCATGGAGGTTAGTGCCGCTAAATGACGGTAATACCCTGTTTTGTTGACCTCCAGGTAGGGCCACTATTGTCAATGCCCAGATCAAGCCGGGTGATAACATTCTCATCACTGGTATAGGTGGTGGTGTCGCACTCATTGCCCTGCAAATTGCCGTTGCTCAAGGAGCCAATGTCTATGTCTCCTCTGGCAACGAGGAGAAGATTCGGAAGGCTCTCGTGTTGGGCGCAAAAGGTGGTGTCAACTACAAGCAAAAGGATTGGCCCGCACGGCTAGGCAAGCTGCTAGTCCAGCATACTGGAAAGAACGCTCAGCTGAGTGCTGTCATCGACTCGGCCGGCGGAGACATTATGGGCCAGGTGGGTAAAATCTTGAAAGCTGGCGGCAAGGTCGTCGTATACGGCATGTATGTGTCCATTGTCTTTGATACGCAGCTAGATGCTGATTTATGATGCAGGACTGCAAGCCCGAAGGTGAACTTCACGATGCGAGAAGTCCTGAAGAATCAGCGACTGCTTGGTGGGTTCGGTTGCCTAATGCTTTGAGCACTGTTTAATTGCTCGTAATAGGGTCAACCATGGGATCGCATCAGGACCTCGTTGATGCTACAAAGTTCCTCTCAAAACACCGCATTATTCCAGTTGTATCGCATGTGCTGGACGGCCTTGAGAATGCGGAAGAAGGGTTCAAAATTCTTCAGAAAGGGGATCAGTTTGGAAAAGTCGTCATTCGTGTCAAGCACGATGATGAGATTAGGAGCAAGTTGTAAACATCTAAGTATCTGGAGTCGGGGCTATATAATTCTTGTACATCACTGTTGTCCCGGATTCTGTCCAGACCTTGGCATTCAGTGTTCGCGAACGGTGTGACAGTGACAGGAGTCACCCCCTGTCCGGCTCGTGACACTGGCGTGACTCAAGGCGAGGCGTAATTAGCGATGAGAGCACACTCCATTTGGACTTGAACCACTTTCCTCCTGCACCTATTTATCCTGTGCTGCTACCTCTTCAGCTCTCTCTCTCTCGGGTCGAAAGTGCACCCACAGAGGTGGACCTAAAAGACTGACCCCCGCGAGGACGTAATCGAGCGCGCCCTAAGCTCACATCCGCGCTTCAAGCCAGGGGACTCCTCTCACCTCTTTACCACAACCTACAGACGATGGCGGCTTCGTTTGCTGCATATGCGTCGCAATTTCTGAACAGGCAGCAGGGTACATCCTCGAGTCTGTCCTCGTCTCAGCCCTTATTCTTCTCCTTCACATCTGACGGCGGGTCTCGTGCGGCGAATCCACACGATGCCGATCTCGACGACCTAGATGACCCGCACCTGCGCGCGAGCGAGGAGTTAAGCAGGCATACAATCCGCGATATGTATGCCCAGGAGGACGAAGATGACGACCCTTATCTGCGGCTGGACGAGGAGGAAGCACGCACGTCGCGACGACCGCAGCGTTCCACACGGCTGTTGGACGCCTCCGATCCAGGGGGTAGCAAAGGATGGCTTGCGCATGCATCACCTCTGCGCTCTCCCTCGCCACCACTATCGACGTCCTCTGTGGACTCCCATCCGCCACCGGCGCGCATTCTCAGCCCACCATTATCTCCACCACCACCGCAACAGCCGCGCTTTACGCAACCGCCGCCGCCTAGGACTGTGCCGTATCTGTCTCTGACTGAGTCATTGTTGCACAGAGACGGACGAACGGGAACAGCTGATGTATTCTCGCTGCCCGATCCCCGGTACATATCCAGGGGTCGCCGGAAATACAATGACTCCATATGGATCTCTGCCTGGTGTACTGGCCTTGGTATATGCTACTTCTGTTCTTTACTGGTCCTCATTCTCGTTCGCCGGCCGTCGAAGAAAGACCAACATGGAGCGATCCTTCCCTATATCACTCTGCTGCATACGGTGCCTCTGACGGTCATTCTCATCATCCTCAGTGCTGCAGTATCGTACGCCCATATCCTCCTGCTACGAATATTTGTCAAGCCCGTCATGGTCGTGACGTCAGTTTTTATCCCGGCGACGCTGTTCATATCAGCAGTATGGGCATTCATTGGGAGTTTCATGTGGGATGGAGATCTGGAACCAACGTGGGGAGAAACTGTCGGGTGAGCTTACTGCTTTCTACAGGTGTCATGATGCTCATGCGCTCTAGTCTCCGCCTATTCGCTTTGGTACCACTAGCATTCGCTCTGCTTACTGCCCGTCGACTTGTCAACCTTCCGCAAGAGATTCACACCGCGTCTTCGCTGCTCACGTTGACCACGCGTCTGCTCATGGCCAATCCATTCCTGCTCGCGCTATCGCCAGCTGTCCTGTTGGCAGAGCTGCTGGTGTCCCTGCCTTTCGTCACTCTGGCTTTTCGCCTGCTACTTGTAGGATACGCCAGCAGTCCGCTTGGTAAAATGACGGGTTGGGAATGGCATGTGCATGCCTGGGCGAATTGGGCAATTGCGGGCACCGTATGCGTCTGGCTTTGGACGTGGGGTGTAGGGCGAGGTCTTCTGCGCGTGACTTGTGCTGGAGTAATTGGATCATGGTACTTTGCCAAGTAAGTACGGACACCGTCCGCCTTCTGAGATGTGCTCATGTACACCAACAGCCCTGAACTTCCTCCGCCACCACCGACGTCTACCCACACCATTCATGCCGCCCTCTTCCGCGCGACACAGCCTTCATTGGGTTCCATCTGCCTGTCAGCACTTATCCTCGCTGGTGTCCGGCTCTTGGCGCTGACATGCATGGGTTTGCGAGTTCTCCCGGCATACCTTCCGCCATATCTACGTTTTGTCTCCGTCGGCGCCGCGATGCTGGTCAGCTACCTGGAGAACGTGACGAGCACTCTGAGCACATACGCACTTGTCTACACAGGCCTTACCGGCGACTCGTTCTTTCCCGGTGCGAGGCGCGCTTGTGCACTTGCTGGCGCAGTTGAGAGTTCTTCGGGAGCGAGGTATAGGCAGAAGTTCAAGACAGAGCGTAAGCATCGCCTTATTCAAAAGACATATGTAACGGTTTGCTGAGACACCTCACAGCGCCACTGACCATGCTAACAGTCGCTCCGTTGACGCTGACCTTCCCGTTCGCGCTCACGACTTACCTTTTCGTGGCGCACACCCTGAACGTGCCTGACCAAGCCCTAGGTGCTGCCCTTATCGCCGGCGGAGTGACAGCGCTCGTTGGACTGTTCTGCGTAGGGCTTGTGAAAGACACGTAAGCATCGCGTCGTTGAACATCCACTGCCCAGTCGCTGAGGTGTCTTTAGGGCGGATACTTTGTACATGTGCTACTGCATAGATAAGGATGTTGGCGCAAGGCACCGTGACGAGGTGTTTGAAACAGTAAGCGACGCACATGGTTGTTATCACAATCCAAGTTTGACACGATCTCGCAGTTTGAGTACGACACCCCTCGTCGCCCCGCACAGCCACCACAGAGCCGCCCAAGCAATGGTCGACAGGTTTCGAGGCAGCAAGAACAAAGTCACGCAGTGTCTGCTCCGCCTTCTGCACCGAAGATGCCAGTCCCGCAGCCCCCGCCATCGTACAACGTCAGTGAGCCGCGGAGGACCACGCGACTCGAGCCTGCAGCTCGCGAGGATACCCCAGACCCATTCAACGTCACTCCGACGGATCCATTCTCGCCTGAGATCTCGCCTGACGTGCATCATAGTAGCTTAGATCAAGGACACCTGGAGGCGAGCGAGTCCATCCCGTCCATCTCGCTGCACCATCCGCCACCAGATAGCGAAGAAGAAGTAGAAGAGTCGCAGTTATTCCCCGGCTCTGACCTGTTCTGAGCTGGCTCGCTCTCCACTTTCCTGGCGTAGCTTCATATCCTGTCGCGTCTTTCTTGCTCTGATCATCTGCTGTCGGACTTGCCCTTGTTTGTTACGCTGATTTTCCCATTTGTCATGTAGAGGCTGAGGGCTGCAGTGGTATGCGTGCGTGCGACGTCATTCCTTGCCACCGGGTCTACCATACTCTCCGTATTTTTGTATCATGTCGCTAATATGGTATGCTGTCTCTGCCAGGAAGCTTGTTCCTGCGGCTGCTGCGTCTTAAATCTGCATCCTTAAGGAGTCTGAGCTACATTCCGGATACATTGTGCGTACATTGTCGCTCTACACCGGAATCTAAGGCCGTTACCACGCTTGAGGTCTTAGAGACAGAGGATAAGTTATTTACAAGCAACTCAACAGACGTGCTGCCCAGGAGTGATACAAGTAAAAGTGTCTCAATTCAATCTGGCTAGTGCGATGAGGTAAACTGAGATTGTGATGGTCGGTGGTAATGGTGCGTGAGAATGAAATTATGTGGACCCGCAGACAAAGGGCAAAGCCCACACAGACTCAAGCCTAAAAACGCTACGCATCCTGCGTAAACCTCTTCAGATCGTCCCACTTTCCAAGGCCAAACGTCTCCGGGAGACGATCCCAGACCTTTGCCCTGCCCGCTTTCGCCTCGTCCTTCAAGGTCTGCCCGCATCTCTCGCACAGGTTGTCAAACGGCTGCTCCACGATCGGGTCGACGTACCCGTCCGTCGTCATGATTGACGGAAGGAGCCTCAGTCGTTGCCAGTCGCAGTGAAGCACCGTCGTTGGCGCAAAAAGCTGCGGGAACACTGTCATGCGCGCCGCCGAAGAGAGGGCCTCGCGGCCCAGGACGAGTGCGCGCTGCAGCTCCGGCGGTAGGAGTATGCGATGGCCGCGTCCCTCGACGCCCTCGAAGATGAAGCTCCGGTCGACATTAGGCAAGCGGATGAGCTTCCACAGCGTATACGGCAAAAACTGTGGCGCGGCGGTGCGTAGCACGCACGCGAGGGCGACGAGCTCGGGGACGGTGCTGATCAGGCGGCGGGGCAACGTGTGGACCTTGGAGGACGTGTGCAGGGCATCGTACGCGGCAAGCGTTGTCGGGAACATCGCAAGGAGCAGCTTTATGACGCGCTGCCGGACGTTGGTGAACTCATACTTCGTGCTCAACTCGAGCAACCCGGCGAGAGCGAGGCCGTCATTGATGACAGACTCAGGCCAGCTGCAGCACGTGGAGCAGGCAGAGTGCCAGAGATGATAAGCTAACTTTTTCTATGTCTAGGATGCATGGAGGGGCTTACTCCACGTCGTGAACCGCCTGGAGAATGTCGCGCACGTCCTGTGCCCTATTCCCTTCGGGCATTTGGACAAGTGGGCATCCATTGTATTTCTCGATATCCGCAGGCTGAGGAATTTCGAAAAGACCCTTGAAGAAAGATGATTGTCTGGAGAGTATCCCGGTGTACACGCGGAAGAGCGTGTCTTCCGCTTGTATCACGACTGTCCCGTCGTCATACCAGAGCTCCTCGCAGTGACTGAGCTTGGTCGCCATGACTGCACTTAGAGGTATAGGATATGGAGCGAACAAAGAGCACGATGACCTGATTGGAGAACGATGTTCACCCTGGGCAAGGTAGTGGCTAAGAGCGAGGGCAGCCTTCCATGGGCAAGCGCACTTCAGCCGAGATAAATGCTATGTGGCGACGAAGCCACGACAGGCCATCAGGAAAATGTCCCGACTGTTGGAGGCTTTTGCATTTGACAACGTGCCTGAGCTTGGTGTTGATCAACATTAACAAGGCACCCAAGGCACGCGCAAGCGACATCAAGACGATTGAACAGAGTTTCCTGATGCCACGCGGCAACTTCATGCCTTTATTCAGACATGCTAAGCAGTTCCAGTTCCTGCTAAGACAGTACGGATACAGCAAGTAATTCAACGTGCGAAGCGATATTAGCTAACGCAGCTCGCAGCTCGGGATCTCGACCGTCTGGCAGATAAGGCGTGCATGATGACGTCCCGTATCTCGCCCAGAACACTTGGTAGCAGGTATTCCGTGCTCCGCAAAGCTCGTCAGATACCCACGGTCAATGACCGCAGTAGCGCAGATCACCGAATGACTCGTGCAAAGAGCGCACCCGTCTCGCTTGCACAGGTGCTCCTGCGCGTTCAGCAGAACGGACGCTACGCTGCATCGGCTCGTGCCGGAGCTACTTCCAGGGGTTCGTCGCGACCTCAATGTTCAGAAGGACCCGTTGGGGAGCAGCCTGAGGTCTCGGAACAAACAGCGCAATCGTTGGTGACCGGTCCATCGCCTTCGATTATCAAGCTGCTCCAGGTCATCAGGAGCGTGATATTAGGGTGGGTAATCCTCCAGAATTGTTCAGCGCCCTCTGCCACATGATAAGACAGGATGGGCAGCCTAGACGACAGCTTTGCGATCCGGACCACGGGTCTATTGCCAGGGATTGCAGCGATTGAAGATCGATGATGCTTTCTACCTAGCTCCAAGTGGGTATCAAATCATGCTGGTGTGCCCCTGAATGAGCTTGAGATGGAGGATGGTTCATGAACGTTGATGGATAGTCGCTGGTTGCCTCCAATGTGGAAGGTAGCATATTTCGAGTGAGTACGGCGGAGGGAGGTGGTCAACAATCTGCACCAGGATGGTGACAGTAAGTGGTGTGTGCATGCTCGCAGGTTGTTAAGGGCACAGTGAGTGGTATGTTTTGAAGATGAAGAGAACTTAACGTTGGCCGAAACCTACCTATTCACAAGTAGTGATATCAGAATCAAAGACCTGAGAGATAGACATGAAATGTTGACCTCCAATTGGTGTGAAGTATAAAGACGGTCGTTGTAGTTCAAGAATAGCGGATGTATCTGTCCGTGTTTGGCGCGGACATTGTGGCGTTCGGTCCGGATATCCTAGGCAAATCCACGCTCAGCCTTCGGCGACACGCTCGGTGGGCTTGAGGCGACAGAGGAATGCACCACGCGAGGGCGAAAAAATGTTCTTGTTGATTTCGATTGCGTCAATATTCGGATTTAAACCCCGATTCTAAGTCCCCTATTCGCGCAGCAAAACTTTGAGAAGGCATCTATAAATGAGTATTAAACCTGAATATGCACGACATCATTGTGCCAAAAGCGACGTCATGATATTTGGGGATTAAGATGAAGTGAGATGAGCTGCGTTTGCCTAGTTGAGCAAGTCTACTATCGTAGCTTGCAAGTTATCCGGGACGGCGGCATTTACGTGTATGCGCTGAAGGTCGGTAACAATCGCTGGTTGTACCTCAACCCCGTGTCCTTCGTGTATGTGGCCATATACATGTAGCTTGAGGTGACTAAGGTCACCACTCGCCAGCTTGGCAGCTAATGCGGGGCATCCGGCATTCTTCTCCCTTCTCGTGACGTCGCATATACCAAATGGTGGTGTATGTGTCAGGAGGATTTCGGTCGTGATAGGTATCCGGGAGTAGATCTCTTCACCTTCCAGTGTCCCACTCTCGTACTGGAACGCACCGAGTGCATATCTTGGTGTAGCCTCACAAGAACAGGAGAATGAGATGAAATCGCAAGATATGAGGCAGCGGCTTACTGGAGAGCCATAAATCTCCCAGGTTCGACCGGTCTTAGTTGTAATGCTCGTCGATTGGTATTCTAGGTAGTGAATACCCACCGCACGGGTAGCTTCACTGCGTACCTTGGCTCTAGCAGTTTCCGCCTCCTAGGTCGAAGGATGAGCACACAACGGGAAAACAGAGCATAGACAGAGCACCTTGAGTGGTATTCCTTCGCCAGCTTGGTTCGCCCAATGGCCTCCCTCGGCCCACTGTTCATCAAGGCATAGCTAGCAAAGCGTGAGTTCAAAGCGTGATCAGATGTCACATACAACAATATTACGCACATCATGATTGCCTGCTATAATACTGCAGGTAGAGATACGTAAGTATATCACGAAACATCGGAGGGAGTTTGGGGGGACACGCACACTTTCACCGGGTGAGGCAAGCTTTCAATCCATGTCAAGCTAGATTCTAGGTGTGGAAGATACCCCCAGCTCGAGAGGTCGCCAGAATGTAACAGCACATCTCCCGGAGGAACTCTATACTTCCTTGAGTGGGTATCCGAGACACAGACGAACCGAGTCCAATCTGGCCCTGGGTGCTCTGGCGGTGAATCTACGTCGTATGAGATGTAAACTCGAGAGGCTGGTGACGCGTAGTTATCCTCGAGAGGCATTGATTTTCAAAGATACTTTCGTACAGACGTTGGAGAATATAAGGAGTCGCAGAGAAGGCTGCGCAAGGGCAGTGCGACGCGCATAATCGACCTTGGCGGGACCGAGAAAGCGGCGGCAACAACTATGGCTTTGAGCAGGGTCACCAAATCGGACCCCGAGAACCCCATGCAATCACACCCAGGATGAACGCCGGAATCTTAAGTCTTGACTGACTCCTGCTGAGTCTTGTGGGTCACGGTTTTCCCCTTCATAAAACCCGGCAACTACTGAAGAATACACTATATCTTATACAGAGATGGCTGCCGTGCTCACTGTTTCTTCTTCGGCCTCGCCATTCCCTTACGCGGCGGTCGCGGCTGCGACCTATACTCAAAAAGCTGAGGTCAAGTTTGACGAATCCGCAGCCGGGATCTCTTTGGAGTTCAACGGGTCTACTTTCGCATCTGAGGACGAGATTGTGCGACTGCTGGCGAAGGAAGCTGGTCTTGCAGATGACAGCGCAAAGGTGCATAATGGATCGTGCTGAGGTGAAATGAGGCGAATCCAAGCTAACAGTTTGTCTCTTGGCTTGTTAGACCCAAGCATTCTTTGAACTCGCGAAGAAGCTGCTCGCAGTCACTGCCTTTCCCGAACTCGTTGCTACGCTCGATTCTCTAGATAATCATCTCGCGTTCCGCACGTTCCTGGTTGGCCATCAGCTAACGGCCGCTGACCTCATTGTCTGGGGCGCTCTGAAGGGTACGTCCTTTTTCACTCAATGGTACACTTGTTCACTGAAGCTGTGTGCACTAGGAAGTGTGAAAATTGTTGGTCTGCTAAAGAATAACAAGCATGTCCATCTGAACCGTTGGTACACGCACATCGAGCTACTCGAGTCGACCCAGCTTGCTCTTGCCGGCCTTGTTGGTACGTCATGAGACTTACATTCGCATTCGTTTGACTGATCAAGGTTCACAGAGGCGAAGTCTCATAAGGCGCGCTCTAACAAGACTGCAGCTTCATTTATTCTCGGTCTCCCTAATGCGAAGGAGGGCCAAGTTGTGACCCGTTTCCCTCCTGAGCCCAGTGGTTACCTGCATATCGGTCATGCGAAGGCTGCGATGCTGAACCAATACTTCGCAACGATGTACAGGGGCAAACTACTTATTCGTTTCGATGATACAAATCCTAATAAGGAGAGGGTGAGTCGTAAATCAAGTGTCATTGTTTGCCACGTCAATCTAACATTACCGACAGACCGAGTTTGAGGAGACAATCCTTGAGGACCTTGCACTCCTTGATGTCCACGGCGATGTTGTCTCGCACACGTCCGACTTTTTTGACCAGCTCTACGAGCTCGCCGTCAAGCTTATCAAAGAGGGTAAGGCGTATGCCGACGATACCGAGCAGCTACAGATGCGCCAGGAGCGCTTTGACGGTATTGCCTCAAAGCACCGCAATGACAGTGTCGAGGACAACCTCAAGCACTTCGAAGGGATGAAAAAGGGCACTGAGGAAGGTGTTCGTTGGTGTATCCGTGCGAAGATGAGCGTCGACAACCCTAACAAGGCCCTCCGTGATCCGGTAATCTATCGGTGCAATCTCTTGCCCCACCACCGCACTGGGTATGTCGCAAAAAATATGTATGATCGCGAAGCATTGCTGACTGGCTGCCAGTGACAAATGGAAAATTTACCCCACCTACGACTTCGCCTGCCCAGTCGTCGACTCGCTCGAAGGTGTCACTCATGCCCTGCGTACGAACGAGTACCGTGATCGTAACCCGCAGTACCAGTGGATGATCGAGGCACTCAACCTGCGCCAGGTCTTCATCTGGGATTTCAGCCGTCTCAACTTCATCTACACCTTATTGTCCAAACGCAAGTTGCATTGGTTCGTCGATCAGGGGATTGTCCGAGGCTGGGACGACCCGCGCTTCCCCACCGTCCGCGGCATCCGACGCCGCGGTCTCACTGTAGAGGCGATCAGGCAGTTCATGATTGCCCAGGGTCCCTCGCAAAACATCGTCTCACTCGAATGGGACACCCTTTGGACCATGAATAAAAAGGTCATTGACCCGGTGGCTCCTCGCTTCTGGGCTATCACTAAGCAGGATCTGTGAGTACTCCCTTCGCTATATGACTATCCACACGCTGAACTGAGCGTTTCAGTGTTCCCATCACTATCGCTGGCGGTCCTGCCGAGCCTGAGATCAGGTCTCTTCCCAAACACAAGAAGAACCCTGAGGTTGGCGAGAAGAAGACTATCTTTTCTTCCAACATCATTATCGAACAGGAGGATGCAGCATCTTTCGAAGACAACGAGGAGGTAAATTGACTTCTTGAATATAGATTGCAACCGTTTCAACGATGCGTTCCTAGATCACTCTCATGGATTGGGGTAACGCCATTGTTCGCTCTAAGACCACTGGCGCTTCTGGCAAGATTAGTAGCATTACCATGGAGCTGCACCTCGAGGGCGACTTCCGCAAGACCAAGAAGAAGGTCACCTGGCTCCCTGCTCCCGTTGAGAAGCTCGTGGCGTCGACTCTGCTCGACTACGACTACCTGATTACGAAGAAGAAGCTCGAGGAGGATGACGACGTCAAAGATTTTGTTCCGCCTGTGTCTGAGTTCCGCGAAGAGGCGCTCGCCGACGCGAACGTGAAGGAGCTTACGAAAGGCGACACCATCCAGTTCGAGCGCAAGGGCTACTACATCTTTGACGGCATTGCCAAGGACGGCCGACACGAGTTCATTCAAATCCCCGACGGTCGTGCGGCAAGTATTGCTAGCAAGGCCGGTACCGAAGCAAAGACAAAAGACCCCTCGCCTGCTCCCGCAAAGACTCTGGCCTCGGATACCCCTCATGACACCAAGATGTACAAGGTGGACAAGGTTTATGGCGGTGACAAAATTATCCCCAAGGCCGACACAAAGATGTACGAGGTAAAGAATGTGTACACATAGATCGGGACGGCCCACCAGGACATAGAAAAAATGTAGCAACATTTCTCGGCCAAGCAACGTGTTTCACAATGGGGTTTGAGCGACGTCAGTAACATTAGTCAGCATCAGCAACGTGACGTGACTCTCCTTATGTGACACAATTAACGTGATCTGTTACGCGTGACAATGGCCATATGGACTGTTTGTTTTTGTTTGTTCGCTGTTCCATCCCACAAAACCACCACCACCGACGACGACGGCGACGTGGACACTGACGAACTTGACATCGACGCTCCCGAAGGCAGTGCTGACGAGCCCGGACGCAACTGTATCTGCGGCCTCGTGTTTCTCGCCACCGTCTCTACTTGTCATACCTCTACTCTAGCGCTCTCTAGCTCGCCTTGATGGCACAACAACGTCGGCCCTCGCAGCGAGTGACTTCGAGAACGATTGACGGGGCGATATATCCTTTGCGCAAGCTGCCTTCTCGACGAGGTCCAACTTCTCGCCGGCGCGTGTTCACAATACCGCCGTCATTTGCCCAATCGACAAGTTCCCACGTATCAGGCGCGTCAAGTTCCCCACCGGAGTCGCGGCGGGCCGTTCTCGTACCCCTCCACTTCAATTTGCGCCGCTTGCCGTCGCGTGCGTTCTTGGATAGCAAGGACAGTATGCAGGATGCGGTTCCGACGGGATCGAAGCGGAAACGCGTCGTGAGCGGGAGTGAGAACGCGCATTCGACTGGGCGGTCGCGTTCGGGGAATCGGGTGAAGCGACGGAGGGCTGTCGGTTCGAGTGATGACGAAGTTACAAGTGCCATGGATGTAGACGACAGTGCACAATGGGATCTAACCGATTCGGGCGCGAGTGACGAGGACGGCGTAGATTCATGTGAGTCTTCCTGTCACCGTTGCCTCCCAGTGGACGTTTATGAGGTGCATGTCGTAGCGGACGATTACTTGATACATGAAGCGTCGCGTCGCGAGCTATTGCGTCTGCGCAAGGACGAGCTTGTCCGTCTATACACCGCGGCGGGTCTTACCGAAGATGCAGAACTTCTGACAAAACCTGAAATTGTCGACTGTATCATCGCTGCGCGAGATGATATTGCTTCTCTGCCACCATCGTCACCTCCAGATGCTCATTCCAGCGGCTCTAGCAACTGTTCGTCGGATGAGGGCAATGTCGCGGGAGGTGAAGAGACCGATATTGGTGGTCGGTTTAAGCGGAGTTTGGCGAGGCGCAACACTATTCACGATCTTAGTCGACGGAAACGTCCTCTGGCAGCTGACAGGTGCTATTCATTACCCCAACTTCAGCAGCCTGAGCGCCTACAAAGGCCCGCAAGCCAGTCCAGACTGTCGTCTGGTGCGTCACGACGGTATGTCTTTTCCATCTTCTCCAGTGCGTCATGTATAGCTGAGACAGTCTTCCCCAGTAATGGCACTAGTAGAGCTGGCTCGAGTCGATCACCACCGACAACTTCCACGGTTTTCCCTACCATCTCTTCACCACCCGCCACACGTACTCGTTCACGAAAATATTCGAATGGCGGGATCCAGTCTATCGCGTCGACTTCCACATCCAGTAAAGGCAAGGGAAAAGGGAAGCAAGTCGAATTCGACGATGAAGTACAGATCGCGGCTCTGCTCGAAACAGAGCAAGAGAGCGACCTCACTGACCTCGCTGAGCTTGAAGAGTCCATTGGATTGACTACTCCTAGCCCTCGGCGATTGCGGAGCAAAGGCGACAGGCCGCGATCTTCGAGCGAGAGTGTTCCACTCGGGGAAAGACACGCGGGTGGGGAAGTTGATTTAGGGCGACGGGTGACGCCAATGCGGAAAGCAAAACGGGGCGTCGGGACGCTTAAAGAGGACGAGACGGAGGAAGAGGACGAGCTGGTGGAGAGTGATGCGGAGGACGCGGAAGAGGAGGAGGATGAACTTGAGGAAGAACCTACGCCAAAACTCAGCCGGACACGACGAACGCCATTACGCAGCCGACTACGGTCTAGGCTAACACAAGCGGAGGCGCCAAGTGATGGTGATGATGAGGGGAGTGACGATGAGAGTGTGGATATTACGGAGAGTGTCAGCGGAGAGGAGGATGAAGAGGGTGAGGAGGATGAAGAGGGTGAGGAGGATGAAGAGGAGGATGAGGAGGATGAGGAGCAAGAGCAGGAGGTTGACGACGAGGAGACGGTCAAGGACGAGAGCGAAGGCGAGGAAGCGATCGAAGAGGATGAACTGTTGAGTGAACCTCGGGTGTTGCGCAACGGGAAAGTGGTTGGGGAAAGCGAGCGCGTGGAGGGTGAGGACGAAGACCTCACGGAAGAACTCACAGAGGAGGATGCTGAGGGTGAAGAAGTCGACGAAGCGGAGTTGCAGGACGACGCTGCTAGTGTCGATCTTGAAAATGGGGAGAGTGGTGAGGATGAAGAGGACGAAGAGGCGGAGGAAGCTGACGAAACCATGGAGGACGACAGTGAGTACTTCGCATCTGCATGTGCGATGTTCGACTGACCCCTGTATCTCGACCAAGTTGACCTTACAGTTGCCACTGCCAAGTCATTGGTGCGATTACGACGAGACGATCTCGTACGGATGTGCGAACATCGCGAGCTTGATGTTATAGGTACCAAGCCTCAGCTCGCGGAGGCTCTGCTACAATGGCGCGACAAGCACTGTAGTGAGATAGCCTCGTCTCCATCGTCTACTGGTACAGCTCGTCCACCTTCGACATCAAGACCTCGTCGGCGGAAGACTCGTAGTGCAGAAACTCACTCGCCACCTGTCCTCGAACGCTCCGATAGAGTGCATTTAGACGAACCCCGCACACCGCCACTCGCCAGCCACAACAAGGAGGCGGAGCCTGAACTGGAGCTCGACCTCGAAAGCCTCGGCTTGGATGACCGTGAGATTCCGCCTGAGAAAATCACCAAGCTTGAGAAGATTGGCAGCGGTGGCTTTAAGGATGTCTTCATCGGCAAGTTCAAGGGCAGGAAGGTCGCAATCTCTGAGTTCCGTGGCCAGCTGAGCGCAAGTAAGTGCCTTCGCTTTCTTTTCACTATGCCCTTTTTAACCTTGCTACTGTAGTGGACGTCAAGGAACTCAAGCTGTTGGGTGATTTCAATCACCCCAACATTGTCCGATTCGTACGTACCTTTGCACATTCGTGCTTTGCTGAGTTTCATGCTACTTCCGTAGCTTGGTGTGAGCATTCCGACCAACCCGAAGGACACTCCGGTCATGATAGTCAGTGAACTCTGTTCCAATGGCGACCTATTCGACTACGTCCGAAATGTCGACCCACCAACACTTTATCGAGTCGTAAGTGGATCTCTGATTCAGCTCTGTCTTCGCTAACAGTGAGCAGCTCTGTATTATGTTTGACATTGCCCGTGGTCTCGAGTACTTACACACCCGCAAACCCTCCATCATTCACCGCGATTGCAAGTCCTCTAACATCCTCATCACATCGAAAGGCGTGGCAAAAATCACTGACTTCGGCCTTGCGAAAGTCAAGCAGTCGACTCGTTCTATGGTCCGCAGCTTGGTTGGGACCGTTAACTGGCAAGCGCCAGAGCTTTGGCACCCGCATCCAAAATACAATCACAAGGTGGACGTCTTCTCTTGCGCAATGGTTTTCTGGGAGATGCTCCAGTGGCATGTTCATGGCAAGAAGTTTCCATGGGAAGGCATGAACGAGCATGCAATTTATGACCTTGTTGGTGCCAAGCGTCAGAGGTACGCTTCTCTGTATGTAGCGTCACGCTGCTCGTCTGCTCACTCACTACCCAGACCCTCGATCGCTGGCCTTAAGAGTCGCTGGTGTCCCGAAATCGTCGAGCTCATGGAGCACATGTGGGCCCAAGACCCACAAGACCGTCCGACTATGAGCGAGGTTGTGCAAGAGCTCGAAAGGCTGGTTGCATCATATCGCTAGTTCAAATTGCGCGCGACATCGCCCCAGACTCAGACCTCGCTTCATCATCTTCGTCTCGCATCTGCCTACGGGACTCATTTCTCGGTCTTATAACAATCAATTTATATTAGAGCGAGAGCCTCTCTTTGTCTTTCGCTGTGTATCACAACTTTCAGATAGCATCTGTCACTACTACTACAATCAATGTATCTAAACGTATAACCTTGCCTTAGCTGTTCAGAGATTTTGAGGTGTGCATACCAGCGTCAGTCAGTACTATATTTGCGCGAATAACAGGCGGGTCGATGCTCGAGTAATTCTTGGCCGGCATCGACTCTCGCACTTGCCGTGATCACCAAAAACACTCGGCTATGTATCTGATAATAAATGTGGTGAGAGATGGGTTCATCAGTCCACGTCCCAACTCGCAGAACACAACAGCACCTGGCACCTGCAGGCACCTGTACGTTTCAACATGTCACAAGGCCTGCTCAAAGGGATCCTTTCCTTCCATACCCAAACGAAAATTGCTTGGAAAGCTGCGCTTGTGACTGAGAAGACGGCTGCAAAACGACTTTCGCAGTCGTCGTGAAAGGAAGTGTCGGCGGCAATTCAGCCGACCCAAGTCATAGCAAAACTGCAAGATGACTCGGGCAACGTGCCCTCCCTTTCTCTTGGACGACCATCTAACGTCCTTTTAATCTCACACGACAGCGACGACGATGCCTATGTTGTACGTCGTTCACCACCAACGCTAACGACCCAGCTGACTATCAAGCCCAGGGCTAACCCATCCCAAAAGTACATACCGTACACCCCGCTCGACTTGCCGGACAGGCAATGGCCTTCCAGAGTCCAACGAACACCGCCAATTTGGCTCTCAACGGACCTGCGAGATGGCAACCAGGCCCTTGCAAACCCGATGACCATAGAACAAAAGACTCGCTTCTTCCAGACCCTCGTCAAGTGTGGGCTAAAGGAGATAGAGGTCGCATACCCCGCTGCGAGTGATACCGATTTCAATTTTGTTAGGGGGCTTATTGAGGGCAACCAAATCCCGGACGATGTTTGGATTCAGGTGCGTTGGTATATGGTCATATGTTGTGTCGGCCATGCTGAGGCGCTGCTTGTAGGTGCTCACGCCTGCACGAGAGGACCTCATTAAGCGTACTGTCGATGCCGTCGCTGGTGCCAAGAAGGCCATTATCCATATGTACAACGCCACTTCGCCGTGCTTCCGTAACATCGTTTTCCGCAACTCGAAAGAGGAAACAGTCGCTCTCGCGATCAAGCACACGAAAATCGTCCGCGAGCTGACGGAGGAGTGCTCCGCAAGAACAGGCACCGTTTTCAGATACGAGTACAGCCCAGAAACGTTCTCACAGACCGAGGCGGATTTTGCCCTCGAGGTGTGCGAAGCGGTCAAGGCGACGTGGGGCAAGGCTGGCACCGGAGACGAGCGCATCATCTTTAACCTGCCCGCGACAGTCGAGATCGCGCCACCTAACCACTTTGCCGACCAGGTCGAGTATTTCTGCCGCAAAATCACGGAGCGCGAGAAGATTGCTGTGTCCCTGCACGTGCACAACGACCGAGGACAGGGCGTGGCTGCTGCTGAGCTCGGCTTGCTCGCTGGCGGTGACCGTATCGAGGGCTGTCTCCTCGGTAACGGCGAGCGGACAGGAAATGTCGACATTGTGAATCTCGCTTTGAATCTGTACACCCAGGGCGTCCACCCGAACCTCGATTTTAGCGACATCCAGTCAGTCATTGACACTGTCACCTCATGCAACGATTTGCCCGTGCACCCCCGCCATCCTTATGCAGGAGAGCTTGTCTTTACCGCGTTCTCAGGCTCACATCAGGACGCGGTCAAGAAGGGCTTCGAGGCGCAACGAAAGCGTTGGGCTGAGGCAGAGGCGAAGGGCGAGCCCAAGTTTTGGGACATCCCGTACTTGCCCATCGACCCCGCTGACCTCGGCTGCACCTACGAGGCCGTCATCCGTGTTAACTCGCAATCCGGCAAGGGCGGTATTGCATACCTCGTTCAGCAGCACCTCGGCCTGGACCTCCCACGCAAGATGCAAGTCGTGTTTTACCAGGTCGTCCAGGACATCGCAGATCGCGAGGCTCGCGAGATGACGGTTGAGGACATTACGACCGCTTTCCGCTCAACATACCACTTTGGCGGCTCCAAGTATGAGGGCCGTCTCACCCTCAAATCGTTCAAGATCTCTTCGGAGCCAGTCGCAGACTCGACTACTGACAGCGAAGAGCCTGCAGACGAGCGTCGCCTGTTCGACGGCACAGTCGCTGTTGACGGCGCTGTGCGGGTCATCCGCGGGGACGGCAACGGGCCCTTATCCGCGCTGCTTGACGCGCTGCGCACGCACCTCGACGTCGACTTGCAGGTGCGCGAATACTCGGAGCACGCCATTGGTGAAGGCTCGAATGTGAAGGCAGCGTCGTACGTCGAGATTGTGCGCGGTGGGCAGGATGTCAAGGATGCGCGCAAGTCGAGCGAGTCTTGGTGGGGCGTGGGCGTCGACTCGGACATTGCGGGCTCAGGCTTACGCGCGGTGCTGGGTGCGGTGAACAACGCGATCGGGGACCGCGAGCTGCCGGAGCTCAAACTCTCAGTCGGGTTCAACGCCAAGTCGGGTCAGGCGGACGTTGCGAATGCAATTCTCAGCTCTCTTCACCTAGAACTCCCGCGACGCTTCCAGGCAGCGTTCTTCGAGGTCGTCCAGCGCGCAGCGCGCACGACAGGCGGGGACATCTCGTACACGGACCTCGTGCAGCTCTTCCGGTCATCGTATCACTACGGCACGTCTGTCCCCTCACCAATCGAGCTTGTGCGCTTCAATCTCGAGAACGTCGGTGAGGGTGAACGCAAGGAGCTCGCGATCGAGCTCGACTGGCACGGCGAGCACCGCAAGCTCTCTGCCGAGGGTAGCGGTGTGCTGTCGTCGGCCTTAGCTGTGCTCAACTCGCAGATCGATGGCACGCTCTCGATCAAGGAGTACGCAGAGCATTCAATTGGCGACGGCACCGATGTCGAGGCCGCGTCGTTTGTCGAACTTGCGTACGATCACCCCAGCGGGAAGCGCGAGACGGCGTGGGGTGTTTCGAGCGACACGGATATCACTGCGTCCGGCTTAAAGGCAGTCATGCGCGCAGCGAGCGCATTCGACCTCGTTCCGAAGAAGCTGGTCAATGGCCATTGAAAATTTTAATGTGAGGCAGCACAGATGTACAATAAGATTTACGAGGGAGAAATGCGGATGTAAACCTGTAGCCATCTTCAGCTCTTTGAAAGCTGGGCGAGTGTGTTTCCAAGCAGTTCAATTAGCTTTATAGTACTTTGATACAAAGATTATGCAGTTGATATTAAAACTCGGATCCCAGTTCCCGCGAAGCACCGCAGCCTACAACTTCGCGACCATCTTACGCAGGACAACCTTCTGAATCTTGCCCGTAGACGTTTTCTACACCGAAGAAAAATTCGTTAACAAAAACGTCAAGCCCTCGAGCATGCGAAGCACTCACAGGCAGCTCATCAACGACCTGCACCCACTCGGGACAAGCAAACCCCGGGAGGCGCTGGCGCGCATGTTTCTTGAGCTCGCCGCCGAACTCCTCGTGGTGTCCCTGCCACTTGGGCGCTGCCTCCTTCTTGAGGATCACAAACGCCATCGCGCGTTCGCCCCACTTTGGGTGTTGGCGCGCGACGACGGAGGCCTCGAGCACGTCTGGGTGAGCCGCGAGTTCTGTGTGCGGGACGGTGTCAGTGTTGGCAGAAGGGAGGCAGGGAAGGCGAGTGTACCTTGTTCGATGGCCAAGCTGGACGCATTCTGCGGGTGCACGTGTCAGCCGCGCACCACGAGGGCTCGTCAGAGTAATCCCTCACCTCTCCACCCGATATAATAATATCCTTGCTCCGATCCTGGATCGACACATACCCGTCGGGATGCACGACAGCCAGGTCGCCGCTGTGGAAGTACCCGCCGGCGAACGCCTTGCGCGTCGCGTCGGGGTCGCGGAAGTACTCCTTCATGGCGATGTTCCCGCGCATGACGATCTCGCCGACCGTGCGCCCGTCCTTGGGGACATCGACGAGCGGCGCGTCCGGCGCGTCGCCCTCCTGCGCCTGGAACACGACCCGCACCGGATCCGACGTCAGGAAGCTGAAGCCCTGCCGCGCCATGCACCGCGAACGCTCCTCGAGCGACAGCGACGCCCACGAGGGCTGGTTGTACGCCATGGTGAACGGGCCGTAGGTCTCTCTGGGAGGCGACGTCCGTCAGCGGCCGGGCAGGGATGCATGCACGCGTAGCACTCACGTCAGACCGTACACGTGCACAGGCTGGATGCCGATCTTCTCGAGGTCACCGATGAGCTGCGCTGTCGGTGCAGATCCGGCAATGACGGCTGCGATGGGTCTTGGGACAGGCCGAGCCTCGGGTGCGCTTACGATGCTAATCTGCACGGATGTGAACACGGTTTAGCGAGCGCGGCACCATCATCATCAAGACCTACTTGCACCGTTGGCGCAGCACAATAATGGCTGACACCAGAGTTCAGGAAGTGGTACCAAATCTGCGGGAGGCTGACTGTGCGCAGGGTGATCTGAGTCGCGAAGGCAGCTGTTATGGCCCACGGGTATGTCCAGCCGCATGCGTGGAACATGGGCAAGATCCTAAATCCCTCTAAGTGACCGCATAGTCCACGGTCAAGAGCTTTCTGCTCACCAGAGATACACGGACTTAGGGTCCATCCTAGCCTCATAGGTGTTTGCAATCGCAGCCAGATACGAACCTGAACGCCTTTCTATGAATACGCCCATTTTTAGCGCGAAAACCGTAAGACATACCTCGGAGGGTGGTCAGGACACCTTTCGGCTTGGGCGACATTAGCTATACCAATTAGACGCTATCGTTTCCCCTGAGCTTACCCGACCAGTTGTGCCAGAGCCGTAGTTAGCTGTCAGCATATCCCGGGGTGTATACTTCCTGGAGCAAACGACGCACGTATAACAGAGTGCAGCACCAGCATTCTCATCTGGCTCCCATTCTAGCCCGCCCCAGCCCCTCTCCTGGCTGAACCGCCGGCCACTGCTCAGGAATTCTTCGTACGGGTCGCCCACGCGTCCAGTGTCGTGACATACGATGACGCGGGCTTTGGTGTCTTTGATGAGGTGCGTGTATTCGTGGTCGACGATGATGAGCTTAGAGCCGCTATGCTCGAGGATGTAGGCCACCTCTTGCAGGGTAAGGCGCGTATTTATCGGGCATATGATCGCACGCGCGGCGATGATGCCATGGTGTGCATCTGTGTACAAAGGAAGAAGGTCAGGGACAGCACGGTGTGAGAGAAGTGGGAGTAGAGACCAGCTATGACGGGCCTGCGAATGCGTCAGGGAGAGTTCACGACGAAGATTGATATGAAAGCGCGTACGAGTTAGGAGCAATGACTGCGACCCTATCCCCGGGCTGTATGCCGGCTTTTATCAAAGCGTACGCGAGATTCTGAACGCGTTGGGCCCTTCGGTGGTCAGTCAGCATTAACCGCACCGAGTCGCGAATGCTTGACACGCACCACACGCCGTAGGTATAGAAGACCGGATGCTTGACGTCCGAGTGAGCAATGGCCAGCTTGTCAGGGTATATCTGGCTTGCTCGGAGGAGGAAAGCCAAGGGGTTCTATGCCACACTCAATATCCCACTAGAGACAGCTGTTTTTGTCCGTACCAAAGGGTGTATGTGCACAGGGAACCCCTTGGGCTCTTTGAGCCGTATGTCGACTGAACCGACAGGGGGTACACTCGTCTCTGTGGGGCGGAAGCTGGACGTTGTTGCCATCGCTGCTAAGAACACTGCTGTTATCGAATCTCTGTGCACAGCTCTGCGAGACACGCCGGACTGGTGAAACTGAGGTGGTGCGGGGATGTGGGGTAAGGAGTGCGGGGTAAGTAGTCAAACAAACGCAAGCCAGTTCAATTATCAAGGAGCGCTCTCTTGCAGTCCGTCGGTTCCGCTAAGTCCCGCAGCAATACCGAATCCCGACGAACCTCAACATATCGAAGGTCAAATGTTCAAGCTCACGGGGAGCCGCGGTGCAGGGGATGCAGAAAACAAGTCGGCCGACAGCTTTGCATCGCCGACTGCAACTTGTTCATCGTGGAAGAAGCGAGACTGAAGTTCGGCCGCAGTGTTTCCAGCTGTTGAGATTCTCGACAGACTCCTTCTGGCTGCTTTGAATACAATGATTTGGATAACCCCGATGACGAAGTCGTCTGGCCAGGTGTGTCTGGCAAGTCCGCGCGCCTTGCTCTGCTCTAGCCTTCATCCTTCCCTCAGCTTTTATCCATCATCCATCCAAAGATCTAGCAACTATTATGACGCGCGATTGCCAGGCTTATGGTTACTCTTGCTAGCGCTGCATATATACAGGTCCTGGACCCCTGTGAAGATGAGCGGCGATATAATCGCGAAGAGCTATATCAGGTCTTCCTCCTTGGCAAGACGAGAGGATGTCACATTAATCTCGTGGCAACCACCACTTTCGACGTCGATAGGTATCTCAGGGTGTAAGATAGCTTGCATGGCATAATGCTTGGCCAATAGCCATTTACCACAGCATGACATCTGCACTAGAGCATCCGACGGATGCTATCCTCACCAGACGATCATCCGACAACTTGGCTAGCGCATACGACAGAAGCATCCAGGCTGTTTCAGGGCCGATATTCGTGAGTAGGCGTATTTCTCACGATAGCGAGTGCCAAAGTACTAACGAACGTCCGTATTAGGCAGTGCTCTTCAAGGGTCACCAGCCCTTTCGACCTGCCTCTTTCAGTCACAGAGTCGTGTCCTCCAGTATCGCCTCTATTGAACATATTCTATCCCGGACAGACAAGAAGATACATGTGCGTACTGCCCTGTGTTTTATTCAAGGGCTCGACAAAGGTTGGCGAGTTCACAGCATCTCGAAGCCGTTAAGCGTCGTCGCCTGGACAATCTCGAACGTACGCTTTGATGGAGCACAGCTTGACTCGTGCACGCCCCCGCAAACTCCGGAATCACCCGCACGACGCAGCCCAAACCGGTCAATACCTTATGCCTCCTTCCCAAACGAGCGACTGCTTTCATCGCGGACGCACGCAGAGCAAGCGAGCGTGTATATAATGCTATTCACGCGGTCGTTTGAGCTCTCGAGTTGGACGTTCCCCACTCGTCCTGCCCTTCCCCCCTCGAGCGACACCCTCCGATAAGCCTCACCATGCTCCTTAAGTTCTCATCGGGAGACTTCCACAACGCTACGGCAATCGACTGCGAGACTGGTGCCGCACTGTTCCATATCTCGACGCCAGAGCCTATGACGCGCTCGCGCTCGCCCTCGGTGGCATCTTTCTATTCCTTCGCAAGCTCGAGCTCTGTCTCGTCAGAGCCGTCCCCGCCCGCGCAAAAGACAACGTTCATCACGGACAGCGAGGGGGCGGCTTTAGCGGAGGTTACGTGGAGAGATCGATATTACGCGACTTCGATACGCATTGGAGAGAGGTCATTCAACGGCACTGGCGAGATATTCGATGCTCACTATGTCAAATGCCTGTAAGTCCCCCGTATTTCCCAGCATCCACTTGAGATGCTGACACGGTCTTTAGCCCTGATGAGACAATCATCCCCACTCAGCTGGAGTACAAATGGCGGACAACACCAGATAGCCTCACAGTACGTGGTTGTACTTCCATGTTGCGAGCAAATACTAATGTTATCACAGCTGTTGGATGACGACCACAACGTCATCGGCCGGCTGTACGAGAACTACACATCAACAAACTGTAAACTCTTCCCCGCGTCAAAACGTGCCCCAGGACACAATTACCTGCGCTTGAACAAGATCCCCGACTACGAGCTACTCGAGGTACTGGGTACGCTCAACCGTCTTCCTGGGCGCGAACGAGAACTAACGGGAGACGTTGCAGTGACCTTCCTGCTCATGACCACCCTCCGCGAGCGCATGTACTGGATAACGACGTATGTTTACGGCTCGCAGGCCGGACGCCAGTCGAAGAGTCCCCTAGGCAGGCTGCGAAAACAGGCGAGTCGCAGCTTTGCCGGCTGGCGCGAAGCACTCTCCCGCAAGAGACGAGACTAGTATTTCCCTTGTCTCCCTTGTCTCCCTTTGCCGCCTCCCCCCATCATTTGTCCAACATCTGCACAGCTGTTGACTTCACCTGCACTCCTTTGTCTGTCCGCTGTATATGCAGACCCCATCTTTTTTCGCGTTGACGCTACTACCCAGCATCCCGCGCTGTCACTCCTTGTTGCATCACTTCTACTCTAATAGTCGCATACCAAGCTCCGTTTATACCCTCAATTTTGATGTAGCCTTAAGTATTCGTTGTACGCGCAATCCATATACTTGCATGTTCTGCTGAATTTCTGGAGGCGCCTAGAGTGCGCTTTGCAAATGACATCAGGATCCGGCGCGCCATATGCATGTGCGAGTCGGCTCGAGACTTTGGGGACAGCTCAAATCCGTCCTTGTCTCACGACACTTCTGAGCTGAACCTGGACTTTGTACTTATTTGTTGGTGTTCTACCTGATATATCGTGAAACAAGTCCTATTCTAACCTTGATTCCAGGCCCTCAACAGACGTACCACCTTCACTCAGTTTTTCCCACCATGAGCGCGACCATAGACAACGACAGAGTTGTCGACCTCCCGACGGTGTTCGCTCCGGAAACCTGTACGCGTAAGGGCCTCTTCCCAGTCTCGAGCCTGCGAAACAAGGACGACCCGCTCGAGAGCCACTCGCTCTACTGGGAGCAACACGGCAACGGGCCTGAGAAGGTCCTATTTATCATGGGGTGAGGCTCCGCGCACCGCGTACGTCTGAACGCTCCTGCGCGCCGATGCTGACGGGCCTACCGTGCCTCCCGAACGTGCCGGACCCTGCAGGCTGAACAGCTCGTCGTTCGCGTGGAGATGGCAGGTCGAGCTCTTCGGACGCGACCCTAGATATTCGGTCATCGTCTTCGATAACCGTGGCGTCGGGCACAGTGGGACGCCACGCGGGCCATACACGTGAGCAGCCATCTGTCTTCTTGAGTCGGTCGCATGGGATGACCATGGCGCAGGACGGTGGGCATGGCCGAGGACGCGCTCGCGCTATTGAACTATGTCGGGTGGACGGAGGAGCGCAGCCTCCATGTCGTCGGTATGTCATTGGGCGGAATGATATCCCAGCGTGCGTATGGTCTCTCTTCTAACATCGCGAAGAGCTAACGGAGCGCAACAGATCTTGCCCTGCGGATTCCGGAACGCATCATCTCGCTCACACTGGCTGTTACCACCCCCGGGGGCTACCCATGGAACAACTTCCCGCCTGTGAGTGCGCACCATACCACGCCATCTCGCTAAAGCATTCTCACCTATCCGTAGTGGAAAGGCTTTGTTGGCCTCACACGCGTAACCTTCACCAGCGACCCCGAGAAGAAGATCCCGATCATACTCGGCATGCTCTTTCCCCGCGTATGGCTCGACGCGCCGGACGACGCCGGCTCCGGGCGGAAGAACTTCGAATGGGTCTTGCAGGACTATCGCGAGCGCATACGCGTGACGCGGCCACAGTCACCCATGGGCACATTCTCGCAAATATTTGCAGGTCTCACGCACCACACCTCCCCTGCACGGCTGCGCGAGCTCGCCCGGCACGTCCCCAAGGTGCTCATCCTCACCGGCGACGATGACAACCTTGTGCGACCGAGCTGCAGTTTGCGACTGAAGCAGCACATGCCCGAGGCGGAGCTTGTGCAGTGGGAGAAGACCGGTCATGGTGTTCATATGCAGCGGCGTGACCGGTTCAACCAGCTGCTTGAGCGAGTATTTGAGGAGGGCAGGCAGCGACTCGAGACGGGGTTCAGCCCGGAATGATCGAATGCTTGTGCTGTGGTCTCTGCGAAAACTCAGGTAGAGCTTATGTAGACATGGCATCAGAGGTGTATCTAGGCCGGATGGTAGCGGGTATACAGCCTATATATAATCTACGGCTCGTATCAAGACTGAATTACAATGCAAGCAGCCGGATCCCAGTCGCAACCGAGAATTTTTACAGCCTCGACAGATCTCGTCCCCAGATTCCACTGCACAACCGTCGATGTCAGCAAGCTGTCCTCTCGATACAAAGTGGAGCCAAACGCACCGCACAATCCAGTCGATCATGAGCAGAGCGCGCGTGCGATAGCTGACCTGTTCGCTCCAGTACACACTCCGCCACGCATACATCGCCACGAGGCCTCCCATGAAGCTGTACTTGCCGAGATCGAACACGGCCGCGTTGCCGATGTACGCGAGCGAGCCGAGGTGGCGGTAGCGGAACGGACCCGACACGAACTCGTCGCCCTCGTTCGTCGTGAGGTCGTTCGCGGCGAGCACGGGCCGCTGGCGCGCGACCCGGCTCAGCTTGCGACCGAGGTACTTGCCCTGCTGCGACGCGACCTGCGCCGTCGCCGGCAGCGCCGTGATCTTGTTCCCAATCTCCTGCAGCAGCACCGCGAGCTCATTCAGGTTGAGCGAGCTATCCGCATCTGAATCATACAGGTCGAAGAGTTCGCGGACTGTGGAAAGGTGCTCCTCGGACATAGGGATGCGCTTCTTGATCTGATCGACTGGAAATTTCCTTCAGTTACTCGCACATATTCGGGCTGGGCGGGCATACCCATGATCTGCCATTCCTCAAAGTCTATTTTTCCGTCCTTGTTCTTGTCTGATGCGTCCACGAGTTCCAGAAGATGCGCAACAATCGAAGTCTCAATCTGACAAGCGTTGAATGAGCAGATGTGAATAGCTGAAAGCAAGAGTACATACGGTGCTCGCGTCGCCGATCGCATATACCTCGCCCAATGGCGCACCCTTAACTCGCAAATGCGCGTCGACCTCAATAGCCTTCTTGTGGACCTGATTAGGACTGGGGAACAATAGTAAGCTTAGAAAAGCGCATAAAATACCTAATCCACATACAGCAAGCTTGAGATCCTTGCCACGAATGGACTCATCGCAATGCCGGTACTCCAGAGCACAAAGTTCGCCGGAATCTCGTGCTCTTCGGTCTTGCCATCCTTGCCCTTGATCGTATAGACGACTTTATCCGGGTGTACAGAGCCCACTCGTGCGTTGGTGACTAAATTCACGCCGTCGCGATTGAACTTATCCTCCGCGTACCGAGAGATAGCTTCCGAATACGTGTTCAAGATGTGCGAACGACTCTGGATGACATGAATGGATACATATTCCCGGCAGATCTTCGGGTACTGCGAACCAGTGTTCAGCTGCATGCCACGGTCGCACGCTGTCTCAGGGCACGCACATAGTTGATGATGTCTTCTTGACACAGGTCATAGATTTCGGCCGCGGTCTCGATGCCAGTCGGTCCACCGCCACAGACAACGAAGCTCAGGAGACGCTTGCGCTCTTCCTCGGACGTTGTTGGCAAGGCAGCGACTTCGAAGTTGTCTGGGACCGCGTTAACTTGAATGTCAAACAATACACTCTGAAGGCAAAGAATACCGACCAATGATACGTTGTCTGATTCTCTGTGCGTCACCAATAGTCTTCAATTGGAAACAGTTTTCCAATCCTTGTATACCATGCGTCGTTGATGTCGAGCCAGCTGCAATGACTAGTTTGTCGTAACTGTGGGGCTTACAGTTCAGGAACCAACTACACGTCATCCGGCCGCGTGACTTACGGGACGTAGAGGTGATGCTTCGAATCAGCTGGAGAAACAATTTCCACTTCCAGAAGACGTTCAGACATGACGAGATCAACGGCCTAGAACAGAATTCATTATGCTGGAGGACGACGCCAGAGATGTTCGCATACCTTGGCGTTCAAGACGTGTCCGCGCAGTCGAGCAACAATCTTGCGTAGCGGCTCGACCAGCGAACGGACCTGGACGGTGCCGACGGCAGCAGCTAACGCGGAGATTAGTAGCTGGGGCATATTTTGCGGAAGCGAGACGTACATGGCAGCAAGGGCGTAAATGTCGTGTAGGTTTCCGGTGAAACGACCGTAACGTGATAGTCACCAGGATTCAGGGTGTTGAGCACGCCCATGGCCTGAGGAAACGTTCAGAAGCGGAGAACATAGCATTCGAGAGTACTCACACCCCATCCTCCACCGACAATAACCAGATGCGGCTTGGTCCTGAGTTCAGATGCCTCTTCATCTTCTACGTCTGAGAGATATACTTTGACAATTGGAAGGTTCTTGGGGCCACCACGTTCGGGATGCAGAGCCAGAGGTTCCACAGGGACACCCTCGATGTGCTTCGGTCGGGTCAGTACAGAGTAAGTCGCGAGCGGACGGGCCGCGTACCTTTTCATTATACGTGAATGCATCGTGTAAGAAGATGACGCCAGTCAGAACAAACACTCCAAAAACCGTAGACCCAACAATGTACGCGGAATACTTCAGGACGGTCCTAAACCTGGGCAGTTTGCGCTTTGGCGGGGGCGGCGACCCTGCCGAGCCGCCTGCACCACTGGCTTGCTCAGCCTTCGCAAGACTCGTAGAGAACGCTCTCCGGAGCTGAGGTATGGGTAGTGCAAGTCTAGGGACATGTCTAGTCGCGAGTGGAACCGGACCTGGTAGGGCGTGCGGACGGAGCTGTCGGGGACGCGCTATGTTGGTTGCTCGCGTTGCCGCTCGTCTCAGGGCCGGCACCAGCATCGTGGTGGGTGTTGAGGGCGACGTCGGAGAGAATCAGGCCGGTATTGGGGAGAGGTGCTCAAGATATTTATATTTGAAGGCTAGCTGCCGCGATCTCCGCCGCCGCAAGGCGGCGCCTTCACACGCCGACGTCATTCGCGCGTCGGGGCGGTCGGCCCTAGCGCGTCTAATCGCAGCCATCAAGAATAATGAGCACAGCAGCTATGTTCGGAACAATGCGTTCACTGAAACCACATTTATACGCAGCAGATAAGCCAAATATATGCTAAGATGCTGGAACGATTATACAGCCAGAGGTAGAACTAGGTCTGTACTTTTGGAGACAGCTCGGAGCACAAATCCGAATCGCTCAGCGAAGCGGACGAAGAAAGGAAACGCGCAGCGCTCCGACCAGCCGGAGACCAAGAAGCATGAAGCGAACCACAGATGAACGTTGAGAGGCTTGTTGAGAGGCTTGTTGCGGGCACAAATTTGCTGGAGGCAGACGGCGGCATCAGACGCTGGTCACCACAACCTGCTGCACAGATAACTTACCGATGAAACACGACGGACGGGCTTTCGTCACTCATCTCAGAACATATTCCCGACGACGCACTAACCACTCTGTCTTAACTGTGACCGCTGTCTCTTCGTACGTTGGCTCTGCATTTCGCTCGATGGCGTTGAACTTCAGGCATGAGCGTGACAGCTCTGGCCTCAGCCATCCCAGCAGCTCCCAATGGAGCCGTCCGACCTCAGCCACGCGGGCCGCGTTAAGCGACAAAGGGGCCACCACCTCTACGCAGGGCCCCGTTGCCGAGGAAGACGGCGGAGAGCCGCCGAGAGCCTCCTTGCCCGTCTTGACGAACACGCCGATGTTCTCGCCATATGTGCGCAGCGCCTCGAGCTGAGAGGCTGTACAGCGCGCCCGCAGAGGCGACACGACGAGGTGCGCAAGGTGCGGGACGGTCAAGCGAGAGGCGGACGCCTGGTGGGGATGGAGCATGTCGCTGGGGACTTGCAGTCGTCGAAGCGAAGGCGCAAGCTTCGGCGATAGCGGCAGCTCGAACGCAGCCGTCGTCTCGGCAGGGCCAGAGATGCACAGTTGCTGGAGTAAAGGGAGGTGCAGGCCCTTGAGCACGCTGGTGCCTCGCAAAGCCGGGGAAATTGGGTCAACCGACGCGCGGATGAGGGTCAAAGTCTGCAGCGTTGGGGCCAGCAACTCCAGGAGCCTTTTGACCTCATGGGCAGATTTCTTCTCAAGCACCATGAGCCTTGCGTGTTCTTCTGGGTCGGACGCATGCGTGGCGCCGAATGCCTGTTCGACGAGAAGATGCGCGACATGGCGGCGGGCATCTGGAATAGCGACAAGCGCGTCCAAGAGCGGGGAAATGGTCGGATGGCCATCGTTGATGTGCAGCGCCCATGTGCCCTTGGAGAACTCGCAGGTGCCGACGCGCAAGCAGAGGCATGCATCGCGGAGTGACTGTCCCGTCTGCCCAGCGTCGGCAGACGCGAACACAGCGAGCTCGTGAAGTGCAAAGCTTGCGCTGCTGGCGTCCATGGCAGTCGCGTTCTGGTGGGCGTCGCTGAAAGTCGTCCCGGCCTTGTCCTCTTTAAAGAAATACAAAGTTCAGTTTTTTTGGCGTGCTGACAGGCCATCTCTCGAGCTGGCAACCATCGGCTCATCCCGTCCCAGCAGGGCAATCAAACAACTCGTGGAGCGAAGAGCAGGGCTTTCACGGTCATTCGAAGTTTGACGGCGCAAGTTGCGGCGCGGCATTTGAACACCAGACGGAAGTCTCTTTGGGGCGTCTGCGTATTCTGGGCTATCACCGGTGGTCCCACGCCATTGACCGCAGTACCTTCGGGACCCTCCACCCGGCTGGAAAATGAAGAGCGTTAGTATCTCTGGGAAACGCCAAAAGCCTGCAAAGACTGACTGCATTCGAGCATGACCGCTTGTCCACAGTGCTGCCGTACACGGAGGATCTGCAACGATTCTGCTGGCCAAGGGTTCCGGCTTCTGTGCCGAATTATCGCTTCTATGATAGGCACAATATTTTCGCCTTGACGACTTCCCAGAAGCCAACAGTCTTGTGCTGTTGAGACTCCACATATTCTGGCTCATTTAGGGACTCGTGGACTCACCAAGGGAATGTTGTATTACGTCGAAGGGCACTCTGATGTTGCTTGTCAGTTAGCATCAAGAGGCGTGTCCGCAGGAACGGCGATATGAAACGCGGAAGAGGCGTGAAAAGGAACGTCGCGTCCCGCGGAGCGGTATTCTCGATTCGACAAGTCGGCGGCGGCAACTGAACTGCTCGGGATGAGACAAAGAAGCTGAGACAGAACGTCAACAACAGCTTCCGCTCGGCGTACGTGAACGAGGAGGGCTGTTCCTCGGGCTACTCGGGAAGTTCCCAGTTAATAAGATCCTGTCCCGCGACCGTGCCGCGAGCATGTTTTTGCCCAGGGCGGGCGAGAACACGACATCTCCATATGGACAACTTGAAGCCGCACGCAGTCTGCTATTCGTTAGCTGAACGGCGGCAGGAGCTCAGTAGTTGGAGCGCTTACAGCCTCGAGGCTCTATTTCGTATTTTCCACGTTATTTGCCAGGGTCAGAACCCCTGCCTGGGGTTCCCGCACATCTCGCGGGGTAACCTGGGTCGCCACGTGCCGTTATATGCCCCGTAAAGTGCGGTTACGGCATGTAGGAGAGGGGCCAGCTGGTGGCAAACGGTGCTTCGCGAGGCCGGCGGCGGTGTTTACGGAGAGATCTGTGTCTCTCTCACGTTCCGCATTATGCCGTCGTACTTTGTCCGCGGAGGAAACTTACTTGCGGGCCTAGTCGCAATCGTGGATCTGCCATGTACGTGCGATCGGCAGCCGGAGGAAGTGCGAATGTTCTAAAGTCACAATGTCAAGAACGCAAGAAAATGGAAGCTACTTGGGAGACGCACAGAATTGCGAATACAGTGCCTGGAGACTGACCGGCATGCAGCCATGACAAACACTCGTACGTGCAGCCAAGCTTCTGGCTGGTTCATCGGAAAAATGTGGCACGGCTGGCCGCTTTGCTGAGGCCTCGGAGGTTGAGTGCCGTGTGAGAGCTAATATTCTAAAGAAGAGACGAGATAGGTAAGTAGACCTATGCTCCTGGTGAGGCCTGACTTGACCAGCTTCATGTAGTTGAACGAAAGTACGTGACAGGGCTAACAGTTCGTGTAGCACAGTGACGACAGATGAGCGAGTGCTTGGCAATGGAACGCACTCGTCCCTGCCCTGTACCGCTCGCTCGATCAGGTTTAGACCCAGGTCTTATCGTCTTCAAAGTTCGAACAGCCGCCCCACCGGTTTGACAGACGTATGTAGCATCCCCAGGCGACTCTTTGAAGACGCTTTACGGCAAGGCTATGGAGCTTTGTAAACACTAAGAGTAGTATTACAGGAGCCGTCAGCGCTTCAACAGAGATCGATTCGAGGAGGAGGAAGACGGGGGCCCGTGTACAATACATCAGGAACGAATAAGAACAACAGAGCGGACGCCGCTGTCCATCGTGCCGAGGGTTCAGATTACTGCTCAAGCGCCCAAGCGCTCATGGTTGGCTGAAAGATTCATGGAGACGATGAGAGAGCAAGAAAGGGCGGTCGGGCCGCACAGATAGATAAGATAACGAGTACACGGAGGGAAGTCGGGGTATGCGTTTGGATAAACAGTCCTTCCTCTTGTGTGTAAATAGAGGTCCAAAAGTGAATCTAATATTTTTCGCAAATAAACCTGAGCCTTCTCTCAGAAAGAAGTGATACTGTTTGCAGCGCAGAAAGCTACATGATTATTGCACCTTCTTTTGGCACGAGAGTAGTCCAGATACCAGAGCGGGCAGAGCTGTTATCTACTCTCCATGCCAATTTGTCACAAGAGATAGCCAAGCTATAGTCAGACATATTGAGCGCCGGCTCAGTGTACATGGGCGCTCTCTTTTGTGGGAGGATGGGCACACGGAATAGGCAACCACTTTGCCTCGAAAAATCTGGACGGTCCTCATGCCAAAAGTGCGGAATAGTGTAACTTTCTGTGTTGCAAATAGTATCATTCTTTTTTAGGAAGAAAGCTCAGGTCTATCCGCGAAAAAAGAAATAGATCTATTTTTGGACCCTTATTTACACAAAAGAGGAAGTGTTTTGTCTCATGGCTTTTGGGCGCACGATACTGTAGTAACCGATAGCAAGTGCGGTGAATGAGAGGTAAGTCCAGTTACTAAATAGAGCGTCTGATTTGTGAGTGCGATAAGTGAGGATAAGTAACTCAGTAAGCTTCGCTAGACGCACGTCGCTCGCTGGCGAAGGCACTGGCTAGAGCACTCTCAAAGGCACGGCATGTGCAAGTCCCAGCGTGTACGACGTTCTCGAAACATGGCCCCTTTCCTTCACCTCCAAAACTGCCTTGCTTTCCATAAAGATCCGCTCCTGATAGGCCTAATTGAAGGTCTGAAAGCCCGACGTTCTATCGACTCCATAACTCGCCGCCACATGCAAGCCCGGGAACGAATAGTCTCCGCACAGTTGTCACTGGTGCCGGTTCATGGTCTTAATTTCTTCCGTCATCGATCAGTGAGTCATTGTCTGGCGTTCACAGTTGCCATCATCCCTGCATCTAGCATAGCATGCAAACAGAAAATGCCCCAGGAGGCGTCGCATGTTGCTGCAAACTGACGCGTTGCCGAGGTCTCACAGAACTTACAAGTTTCTCTGTTTTTCTCTACCAGTTCCAGTGGTAAGTGACTGTGGTGAATCGATGAAACTCAAGAGTAGCCTTGGAAACCGCAGGGGACCGCGCGCCTTTCGCCGCGGAGGCTGATTGTGCCTTCAACCGGGTTCATTGCTTCCGTTCATCCTCAGCCCATAGTGCCGGTAGATCATCAGCTTCCGGGGACACTGCTTCTCCGATGCACATGTCTTCGTCGGTGGGTGCAAGTTTCTTGTTTCTTGGCCCATCTGCGTGCGTCGGCGTTACATCCCGTCTCGCACAGCCGATCAGCGTTCCGCTGTCCAACGCTTGCTTGTGCGGCCGTACAGCCCACTCGAATTTCAATGACGTGTCTGCGTGGGAAGCGGCCAAGGCGCGGAGCGATTGGCTACACTGTTTCAGTGAAACCATGCTCGGATCCCTGCATCTATCATCAAGCGGCCGGCAGTTACGGTATCGCCAGTGCAAGCGTCCGAATAAAGTGCCCGTCAAATGCTATAAAGGCGTCGACGGAGGACGGGGTGGGTACAGCACCGATATCCCTCTCCCTCTTCTCCTCAGTCTCGATTATCTTACATCCATTTAGACCATTCGAGAGCATCATGTACCCTGCTAAACCTATCGACCTCTCGCACCACCTTTCCGAGGAAACCCGTTGCAGGCGGCCAAATGCCATGAAGGCGTTGTGGCGTGTTGCAAACCGCAAACCGGGCATGCTTAGCCTGGGGACGGGTGAGTCCAGCGGTGACGTTCGTCGATTGATACCAACATTGTTCCAGGCGACCCGCACTATTCTCTCTTTCCCATGAAAAAGGTACAATTTGAGGTGGCCTCGACCTCTGAATGCCTCGACGATCCCGTTGCGACATGGACGGGAGCGGACGGCTCCGACGCTCGGACACAGTGGTTCTCGTGCTCACGGGACGAGCCAGGAAGCGTGCCCTTCAAGTCCGTGATGGCATACGGGACGGGCGCTGGCGTGCCTGAGGCGCAGCGCGCGGTAACCGAGCTCACGCAATACTACCATGCGCCGCCAGACCACATCTGCACGCTCACCATCGGGAACATGGACGGCGTCACGAAGCTCTTCCGGCTTTTGGGCAACCCCGGCGACCACTTCCTCGCGGACGAGTTCTCGTTCAACGCGCTCACGAACGCGCCGCTCGCGCACGGCATCAACTGGGTGCCCATCAGGATCGACAAGGGCGGGCTCATTCCCAGCGACCTCGAGCGGGTCATGTCCACATGGGACGAGTCTGTGCACGGCCGCCGCCCGCATGTGTTGTACACCGTTCCGTGAGTCCCCCACCGTGCGTTCTCACGGCGTTCCGATCTGACTGTCGGACAGCTCTGGGCAAAATCCCACGGGCTGCACTTTGAGCGCAGAACGTCGGAAACAGATCTATCAGCTTGCACAGCGTTTCGATATCCTAATTATTGAAGATGGTGCGTTTGCATCATTGATGCGAATATAAGGTTGTCACTAATCATCGGCCTAGACCCATATTACTATTTGCAGTACGACGATAGCGGAGCATCTTTGAGCCAGCCGCCGCCCTCGTTCCTGTCAATGGACATCGAGGGCCGCGTACTGCGCGTCGACAGCTTCAGCAAAGTGATGATGCCGGGCATGCGCCTCGGCTGGATCACCAGCAGCCACCTCTTCCACTCGCACCTCATCTACCTCAACGAGTCCTCGACGCAGCACCCACACGGCTTCGGCCAAATCTTCATCACTGAGATGATGAGCGCGTCGGGCTGGGGGATTGGCGGCTTCGACCGCTGGACGCGCAGCTTGCGTAAGGAGTACCAGCGCCGGCGGGACGTCTTCCTGGCCCACTTCGAGCGCGAGGTCGCGAGTACGGGCTTCGCGAGCGCGGACGTGCCTGCCGCGGGCATGTTCGTCTGGGTCGAGGTCCACATCCACCTGCACCCGCGCTACCGGACAGACTTCCAGGGCGCCGAGGGCGTGGCGGCGCGCACGAACGTGCCCCAGCTGATGGACGAGCTCTTCGAGCGGTGCCTTGACGCGGGCCTCGTCGTCATGCCCGCGAGCATCTTCGCGACGCCCGCCTCGCCCGGCGTGGCGAAGCTCATTGGTGGCAACGATCCCATCCAGAACGTGAGTACGACATATGCGAGGTCCTAGTGCAAATGTGCTGATGAACTTTTTGTGCTTGCAGCGACTGAACTTTGTGCGCACGACGTTTGCTGGGGAGGAGGTGCAGATGCAGCCCGCGCTGCAAATTCTCGGCCAGGTCCTCACGAGTTTCTTCACTGAGTCATGTGAAAGCCAAGCTGGCGTTTTCCTCGTCAATTAATTTAATCTGATTCTTGATTCTTGATTCTTGAACATCATGTATCCTTATTATTACTCACTCTGGACTCTGTAGACGTACATGCACAATAGCCTCTTCCTTGTTTCTTAGCTCAATAAACATTGTATTTCCCGTTGCAGCGTGGAGTGACTGCAGGCTGCCGACGAACATGTCAATCTTGTGTGGGAAGCAAGCTCGAATGTGACTCACCGGTACCCCACTGTGGGGTCAAGCCAGTCTGCAGAGCCCCCACTGACAGACACGAATTTCAATTGCTGAAGCGAGAGCCTCGCTCACGGGTTACCCCGTCAAACGCTATAGCCGGCGGTCCGACGGGCTCGCTCTGGTCGGATAGCGATAGGCCGTGGCTATGCTTGCAATGATACCAAGGCACGCTGGGCGGAAGACGGGTCGCTTGTTGCTGGCGGCCGGCTTTGGAGCCCCAAGTTGGGGACGATGCACCGATGTACGGTTCGTTGTGCAATCCCCACGACTCGGACGCTTGACCATATCCGCGCGCGTTCGCAGCAAGCTGTTTGACGTTTTGGTGTCTCGTATAAGATGTGCGCTGTTCCATTGCTGGAAGACAGGGTCTTTTCATTTCCTTTCGCAGGACACACGCCGCTTTTGAAGAGGTTGCTCGTACGATGGGATCCCTTTGGCTTGAAATATGTCCCAAATTACAAATTGACCTTGAAAGGCGCTGATCTTGAGATGGCCTAGAAGTCAGATTCTAAGGTACTTACAAGGGCCTTAAAAGGCGTTTAAAGGATTTCGTTCCGCTTACAAGGTACTTAGAAGAGGGACGAAACGTCTCAAGCCCGAAATGTAATTTGGGACATTATTCTACGTGCGCTCTAGAGTTTTGGGGTCCCCCCGGTCGGACAGCGCATTATCTCGTTGCTGCAAAGCTGAAAATCTTCACTGCAGCGCTAACTGCGTACGTTTGATGACTGAATTCGTGAGAGCACAGGGCTGGGCGTGTACGTACGGACTTTGTAGTAAGACGGGCGTCGTCCCGCTGTTAAGGATCATGCATGCAGGATTGCGTGATAGCACGATGGTGATCGGGGTCTTCGTGTCATAAATTCGAGCAGTTCGCAGAGAATCTCGAACGATACCCTCCACCTTTCCCTCATCTACTATCTCACCCGGTTCGCTTACTCGCTATGGTTGCCAAAGGCTCTGCTGTCCACTCCGCTCTCCAGCCCGGTCATTTCCTCTTCACCTCTGAGTCCGTTGGCGAGGGCCACCCTGGTAGGTGCCAGCGAATCACTTTTGTTCGACGAGCTTGCTCACGCTCTCCCAGACAAGATTTGCGACCAGGTCTCTGATGCCATCGTGAGTCGCGCCGGCGCCTCCAAAAATCATCAACCACAATATTCACACCTTTCCACAGCTCGATGCTTGCCTGGAGCAGGACCCATTCTCCAAGGTTGCTTGCGAGACCGCTTCCAAGACCGGAATGATCATGGTCTTCGGTGAAATTACCACCAAGGCCTCTATCGACTACCAGAAGGTCATTCGTGAGACCATCAAGCAGATTGGCTACGATGATTCCTCAAAAGGCTTCGATTACAAGACCTGCAACATCCTTGTCGCCATCGAGCAGCAATCGCCGGATATCGCCCAGGGTCTCGACCACGGTTCCCTCGAGGACCTCGGTGCTGGTGACCAAGGCATCATGTTCGGCTACGCGACTGATGAGACTGAAGAGTGCATGCCTCTCACCATCGTTCTCGCGCACAAGCTCAACGCCGCTCTCGCCCTCGCCCGCCGCACTGGTGCTCTTCCATGGCTCCGCCCCGACTCCAAGACCCAGGTCACGATCGAGTACAAGAAGGATGGAGGTGCCACCATCCCTCTCCGTGTCGACACCGTCGTCGTCTCCACCCAGCACTCCGAGGACATCACCACCGAGGAACTCCGCCACGAGATCCTCGAGAAGGTTGTTAAGAAGGTTATCCCCGCCCACCTTCTCGACGACCGCACCATCTACCACGTAAGTTCGTTCTAATGTGCCTGAAGAAGCCCACTCTGATCACCACTCGTCTCAGATCCAACCTTCTGGCCGTTTCGTCATCGGTGGTCCTCAGGGCGACGCCGGTCTCACTGGCCGCAAGATCATCGTCGACACCTACGGTGGCTGGGGTGCACACGGTGGAGGTGCTTTCTCTGGAAAGGACTTCTCCAAGGTCGACCGCTCTGCAGCGTACACTGCTCGCTGGATTGCCAAGTCGCTCGTCGCTGCCGGCCTTGCCCGCCGTGCTCTCGTTCAGCTCTCGTACGCTATTGGTGTCGCTGAGCCTCTGTCGGTCTTCGTCGACACCTACGGCACTGGCAAGAAGTCCAACGAGGAGCTCGTCGAGATCATTCGCGAGAACTGGGACCTCCGTCCGGGTGTCATCGGTATGTCCATTGCTTCAATGTGAGCCTGCATCCGTCTCACTCTTTTTCCAGTGCGACAGCTCGACCTCCAAAAGCCGATCTACAAGCGGACCGCTGCCTACGGTCACTTCGGTAAGTTTTATACAAATTGTTATTGCGAGATGAACTTGAGCTCAATCTTCACAGGTAACTCCGAATACACCTGGGAGAAGCCCAAGCAGCTCAAGCTCTAAGCTGGCTGTCGTGCTGTCTCTGTTCAACCATTGCGCTCACATTATACTCGCGCGCGTCTGGCATCGTCTCGTAACACTTCGCATACTCTCATTGCTTGCTCTCATCGCACCGGAAGTTCATCCTTCCGCTTAATTTATCCGCATTTGCACTCGATATCGGTTGCTATTAGACTACCTTAACGACCCGCTCCCCCCTACCCTTTCATCCCGCATTGCATTCCACGCGGCCATACGTGGATTCACTCGTTCCGCTTTACACATCGCACATGACTGTGGCGCTTCGTACTCTACTGGTCCTTCCCACAGGTCGCACGGACTGGACGGGCTGGAGAAAGAGGACGTCGAGGACCCTACGGGACATGTACCGTCTACACTACGACACTTCGGCATTGTAGGCTCTTCGGTAGTTAGCTCGTAATGTGTGTAGTACTTGCAGACGTTCAGCTTGCTGCTGGATTGTCAAATGAATACGACCGCGTTCAACCGCGACTTTCGTGTTCATTCCTTCGTGTGACTTCGTGCCGGACGTGCGCTTGCAATTTGAACTCTGCATACGTGGTACTTCTGGGGTCGTCTTGGAGAGTCCCCAAGTTTGCCTAGTACATGAAAACGAGCCTGCAGAAGCGAATGAATGCCTCTGTTACCCCACACACCGGACTGCATCTCCCCAATCATTCCTGCCACTCCAGAGCCCCCACGATCGCAGTCCGTCCCACAAGCGAGCCCTGAGTAGGCGCGAGCACCGTCATCTTCTTGTTCGGTAGATCGATCGATGTGCTGCAAAAGCCACACAATCAGCCTCCGACGAGAAGCTCAAAAGAGAAACGATGAACGCACATGACGACGAACCCGACGACGTGGAGGTCGAGGATCTCCTCGTCGTACCGTTCGGACTCGTCCGGGTTCGGAGGGGCCAGCAGCGCGAGCACGGCGTTGTAGAGGCCCGAGCCCGCCTGCGCGGGGTCCACGGGCAGTGGCTGCATCTCCGACACGACGCGCGTTGCGCCAATGGGCAGTGCCGACTGGGGCGCCATCGTTTCTGCACACAAAAATCACCGTTCACAAACATCGCCCGAGCACCGAAGTGTTAAAATTAATAGAATAGAATATAGAAACATCGTGACACGCACCCTCGCCAATCCGCCAGATCTGGAGGTCCCCGAACGCGACGACCTGGCTCGCAGGCGCGAGCGTAAAGTCCGTCGGCTGCTCGCCCGCGACGAGGTAGCCCGCGGCGGGCGGCGCTGTCGCGAGCGGCGCAGGCAGGCCGCGCGGCGGCTCGACGCGCTCGCCGTAGAAGTAGGCGTGCAGCTGGGCGCGCAGCACGCGCGCGCGGAAGAGCGCGTCGAGCTCGACGACGCCGCCCGACTTGGGGATCTTGACGATCGTGAGTCCGCGCGCGCCGTACGTGCGCTGCATCTCGACGTGCAGCTTCTCGTGGCCGACGACGAGGATCACGTTTACTGCCGGGGTGTTTTTTCATATTTAGAGAGGGTGAGGAGCGGAGGGACAGAGGGCGGGACGTACTTCGGAAGGCGTCTACGCAGGCTTTGATGAGTGATTGTCTGTGGTGCTCCGCGCCGCTGCCGCTGCCGGCGGCGAACGAAGAAGGTGTGTCGACGACGGTGCCGGACGCTCGGGCTGCTTAGGGTCAGGTCAAGTAGACGTATATGGATGTAGTATTACCTTGAGGGTCGTCTGCGACTCTGTCCCAGACGTTCTCGCCCAAGTTACGGATGAGGCGCTCGAGCAAGAGTGGGTTCCGCTTCGTCTCCGTATGACCGTACCAATACGCGAGAGGCAACAAGGAGTTCGACGCCATGTGCGCAGGTGCGGTCGTGGCTGAATTGCCAAGAGTATGTGCCGGTGTCGAAGTTTGGATTGGGGCGGGTATCGGAGTAGCCGAGATTGTGCCCGGTAGCATGCATCCGCCCTAGATACTACTTGAGTTCGGACAACGCATTGCATTATAACAGAACGCTTACTTCACTGGGGCTCACATTTATCAACATCGGAGTCCATTCTTGTCCAGCACGTGCGGCATAATTAACTAGAATCTTTGCGATGCTCGTCTTCCCTGAGTTTTCGGGGCCCAGGATCAGCACTCGCGGCGGCTCCGTGCTCTCTCCTTGTTGAGGAGGCGTGATTCTTCCATTGTCATAATTTTTTATCTGAACCAAAGATCGAATCCGCATCTGCTCAAAGGCTATATGCAGATTGGCGTAAGCGGCCATGGGTGTTTCCTCTGAGATGTAATCCGTTGAAGGCTGGCCTGTGACGTATCTAGTAGGTTAGTGCGGCAGTACAATTACCAGGAAGATTTCTGGACATATCTGTATTGTACATCCTTGCCAGGTGAAGACGGCTGCTTTGCATTCTCCATAGAATATATACGTCTTCCCGTCCACGAGCTCGGCACCAAAGATCTCAGCATGACCTTGTATAAGCTAGAATCCGAGAGCATGTCAACGAAATGCAGCATTTTGTCGAGCATATGGACTAACCTTGATCGCGAGGGAGGTCCTCTGCTCAAGCTCGAATCTGTATTCACTCTCTGGATTGAGCACCCACTCTCGGGTGTTGGCCGCAGGTGCTTCCGTCATCAGAGATCTGCCGGTATTGTGGACCTACACTGTCTTAAAGCGAGATGTTCTCTACAACAAAAGTATAGCACACTCTGGTTCGCACAGATCCCGCTGTTTGCAAACTCAGAAGGACAAGTCAACTTAGCGGTTACAGGTTAGGTGGGAAGATGCAAAGGAAAATAAAGGGGTGTTTGTGGCGTGGGAACTAACATGTCCGGCTAAATCCGGCTTCGGCGCTCAGCACGCTTTTTTTCTCGTACGATCACCTACCAACATAACTTACGAGTATCACCGTCCATCTTCGGCTTCCTGAGGTTGGTCAGGTCCGCCGGTTGGTCTGAGCATGAATTCTGAATAGCGAATACCCCATGTATTATATCCCGCTGAGGATGGGTTATGCGATACTAATGCCGAAACATGTCAGCCCCAGACAGACGAGTCGGTCCCTACGAGACTCGACCTCGTTTCTAAGCGTCGTGATTGCTGAATCTAATGTTTACTGCCAATGATTGGTGCAAGTCATCGTCACTGGGAAGGATGAACTCAGGTGAGTTGGACCCTGTGCACCGCCCTGAGTCCGGTGTGGAATCGCACGAACAACGGACTCTAAACCTATAGTCGGGGAACATCATTGGCCTTGTTCTCGAAGTCTGCCAAGGGTGCGTGAGAGTTCACTCGATATCGTCGCCTCATCTCTGACATACTCCAGTCCAAATGAAAGCAGTCACGTCGCATTCATCATGGGGACATTCTAGAAGACCATATTGTCTGGCACAATAATCATCTCAATTTCTCGTGGTTTGTTGATGCACGATATTATATCTCCTCTTGCATCGTGTCAACGTATTGCTGCACTCCCGCCAGATCTCGCGCATTCCTACTCTTCTCGTCTACATCCCAGAGGCGAGACCAGACTGTTGCAGGCGACACCAACAACAGATTACGTCAGGTGTACAGAAGACCAGGTGTAATGACCGTCTCAGGAACGCTATTCTCATGCAATCTAGAGCCGGAGCTTGTCTATCATCCACCTGCCAACAGCTTTATTCCCGATGCGCAATATACAATCGCATCCAAGAGCCTCTGGGCCTTTCACAAAAGCAGTATGGCTACGTCTAGACTTGGACAGATTTCAGGCACTTGTTGGGGCAAGGTTCACTTTACTGAGAGAAGACCTTTCCCGTGGTCTCCTGGTATGGATTCCCAGTGGCACGTCAAGGTCTTGTGTAGCCGTTTACCTGTGACCTATGGTCAAGTGCTCGCGGCTAGTGGAACAGCTGGGGACAAGAGCACCAGCCAAAGGTAAGTGGCACCACCTTCCATTCCATCTTGAGGCTCTCGACTGACTCGTCTCTCTCAACGCTGTCAAGCCCATGACCAATACGAAGAGCATCATGCCAAGGGTCCCGCTACCCCCTCGAACGTTCCTGTGACACATGAACAGCTAGTAGCTCCAGCGCATCGCACATGAACACTGGCAGGAAAGAATCGTTGTGCGAGAGCGCGAATAACGCCGGTACACAAGGACATATATCTAGGGGCTCTCGCCTCGTAGTCTCAGCAGTGCTTCCACACCATGTCTCATCACCACCACCACCACCACCACCACCACAAGAGAGCGTACGGCGATTGCGTGAACGGCAATCTTCATGAAGCCGTTTCGGCGTGGTTCCTTGGGCCTCAAGCCGAAAACGCCGACATCCTCACAGGACTGTTCGAGGAGACAGTCAAGCTGCAGAAGCAGTCACGTCTTGACTATTATCCTGAGGATGGCGTATGATCTCTGCTGTTTTATTCGAGGTGCACGCTGACGCATGGCCCCGTGTAGGCATTCATAACCGCCGACATCAGAGAGTCTCAGACCTTCCAGGACCGTAGGGACGAACTCATCGAGAAGTTCACCCTAATCAGCAAGCTGCTCTTTGAAAACTCCATCCCCTTTTTCTCTCAGCGCTATGCTGGGCACATGTCCTTCGAGATGGGCATGCCGGGTATACTCGGTTGGGCGGCGGGTGTACTCAACAACCCAAACAATGTCGCCTTCGAAGCCAGTCCAATTACGACCCTTTTGGAGATTGACGTTGGCCACGACATGTGCGAGATGTTGGGCTACACAGAGAAAGATTCCAGTGGTCAACCGCTCTATTGGGGACACATTGCCTGCGACGGGACCGTCGCCAACTTGGAATCTATTTGGTGAGCAGCGGCTTGGACAATGTTTGAAGTGATCTTACCGAAACCTTCTATTCGCATCCCCCCCGGGATTGCAGGGTTGGTGAGTGCCACGCTGTCTTTCATCACTGGTTCTAGCTGACGTGGCCTCATGACAGCCCGTAACATCAAGTATTACCCTCTCTCGCTCCGCGATGCAATGAAGCCTGAGAACGAACTTAACTACATTTCTGATTCGTTCGAAGTTACTCTCCCTACGGGCCAGTCGAAGCTCCTCGCTGATCTCAGCCTGTGGGAACTCCTCAACCTTACGGCCAACACCATCCTCGATGTCCCCAGGCGTCTCGAGGCCCAATACGGCATCACCCCTACGTACTTGGACTCCGTGCTTGGCAAGTACATCGTCCAGACGCGCGGCAAGCAGGCCGTCGAACTCGAATGGGGCATGAAGACTTCGCCTCGATACTTTATCTCCGGGACCAAACACTATTCCTGGCCGAAGGGCGCAGGTGTGTCTCGTCTTCCTCTCTAGGCTGAATAATCGCTGATCCGTGTCTGCGCAGCACTCGCCGGGCTTGGTTCCGAGAACATGATTGACATCCCTATCGACATCAACGCTCGAGTGGACACGAAGATCCTGCGTGAGCGTCTCCAGGAGTGCCTGGACCAGCAGATCCCCGTCTTCGCCGCCGTCGCGATCATCGGCTCCACCGAGGAGGGCTGCGTCGACCCGCTCGACGAGATCCTCGACCTCCGCGACGAGTTCGAGCCACAGGGCCTGTGTTTCCTCGTGCACGCCGACGCCGCGTGGGGAGGATACTTCGCGTCAATGATTCGCGACAAGCCGGTGTACGACCAGCCCGGTGCCCCGCGCAGAGAAGAGCCCGATCGAGACTTCGTGCCCTCTGCTACGCTCAGGGATTCTACGATCCGCCAATTCCACGCGCTTGCGCGCACGGACTCGATCACGATCGACCCCCACAAGGCCGGCTATGTGCCGTACCCCGCCGGCGGACTGTGCTACCGCGATGGCAGGATGCGTTACCTCGTCACCTGGAGTGCGCCGTACCTCCAGCAGGCGGACACTGGCGAGAGCATTGGCGTGTACGGTGTTGAAGGAAGGTGGGATTGTTCGCGGTCTTCTTGTCTCCTTATCGCTGAAACTCGCCCATCAGCAAACCTGGTGCGGCTGCTGTTGCGACCTATTTGCACCACCAGGTCGTTGGTCTGCATAAGGAAGGACACGGAGCCTTGCTCGGCGAAGTATCTTGGTCCTGCCGCAGGGTAAGTGGCGAATATTCTTAACCGCCATTGCACCCGATCTTACAATATGCCTACCTTAGATTTCCGCTCACTGGGCCGCCATGTCTGTCGCCAGCGACCCATTCATCGTAGTTCCTCTGAACCCACTCCGTTCAGAGCCGGACCCAGATGCCGTCGCTAAGGAGAAGGATTACATTCGCACCTCTATCCTCGGCCAATCGAACGAGGCGCTTGTCAATGACACGACCGCTATGGATGAACTCCAAAGCCTGGGGTCAGACCTGAACATCAACGCCTTCGCTTGCAACTTCCGCATCAACGGCGTCGCTAACTCGGACGTCGAGGAGGCGAACTATCTCAACAATGCGGTCTTCAAGCGTCTATCCATCACGACGCCGAACAAGAGCCCCAAGGATATTCCGATGTTCTTGTCCGCGACGACGTTCAAGGTCGCTGATTACGGAGTCTGCGTGCAACACTTCAAGGAGCGGCTGCAGCTGGAGACGGAGTCAAACCAGGACCTCTTCCTCTTGCGCAACGTCTGCATGTCGCCCTTCCAGACGGCCGGAAATTTCGTGGAAGAGCTTGCGAACATCTTTCAAAGCGTGCTGGAAGAAGAGATGCAGGTGTGTGCTGACCTCGGTTTGCGACAGACCTGTGCAGCTGACCCGTTTGTTAGCATGTCATCGCCCGCAATACCATCACGCCGCAGCAACACTCGTTCATTCTCCAAGGATACGATGTCAACACGTCCTCTAGCTCTGCCAAGGCTTTCCTCGTCTACAGGCCATACTTCCATAATGCCAACGGCCGCTTCCAAGCCATTCTCAGTGCTGACATCACCAACGACGTCGGACGACCCACACACTCATCCGCGTCTACTTCGGACGTCCTGTGCCTTACTACGACTGATGACTTGAATATGGCCGACATTTTGCAGGATGGCGCCACGTTCCGTGCCACGCTGGGTGTAGGGTGGGTAGCACCAGCCATAGTCACCCTGATATACATGCTGACGTTGAGTCCAGGGACGCTTCAGGTGCCCCGCCGGTGATTAAGCACGTGGTGGTCTCCAACGTCCGGGTGATCAAAAACCGGCCGCTCGACTCGCGCTGGCGCGACCACGACTATCCCGCGACGTTTGTCCCGTTCTACCTATACGGCGCCAACGGCCGCTACTTCGTGGAGCACGCGCTCGTCAAGGCCCCGAACGCGCAGCTGACCGCCGAGGTGCAGCTCAGCACGCCGCTCAGCGACGCGCAGCTCGCGCGCGGCCTGTCCCTCGCCGTCGCGCGCCCCGAGGCCGCGATGCAGCCCGCGGACGCAGCGAGCACCGCGTGGTTCGCGCCCGAGAAGACGTACGGCGTCGCGGTGTTCGACGACCCGAACGGCGCGGGCGCGCACGGTCCGGGTCTCGTGTCTGCGCTCGCCGGCGGCGGCACGCCCGTTGCGACGGGCACGATGACCATCACGCAGCACGCGTACGTCGACGTCGACCGGCTCAACACGCAGGAGTTCACCGGCCGCGACACGCACCGGATCAAGAACTTCACGTCGCGCGAGGCGCACCCGCAGACGAAGCAGGAGTGGAGACAGCTTGTGCAGGCTGCGGTGGGGCATCGCCATGGCCCGCGTGCCTGAGCTGTTGAGTCCGAGCAAACGATAGTTGAAGATGACACCTTGTATTTGTATTTGTATCACAAATCTGCATGTCCAGAATATCAATCGCGAGTTCTCAGCTCGAACCAGAAGAAGGCAGACAGACGAACGTTAAGGGCTCGGAAGCTAATCCGTCTCTATGAGCAGCGCAAGAGATATCTTGTTGCAATGATATAAAGATGAGCTACAGCTGACACAATGCAGTACACAAATGTAATAGCAGTAGATGCTTGCTGCTTGCAATACTGAAATGTTTCGGAGACCAAGGAACTTGAACTTCTGGCGCTACTATGCAAGGGCGCGAGAACAAACGGAGCGCCACGAGGAGGTCGCCTTCCTATTTGAACCCCTGCGTCCCGCACGCGTCTGGCTAGAGTACAGAAAACTTCTACGAATTCAGGTCGCAAGCATTAGGGCGCAGCGCACACCACTCGGGCTGCAACGGGATGGCTTTGATACCGCGCTGCACCATCCGGAAACGCATGTCGTGTAAACGAGGCAGAGCATCTGTCACGTTGAGCGCGGCGCCGTTGGAATATCCCCCGCTCCAGAACACCTCCGCTGCGCTCGCCGCTCGCGGCCATACGATCGGGTCCAAGTTCTCAGGACCACTCTGTTCGGACCAGATCGGTATCTGACCTGTCGAAAGGGGAGAACTGGTAAGTGTATGCATCTGGCAAAAAGCTAGACGGCAACTTGACCTCCAATCACCAGCGACGCTTCCTCGGCAGTCAAGTTTGCGAGCGGGTCGAAAGAATATATCTGGGAGATGAAAACTGTGACGCTCATTCACGCAGATATTTGAACTTCACGCTTACCCGTTGCCAGGTCTTGAATGGGTCACACCAGCTGTTGCTGTACAAATAATCTCAGCCTCAAAGCTTAGGCCAATGCGGCCAGAAACCGCGTACCCAAGGATGTCGTCGCCCACCCAGCCGCCACCGCCACAGTCCTGCGAACCAGGTCAGTGGTGATCTTAATGCATAGTAAAGTGCAGTCATACGAGATAGAAGTAGTCAGACGGCTGGTGTATGACTCGATAACCCCGCTCAGTCACATTCTTCGCATCTTGAGACGAGATCCAAACGCTGATGGAGAACGCATCAGCCGGCGCGGGGCCAAATATCTCATAATTACCGCTTACACAGCGATGGTCGTGTTCGGCAACGTAGTGTTATGATTCAATATCATGTCTATCCATCTCTCAGTCTCGTGTCATCATCAAGGAACGGCCAGCTCACCTTCTTTCACGATAGGCGTCTTACCCTGCGCCCGGATCACCGCATGCGTCGCGAGCAAGAACTCGTTTAGTGCCTCGTCAAACGACAGCCCGCTCTGCGCGAGGTCCGCCTGCGTCTGCGTGTCCTGCGTGTAGCAGTTGGCGTTTACCTCGTCGCCGCCGGTACTGAACAACGCCGAGCGGAACTTGGCCGACACCGAGGCGACGAGCGCGACGGTGAAGTTGACCGTCGCGGGCGTCGCCAGGCGGAGTTGGCCCGCCGGAGGCTCTACGGGCGGGCAGGTGAGGGTAGGGTCAGCAAGAGGGCGTGCGTGCACTAAAGGCAATTAAGCCGTACCGCTCGCGAAGTCGGCCCACGGCGTGGACAGGTAGCACGCGACGTGCTCGGGGTGGGAAAGCCCGATAGCGGTTTCGTGGCCTGGTGTGTCAAGTTCCTGGGCCGGAGGCATCAGTGACCGAGCACAGTGGTCCTGGTGTGGCCGCTTACCAGGACGACATCAATACCCCTCTACTCAATAACAAACATTCAAGTTAACAATTATCTCAGTAGAGCCGATCGGTGGCGACTTACCGCAGCGGCGTAAGAGATGATATCCTGCACGTCGGCCTCTGAATACACCTGCATCGCCGAGTATGCGCCCTGCTGTGACAACTCGGGGAAGGCGCTAACTTCGAGCGGGAAGCTCTGACTGTCCACGACGTGCCAATAGAGCGCGTTTAGCTGCACGACACAGTCAAACAAACAATCTCCGTCGAATGCGACTGACAAGCTACCTTTACCCAGCTCATCGCGTCCAGTGTCCGTTTGATATCGGGCACCGGAAAGCTAGCAAGCCCGCTTGAGTAACAAGCGTGCATTTCTCGACTGGCCTGCAGGACTCACAAGTTTCGCGCCGAGTCGAGTCCGAATCCTCGATGGGGCTAGCAGCAAGAGTGGTGTCGACACATGGATTTAATAACTGATAGGAGGCGGCCAACTTACATACGCAGGCGAGTCATGAACAACCAGAGGCATGTTCACCGCATACACCTGTTCAGAATACGTATACCAGAGCTGTTCAAACGTCGTGAGCCCTCGCAGGAGCCCTAGTGTCGTCGGCGCCGTCAGCGTCGCTTCGCTCCCGTTCGCGGGCACCATCAAGGCGTAGCTCTCGTTCCTAACTTCGAACGGAACGACCGCCTCGTCCGCGATGCTCTTGGCCGCCGAAGAGGAGGTCAATGCTAGCCGCAGGGTGCACAAGGACTCTGCGGAGCTGAACGCGACGCTGTCATTGGCGCCGCGGCCCACGACGAGTCTACCGAGGCCGTCGGCGAAAAGCCTGGCCTGCGTACGCGCGACGGCGTCCTCGAGGTCCTGGGGCGTCGACGGGAGGTCGGAGACGATGCTGAATTCCGGCGACAGCAGCAGCGTCTGCTCCCCTGAGGAGATGTTGCGGGGAGCCGGCCAGATGGCGAGTACATTGCGAAAGAAGAGTGGCTGGAGAGCGACTAGGAGGCCTATCGGCAGACGCATGGTGATGCGCGGGCCAACTTCGACCGCCGCGCACTGGAATATATACACTCGTCTGGCTGGCATCACGCGAACCACGCCGCGGCCCGAGGCGAGCTGCAAAAGAGTCTCCGCGCGCTGCCGCGGCCTGGTGGAACCCACTCACCTGGGTCACAGGGTAATGATGTCTCGGGAACAAGTGCGGTCAGCAGAAGAGCAACGCGAGGTGCCACTGTGTTCGATCATCTGCCAAGATGATAGATAGCTAGAGAAGCATGCACGGCGCACTAGCGAATGGCGATAAGATAGAAGTACGAGACATGCGCCGCTTGTGGGCCCCTGTCGGGGCATGCTTCTGCCACCGAAGGACCAGGAAGCACATGGACGACGTTCCTGTCTAATTCCATGCCTACTCTTCAATTCCTGCAGATCCGAGGGACCTTTGTCTACGCCTTGCCCCATAGACGGCGAAGCACGCAATACCGCGCCGCGAGCATCAATGCTACGCCGGCCATGACGGTGGACCCTTGCAAGACCGTATACCATTAGCAGGACGCCCCGGCACACGCACAGTTGGGACCAACACACCGGCATACACGCCCACCAAGTTGAACCCGCCCGTCGACGTGTTGATGGCGCCCGAGATTGGCGGGCCCGCGAGGGCACCGAAGGCCATGATCGTGAGGAAGAAGCCCATACGCTGCCCGAAATCCTGCATGTCGCCAATATCGACGAGCGGCGTCCCGAACACGCCGACATACACACCGGACGCGCAGCTAGCGGAACATTTTTTGTGAGTCACGAGCGCGCCCGAGCTATCCTGCCAGGCAGACATACCCGTAGATGACGGCGATAGCAACCAGCGCGCCTTGGCTCTTTGCGTACGACCACGCGTAGGTCAAGATGCCTGTGGCAAAAGTGCCTGAGGCCAGAATGTTGAAGGGGCCTGTATGAGGTGTCGTTATGAGCAGCCCCGTACCGCGCCTGCCAAAAGCACGAGGACGTACCGAACCGGTCTGAAGACATCCCGCCAAAGAGACGCCCCGCCGCCGACCCCGCGTTCGCTATCGCGACGAGATAGAAGGAAAAGTCGTCGGGCTGCCTGGCGGCCAGGGAGCTGCCGTCGATGTACGTCAACACCTGGGCGGCCGAGCATCAGTATATCGCCCGCAGGGGGCCCTCAGTAGCTCCCAGTCAGGACTCACGGTGTAGAAGCCAAGGTAGGACACGAAGCCCGCTGCGCAGTACAGCGAGAACGCGGGGATCCTGAAATGCTTGAAGGTGAGGCTCGGCTGGTTCCTCGTCGGCGGGAAGCTCCGTGTCATGAACAGGAACGTCGGGATGAGTGTGACGAGCTGGATGAAGCCAATGGCGCGCATTGCCCAGGGGAACCTACGAGGGACGGTAAGCGGCGACGACGGCGATGGGCTCAGGATACGTCAACGTACCCAACCTCGGGGATGAGCCTCCGCGCGACAATCGGGTACATGACACCACCGAAACTGGCTCCCATGCCCAGGATGCCATACGCCAGACCTTTCTTCCTCCTGAACCATTGAGGGATCACGCTTATACCGGGCGACATGGTGAATCCACACGCAATCTAGGATCAATGAGTCCGGTGCTCAGTGGGTGTTACGCAAACGAACGACGCCCACCCCGAGGAAGATGCCTTGGCACAGTAGGAAGTGCCAATATTGCGTACACTGGGCCACAAGGAAGGTAGCGGTCACGAGGGCAGCGCACGCAACGCGTACGGGAAGTTGAAGATATCCTGCGTCGACCAAGCGTCCGGTGGGCAAGCCCATCATAAAGACCAATGCGTACTAACGAGGGCGACAGATCAGCCAAGGGCAAACGCCACGCTGAAAGGGTACGCGCCTGCAACGAGCCTATCCACGCTCTGCGAGTGGATCAGAAAGATGTTGCTCAATAAATTAGTGAAATGGCACCTGCATTGTAGACGGTGGGCGGTCGCTGAGCAACGTCTGCTGGTAATACTCTTGGAAGACCTGGGGGACATGAGTATCGGATATGCGACAGAGTCAGACTCGTCGAACACTCACACCCCAAGCGTTGATAAAGCCGAAAGTATTAAACATCGCACAAAAGGACTGTCAGCTGTTTAGTGGACGCCCATCTTCTATTGCGAACGAGCTCACAGCTAGTACGACCAACCATGCTCGAATTCCGCCATCAGGTATGACAGGGGCCCCAGGTTTCGGGCCAACTTGCGGATCTTCAGACTCCTTCTCCGCATACCGAACGCTAAGTTTCTCCGCCGTAGCAGGGTCTTTTTCTGGTGAATACATGGTGCGTTCCTCGTCGTCCGGTGGAGGGAGCCCGCTGATGGTAAATTCGCCAGCAGAGATGTGGCTGTCTGCTCCCATGTCTTGCCTGAATGTAAAAACGCGAGGGAGCTCAAGATAAAACAAGCAGCACTAGACATTTGCCGGCGAGGAACCAGCTATATAGCCTCCCCTCGGGTACCGTACAAAATGATTCCGGCGGTAGAAATACCAGTAGCCGGTGTCCAAGTGCTCCGCCACGGGCTTGCTAAAGAGCCTCGGGATGAGGTGAGGCGAGCAAGACTGCCCGTGACATATCCCAGACACTGGGTGGTAAGCGCGCTTTTTTCCGGCACAAAATTGGCCAAAAACTGATTCAGCAAGGCCCCGACTTTCTCCGGTTTTCACCTGAAAAAATCCGAAGGCAAAACTCAGTTTTCCGCCAGTTTCAGACCTTTTTGGCTGGTTTTGCACCAGTTTCTCCTCAGTTTGCATCGGCGTGAAATCGAGGAATAACTGGGCCTTGTTTAGCCGCTTTTGCCTGAGTTTTCTCGAGAAAAAAACTGCGCTTACCACTCTGTGAGATGCGACATGAAACGCTGCGTGCCGGTTTTTGGGCCCTCGGCGTTTAATTTTAGCGCCCTCCGGCCACTAAATTCTAGATCCCGCGATCATGCTGATTTCGAGCCGTGCGCAAGGTAAGATTTCATCGTAATGTTTTGTATGCTATACTCAGAGTGCTTGGGACAATACAGGTCAACATTCAAAAATCCCACAGGAACACCTAACCTACTAATGATACAGACGACAACCGGTTGGTTCAAGACTTGGGGCGATCAACGCGATGATTACAAGATAATAGGTGACGATGACAGGGAGAGAGGGAGCGGAGGAGGCCGAAGCAAATTGTAAGCGGTGATGTCTAAGAGTCGAAGAGGTCTAGGCCGTCCTTCGAGCCGTCGTTCGTGACAAGCACGGGTCGGCGTTTCTTGTATTTTGTACGCAACAAATGAACGAGACTCTGGATGAGAGTGAGCGTAGAAGGTGTTCGAGGTGCTTTGCGACGCACGAGAAGCTTTTCAGAGACAATTGATCGCCTTATATTACTGCGAAACGAAGATGAAGTAGAGGTGGATTTCGAAGACGAGATAACGGTAGGTGAGGGCGGAACTATGTCGCAGATGATGACCTCCATGACCTCTTCCTCGAGAATGTCTGACTACGACGAGAAGTTATGCGTGAGGTAAACATTATTTTTTGAGCATCGTCACGTACCAAGGCCGCGGTTGATCGAAAGCGTGGCGTCCGGTCGATGTGACGATAATCTACCGTCTTCTATTGACAGTCAGCTATACGGCTGCAATGAGGACACACGGACATACCATCAGATCATCGTAGGATGGTGGGGGAGCACCCCATGAAGATAGAGAAGGTTCAGAAGAACGACGACGGCAAGCGTACAAGGGAATGAAGTCGTTTGGCGGGTCATAAGGAGAGAAGGGAATGCGAAAGAAGGTTGTCTGTTGAGCAGGCGTCTGCTCAAGGCGAGATTGGCCCGCATAGACAGTGGAGTTCATAATCAGTAGCAAAGAGAGAGCGACAGAGATAAACGAAAAGACCGGCAGTGGGAAGGACCACCGACGACGATTGAGCAGAGCTGCGCTTTATAACGCAAGGTCGGAAGAAGCATGGCAACAGGCGAGCGGCGCGCGCATGGAGCTGCACGGTTCTCGGCGTGGGTCGCACAGAAGCTGTATTTGGGCGGGTCGCGGATGACTCGAGATCGCCAATTCGGGTGCGCGCAGCACGGGATGCTTCGACCGCCTTGAAATGGTTCTGCGAACCGCCTTAAAGAGCTCAGAGTTCAAGTCAGCAATGTCTTTAAGAGATCTAGTTTCTCCGTTGGACGATACGGCCGTCGTTAACAGAGCTCACAGGAAGGGCTGCAGCCCGAGACACCTTTGCAGAGGTCCCGAGCGTCAATGACGCCCTCACTATTTCATCCCCACAAGCCAAAGTTAACAGTAATGGTGGAGGCTACATTCGCTATGGAGCTCAAGATGTCGTGAATTTCATCGCAACTATGGCTGCGCGAACACCGTACTTCTGCCCCGACATCATCCGCGTTCGCTCAACACGCGAGTGCCATTACCGGCTCAGTACACTTCCATTTCCTGCAAGTCTTCTAGACTGTACTGCGCATCATTTGCATATGCATAGTCGGTCCTTCCTGACGAAGCGAGCTCTGGAGGAGTGCCAGAGAACCGTGACGTTACTCATGACAGTCACGCCCGCCTAGGGACGACAGCTAGCGGTGTCGTCGACAGCGATATCGCTCGATGGTAGCTGCAACATCCCTAGGCTGGGCGAGAAGGTCCTTGTAAAGCCTGGCCTTCAAGGACCCCAACGAAGCATGTCAAGCCCGTCAACTTTGTAAAGACGTACTTGGAACAAATATAATGCATATATTGACCGCAATGGCATCTAACCCGAAACGGAGGTTGATTGCGGCACCTGCGTGGAAAAAGCCATCCCAAGCGTGATAGAAGACGTGCGACAGATGAAACTCACTAGTACCACTGACGGTTGGTCAGGCAAGATGGACGCGTATCGCACATTGACGAGGCTGGCCCGTAGCGACGGATATCAACCTCGGTTCATGCGGTGACCGGGACGTGAACGACATGTGAAGACCTGGCTTTGCCTATTGTTCCTATACTTTACCTTACGATGCCCGGAACGTCGAAACGTTGGGGTTGCCGCTACATACGGTAGTCGACGCGACTAGAGCAATGCTCAATAGAGAAGTCAAAGTCATGGAATTTAATGGAGTATCGAAGGCAAACTTGAGGACAATGAGGGCCACTCTCTGCCGCACAAACCAGAAATAACCACGAGTCAGTCAAGAGCACTCAGGAGGTGGCCGCGAATGGGACTCCGAATTCTGCGACGGAGTAAATACCCTTTACTCGCTGCATATACGAACTGTCGCGTTCCAGAGAAACGAAGAGCAAGAGTAAAGCGGGTCATGGGCCGGACGGAGATGATGGTCAAGAGCAAGACGAGAGGGCGCTCGGAGGGGAACGGTTCACTCAGCCCTAATTCTATGTCTTCTCCCCACTGACTAAATTACCAAGACGTTGCTACTATTATACGAACACTATTCGTCATTTTCTAGTTCCTTATGGTTGTCACCTCTGTCCAGAGAAGGGAGCTGGCGTGTCCAGAGGAAGCGCTAGGGCGGGAGTTGCCACAAGTGCCTCGCGCGGTTTCTGGCTCAGTCTCTGAACCATAACCACAACCATCCTAATCTCACTCTGCCTTGCCTCCCTGTGTCTCTAAGTCTCCAAGCTATCGAGCGTACCGCTATCTATTCTTTTCTCTCTTATCCAGCTGTTACTCTGAGCCCTACAGTCTGAGCCGCGGGCCTTGTGATGTCGGGAGTCGCTTGGCATTATGTCTTAAAGTTCATCATTACAGGTGTGTCCTCCGTTACTCGTCCTTGTCTAGTATTGATGTCTGCTTCTAGGTGACGCAGCTGTGGGCAAGTCCTCACTGCTCATCCGCCTCACCGACCAACGTTTCCTAGCAAACCCGGATCCTACTGTACGTCCCTCCATGTACAGGCCGTTCCTAGGGTGACAAGCGCAACACTCGGCTAGCTAGGAGTTGAATTCGGCTCGAAGCTGATCACGATACCTGAAGAGAACAAAGTGGTGAAACTGCAATGTGCGTCCACCTGTCTTTCGTTTGCAATCCTTGGCTGATTGAACGGAGGACTCGTCGTTAGGTTGGGACACAGCAGGGACTGAATCCTTCCGCTCAATCACCCGCTCGTACTACCGCGGCGCAGCAGGCTGCCTGCTCGTGTACGACGTCACCTCGCGACAAAGTACGCAAAAATGCCGGGTTACCCGGGGATGCCTCCCTCTGACGTACGTGCGCACGTATAGGCTTTGTAAACGCGCGCTCGTGGCTCCAGGACGTCCGCGAACACGCCGACCCACATCTGACGTGCATCCTCGTCGGCAATAAAGTCGACCTGTGTTTGGACGAGGGGCCCGCAGACCCGAGTCAGGATCCGCCGCCGCCGCCGTCGGACACACTGTCAAAGCCAGGGAAGCGGAAGCGTGAGGTGTCGACAGAGGAAGCGGAGATATGGGCGCAGGAAGAGGGTCTGCTCTTCGTGGAGACAAGCGCCAAGTCAGGCGTGAACGTCGAGATGGCGTTCGAGCGTGCAACCAGGGACATCTTAGAGAAGGTTCGCAAGGGTGCGTTTGATGAAGATCGCGTGAGTAGTGTTCTTGGCGTATCTGCCCTCTGCTCATCATGATGCTGAGCCCTCGACATCTGACAGTCTCCTGGAGTTAAATTGTCGCAATCCAGAACTGACGGACTCGCCGTTGATACAACAGCTTCGGCATCACGGTGCTGTTGACCTGTCGTGTGCTGATAGTGGGGATATTTCGATGTTTTATATACCAGCGGGCCTGATGGACTGCGGGCATCTTTGTGAGATGGTGCTTGTGCGTACATGTATTTCTTTCTTGAGCTTCTCGCCATGTCGTGTACATGTGTATTTTAATCTGTGTATCATCGTAACTACGCTTCTATCCCGACATACAACAGCGTATCTAGTGAGGTGGATGAGAAGATGAGGCAATATTGATGTTAAACCGGCCAATCAGGGTATGCAAGACATCAGGGGATATAATTTTTGAGATTGTGTGGGTCATGACAATGTCAGTCCATGAGCACGATTATCCGAGGGTAGGGTACGGTCGGACTAGAAATGTACGTAGGATATGTGAAGTCCGGGTATTGAGCGGGAGAGAGCCTGTCATGCTTGATGGGCAGGCCTGGCGAGGGTGGCATGGGAGCGCACTGGACAGCTCTGGCGGCGGGCAATCAGTTGGTGATGTCTGTGTGACCGGCAACGTCAATGAAAAGGCAAACGACAGGCCCGTCGGGAGAGCATCAGAGTTTGATATGTACCTCACCTCTTGCCGAGACCCAGCAGGCGCGCCACGTCCCCCTGTGCCTCTGCGCTCACCGCCTCCTCTGGCCCGCAGCCGCACTGCCGCTGCTCGGCGGCGACGCACGGAGCGACTCGTAGTACTCGCCGAGCTGGGAAACGAAGCCCGGGTTCGGGTCGGTACACGGCCGTTTGCTCTTGACGAACTGCACAGCCTGCGCCGGTGTCCAGCCGTATGCTTTTATGAGGTACGCGCACACGACGCTTGCGCTCCGGCTGACGCCCTGCACGCAGTGCACGAGAACACGCGCACGGGTGTCTTGCAACGCGTCCGTGATGAACGCCGTCGCCCGCGGGAGGTGCTCGGCGAGCTCCGCGAACGGGCTGTCCTGGAGTGGGAGCTGCAGGCACGCGAGGGGCATCGCGGCCGCCGGCAGCGAGACGCTTCCGCGCATGGCAGAGAGTACGTGTGTGATCCCGAGCTGCAGAAACACACTGGCGTCCTCCGCAGATGCGAGGTCAGCTATGTAGACCCTCGGCACGATTTCTGTGGGGCCGGCAGTGGTGACATCCGCTGCTGGCGTGCGGCGGCGACCTGAAGGTGACATTGGCGCCGCGTAGCACGACGCGATATTGATGGGGGAGACGGAGGCAAGAGTAGCCTTAGGTCGCATTGTTTGCGCGTACTGTTTAAATGCACAGTCGTTTCAAATAAATCAGTACGCGATGCGACGGAGGCCGATGGAGGCGTTGATTATCAGAACAGGAACTCGTTGTGAATGTATGAATACGTCAAGCTCACCATGTTTATGTAGGTTATGTGAGAGGGAGTGCAAGGTCCGGTATTCAATGAAATTGGTCTGTGCTGAGGCCGAGAACAAAAGAAGTGTGTTCGACAGTAAGGTTGTTTGTCTGGACAAAGAAGAAGGAGGAAGGCAAGCGAAAGAAAGACGATTAATGTGGAGTTGGTGGCCAAAGGAACAACATCAAGGTTACTCACGGTAGTGAGAGCTTGGCACGGGGGCATACCAGGTCGAAACGCGTCCGCAAAGTCCGGAAAGGTTTCAGTAATTCGGTGACAAACACTGAGACTTTGATTCCTGTTGAGGTGTCAGCTGCAGGGAGACGTTCGTAGCGAGTGGCGAGCCGGTCGATGCGACACTCTTTGTATAGGCGACGAGAGGTGAATTTACCCGTCACTCATCCATAAGCCCGCCTTCAGGGTGGCGGCTGCGGCTGTCGGACACGGAGAAAGATTGCAACCTGAGGATGGCATGCGCATTTTCATCCGCCAGGGTCAGGAGTGTCTGCGATTGAGCGCGTCGGCCCCTGGCAGGACCGGCGCCAGCACCGTCTCGCTGCACAGCCTCGATATTGACGGCGGGTATGCGCATGCCACGCATATTTTCTCTAGCCGTGAACTCGCTACGTACCTATCGCTTTGGCCCTCTGTCCGCCGTCGACCTGGAAAGCGCGTACGGCTCAAAACAGAGCGCATCAAAGACCAGCACCGCCTCGCCATCCCCAACTTACATGCCAAATTAGGGAGACGTGCAGAAGCACTCAGTACTCGGCGCTCGGACCCCGGGCACCGGATAAGATACAGCCTCATACCCGGATCACACATTTCGAACATGCGGTCTCTGCGGCTGGTACGACTCTCCAACCGGGCGCAGATACTTGCGAGAACATGATGATAGTAAGACATCTACTAACGACAAAGGCATAATTCTCATAGTACATGCTGCACTACACTTTTGGGGGGACAGTCGAAGAATGACGGAAGCGCGAGAATAAACAGTAGACAGAACGGACGATGAGGCAGGCCTAAGTAAGGAACAGAGAAAGCGTGATTGAACCCTGTCGTGGCAGATATATAGCGTGGAGTGAGAACGAGATGCAGATTGTGTGTCAAGGGCCAAGCGAGAGATAAAGATGATCCGCCTGAATTCGTATCAGTTTCGTGGTGCAACCGGTGGCTTGCAATATGCGGGCGTAGCGTAGGATATAAATCGTCTAAATCAAGTCGCTGTATGGAACAATCAGTACTGTCCTGATATGTTTAGAGTAAACAACTACGTACGCGACGTTGAGGGGCATCTCGTCAATCTGTGTGTTGTAGAACTCTGTACAGGGGAAGTAATGAGGTGGCTGGGCATCAGAAGAATACAGATTACTCACGTTCAATGTCACGGAGCATGCGGACGTCTTCAGTGGTGACGAAATTGATCGCAACACCCTTACGGCCAAAACGACCACCACGACCGATACGGTGGATGTAGTTCTCGCGATTCGTTGGCAGATCGTAGTTGATGACAAGGGAAACTTGCTGGACATCAATACCACGGGCAAGCAGATCGGTAGTGATGAGGACACGAGAAGATCCCGAACGGAATTCCTTCATCAGGACCTCACGCTGCTTCTGCTCCATGTCGCCGTGCTGTTTGTGGAGTCGAGTCAATATCTCATCTATCAGGATTAAATTTGACTTGCCATAGCCGAAACGGTAAACTCGCGAGCGTGCATCTTCTCAGTCAGCCAGTCTACCTTCCGGCGAGTGTTGCAGAAGATGACAGCCTGGGTGATGGTAACAGTCTCATAAAGATCGCAGAGGGTGTCGAGCTTCCACTCCTCCTTCTCCACAGCGATGTAGAACTGCTTGATACCCTCGAGGGTTAGCTCGTCACGCTTGACGAGAATGCGAATAGGTTCGCGCATGAACTTCTTGGTGACCTCCAAGACGTCTGCGGGCATCGTGGCAGAGAGGAGGACGACCTGAGTATCTTGAGGAAGGAGCTGGAAGACTTCGTAGATTTGGTCCTTGAAACCACGGGACAGCATCTCGTCGGCTTCGTCGAGACAAAAGAGTTTGATAGTGTCCGCGCGGAGAGCACGGCGGTTGATCATGTCGAAGACACGACCGGGAGTACCGACAACGACTTGGGCGCCCTCCTGGAGCTTGGCCATATCCTCACGGACATTGGTGCCGCCAACACAGGCATGACACTCAACATTCATGTAGTCGCCGAGAGCAATAACGACTTTCTGGATCTGCTGAGCAAGCTCACGAGTGGGTGCAAGAATGAGGGCCTGGCAGCCCTTGACGGTCGGGTCAATCTGCTGCAGGATAGAGATGGAGAAGGTGGCAGTCTTGCCGGTACCAGACTGGGCCTGGGCAATAACGTCGTGACCCTTGATGACAGGGACGATGGCGCGCTGCTGAATAGCAGAAGGGCGTTCGAAACTGCAAGTTATAAGAATGCGAAAAGTTACGTGTGTGCGTAGAGGGGAAACTCACCCGTAGGCGTAAATACCGCGAAGCAGATCAGGCTTTAGCTCCATGTTATCGAAGCTTTGTGAGAATGTTAATTAACACTGCTGATGGTAGATACGACATTCTTGTTGCTCACTTATCAACGATCTGGTCCCAGTTGGACTCAATCTCGCTCTCCTGAACATCCTGGAGTTGTTCTCTACAAAACGACTTGCCATCAATTTCGCGTCCCCAGATCGATTGCATGAGGTCCCTACGTCGCCATATTGGATTCTTCTTATTAAGATCCTTTTTGAGGGTCGACTACTAGTCGACTGGGGGTATTGAGCGATGTGCGAGTTGGCTGTGATCGATAGATCTGGTGGTGGTCGAAAGGCTCGAGAGCAAATTTCTCGCCCATTCGAAATGCATCGTGGCGGGGAATGCCGACTACTTCGGGTTCCGATTGATATGGCGCCCAACTTGGCCCTGCGGTCTCTCGGAGTTCATGCTCAGTCTAATCGGAGACTCAAGTATGCTGTTGGTGGAATACGCTTACGTGAGCAATTCACCCCTTGTCACGAGCCGCATTTGCTTCACGTCCCCTGCCGTTCATAATGGCCACAGCCGTCGCAACTCCAGTATCTCTTGCCAACGGGACAGATGGGGTGAATGGCATCGCGACCAATGGTAGAACCAAGTCTAAGAACCAGCTCAGGCGGCTCAAGGCAAAACAGAAGAGGGCGGAGCAGTCGGTCACTCCCACACCCGTATGTCTCGCGAATGTTATGCTCCGAGTAAGCGTCTGCTCACTGCAGTGTTATTAGGAACCCAATGGCGACGCGAAAGAGGAGATAAAGCGGGAGGATGAGGTTATGGTTATGAATGTTGAGTACGTGTCTGAGCAGTTGGAAGTCAAAGGGACTGCTCTCGAAGCATTCTCCGACGTCTTTGCACGCTTTCAGCTGCCATCTGAATCTGCCACGGTGCGCTCACCTCTATCTGCTCAACTATGAATCAGCTTAACGTTACACGAAGCAAACGCGAGACGGTGACCGCGCGAAGGGCGAGATTATTTACTCGGATGACGACATGGAGTCGGAGGGGGATTCGGACCAAGAAGAGAAAAAGCCATTGTCCAAAAAGAAGGCCCGCAAGATGAACAGGCTCACCGTCGCCGAGCTGAAGCAGCTTGTCAAGAAGCCTGAAGTTGTCGAATGGACGGATGTCACCGCGGCTGACCCACGCCTTCTCCTTCACCTCAAGAGCTACCGGAATACCGTCCCTATACCCGCACACTGGAGTGCTAAGCGCGACTACCTACAGGGCAAGCGTGGTATCGAGAAACCTCCATTTCAACTTCCGTCGTATATCGCCGATACGGGGATTGCCACTATGCGCGATGCTATCAAAGAGAAGGAAGCTAACATGTCGTTGAAGGCCAAGACTCGCGAACGTGTCCAACCAAAGATGGGCAAGGTCGACATTGACTATCAGAAATTACACGATGCCTTCTTCAAGCACATGACGAAGCCGAATGTCACAGGGTTTGGTGAGATGTAAGTTGACTGCGTCCCCTCTCACACGGCTTGGTTGATTACATGTCTGACAGGTACTATGAAGGCAAGGAATTTGAGACGCAACTCAAGCACAAACGTCCCGGAGAGCTATCACCTGAGCTTGTGGAGGCGCTCTCTATCCCACCGCTCGCACCGCCGCCATGGCTTATCAGTATGCAGCGCTTCGGTCCCCCGCCAAGCTACCCTACATTGCGGATACCCGGACTAAATGCGCCTATTCCCGAAGGGTGAGTGTTCCGATCCCTATGCGCAATACCAACTATACTTAATTGTTACATCTGTCAGTGCGCAATGGGGTTTCCATCCTGGTGGATGGGGCAAGCCGCCACTGGATGAGTATAACCGGCCGTTGTATGGCGATGTCTTTGGCGTCCTACCCAAAACAAGTGATGCTGATGTGGGTGTCTTTCATTCTATCGTCTGGTTTGTTACTCATTTGTTTCGAGCAGCAAGGTGGCGAACCGGTCGATCGGACACCGTGGGGAGAACTGGAACCGGAAGAAGGTACAATCTCCGTATTAAGTTTGAATGGATTCCCCCTAACACCCTTATCACAGAAGAAGAGTCGGAATCTGAGGAAGAGGAATCCGAAGAGGAGGAGGAGGAGGCTGAGCCAGCGCCACACGATGGCGTGCAGACGCCCTCCGGCCTGGAGACGCCATCAGGCATGACGAGCGTCGTCTCGACAGTCGCCGGCGGACTCGAGACGCCTGACTTCCTTGAGCTGCGGAAGAACGCTGGTCGTGCGCCAAGCGAGGCGGCGGACAGCGGTCCCCGCTCGCTCTACCAAGTTGTACCCGAGAAGCAGACGTCGGTCCGGGGCCTGATGGGCAGCGAGCGCGGGTACGACATCAGCGCGGTTGCGAACACGAATGCCGCCATCCCTGTGCTCGGCGACGAGCGTGGCACAAAGGTATGCAACGTTTCGTCCGTGTCGAGCGTGGTTATGCTAACCCGGTTCTCTGCGCAGCGCAAGGCGAACGGTGTGGAGATCTCCATCGACGCGTCGGAGCTCGAGGGTATGTCGGAAGAGGAGCTCCGTCGCCGGTACGACCATGCGGCGCGCGGGAGTGCGGGCGTACCTGGTGCGAACGGTCGGGAAGACTTTTCGGACATGATCGCGAAGGAGATGGCGAAGAAGAAGCAGAAGATGGAGCGGGACCGGGAGAACAGGAAGGAGAAGGACTTCAAGTTCTAGGATCTTTGTGTCCTGCTTCTGTTCTGCTCGTGTTCTTCTCATTGGCTCACGCTTCTCTGTGTATCGTAGACTGCTTTTATTATACATCGATCACTAGGACAGCATGCCCTGGTTGTATCTGACCTGATTGTTGACTTGCATGAGTGCAGGTAAGACTGAAATTAGAACAGGCAGCGAACTTCTCCACGGCCAGTCCGTCGCACCTCTCTGTAGAAACGGCGGACCCCAACAACGACCTCAACAACGCGGAAATCACGGCGGCCGCTTGAGTAGCACACCCCCAGCGACGCATGCAGTCTTTGGAGGCGCGAAGCCTTCACTGATACGCTGGTGAGCTTGTTTTCGAGCTGCTCTCCAGCACTCTCGACTACCTTCTGATAAATTCACAAGCATCTTGAATTCGAGCTCACGCGGGGCAAATATCGTCGCCTGAAGTGTAGACTCGCCTAGTTTCATATGCAAGCATTGATCGGAACCAATCAAACCTCTCATGATGATATTCACGTTGCGCAGCGCGGAAGACGTACATTTCTTGCGTAGCATCATTCTCGCTGCGGAATGAGCAATCCATACCTTGATCCAGAAGTTTCTCTGGATCATTATGGCGCATTGGAGGTATCTATACCAGACACAACACATTTCACCGGAAATCGCCTTGGGAAATCGCTAACGAATCTCCCCGCCCTTCTCACTAGGCCTCCGCCCTTACACCCCAAACTCTTGCGGTGAAAATGCTACCTACAACGCACAGACGGAGCAGACATCCGCTTCTCAATAACAACCATGATCAGATGGAGATGTGTTACCAGCAAGCTCATCAGCCAGGCGTCAGCACCCGAAGTGCCAGAGATCTATTGTGGCGACGAAGTGGGTGGAGACTCTTAATGCGCGGCTGTGATATGCTCCACCTTCCTGCGAGTTCGCGCTGATAGACGGCTGGCGAGGTTGCTCATAAATCAGCATACGAGTGATAGCCTGCCCTTACCTGCCTACATCTCCTACTTTCGCCATGCTTGGACAAAACCAAGGCCAGGCCCTTGTCCAGTCACACACCCAGCTGTAAGCATCACTCTCGTCTGCACTTGGCGAGCTAACATTTATGCCTCTGATCTCTAGCCAGGTCCAGCAATATTGCTTTATAGCTATCTCGCGCAAGTACATCATTTGCTTCCCATTGTGCTGCTCGCAGTAACTATCCCTCAGCCCTCGTCATTCACGAGTTTATGATCACCATCAGCGACGAGATTAACACTGTGTGGAAGAGACCCATCACTGCATCTGCTGTGCTCCTTGGCTCAACACGGTGGTGCATGCTCCTGCTGATTACGGTGCCACTTGCGCCGGTAACCCCGAAGGTAAGCCTCGAGAGCTTTGACGATGTGAGATGTAACACAATATTCCATACAGGAGTAAGCCCGCTCTATTTGAAACCCATAGGAGACGGATTGCTTACTGGAGCCACACAGCTGCGCACTGCTAGGTTACTTGAGCTTACCGTTAAGCCTCATTGGGTACGTCCAGACCGCACGTACGCCCTCACGCAGCCTGTCCGAGCTCAAATTGCTCACTGACTTCTATGCACCAGTCTTTGCCGCCCTGCGCGTCTTTGCGATCTGGAATCGAAGCTATGTCTGGGCACTGGCAGTATTCACGCTGAGCATGGTACCTTGCGTGAGAGATCTGGTGTGCATCGCCTCTGCTAAAATCCTGCGTATTTTCAGCCTAACACTGCGATGTAGACTCTCAAGACGACGTCGAAGTACAGTTCTGTCGTCAACCCGATTCTTGGTCTGGCGTGCATCCCGAAGCCGCTGTTCACTGCGCGGACAATTAGTATGTGTGTGTTCACATCTCGCTTGTGCCGTTCTTGGATACTCTTTCGGTGCGACATAGATGTATGCTTCGTGGTCAAAGTTTTGATTCACCGAAGATACTGGAATCACTTGCTCAGTCTCGTGCATCACCCGCAGCTCACTCATCCTCGCCGACACAATCGTACTTGTTCTGACTTGGATCAAGACATTCAGGCACTGGAGGAATTTTCGGCGTGTCATCAGAGCGTCGCTGACGACATGTTTGCTGCGTGACGGTTGGTAATTCTCTATGCACCGTTGCAATTACCGTTTCTGAGATCCATATGTCCACACAGGTACTATCTATTTCATGTGAGTGCAGCGCTCGAGCCGTCCATCCGGAGAAACTTCCTCATAGGAAACGGCAATTGCAGAGCCCTACCAGCAATGAACATAGCGCAGCCGCTGACATACGACTTCTCTGCGGTACGTCCCGGGATGAAAGAGTGGAGCGTAAGTGTTTGCACGCGGCCAGCAGTCCGTTCTAGAAGAGAGTTGAATATGAGAATGTCTGCAACTTGCTCGGAGCTGCACTTCTGCTTCGCTATCTGCTCTTGTTCGCGCACTTTCAGGTTGTGAAAACCGTATATCTTCCACTGATTATTATCACCAATCACAGTTCCTATGCAATATCCTCTGTCAAATTGGGGTACAATGAGACTTTATGACATAAGAGAGTGATCCCTCTCGGGATCAGGTCCGATTCGCCAGCGGCGGGGTGTAGAGGGAGAAGGACGCGAATTACTTCAAGTGTCTCCATCTGCATTAGTCAAATTCTGACCGCAGAGATACATACCGCAGTGTTGAAGAGCCTTCAGCTTTGACTGCACGTCTCTGGCCTGATTAGCGAACACGCTCAACGGATGCTAACCAGAAGATGTATATCAACCGGCACGACCGGGGGTTAAATAGCAATTCGCTGAATAATCTGGGCTTTGCTGCTGAGCCCAGCCTCGCCATAAAATGCCTTCCTTGAAGTCAGTGCATCGGAGGTTGAAAAGCATTCTGCTGCTTTCCGACCTCTGCACCGACCCGGACTTCAGAGAAGACAAGGATATCCCCAGAATATCAATGTTCTATCTCTCTTTTGTTGACTCACTTTTCGTGCTCTGCTGTGCTCCATCCCTTGGCTCCTTTTGGTGGTTCCTCCGAGTCTGGCCTCAGCGGCTGCAACAAGCGCTGGCATGGTACACCTTATCAATATATTGTCATCGTCGACGTCCACTCCCCATATGTATAAGATACTAAGTGCTTCGACTTATCGCGTCCGCAGAATCAAATACCATCGCTCTCTTCCGCGACGATGCAGCATGCCACAGGGGCCGACCTGCCTCCCGAGCTGTTATCCCGCATACTCGACTATCTCAATCCTCCAGATAAAATTCAGACAACCAACGCTCCCCAGTTCGAGTTCTCGTGGGACGAATACCATCGCTTGAAGCGTGGACTTGCTGCGCCTAGCCTTGTATGCAAGCACTGGTCGGAGGCTACCAGACCTCTCCTTTTTTCAAGGCTCCACTTGCGCAGCGCAGAGGACGTACATTTCTTGCGTAACGTCGTTGACAATCCCTGTTTCAAAACATCATCTCTATCAAAGGCCATCCAAGTTGTACAGATAAATTTGGAGGCTACTCAGACGAGACCATGGCTTCACCACGTCTATTGGTTATCGTCTCGACTTCAAGAGACAACGTTCATCTATGCGATCACAAGCTCTGCCGACGATTCCACATCAATGGTCGGCCACCGGGACCTGTTTCGTTCGTTGCCCAGGGTACCCCCACCTTCCATCTTACGACTCTCCACCCTTGTGATCACAAGGCTACGATTCGCGAGTACGACCGAGTTCGCACGGTTCGTTGACAGCATCCCATCGCTCCAACGCCTGCTTTGCGACGGACTTAGCTTCTTGGACCCGTCGCCGGTCGTCCAAGCCCGCAGGCGACGTCCGCAGCGATCCTTGTCGTCTCTCTTCGAATGCAAGATATCCCAATGCGGAGGAATGCCGCTTTCTGATCAAGCAGCACTGGCTGCCGACGTCGTTTCGATCGCCGCTCGCGTCGGCCTCGACGTCCACGCGTGGGATGTGGCTCTCCAAGCACTACTTACGCTGGCGCCTGAAACATTCCAGGAGACATACATTTGTATCTGGCAACCAGGGGACATATCGCTCAGTATGTCTTTCAGCTGGCATGGACAGTAATAAGCCCTTATTGAATGTCTTCCACCAGATGCGGTGAGGGTCGATCTCTCTACACCTGCGCAAAACAGCCCGGTGCGTGGATATGTCATTGCCGATATTATGATACGTCAGGCGGGTACCGGTCAAGGTGTTGTGCCCCCGTCTGCATTCATCGAGCGCATCGAACTCCGGCTTTCGTTCATCGATACCCAGACTCCCCGTCTCGACGCCTTCCAGCCAATCGTCGATGCTCCCCTCTTCGGCAGGCTCCGTTTCTTGATCGAGGTGCCGGACGGCCCAGAGTACGAGACCTCCAAAGCGATCCTCGGCTTCGTGCTGCAAGGCACGCAGCTGGACTGGGCCCTCAGGTCGCACAAGCTCGAGTTCCAGTATCTCAACCTGATCGCCACGAGTGAGGCTGTCCTGTCCATACCGATGACGCACACCGTCGACGGTGTCGCCATCGTGCTCAGCGCCACCGAGCAAGCCGAATGGATGCTTCGTATCACCCAGGACAAGAGGCGAGATTATCTGCAGGAGCTTGTAGCTGCGCGCAGTGCAAGCAGGGCATCTTCGAGTGCGAGCTCTAGGGCGATATCTGGACCCCCCGCCGCGAAAGTGGCCCAGGACGCAATAGTTGAACCGGCCCAGGAGAGCGCAGAGGCTGGTGTGTAGGCCGGAGACGAGGTCGACGCGGACATGAATGGCTAGGGTGTGGGTCCCAGCGATACAGTGGGCAAGCTGGCCCTGGGACGAGGGCCACGTCACGGCACCTTCTCACACGACCGTAACATCTTGCTGTCGTTCTTGCCCGGGGTGTGCTCCCGCGAGAAATATTTTGTGGCACCAGTGCTGGCCGTACCGCGCTCGGCACAGGTCCGACGTTCTCTGGAGCTTGCTGCGTGGCCTGAATTGCGCCCCGAATAGATGCGGCGGCAGCGAACGCCGAGTGTCCTGTTTCAGATGCGTGCATGTTCGTGCCGCACATATGGCCTTTTGCATCCGCTTTCCCACGTTTTATGGTATATAGTAGCTACTCTCGCATGTACCTACTCTTTACGCGGTTGGACCGCGACCGTCACCGTCGCCCCTCGGGGGCGTGCAATACCACTCCCTTACGTCGTTGTACGCTTACGCGCCCCCAGTTCCCCAAGTTATTTCAACAGTTGTCCTGTCCATACCGGTGACGCACACCGTCGACGGTGTCGCCATCGTGCTCAGCGCCACGGAGCCAGTAAATTATGCGCAAGGAAAGAGCGCAGGCGTGAGTACAGTACAAGCAACGACTGTCACGACGGTAAGCTACAAATTAAGCAAAGACGACGATAGACCATTAATGATAGATATGGACGGCTGTGGCTCGACGGACAGTAATCTCGCCGACAACGAACTAGTGTCCTACATCTGTTTGACGAGCGGTATTCGGTACTGTACTTGCGATGCGAGAACCTTTTGTGCCAGTCCAATCAGCGAATTGACATGTCTTGCGAGAAAGCTTGCGCTCAAACCCAGACCTAGCAGGACCCTCGGCGTCACGACTGGCCTCGGCAGCGGGCTCGGTTCCTCAGAGTCTGCACAGCAGAGATCTCAGCAACATCGCACACACACACAACTCTAGCGGCTGTGATGATGCTCACCGGCTCTGCCCTCCCTCACCAGGTCGACGACGGAGACCTCCCTGTAATCCGGCTTCGCGAACACCATCCGCCCCGTCGTCTCGTCGAACGCGACGGCCTCGAACCGGTTGTACACGTCCTCGAGCGGCGACGCCAGCGCCCGCAGGCCCGAGGCGTTGCTCCACGGCCCGTCGCGGTGCGGGAGCGGCGGCTCGCCGTCGCGCTCCTCGGGCCCGAGCACCTCCGGGTCGTGGTACCGGTACATGCCGTCGACCCAGTCGCGCCACTCGCGCCGCCAGTGCGTCGCGTAGAACCACGTGCGCCGCACGCCGGGCAGGACAACCCAGCGCTGGTCCTGCGACGGCGCGCGCTCGCGCCGGAGCAGCGAGCACTCCTCGAGGTCGTACCGCCAGTGCGCGGGCGCCGCGGCGCCGCTGCTGCTGCTGCCCCGCGCGCGCCGAGGATACAGCGTCACGCGGGACACGCCGGCGTAGTCGTGCAGGAAGAAGATGCTGATCGGGTGCGGCGCGCCGTGCTCGTCGCCGCGCCACGCCCTGCCGCGCGCCTCGGCGTCGGGCCAGAGCGGCGTGCCCGGCTCGCTGATGCGCACCTCCTCGGGCGTGTACTGCAGGTTGACGTGGCAGAAGTAGGTCGGCGCGGTCTCGATCTTGATCTCGACGGCGGCGGCAGCGGTCGCGTGGCTGGGGATGTCGTAGAGCTCGACGACGGTGAGCGGCCGTGTGCGGCTGGTGCGCGTGATGTCGATCACGCGCACGACGAGGACCTGTCGCTGCTGAGGCAGAGGCCGGATGGCTTTGATGTGATGCGGCTGTGGATCGTGATGGGCATTTCTGGACAGGTTTACAAAGGTGAAGATACCACATACACACTGTTCGTGAGAGGGGTGCCGCCTCAGGCGTAGGTTGACCCAAGCATACCCCGACGGCTTGACTCTGATGCTGTCCCCACCGGCGGCAACCGCGAGGAAGGGCTGGCCGAAGACGGTGTCGAGGCAGATCTGTGAAACCTTCTCTCTCGTGCGCAGTGTCGGCAGCGGCTGGAGCAGGTTCGCTTCGCCGGCGTAGACTCTCCATTCCTCGCGGCTCATCCTGGGGTCCCATGCCTTCTCGAGGACGTCAAGCGCAATGTTGCACGTCCGGACCTCGTATCGCATCGGGAAGGGCGGGTCGCTCTCCCAGTGGACGCCCAGGTCCGAAATGTTGACTCTGCCGAGAAGCGTCTCAGAAACTTCATTCCGTCCCAACAAAGAAAAAAAAAAATGGTGACGGGTCCACTCACGCCCAGTGCCGATCCTGGTCTGCGTGCCGCCATCGGCGCACGAGGTACGAGACGACGATGCCGCGCGCGCCTCGGTAGGCCGAGAACTTGGCCTGCAGCATCTGCGCGCGCGACTCGGTCCTGTAGGCGACGAGCGGCTCGGCGGGGCCGCGGTCGTGCACGGCGTAGAGCACGAGCATCCACTGCCACTTGTCGCGGTCCGACACGGACGCGAGGAGGTAGCGCCCGCCCGGGAGGAGGACCATCTCCGCGACGTAGCCCTTCGCGTCGAACTCCCACACGGCGGACGGCGGCTGCTGGTGTGCCTCGCGCCACGCCTTGTCGAGTTCGTACGCGCGCATGAAGAAGTGTTCTGCCGAGCTGCCCTTCATGTTTCCGAGGTCGTGATCGGCTTCTGGGGGGAGAGGCGGCAGGAGTAGCGTCGTGCGCCTTAGGAGGCGTTTCCAGATGACGGCTTGTTTCGTGAGATGGCAGTAGAGCCTACTGACCTGCAAACACATGTGAAAAGATCGTTCATGACTCGAGGGTGTGACTCACTCGTCGCATAGCCAAGATATCCTGGAAATTGAGGTGATCAAACACGAGGTCGAGTAAGATATCGTTAGGGATCAGGTCTAGAGTAGGCTTCCTCTCCTCCATATTATCCGCTCGGGCGGTGTGGAACATCATTGCAAGCGAGAATCCGAAGCGCATGTTAGATGTAAGTAAGTTAGAGCGGTGGCCAGCACCGGCGACAGAGAGAGAGACCTAGGAAGCCGAGTTGGAGATGAAGGAGAGTAGTGGCTGAGACGCTATGGGCGTTGGTGCACCTTTCAATGAGGCCACGGCCACAGGGGCCTGCGGCCTTGGATACGCAGTGATGGATCCGCTTTGTATTCTCCTTCATCCTATTCTGACCCACGGCTGGACAGGTTTGAGCGCGGACAACACAGGCCATTTCCGGTTGTTTGATTCGGAGAAGACGCTCGGGGGCTCATTGTGAGGACGGGCGGTGGTCGCCTGAAAACCAGCTCTCTGACAACATGGCACAGGTGGAGGGAGCAGCACACAAAAGGGTAGCGAACCCGTGTAATTGTTCGTCGCTGGCCTCCGGGCGCCAATGCGGGAGGCACTCCGGCCCAAAGTGTCGTGAGCTCATCGAGTTTCTGCAAATCCTGGACATGCGAGCGAGCATAAGCGTGGTGTAGTCAAAGTCATTCAGCAACAAGCTAATCCCGTCTGGCACGATCACGTGGCTCCCGCCTTTTTGCAACTGCGTCTGACTCTAGACTCAGTTCTCTCGCATCTGACATTTCCGTTGATCTTTTAGCATGATCTGGGCCGAAAACAGACATGCGTCCTCGAAGGCTGTCATTTCTCACTACCAAGCAACAGGACGCGATGCGGTCGCTCGCTCGCGCGAGAGAGCAGGCTCTAAGCGAATGTGCAAGTGCACGTCTTTGACCAGGTTTTGGCTCGGTTCCCGGCTTTTCGTAGAACACACCCGGATACAAACCGCTTGCCCTAGTAACATGTACACTCGCTAGTGCTTTGGGGGCATCTATTAATGCTGTCTGATGGCCGGCGAACGACATGGCCGATTTTTGCGGCCGCCAAGAAGTTCAAGTATGAGCGCAAAGGGCGACGTACAACGGACAGCTCTCGACCCCCACTCTCCTTAGAGCTTCGAATCCATGCACCCGACAAGCCTTGCTGCCCTCGCCTTGTGCGTCTCCCAAGCTCTTGCAGCCATTTATACCCTCAGCGACAACTACGTTGGCGCCGCCTTCCTCGCAGCGTGGCAGCACCAGGCCATCTCCGACCCTACGCACGGCAGAGTGTAAGTCTCGACAGCCGGCGCTGTCTGAGGTGGCGCGCTGACACCCTCTGCAGGAACTATGTCGACGAAGCAACTGCCCTCGCCAAGAACTTGACATTCGTGTCGGCCGACACCCTCATCCTGAGGGCGGACGACACCACTGTCCTCGACCCAGTCGGTCCCGGTCGAGACAGTGTGCGGATTCAAAGCCTGAAGAGTTACACCACGCACGTTGCCATGTGAGTACACATCCCGTTTTATCCGTATTCGCGCATGTAACCCGTACAACAGCATCGATGTCCGCCACATGCCACAAGGTTGTTCGACGTGGCCTGCGTTTTGGGAGACTGACGGAAATGATTGGCCAGACGGCGGCGAAGTCGACATCGTAAGTTTTCCTCCTTCACGACAGCCGCTGGTTGCTGACGACTGAAAAATCCAAAAAATCCTGCCCGAAAAAACCTCGCATCTCTGCCTTTGTCCAGTGAGTCCCCCATGAACCTCCTCGAGAAGTTTCCCCCAAAGTTCTGACCCAGAGTAACCTTTTTTTTTTTTTTCGTCCCGCAGGATCGAAGGCGTCAACGACGCGAGTCCGAACACGATGACGCTGCACACGGGCGCGAACTGCTCCATGCCCGCGAGCCGCCCCGAGACCGGCACGCCGACGGGCCTCGACTGCGACGTCCACACCGACGACAACGCCGGCTGCGGCGTGCGTGCCCCGGGCGCGGACAGCTACGGCGCGCCCCTGAACGCTGCCGGCGGCGGGTGGTACGCCATGGAGCGCACCGACGCCTTCGTCAAGGTGTGGTTCTTCCCGCGGAGCATAGCAACGCCCTTGGACGTCGCGAGCGGCGCGCCCTTCGTCGACACCGACAGCTGGGTGGGTAGCGCGCACGCGTTTTTTTTTTTTTCTTTTCTGCGGCGCGTCAGATAGTCAGGGCTGAGAGACGGTATCGCCCAGGGCACGCCCACCGCGTTCTTCCCCAGCACCGCCGACTGCGACGTCGGCGCGCAGTTCGACGCTAACAACATCATCATCAACCTGACGTTCTGTAAGGTGTTCCTTTCCTGCCTTTGCCGTGGGTGGCGCCGCTCACAACCACCCTTTTGCAGGTGGCGACTGGGCAGGCGTCCCCTCGGTCTACTCGGGTGCGGGCTGCCCGGGAGACTGTGTCGGTGCGTGGCAGTGGGCCCTTCTGCGGCGCATATGCGCAAGGTGCTGAAGGTGTGGGACAGACTTCGTTAACGACAACCCTGCCGCATTCGTGGACGCGTACTGGGACATCGCGGCAGTGCGCGTATATGAGACTGGTGGTGGCCTCCTTCGTCACCGTCGTATGAACGACCGACTCCACCGCCGATCTAATTTTTATTGATTTTTATCATCTCGTAACTAATACATAGTTGCAAAGTATCTGAGCATAATATTAATGTGATTGTCTCCACCTCTATACGCATATAGAGATACATAATACAAGGTGTCTTGTCTTGGTAGTTCTGATATAATTGAACGACAAAAAAGCGATTCTGGCAAGGACAGAGGACCCGGTGCGAGTTTCGCCAGAATTAATATTAAGACCAAACACTGTGAGAGGCAGCTACAAGCTCCTGCAGGTAATCTCGCCTTTGTCCTAAGTGATACGAAGCATCTATTCGGCTTGATTCCGTGATGGACAAGATCTGAGAGTCAGCTGGGGGTCAGAGGTTATGGTCCAAGTCATGTTACGCCCGGACTCATGTCCGCTGACATAGGCCCTAAAAGGAATGGGCGTTAAATAAATAGACAACAAGGACAAACAGAGTACTCGAAGGACGCGTACGCGGTGTGCACGCATGCTCATTACACCTAACCCATCTCTGTTTCCTCCACGTCCATCTCTCTACTTTTTACGCTTTAGACGATGGTAGCAACGACAACGGAACAGGCAAGCTCTGCATGCGAGATCTGCAATACTTGCAAAGCTAACCCCACCGTACTGCAGCTCACTGCACTCAGCAGTACAACAGTCGGTATGCTCTACGCGTCGGGAACGACGGCTGCGTGCTTACGACACATACACCAGTTGTGCACCCGCTGGTGCTCCTATCAGTCGCCGACCACCATGCTCGGTCGGTGCCCAAGGGCTCCTCGAAGCGAGTGATCGGCGTGCTACTTGGGCAGGACAACGGCAAGACTATCAACGTCGCGAACTCGTTCGGCATACCCTTCGAGGAGGACGAGAAGGACCCGAAGACTTGGTTCCTCGACCACAACTACATCGAGGGCATGTGGGAGATGTTCAAAAAGGTCAACGGTAGGTGAGTTCGCCCCTCCGCCTGTCCGTGGCCGTGCTGACCTGCGCGCGGTTCCTAGCGCGAGAGAAGATGATCGGGTGGTACCACACGGGCCCTAAGCTGCGAGCCTCGGACCAAGAGATCAACGACCTGCTGAAACGGTATATTGCGCGGCCCGTCATGGTTATCGTCGACGTACGACCGCACACGGTCGGCATCCCGACGGACGCATACTTTGCCGTGGAGGAGATCAAGGATGTGAGCGTCAGGCATTGCTCACCGCCCGCACATCTCATCGAGACGCTGTACAGGACGGCACGGAAACACGCAAGACCTTCCTGCACGTGCCCTCCGCGATCGAGGCCGAAGAGGCAGAGGAGATCGGCGTCGAGCACCTGCTGCGCGACATCAAGGACTCGACGACGACGACGCTCTCGACGCGCGTGTCCGAACAGCTCGCCTCGCTGCGCGGCCTGCAGTCGCGCATCGCCGACGTCCAGAAGTACCTCGCCGACGTCGCGGCGGACAAGATGCCGGTGAACCACCAGATCCTGTACCACCTCCAGGACGCGCTGAACCTGCTCCCGAACCTGAACGACTCCGAGACGACGGCGAGCTTCGCGTCGACGACGAACGACGAGCTGCTGGTCGTGTACCTCAGCAGCCTCATGCGCGCCGTCATCGCGCTGCACGCGCTCGTCGACAACAAGGCGTCGCTGGGCAAGGTCGAGCTCGAGGAAGGCAAGGGCAAAGACACCAAGGAGAAGGAGAAAAATGGGAAGGAGAAAAAGAAGGAAGAGGAGAAGAAGACAGATAAGGCGGTGTCGAAATCGGCAGACCCCGACCAGCCCATATAGATCCTCTTGCATTGTGTATAATATATGTACCATGGCACCTAGGCCTCTAAAACCTCTGGACGTGTGTGCTCGTACTGCAAGGTTCAGTGGATGCGGCACATACACTAGCATGCACAGGGGGCCTGCACCTCAAGCGTAGGGAATAGTCGGAACGTGATGTCACAAGCGCGACGGGCTTCTAAATTTGAAGATACTCGCGATGCACACGAGCCCGTGTCTATCAGCAAAAAACCGCGGTAGTTTATTTGGAAACGACAGGGAGCGTCGGCAAGTTTGCGAGGTACAAGTTCTGTGTAGATACGCGCGCGGCACCCGAAGGCGGGAGCGACCTCGACAGGCCAGCGGCGGCACAGAGAACCCGCGGTCCGTTCCAGCTGTCTCGCGCCGTGCACGCCCGCTTGCGCAGACGAGAGGCCGTCTATTTGTGTGTCACAAAGCCCTTCCCTGTGTAGCCCTCGGAGGAGGGACCTGGCAGCAGCGTGCCAGCACGTCAGTCTCACACTCAGGGTCGCAGGGCGTTCTGTGGACACACCGCTGAGAGGGTCCATCTTGTTCTCGATGGCGCGCTGATTCGCGGCCTCCTCCCACTCCTTGTTGATCGTACGCGGCGGAGGTGGTGCTGCAGAGAGAGTGTCCACCGGGTTAGCACATGATTTTCTTTTCGTCAGAGAACGACGCCGCGGTCCCGCAGGAAGAGCAAACGCGGCGTCAGAGCAAGACCAGCAGGCGACAGCGACTTACCGGTCGCGCGGATGGTAGCAAAGATGGCACCGGTGAGGCCGATGAGGCCGAGAGTTCCAAGAGCGATTTTGAGGCTGCCGCCGGGCGGGGTTGTGGGCTTGCGGGGACCATGGGGACCGAATGCAACATAATACGCTGTTCAGAAACAACACGCCGGTCAACGACCGCCGTGTCCGACCGTATGAACGTCGCCCGCGCGTTTGTGCGCGCAAAGCGCGACGCGAGACACCTCTGCAGCGAGGCGGCGGTTGCACTTGCGCGGGCGAGTAAAAAAAAATGTGACGCACCAGCCTTCTTCTCGTCAATCGAAAGCATCTTCCAGTCGCGCTTTTGGACTTCCTCGAGCTGCTGATGCACGGCGAGCTGCTCCTCGGACGAGAGCCGCTCCCATTGCGCCTCGACGTTGCTGAGCGGGATCGCGGAGGCGGCGGTAGTGGTTTGAGGGGCGGCGTGCGCGGCAGACGAGTTGGCAGCAGCCGTGACAGTACGCACACCGGTGCGGAGAGAAACTCTGGGACGCGCTAGGCGCAGGGCTTGCATGTCGATGCTGTGGACGACGACGACGGAGGAAAGAAAGTTGCAGGAAGAAAGGTGGGTGTTTATGTCGCGTAGGAATGCCCCGCAATCTCACTCCCCCGGCGCTGCCCGGTTTAGGCGCCGATTTCTCCGCTGACAAGCTCTCGATGCAGTCGAGAATTGCCTCGCTCCTGTTCCCAAACAGCACCTTGATCACCTCAGGGACACAACCATGCGGCGGCGTGGCGCATAGATTTTTACGTTGTGGTACAGGAGATGGCGCAGAGCAAGAAACAACTACTCGAGGATACACTAGCAGTAAACGCTACATTCATCGTAGATCATCGTCGTACAAGTCGTAGCGCGGAGGAAACGAATGGGATCAAGCATGGTATGGTTAGGCTCCCTCGGTAATTGCCATGTTGGGGCATTCACGGGAGATATGGCTGGAGCGCAACGTAAGTCCGTGGACGTCGAACAGAAAGTATTTGTCGACGCACCCTTCTGCGCCGCAGTTGTAGCACGCACGGAGTTGGGGCTTTGTGCAGTCCTTCGACATGTGGCCCTAAAATAGCATCAATGAGCATATGGGTTTCATCACAGGTGGCAGAAGGGCCAGATAGACTCCCGCATGAGAACGAAATCAAGCGAAGGCTCTGCAGATGCCGTCTATCCATCCCAAATTTTGCAACTGATCAATCTGCCCGAGCAGTGTGTAAAATTTGAAGTCCATCCAACTATGTGAGGCAGCTGCTCCTATGCAAGCTGTCACAGTCCAGTCGATGGTACAGCCAAAGTCCACCTGCCTTCGACAGTTGAGCTGTAGCGGTGCGGATACGACGGAGCTGCACGAAGAGAGGTGCCGAGCGCCGGAACTGACGGCCAACATATTATATACAAATTCGAAGGACTTACGCTGCCAGAGCAGTTGTAGCACTTCGGACCCTGGACACAGTCGCGCTGGAGGTGCCCTACACCGCCGCAGGTGAAGCTGTATGTACGTCAGCCGCCTATCCATGCTGTGTATAATGACAGCACATGCTCACCAGGTCTTTTGGGAGCCGTTGGACGAATTGAACGAGCTGAATTTGCCGGGGCTGTCCGAGTTATACTTGCCAAAGCTATTCGGTTCCGCACTGGGGCATGCGCGGGCAATGTGTCCGACCTGGCCGCAACGGTAGCACTCCTGGCCGGGCGCCGCCGCACCAACTTTGCCGCTGTTCTCGGGGCAGTTCCGGGACTGCACTCTGAATCAGCAACAGCGAGTGGACGGCACAGGGAGGAAGACGCACAAGGTGATCCTCGGCGCCACACTTGTAACAAGCCCTGGACCTGGGCTTGGCCTCCTCTGTGCAGTCCTTTGACATGTGCCCGACTTGGCCACAGCGGTAGCACTTCTGGCCGACCGCCACAGCGCCAGCGTCGCCGCTGTTCTCGGGGCAGTCCCTTGACTGCACTCTATGTCAGCAACAACGGGTGGGCGACACAGGGCGGAGGACACACCAAATGATCCTCGGCGCCACACTTGTAGCACGTTTTGGGCTTAACCTCCTGCTCGCAGTCCCTTGACAGGTGACCTTCCTCACCGCCTGGGTGTGTGGCGTGAGTGTGGAAGCGTCGGGTGGAAAATGGGAACACTCACAGTTGTAGCTAAATCATACCGTACATTCATTATCGAAGATTAGAAGCAGACAGGAGAAACACTCGTACCAGGTGGGGTGGCTCTTGGGGCAGGCGGCTGCCAGGTGGCCAACTGCAAGATGGATATGTTAGTCTCAAAGTGATGGGGATTATGCGAGGCATCAGCGCGCGAGACGTCGCAGGGGTCTGCAGACGCCTCGGCCGACAAAATTGTGCGAAAGGCGATTGTACAGCGTCCGGCCGCGATGGGCAGAGCTTGTGCGTCTCGGCGAGTACTCAGAGAAGAATGGAGATACTCACTACCGCCGCAGTTGTAACAGCCTCTTCCGGCCATGTGCAAAAGCAAGCACGACTGGACAAGATTAGGGCGAAGCTTTCAGCACACTACTCTCTCCTGGCATGTATTGACCGTCCGATGCTGTACTCACAAAATGGGTCGGATGAAAGAGTGCTCAAAGGAGCTTTTTGGCAGCGCAGAGGTAGAGGAAACAGGAGGGCGACGAGGAGGCGGGTCGGACAGGCGGGGCAAAAGTACGATCTGAAAAGAAGGTTTATCACGTGATGTTATACCGGTTACGGTAACTCCTCTGAACCACAATCTCGCAGGCCCGAAACGCAGAGGCCGCGTTCGAGCATCCAATAACGAGCAGACGGAGAACTGCATCGGGAGATCTCGCACTCGCTGCCCGCCACGAGGACGAGGCATGGCGGACGGCGTGAGAACCCGCCCAACCCTAACCAGTCAATTTGACTCACCTTGGGAGGCCCGTAACTCCGCGTCCGGCACTCAACTAGGAAGGCGACCAGGAAAGCGCACTTCCCATTGGCCTACCCCAAACCATTATTGCCCGTTTTGTGGAGTGTTTTCCAGGTGTGTCTCTTCAGTGTCGCCAAATGTCAGGACTCGGGGGCAGTATCGACACTGTTACCACGGCACCGCAGCACCTTCTAATGTGTCAGGATATCTGGGCAATGAGAGGGACAATGAACATGGTCTGCCGTTGTGATCCCCGCTAGTCCCGCACATTCAAGTTCACGGCACACCTGATCGTCTACGTAGGTTAGTTCCGGATGTTGGGAGCCGTACAAGGCCTATGTATCTCAGATTTCCTTCCTGAACACGAATTTCGGGTAACAGCCGTGCCCGAGAGGTTTAGGTGGCGAACACCGGGCACGTATGCCGAGCAACGGCAAGCTAGTGCAGAAAAGCGGAGTAGGATCGACGTACAGATCACGTCCAGCTACACAGCCAGAATAGCCCAGACCAGTGGGCGGTCGTACCAACAGCACTCTGGAGAATATGCAAAATGCGCTCCGCAGGAAGCGCATAGAGTTTCAGGCCGCGAAGGAGATCTATTTGACGATAGCGCACGCCTAGCAATGCCTTACACAACCTTAGATGTCACGTCCTTCTCAGGTGGAGGATTCAAGAAGACCTGCCAAGCGAAATGAGTCAGAAGCAGTTTAGATAAAACATTTGTATGTCCCAGAGCGTAACATGTCAGGCTGAGGCAGAGGTGCATGAAGGTCTGTGAGCTTGAACAGGCGACAAGCGTCCAGCGCAAAAGCGTTCCCAACGTCCAACATTGACCATTGGCGTTCACGCTTGTAGCCAAAGATCTTCACACCCGCCGCCTAGGTGAAACATAACAAGCACTTTCATGGAAGGGTCGGCCGCCGACCGTGTTGCACGAGAAGCCGTCGTAGCCGCATACACTCTGGACCAAGACGCGGGCGAGAGAAAGCGCACATACCTGCTGTCCGCCTTGGCCATCCTTCCACTCCTGATACCTGAGAATAGTCGAGCCGCGTTTCTCAGCCGCGACACGCTCAGTCTCCTTAAGCGACTGGCGCAATGCGCGCGCACAGATCTCGCTATACTTGTTGAATCTGTTTCGAGCACAAGGACAGGGCGTCGAGTAGTGCAAATATCGCGCATCTTATCAGCAGTGTTCTGCGTGAGAGCGACAGAGGATAGCGTACGTGAAGGTACCGCGCCAGGTGCTCATGCTTGTAGTAGTTTATTGAGGTGACGGACGTGGGGCACGACGAGGAAAGTTGACGACGCCGGGGTCCTCCGGTTGGCGCACGTACAAATAGGCGCCTAACAACCTTATCCCCTTGAGCCTGAAAGACGTTTTCTTTTGAGCCTTTTGCACCATAATAGCAGCTATTCATGAGCACTGTCCAGTATGGCTATTTGGTAGAAGACGATACCAACGAAGTCATGAAGCAGCGACACTGTTCTCAATTTTTGCAAGCTTCCCTGAACAAGCACAGTCTTTGGGATATTTCTCGCAAATTTATTTAACTCTCGGCGACCTTTACCCTTCGAAAGTTCCCAGACAGAACTGCGAATCTGCTCTCTAACAAGTTTATTGTTATACCTTACGTCTGGTTGACTGCGGCAACGCACAGCGGCGGCACAGCTCCGCATATAGAAGTGAGTAGATCCATGACATGCGCTTATTTCAGGCCTTCAAAACTCACGGGACTCAGGACTGCAACTTATTTCCGCTCCCAACGCACTTGACCTGTCTACAACATGTTCTGGTATGCTGTTCTGCTAATCTTATAGTAACGTAGCACCGTCGAATGGCTCCCGCGTCAGCTTCGCCACGTCAATTCCGTCTACAGTGCGTACGTGCACCCCAACCATGTTCTCGCTCGGCTTCGTCTCAAACAGCTCTACACCGCAGACAGGACAGAAATAGCGCGAGAACACCTTCTTGTAGAACTGATAGTTCGTGAGCTCGTCCATGTTGCCGGACGTGAGCGTGAACGCCGACGCGTCCATATGCCTGGGCCGTGACAACCTGGGTGAGCCAGGCGTGTCTGCGCCTTGTTTTTGGGCACGACTTACACGTATAGCAGCCCTTTCATCACACAGATACTGCAGTTACAGTCGCTCACTGCGTGGGTGCCGTCATCGAACGAGCGCCAGTAGAACTTGTACCGGAACTTCTTGCAGTGGCACCCGCCGACATACTCCTTGTCGTCAGGACTGGATGGTTTCGGTGTGGCCTGAGACATAACTTTCGAGCAGGCTGTGAATGGCGATGAATAGAGGAGACACTTAAGCGACGACCAGGTTAAATACGAGAATGAACGGTGGGTTGTCCTTGATTATGACTCTTGAGCTTGATCTCTCGGTCTCACGGACCCTATCGTATAACATCATCAACACAACTCCGTACGACTGCATAGTCTGTGCTTCTGGTCACAGGATAGCGTAGATAGCGATCAGGTGCGGAGCTCAATGGACTTGCCATAGTTACGTTCTCATTGGTCTTTCGCTTATACCCTTATCGCAATGATCGTACAGCTGGCGGCCGCTCGATTCTGGCTCCAAGAGCATTTGCGAACGGTTAGACCAAAGCAGCTTGCTTCCGCCAAGGAAATGCGCACTGGCCCGTCACGACAGGCCGCGGCGGCACTCGCAGCTTTCTCAGCCTTATCCGCTACCTCGTCAGGAAATTTGTCGATCCCGTCTGGCCTAACTGGTCGGAGGTCTCCGGGTACTAGCTGGGGTTGCATCCGAAAGGCGATCGCCGTAATACCGCAGTCGAGAATCTCGGTGTCTCCGCATCGGCGATGCTACCAACGAAGTCTCGAAATAACGACATTGTCCAGAATTCTGCAAGCTTCCATGCGGAAGTACAGGCCATAATGGTTTCTCTTGATATATCTACAATATGTTTCGATATGCTGTTCTGCTAGCCTTACAGTAACGTAGCGCCGTCAAATGGCTTCAGCTTCAGTTTCGTCACATCAACTCCGTCCACAGTGCGTACGTTCACCCCAACCATGTTCTCGCTCGGTTTCGTCTCAAACAGCTCTACACCGCAAACGGGACAGAAGTGGCGCGAGAACACCTTCTTGTGGAACTGATAGTTCGTGAGCTCGTCCACGTTGCCGGATGTGAGCGTGAACGCCGACGTGTCCATGTGCCTAGGACGTCGTGACAACCTGGGGTGAGCTTGGAGTGTCCGCAGTTCGTCTTTGGACGCGACTTACGCGTATAACAACCCTTTCATCGCGCAAATACTGCAATTACAGTCGCCCACTTCGTGGGTGCCGTCATCGAACGAGCGCCAGTAGAACTTGTACCGGAACTTCTTGCAGTGGCACCCGCCGACGTACTCCTTGTCGTCAGGATTGGATGGTTTCGCTGCGGTCTGGGACATGATTTCGAGCAGGCTGTAGACGGCGATAGATGGAGGGTACACTGAACCAGCAGCCGTATTTAAATGCGAGGTGTGAACGGTGGGTTGTCCTTGATTATGACTCTTGATCTCCCGGTCCCGCAGACTCTATCGCGTAATATCATCGATATGACTCTGCATGACTGCACATAGACAGCGGCCAGGTGTGGATCCAATGAACTCCATATTGTTACGTTCTGATGGTCTTTCGCTTGTAGCCTTATCGCTTTATTGCGCAGCAAGTCATCCCTGAGTAAACAGCAACTTTACGTCGTACGGCTGCCTCGAGCGACTGCTCGATTCTAGTGTCATAAGTAGTACCTAGAAGCCTCAGATGCCGGCGAACATCTCCGGAGCGGAAATCACAGCGTACTGTAGCAATCACGTCCAGGCTTAAAATCGTACAACAATGACATGTTATGCACTGGCGAAAAGCAAGTCAGAGTTCCATCCACTCTTGAGAGTCAAGCACGACTCTATGGGGTGATCTATTACAATTTCCCACCATGCCTCTTTATTATAGGACGCCGACGCCCAAGGGGTCTGACGCCGCAGACGACGGAGGCTGCTGTTGGAGCTCTGGCTGCGCAGGCACCGTCGCTGGCGTAGCTGCGCGCGGGGCCCGTGCTGGCGAAGTAGACAAGGCCGCCGCGACATCCTCTAGGCTTCGTCCGGACCCAAGGTCCGACATACCCAAGTCCCAATTAGACGCAACTTGCGAAGATCTCGAGAGTGGATCTCGAGAGCTGGCGGAATTGGACCGCTGTGTTGGCACAGGAACCGACGGGGTGGGTGCCTGTTCCTCGGGGGGATCGCCCAGGGGAGTGGGTGACACTGTAGACGAAGAGGCAGAAGGAAAGCCTGTTGATGCGGTGGAAGCAGATGCAGGAGCCGACGATGCGATAGAGGCCGTTGAGGAGCCGTTCGAACCCCAAGGGTTATCGAAGAGCATGGAAGGAACGTTCGGTCTGCCGGTTGCTTTGCTGGTTGCCCAAGGATTCAATGTGCTGCCGCTGCTGAAACCGAGTGTGCCCGACGAGGGAACACTGGCATGAGATGGCTCAACAGCTGAAGCCGGTACAGGCGAATCTGGCCTATCAGGAGATGACCAAGTATTGATCTCTTCCCTGCTTTTGAGCTCGCCGCCGCCTCCCTCGGAACCGGACCCACCAAGAGAGAGCTTGCTTAGGTCCTTGGCGACACCACCATAAGCGTCCTGCACAGCTGAGAAAGCAGCAGTAGCATTTGAGGAAAACCGACCCCACATTGAGCGGACACCAACGGAAGAGAGCAGGTCGGATGAGGTGGCGCGCGGAGAGGGCGGTGGACGGGGACTAGGACGGCCTGTGCGGGGTGAAGGGGAGCGCGGTGTCGATGACTGGCTTGCTGGCGGGGATGATGAGGAAGCGTAAGCACTATCGTGACCCCGTAAGCTATCGTGCCTTGTCCGAGGCGGCAGAGAGTTGGACGCGCTCGGCGATGGAGAGGGAGTAGGGGATGCATTCCTGTGCAGTAAGCTTCGAGCTAGCGTTGGCGAGCTGATGCTTGCGCTTGGGAGAGGCGAATCGGACCGTGAAGGCGACGATGAGCTAGCTGTGGCGGCAGTGGCGATGTCCAAAGTAACTAGGGCAGGGTCCTCTTCTGCGCTCTCGATAGGCGCGACGAATTCCGGATCTTGGGATACCTGCTTTATCACGTACTTGCCATTCATCTCCTCGTCCGTCCGTCCATACAGCTCGTGCCAGAAGCGCACGTTCTTCGCTTGCGGCATGAGCACGCCCATATCAACACCAGGGCCCCTCCGCGCAGGGTCATCGAGAGAAGGGTCATAATCCGGGTTCTTGTTGAGATCCACCTCGGGAGGGGAGTTGAAGAAGTCCCAAACGCTGGCTGTATTTTCCATTGGAGTAATGCCATTCTCGCTGATCCGACGCTCTCGTTCCGTGTTGAAAAGGAAGGTCCCGAATTGACAGGAATAGAGGTGGTAATGGAGTTGCCGGAGGAAGCGTTCGTTGAACTCGAAACGCTCTGGGTGCTGGCGCTGGATCTGCCGTACGCATTCGAGGAACTGGTGAAACACGGGGCTCGTCTCCTGAAGGTGCTTCTGGGAAGTAAATTTGTTTTGGACCGATGCGAAGAACGCCTCTGCACCGCTAGCGTTAGCATCGCCGGATGGTGCCAGGAAAAACTTCTCAGAAGAGAGGTGTCCGCAGCGGTCAAGGAACTTATGACCGAAAGATACCCAGTCCTTCTCGATCAGAATCTGAAAGCCGTGCACCGTCCGGTAGAAGGGATCGAGACAGAGTTGAGAGAGCGCAGAGAGCTGGGCCGTACGGTCCCAACCATCTGAGCAGTGAATGAGAACGTGAGAGGAATTCACGTGTACGTTCCGCACAATGAGGAGCGTTCCTTCCAAGATATTGGAGATGTGCCGCAGCCAGCCGGAACGCCTGAGTGCTTGTCTGTCCAGGATCGGCACTGCTTGGGCCTCGCCTGGGAGCATGCCAGACACACTGGAAGCGGCCAAGTCTGTCTCTCTGAGGGCCTCGACAACCTTTGCAATCGAATCGCGCATAGTGTGGATGTTGTCAATTCCGAGATACGCCTTCCGCGCCTCCTTGTAATTATCCATATTTTCCGTGCCGGCACCCTTGGCAGTGTTAGCGACAGCATTCGTGGTCGGCCGCGCATCAATAATGATATTTGTCGCCGTAGCTCCGTACACTGGACTGCTGGCTGCACGGGAATCTGGGGAATGGTGAGACTGGAAAACCGCTTCGATGAGCTTCTCGTCTTGGACCGAGCGATTTTGCGCCAGGCCGACCATAGGCTGACTGGACCTAGTCAATGTGCCCTAAAGAATGATAAGTACGAGGGGAAAGCGCGATATGGTTCATACTGACATAATTCCCCCAGTGCAAATAGGTGAGAACGGGTATACGGCACTTGCTGCGGTATTTGGAAGCATACTGGAGGGTCGTGTCGCTTATCCGCGTGGGCACCACAAGCTTTGAGGGGTATGAAGAGCAGAACTATGAACAGGAAAGCTAATTAGAGGTCCTTCAAACCAGATAGGTCTCAGACGCACCGAGTAGTCTTTATTTATATCTGTGAGCCTCCATGCCTTTGTCCTCGACCCTATGCCCATCCGTCCAAATTCTTCTCTTGGGTTGTACAGGGTCCATCCATTAGTGGTAGTAAATGGAGGATTTGGGGTATAGTGGAAGGCATAAAGTTGCGTGATAGAGGCTGCAGCACCGAAGGTTATGATTACTGCGGACCGCGGCGAGCTGCGTCCACGTACTGGCTACAGTGAGATCTTTCACGCTATCGAAGACGTCTATCGCATCGCTTTCCTGCTTGAAAGACAATGTAAACGTCTCAAAGGTCCTGGTGCGGAAGGCGACGGGGCTTCTGCCTTGAATGGTCTGTGGCATACGATTTACGAGGGCGATCAACGGGTAGGGTACCTGTGACTTAGATTGAGCACCATTGTATACGACTGCCCAGAACACACTTACCCACATTTCCTCCTTTCCTATCTCATCGTATGCAAATATCAGATGGTGTGCCGTCAAGTGAATGGTGCCGGACTGTGTTGCGCCAGACTTGCTACACAGCACCTCTTCCACCTAAATAACAAGAAAACATTCTCATATACCAGACATGGGTATGCACTGAGGATTCCGCACCTTCGCAACCCTGATAGCATCCATGGTGCCGAGGTTCAAATGTGAAGGTGTGGTATTGGCAAGTCAAGAGGTGCATTTCTAGCGCTTTCGCCGCCTCACGCTTAAGCGCTTGCCAAGCTTGTGTGGCCCCGTCCCCGGTCTACATTAATTTGTCCACTCCCTGGGCTTTAGTTTTGTGTATGTGCATTAACACATGTATATTTAAAATCTACAAGACGCGCTCCTTCCACTCAAATTTCCAGAAATCCCGGCTCATATCGTTGTCCCAGCCACACCCTCCCAAAGGCTCTGCATAGAACAGCTGCAGCTTCCCGGCTTGTTGTAAGTGCGGCATGGATGATGCTATACGCTCCGCAAAACCCCTCATGTGTTCCTCGTCCGTTCGCGCTCGGACGGAGAACTCCGTCATGCTCTCACCGAACGCGGACAGACATTCATCGAGTTCTTCCCAGCGATAACGCTGTACGAGATCTGTGATCAGCAGAGACAGCTCTCCGTCTTTCTCTGCCCACTGCTCGCACACCGCGCGGACGTCCGTGACCAAACCTGTAGCAGACGAGATCGAGGCCTCGACAACAGGAGAGCCAGGTCCACATTCGCAGCTCATGCGTAGTGTTGTTGCGCTTCCGTCTGTTTGACCTGTCGTTTACAATTAGTGAAGGAAGGGAGTAAGAGGCACCACGCGCATACCGTCTATCTCTAGCTTATGGTGGAGGCATTCGTCTCCACAGCTCTGCATGACGCAGCGTGCCACACTCTCCAACTTCGGTAGCTCCCCTGGGTCAATATAGCGTGCGAAGTTCTTTGTCCGTGGGGTATGCGCGGCGGGCAGACTCGTGGTGAGAAGCAGCCATATGAAGGGCCAGCGTATCTTGCACCGATTGATAAATATTTCCCGAGAGATCGCTCTGTGTCCCGAGGCCAACTGAGGAAGACGAGAGTCTCCTTCGAGGCAGGTGCAATCCTCGTAGGACAGTTGATTACAGTTCAGATAGCCAAAGCCGCAGAGTGCGCCGCTGAACGCGAGAAGGTCATCGAAAGAGGGAATGTGAGCTTTGCCAAGGTAGACATAGGTGAAGTGTGCCAGGGACTGGAGATGTTCCGCGGGAAGAGAAGAGGAGAGGGAGTGAGGCTTCGGTTTCTTGTGAGCGGGAGGACGTTTGACATTTAGATGTAGATGTTTGCAGCCGGGGAGCTGTAACCGAGCAGATAGCGCGATAGGGAACCACGCTTCGCTCGTTAAGGGGTCCTCTAATATCAAACCCTGAACATACTGCCCAAGCCTCGTCCCTGCTGCTTCGCTGGATTCTAAGAGTGTCAAGAAGGCTTGCGCACGATCTTTGGACGGGATAGTGATCCTTTCGAAACATAGCAGTCGTAGGTAGGCTGCCCACTCGCGGGACACGAGACACCATTGGAGAAGATCACTCTTCAGAAATTCACCGTCGCTAAAGTCGCAATATTCACAGATGTCGTGAATAAAGCTCAAGACGAGAGAGGGGACCGCGGCCACACTATTAGCCATCTGTATTAATTTGTCAACTACTAGCATACGCGAATGAGTTGAAGACATACTTCTCACTCGGTAAAGGCTCGACGTGAGCTTGAGTTGTAGACGGCTTGATTGCGGGCCGACGATATTCGGTTGAAATCCCTTGGAAACCCACTGCAGCCCCGATCACGCCACAAAGTTACCGCCAATCACCACGATGTATCCAGAAATAGACAATGGGCGCATCACTTCGGTGTGTCCTGACATTGAAAAGACATGCCTTCGCCGCTACGTTCCATCACTCAGGCCCACAGGTCGACCTCTGGGTCTGCTGAAGACAAAGCCTCAATTTCAATCTAGCAACGACGTACCACGCCCGCTGTGTGAACGCTAATATGTGCTATATACGAAAGGGCGACAAATCCAGAGGATTAGTAAAATCATACAGGTGGACCGGGATATTTAAGAACGTCATAAATATTTCATCTCAAAGCGTTAAAGCACGTAGCGGAAGTCGCGGTTTTGAATATCAGTGAGATCCAGGAATTCCTGAGGACCACAAGTCAGCATGAAGTAAGCGACACAGCAGACAGTAAAACGTACCTTATCGACCTTGACATCTTCCTTCGTCCCATCGTCCCTGACGCGGGTGATGAACACCTCGTCATACTTCGCGTCGCGCCCCTCCCTGTCGCGCTTCCTGTTCTCCATCGACAAGTACACGCGCGTCGCTATGAGGAGAACAGCGGTCGCGAACCAACACGCCGACAGGATCGCCCACGGGATATGGTTTCTGCGTCAGCCACAATCAGTCTCGGCAGCTTCGGAAAGATGGGACCGAGAGAGGGGTCATACCGCGGCTGGTAGGACGCCTTCCAGTACTGAGGTCCAGCGGCATTCCCGACGGCGTAGCCGATCATAACCACGGCATTCATCGTCGTGCGCTTCGTGTGCCCTGCCGTCACGGCCGCGGACCATGCGAGGATGACAACGAACGGCGCGATCGATGTGACTGTGCTACCAGTAAGCTCCGGATGCGCAGGCACGAGAACGCGGGAAACACCGACCTGAGAGCCAATAGCAGAACAGCAGGCCGACTCGGTGGTCTGGGAGCGCGCTCACGAGAATGGAGCCGAGGATAGCCACGGCGTAGGCGAGGGTCGCGGAGTAGGCGCGACCGTTCTTCCAGTACGTTGCCGAAGTCACCGTGCAGAGGATGACAATAACTGCAAAGGGTCAGCTGGGGGTCCGATCGGAGGCCGGGAGCAGGCTCACTTTCGACGGCTCCGTCCACCGTTCCAATAAGCGTCGTGTTGCCTACGCTGAAGCCAAAGCCGGCCACGATGATTTGACGTTGGTTACTCAGCTAGGGGCCCGAAATGACATGTCAGTGCCTGTCTGCCGTACGGGGATCGGAGTGGCGTACCGAATTCGTCACGTTCCTGTAACAATTACCCGATCAGCGCCTCCAAAAGATACTACAGTATGCTGGCGAGACGTACGAGATAGCAGACATGAAGAAGAAGAGCCATGTCTTAGGGTCGTAGAGACACTCCTTCAGCTGCTCAAGTTTGAAGTGCTTGTTCTCGACACCGGCCTGGTTGACCTTGATGCGTTCGACGGCGATGATTCGCTCCTCGGGCGTCAGGAACCATGCATTGGCGGGCGAATCAGGGAAGAAGAACCTAGAGCCGGTTTCAGGTACTATCTCCTGGGTATGTCCACTTTTATGACGTACCAGAATAGTACTGAGACAATTAGCGTAATTGCGCCGAAAATGATCATCAGCCTGAACGGCGAGGGTCAGCCGGACGACGACTTGGCGGTGGGATAAACGCAAACCATTGCCAGGCCATAAAGGTGGTAGACTTGACGTGCAGCACACCGAAGGCAATAAGGCCAAGCATGATGATGGCGAAACCGTTCATGAGGACTGAGTGGCAGTTAGCTTTACTGTGACTCGGAAATGATCGAGACTCACACCAGTAGCCCACCCGCTGAGATTGCTCCTTGCGCGTGTAGAACATGGCGGTGACCAAGAGGAAACCTGGGGTGATTGCACCCTCACAGATACCGAGGAAGACTCTGCATGCGAAGAGTCCACCGAAGCTGGTTGCAGCAGCATGGCAGAGCAGAGCAACAGCCCATACGAAGATGTTGAAGCTGGGGACGGGGTGAGCATAGACTTGGCAGTTCAGGGTTGAAGTCATACCTCATCCATTTGCCCACAGGGAGGTATTGGAGAGCAACATTCTGAGGCCATTCGAAGACCAAGAAGAAGAGGTAGAAGATTGTGCCCAACCAGTTGAACTGGTTTTGGTCTATGTGTGCACCCTCACTACATACATCACGAGATGTCAGGGGATTAGCGATAGGGTCAACGTGGGGGGCTTACAATAGCCCAAGGATAGCAGACTGTCCCAGTGTTGTCTTGTCGGCAAATTGCATCCTGTGGAGATCACGTCCGTCAACAACGGGATTACCCACGTCAAAGCTGATACTTGACAGACGCACATGTACAGAACTGTGAGCCGGTCGTGTAAGTATAACGCATATGATCGAAGCATGGGGGTGGGCATGCTTACTACACATGAGAGGCATGAGATGCATGTCAATCTTCCGCCTGCAACATGTCCACCAGTCAGCACCGCTGTTTCATGCCCATGCCCAGCGAGCATGAGACACGCACCGTACTCGCTCAGCCTCCTCCGGCGTGAAGCTGATCTCCTTGCCTGCGGTCAGCTCTGCCGCGACATCGACCTCCTGGTTCCCAACAGTCGGTCTGTAGGTGTTGAGGGAGCCTTCCGTCTCAACCTTCTTGTCGACTGAGGTCGTCGAATTGGATGCCATGATTGCAACGCTACCGTGCCGGGGGGAAGCGTTTGGACGGGGGCCGGTGCTGAACAAGGCGAGGAGGGGAGAAAAGGCCTACGCTCGGAGAGCTGCGAGAGGGGCCTTAAGTAAAAGTGGGTGATGCTCGTCTATCGAACAGTCATGAGGAATTGATTGTTGTAAGGGCCAGTACACCATGTCCATCTGCCGGCGCGTAAGCGGGAGAGATCTGAATTTCGCGAATTTCAGCGCTCCACCCTTTGCGGCTTGCGCCGATCACCTCGCTGTTTCCCACAGTTTATAGGCGGTAAACCATGAGGATCTCCCGGTGAGTTCCTCTACTTACTCTGCATCCCTCCAGCGTTCTCCGCACATGAAATCTTTTCGAAGATGCCCCCAGCGTCCAGCGGCACTGTTCTCCACTAGCTGCCTTTCCGGCCCGTATACTATGTATGGATCCGATGCAGACCTGTGCAGACACGCCGGAGGACGGTCGGGGCGGATAAGAGCACAAAGTTACGTTTATCCTCCATACGGTCGGTCGCGGAACTGACCCTTATGCCTCGCAGGTATCCCTTGACATGCACCTGTTCTGCCATGTCCGACGTCCAGAAGGTGCTGTCCGTCCGTCCGACCTGCGCCTTCGAGCCGCAAAACAGCCGTGCCGATTCAGGGCCACCTCGGCGCGCAAGCCGCACCTGGGATCCGGTTCGTGCTGCTCCTGAACTTTGTAGCAAGGCGTCCCACTTCTCTTTCCCACCTTCGTGGACATGCTGCACTAGGACCATGGGAGTTCCCCTACTTCTTCTGTCTTCACTGCTTCCTCATGCCCCGCTAACCGCGGATTGTGATATATTACTGTTGCCAGGATCTCAAGTGTTTAGCCTCAGGGTCTCAAACTCAAGCCCAAATGCTGCTCTCAGACGTCAACTGTTGACTTCTCACCTTGATGTGAACGACAGCTCTATCCCCGAGACCGGAGGCCAACTATAGGAACGCTGGATCAAACCATTCATCTGGTCTTCTGAGGGAGCGCGCTTTACTGACGACATTTATGGCAGAGTATCGCCCGTCCTTCCTGGACCGTGGCTCTTTTATTGCTCATTGTAATCGCGCCCGCACGTCTGTTCCTTGAGATCTGACTCGCGGAGATTTTGCGCCAAGGTTTCGACTGGCCACCAATGACGTCGGGCTCGTTCCGAACGTCCTTCGTGTTCAGGCCAGCGGATATTTTCAGGCAACGCACGAAACGACCTGCATTTGTCCGGCCATCTAAATGCCGGACTTACCGTTTCCAACTTTCCTCGCCCATACCACGATCGCGATACCTCCGTCATTTCGTCGCCAGCCTCAGGCTTGACCTGGTCTTCTTCCGCTGTTGCTATCAAATAGGATTGTATCAAACCGACTGCATTCGAACTTGACTTAAGCTGCGGCTCCGCTATACCGCCAACATCTATTCTCGATCGACGACTACCCTCGAGCTTACAAGATATCCACTGCCGTCTTTCCTCCCCAATGCCTAGAGACGACACCAGTGTTTCGTTATCTCCGCACCGACGACAGCTTCCGGCTTGTCCGCCTCCGCCTTCGCCCTGCCGGCCTCGCCTGCGATGCTGGGGCAGCAGGTGCCTGTACGCAATTTTCCTTTGTTGACAGCCAAGGTCCTCGATCCGTGCCTGACGGCTTCAAATAAGCACCTGCCTGTAGTGCGGTCCGCACGCTCTCCCCGCACGCCCCTCCCGCTGCCCCTCGCCCCTGGACACCTCTTCTCCCGCTCAAAGGGCCCGCCGCCGCCGCCGCCGTCGTCGCAGGTGGATCGTGCGCCCCGAGCGCTCTGCGTGCGTCCGAGAGGTCGATGCCGATGCCTTCGAGGCCGTCCAGCAGGCTCTGGAGCGCCGCGGGCGGGACGGCGTTGCAGGCGAGCGCGCGCGCCATGTCGTTGCGGACGCCGTCGAGGTCGCCGCGCATAAGCGCCACGCGGAGGACTTCGAGCGGACCTATGCGCGAACTGGGCGGCATCTCGCTTTCTCCTGCTTTTTGGTCTTGGTTGGAGCTGTTTTGCTGTTTGGTGGGTTATATCAGGGATCGTCGCGGATAGTGGAGCGCGGATGCTCTTTGTACTTTGTGGCTGTGCGATCGCAAAATTAAATATTCAGGGCCGCGGATATGTTAGTATTTCGTGATGTACCCGCTCGACGGAATCGGATCTTACGTTCGTGTATGATTTTCGGTGGCTTCAGCGGGAGACGCAGCAGTACATGGACGTCAGTACAAGACAATGAATTGCGTCCGCCGTCGTACACTTTATAGCACGCCGTGTGAAAATGTGCCACTGCGTGGCGGACATGAGGCCATTCATCGACATCGACCAGCTGGTCACGCGATCGATGGAGGAGGCCCAATCCTTTGTGTGCTAAAATGCAGCTGCAGCTGGCGTGCTTTCACGTGGGGGCGGGTACTCGACGTTCAATGTTTCAATACCCAATTGCATCCTCGGCACTAATGATTGGGGCTGGTAACGTGGCGCTATGCATAACAGGACCTCGGTAGACTCCGGAACTCGTTGGGCGACACTTGGCGCAGCAATTTTATGGCAGGGGTCATAGCATGCCAGTTGGCTATGCCGCCAACTCAGTTTCTCAACTCGGTTGATTAAAGCATATAAAGTACGTGCTGTGCACAAATATATATTTAAACATGGCGTGAGACTGACAGCGGACGGATCAGTTCATTCAATATAGTTTTCCCCGTCACAGAGGTGGCAGATAGGCCGCTCGCGAACACGCGTGGTCTTCTATCAGGCTGAGGCAAGCGGTCTCAAGAAAGGGCAGTCCAGGCCTTCACTCGCGAAACACTAGCTAAGTAGATCTGGTGATGCGGGCGAGAGTTCTATACATCAAATAGAGGACGGAATCATGATAAAAACGAAAGGTATAATCAGAGGTTGGACTAATGCACAACATCATCGACCTTAACATTGGTGTAATCATGTTAAAGAAACAGCAATAGCCATCAGCAATAAATGGAGATGAGTGACGTACCCAATAGCAGGGGAAAGCCATCTTCCTGCCGCAAACAAGCCCTGGGGCTCTTTATACGACCAGTAGCATTCGTTACAAGCGCCAGCGGCACGACTTACGGTGCGTTACTCAGGCTGTATAACCGAAGACACGGGTACCACAAGAATCGTAGAGCTTGGGCGGGAGCGGGGCGCGGTGAGGCGCAGGAGCACTAGAGGAAGAGGGAAGGAACCCGAGACGCGACGCTCACACGACCCAATGTCCAATGTCCAATGTCTTATACCCGCGAGCGTCCGTGAGAAATTCGTGTACATGCAGGCTTAGACCCGGGTTGGAGCGAGAGTGTTTACTGCGCATACGTTCTTACTCACAAGCCAGCCATACGCGTAGTACGGCAGCAGTACAACGCGGTCGCCTGGCGATTCTTGAAGTATGAACCAAGGTACGTGGGATTTATCCGTCAGTCGCTGTGCTTGTACAGTACGTTCGACATTTAGTGCGACTACTGCCAGAACGGTACTAAGCGCGATCCCCAAGCGTAGCACTTGTAAGTATCTGTGCTGATACTGAGATACTGCAGGCGGGGACTGTAAGCATGAAAGAAATCCACGAAGCTGCCAGCTGGCAGGACCGGAGATATCACAGCCACGTGTGGCGGATCAATATTACCGGAGCGCCTTTGCATGGCTCCGGCGCCGGAAGCCGGGCACTTGCAGCTGTTCGTCTCCTGCACTGTCGATCTCAGTCTACATCTATCTGGCGAATAATGCTCCGGTCAAAAATCTCTGTTTAGTAGTCTTTGATGTTCGTCGGTTGTTCTCGCTGGAATTTTGGGTGAGCAAGCCCGGATCAGTCCAGCGCTGGACAGCGGGTCGTCGCAACATGACGAGCTGGTAGCGGCCTACCTGGGTGCATCTCCCGGCGCACGCGAGCCTAGTTGTTGTGTGGCCAGCTAATCATTGTCCACATTCACCTCCAGAAGAACTCACTTTGTTCCACGTCCGTCTGTCTCCGCTTCGGCTGCAACCTGATATCTATGCTATAAGCTTAGCGGATGGCAAAGCTTTCGGTCTAGCCTGCTGATTTGCAGCTCTTTTGAACGTCGAACATGCAGGGTCAGCTATTTCCGGAGGCGCTTTTCGCAGGTACGCGCTCGAAATCTCTGCCCACCATCAGCAATTAATGTCCTCATGCCCCACCGCGGTCTCGTGCCAATGCAAATCTCGGTCTTTCCGTCGATCCTTCAGGCAATCCCTTGCAATCTGTTCCCAAGCTATTGGTCGATCTCTTCCTGCGCCCAGACATTGAACCCGATTTTTTCTCCGCCGGTCTGGTCATCTCCGGCGACATCGCACCAAGTGTCTCACCCAACGATATATATCCCAGATGCCAATAACAGCTTGTAGCGTCCCTCCTCGCATTGTCCGGCGAAGATGTCGTCCACCGCTTCGCTCTCTGATCCCGAAAAGCAAGGCACACCGTCTGCCAACGAGGTGCACGCGCTCTCCAACGACGCTAATGGGCATGTGAAGGCACGAAAGGTGACCCTGTCCGACGTCGATGTCGCCGCAGCGGTGACGGCTGGGAAGGATTTGAGTGCTGTCGACGAGAAGGAGGCGAAGCGGGTGCGGCGGAAGATTGATATGCACATCCTGCCGTTAATGTGCCGTGCGTCTGGTTGCTACTCTGCATGCTGAAGAATACTGACCGTATGGCGCCACAGTGATCTTCGCCCTGCAGTACGCCGACAAGAATGCTTTGGGACAGAGTGCAGTGCTTGGTCTCCTGTATGTCCAAGGACACTTTTCTTTCGTGATATGGTGTACTCAAGCACGTATAGTCAGGACGCGCACCTGACGCAAAACGAATACAATCAGCTGGGCACGATCTTCTACGTCTTCTACTTGGCCGCAGAATTCCCTCAGAACTATTTGCTGCAGCGATTCCCAGTCGCGAAGGTCCTCTCGATCAATATATTCCTCTGGGCCGTCCTGTTGCTCTGTCATTCCGCCGCAAAGAGCTTCGCTGCGCTCGCTACAGTTAGGACGTTCCTTGCCCTGACGGAAAGTGCGATCATGCCTGGATTCATGATCGTGACTGGCATGTTTTATACTCGCGAGGAGAGTGTCCGGAGGGTCGGAAGCTGGTGTAAGTGGCCAATCTCCACGACACTCAGATGCTAACATACGTGGAATTTTAGTCCTCATGGACGGCATAGCTATCATCGCACTAGGCTTTATCGCTTTTGGCTGTCTGCACATCAAGACAGAGAGTTTCGAGCCCTGGCAATGGCTAAACGTCATTTTCGGTCTCACCACGCTTGTCGCTTCTATCTTGTTCTGGTATGCCAACATCACTCCACCGCTATATTTTAGCTGAACTCGATTCTGACTTGATCAGGTTCTTCTTCCCAGACAGCCCCACAACGGCATGGTTCCTTACTCCGGAAGAACGTGTCACGGCAGTCGCACGCATCCGCGTTAACCAGACTGGCGTTGAGAACAAGAGGTTCAAGAAGTCGCAGTACGTGTTTTCCTTCCGTCCTCCCCCCGTCAGCCCCGCCCCTGCCATACAGGGCGCAATTCCTTTTTGGCGGATGCTTGTTGTGACTCCAGCGCTGGGAATAACCTGCAACATGTTAGCCTCATCAACGCTTTCACTCTGCGCTTTGCCTAGGTGTGTCTTGAAGAAGTACTAAATCTTATTGTATGCGCGCTTTCTCAGGTTGATTGAGTGCCTCAAGGACCGAAAGACGTGGATGTGGTTCTTCTACGCAGCATTCTCGTTCGTGGATATCCGTTCTTGATCCTTGGATACTTGATTAACAGGTGGCTCGCAGACAAGTATCGAATTCACTTTCGAATCAGCGCGGGCTCATCGTTGCTGAGTTTGGATTCACCGATTTCCAGACGACGCTCCTAGGTTGCGTCGACGGCGTCGTCCTGAGTATGTCGCATCAATCTCTTCTCATCTGATCTCCATCCTCATATCGTTTTTGCGCTAGTCCTTGCTGTTGTCTTCTCAACAATTTTAGCCTCGCGCCTACCAAACGCGCGAGCCTACGTCGGTTTCGGCGGCTACTGCGTCGCCCTACTCGGCGCGATCCTCGTCAATACTCTACCCTCGCGTCTCAAGGTCGGACTCCTGTGCAGCTACTGGCTAGGCGCCGGCGGCTCCTTTGCGCCGTTCGTGGTCGCGCTCTCGTGGGTCGGCTCGGTGACCGCCGGGCACACCAAGCGTATGTTCTACCTTCTATGACCTTTGGGACACAAGGAGGACGGCTGACGTCGCGGCGCAGGTGTGTCGACGAACGCGATCATGATCATCGGCTACGCGCTCGGGAACAGTGTCGGGCCGCAGCCGTGGAAGACACAGTACCAGCCCCGCAACCACGTCCCGTGGACGGTCATCTCGGTCTGCTGGGCCATGTCCGGCCTCACCATGCTCCTTATCCGGTGGTACCTTGTGCGTGAGAATGCGAGGCGCGACCGCGAGCAGGCCGCCGCCGCATCTGCTCTGCGCGAGCAGCAGGGCGGAAAAGAGAAGCACGAGGCGGATGAGGAAGAGGATGGGGAAGAGGTGTACCTCGAGGATGCGAAGGGCGAGGAAATCGGGAAAGTCGACAAGGCGTTCCTCGACCTCACTGATATTGAGAACCGGGATTTCCGGTATGTGCTATGAGATCGCGCTTATGCTTAATGTCGTATGCAGATAGCTGTCGTTGGCTTTGTCTTAAAGTCGTCGCGCCTTGCTCACGTTTTTTGTTCGCGTACAGTGTACACTTCGCTTTCGAATTCAACTCTCATCTGTCGGCACTGAAGGGACTTCTGGTTGGTTTTTGGCGGCACCAAGTACTGAAGCACTGGTGGTCCACGAGTTGTCCCCGACAGGCTGACTGGTTTACAACGCGGCGTTTGTGAAGGCCGAACAGCTTCACGAGATTGCAGAGGTGAAGCTTGGTCCTTATTTTGATATGAACGTCAGGACGCTGCGGAAGTACCTCCCGAAAGGTGTGCTTGGTTACGTTATGGCATAGTTCAACGATGCTTACACAAGTGGCGGTAGTCTAGCAGGCGACAGAATAATCTTCATCGCATCCTCAACTGCAAAGTTTTCCGGCATCACGCCCCAATAACTCATTTACTCGGCCTCTAAGGGCGCCACGGAGCAGCTCGTGCGTGTGCTAGCGAAAGACCGCGGCGAGAAGGGCATCTCCGTGAACGCTGTTTCTCTGGATACCACAGATACCGACCTCTTCCGCAACGACGGCAGGGACGAACAGTACGTCGAATGCGTTCGAAATCTGTACCTCATAAACAGATCCCAGTGGCCGGGGATATCGTGCCGTTGGTTGCGGTTTTGGCGAGAGACGAGGCCGAGTGGGTGAACAAACAGTGTATCATGCCCAACGGGGTAGGCTTTTCGAAGATCAAGTTCTATGAGCATCGTGCCTGACTGCTGTTTGTCCCGTAGGGGATGGCAACAGAAGGAGCTGGGAACACCATGTTTGGTGAACACCCCTCGATCAATTATTCATGCATCTGAGTAGCACGTCAGTAGACTCGGAGTAAAGGATGTTCTCTGGGTCGCAGACGGAGGAAAACGTATTCTTAAATTTATATGCGGCAGAATGACTTTTTAAGGTACGGTGAGTTTCTTTGTTGCATCTGGCCCCGACGAGCTGGATTGGGACATGTTAGTCTCTCAGAGGCAGACGCTTACGGAGTAGGACATGTCTCTCATTGCTCGGACGCATCTTCGCTCTCCTTACATATCGAGCAACAGATTACGCGCATGATATGTTCGTCACTCACAGAGATCCTATCAAGTTCCTAGTGCATCTGAAACAAACATACACACAAGTAGAGACGACAAGTAAAATAGACCGATTTGCGGCCAGCAATCTTGGTACAATTGGATCAGAACGTCACCGTGACAAAGCCGGCGGTTAGGCCTAGTAGCTGGGAGCCAGAGTCGCAACATCAGACAAGAGCATCAGCTTGAGGAGACGCAACAAAAGTATAGATAGTTCTTCTGGAATGGATCGGGTGTGTTCAGATACTAGAACGAAGAGTTATGGTCGTGCGATCCGGGAAGAGGCACGACTGCCACTGATGGGTAGACGATGCAAAAAAGTCAAGCCCGAGGTTCGCATTCGAACCCAGAACCCTGAAGGGAACGTCTAATGCGAAGAATCGGATTTTTACACCACGCACTTAGCCGTTTCCCGCATCTGGGCCCAGGGGGGGGGGCATCACTGCTAAGCGCTGAAAACAACCTCGGTGGGGGGAGGGGGGTCGGCAAGCATCTAGCAGCGCTCGGGACCTCTGGAAGCTCTGATAAGATTAAAATTCCTGTGCGATGCACATTCCACCGACGGCGAGGCGCACTCTTTGCTATCCTCCCGCCGTCTTTCCCTGGTACCACAATGCATATCCATCAGTTTTCACCCCCTGTAACTATTTAGCTTAAGAAGAATATTGCTGCCTGGCAAATCCATTATGACCTCGCAGAGGAAATGCATCGTGTGGACCTCAAACCTTACGGCAAAGCTGCAAAGCCATCGGGCTGTCACATAAGATAGATTTTATTCACCGGAAGCAGCATTGAAACAGTGAAAGCGGTCAAAAAAATGCTGCATCCCAGCAGATGAAAGTCTTCTGTGGATATTGTGGAAGAAGCTACACCAAATCGGAGGGAGACATACAATGTACCTGATAGCAACACAGTTGAAGAAGTTAGCAAGGGCTGGTGGTAAAACGAGAGAGGAGGGAGTTGACCATGGCGAGAGAACCGAAGTGGAAGACCGCACGTCTGGAGTAGATAGCGCACTGATCTAATCTATTTGGGCGTCGTATCTTATCAAAACCTCGGGGTCTCGGGCGCTTGACACCGAGGTTGTTTTCAGCGCTTGTTAATGTTGCCTCCCCCTTGTCTGGGCCTGACTTCTTTGCGTCATCTACCTGTGAGTCCTCGTGTATTTCTTCAATCGTTGACCAACGCTAACAACCGACTTAGAGCTCCAAGGATTAATACTGTCCATCAGCCATTTCTACACAATACATATATTATGAGCGTCACTTCGCCTTAAGTGTCCACGACTATACGACGTGTCCGTAATGATTATATCCAAGCTGCAGGACATTTCCACCTCGTGCTCCCCCACTGCGAGATGTTCGTGATATTTTGTCTATGTCTTAGTCGGTCATCGTGGATGCCACTCCGAGGAGGCCCCGGAGCCGTTCTGCAGGTGAGTCTGAAGTGCGCCTGCCGCGATAGCCTTGAATGATAGCCTCACAGATACAGAGGCTGTCTAAGCAATGTTCGAAGGAGGACCGAGAGGCACGGTGAGAACACGCGCATCTGCCAAGAGAAGCCTGTGCGGGAGGCTGTTCAAGGATCCAGCGCCTTACCATAAACGCTGCCGCGCATCCCCAGTGATAAAAAATCGCCATATACTTCCTGCTTGAATGTGTTCCCCACCTACCGTGGACGTCTGAGGTATGATCTCGTATCACTGTCCCAAATTTTCATGCAGAATTGCATTCGTTTATGAGGCATACAGGGCAGAAGGCTTCAGCGTCTGTACCTGGGCGGCTTTTAGAAGCTTTCACTTACCGGCCTGTATGATGCTGTGCGTAGAAAAACTCAGCAGTCTTAGAGTTACGTCCGACAATGGCGGTATCCATATAAGATGGAGTAGGTGTACTTGGCTCCCAAAGCTCAGCCTCAACCCTTGCTCACCACCCGAGCATGTCGACTGTCGCTCTGCAGCAGAACCAAGCTGTACTACTGCAAACCTTTGCCACACCTGGTGGCAGAGCTTCAACACGTCGAGTCACTCCGCCTTTCCGCAGCCCAACTTCGCCGTTGAGTCTTCGCTCGGAGTCCTCTGGGTCCACCGCAGTCGCCTCCGGCCAGTTATCTCCAAATACAGATTCAAATTGTAGCGGAGCTCCTTCCGTGGTCAATGCCCTCAAAATTGTGCACATCGCACCTCAAGATGTCGAAGAACTGAAGTACCATCGGTCCATCCACTAGTGAGTTCCAGCAGTCGGGCAATCTGATTGTGATCTATGTACCTAATTCCCTTATCTAGTCCCTCAGATCCCGATAAATCCGTAGTCAACTACATTCGGCCATTGCAGACATCCTTTGACCGGTCAGGGAATTTGAGTCGTGTCTTGGCTTGGTACTGAACACGTCCATGTAGGGAAACAGACCTAGCGAATTGGACTGAAATCCGGGGTGGGAAGCCGTACTTTCATGACTCACAGAGAGTGCGCATCTTTTTAATGCCTTGATTGTATCTCCCGGCTCACTACCTCCTAGTCGTTGCTTACTCGCACAGATCTCTACGACGAAGATAGCGATAACCTTGTGTATATTGAGACTGCGGCGAAGACTTTGTACGACCGCCTCGAGGACGTTCGAGCCCGTGTACCTGAGGACACGGAAGTAGTGCTGTGTAGGACATGGTCTAACGAAGAAGCTGGATATGTTGTCGGTTACTATCTGGCGAGCATGTCCAAGCAAGCTGTCTTTTGGTTCGATCCGCTGGAGGATGAAGAGTCAATGATTGGTACATACCTGGTCACGGACTCTGGGAGCCGTTGTGTCGTTTCGCAGCCTCACCTTGGTACGCGTCTCTAGATTTTACATCTTAATTCGCTAACGAGATCAATCCGAGCAGGACTGGCAGTCAAATGGCAATTCTGGTCGGTATTGTCTCCGCACGTCCATCAAGCACGAGACTAATGCTCCTGCTAAGGTTACATGTCGAACTCTTTCCTGGTCACCGTGCCCTGTCGCGAGATGCCCAGCAGGAGCTCAAGCGTGCCTTCGATTTCGGCCAGTGTGGTACGGCCAGTCTGTCAAAGTGAAGGGACACGTGCTCACACCTCATTCGCTCGCAGACGCAATCACATCGCAGAATTCGATGTTCCCGTACGATCCGGATACCGCCACGCGCTTGTCGAAATGCTTCAAGAGCATCACTAGTAAGCCGCTCCTTGGGTGCCATGAGTCGAAAATTAACACTCTTTGTAGCCGATAAGGCCAACGGAGCAGGGACTTTCATCGCAGGTGTGTCGTCAGTACTCATTCTCTGGTTGTTGTCTGACATGGCTACTACTACTAGCACGGCTACTCGGCACAATATGTGAGCAGCCACTTTCCCACTGGACTACAAATGCTTTAACTACCACCATAACAGATCGAGAGCGATTCATGGCTTTCTGGGGAGAGCCCGGTGCTAGGTTGACCCGCAGCGAAGGCGCACTAGAAAAGGATACCGAGAAACGACACTCTTGGTTCCTGATATTGGTGTCGCCTATATTCTTCTTTATGCCCTTCCTCTATATGCAGGAGTTCGAGGGGCTCTATGTGGACAAGACGGTCCACTACTATCCATGGCGCGTGTTCATCGAAGGCCTCAAGAAGGATTGGGAAAACTCCATTACTCCCGTATGTACTCCGCCTTTACTAACAATGCACGAGACTGAATGCATTGCAGGCGACAGTACTGATTGCCACGAATATCAGCTTCTTATCGATCAATAGCATTGACGGAAATGGCGGCCCGCGAAAAAGTACTGCACAGATCATGAGCTACATCTCGACTATTCTGGCGGCCTTCATATACATCGTCTGCCAGATTTTGCAGAGGCACCATCGGCACCATATCCACGGGCAGGCAACAGATGCGGTTCGCTCGCGTTTCGTACTCTCTGCCGCGAAGTAGTGCGATTTACATTTTATATATCTAGCTCAAATATATCTCCAGGAGGTCTGAACGACTAATCGGAATGGAGGCAATAGCCATCGCATTCAGGTGAGCTGCGTTCTAAAATGTTTAGCAGGCCACGCCTGATCTCGTTTCATGGGGCTAGTATTCCAACTGCATTGTTCCTATGGAGGTAAATCCGTTTCATGCGATCTCATGGCATGTCACTAACTTTCTGTTTTGTACCAGCATGCTCACCTTCCTTGCCGCCATGATGACCGTCTTCTTTGACGATACCACTTTCCCGACGCGGATTGCTCTGGGAGTGCTGCTCGGCCTGATGTTCATGGTCCTGGTACTGCTATTGTACCTGGAGTCAGAGGGCTCGGCACGCAGCACGTTCGACAGCTTCCGTCTGGCCAATATGGTCTTCAACGCGGTCTCCGCATGGTGGAAAGCTCGCTTGCCGAGCTTCAGCAAGCCGACTTCTGCTGATGATGATCGCGTGGAAGATGAGCAAAGCTCGAGCGGTGCTGCTAGTGCACCGTCTAGAGCGAGCATTGCGGGACAAGTGCGCCGTGTACGACGTTGGCTAAAATGGAGTAGGGAGCCAGCCCCTAGCCCTGTCTAGGATCGACGAGCCCTCCAACTTTCTCGAGTATAGAAATCTCGCATACACGTCGTTCAAATTGGTTATGACTTATAAACGTCAACTGTTATACCTTGATACCAATGTCTTCGAAGATAATAATGCTTTTATCGAGTTCAAAGCCCGTAATACACTCGAAGTAATTTGTGCGGAAAGAACTACATGTGTGAGGTGTAGATCCCTCGAACTCGGCGTACACCAGCGCCTCGTGTGGCCCCCGTATGGATACGCTGCCAGCGCTGAGAGACCTGAGGTGGCAGACCGCTTCCCCCGTTTCGCGACATACAATTTTGGATATTGTGTACTATGGTACACATATACTGCTTAAATCTCAGAATTTTCTGAGGGCGGGAGTGTGGAGCCACAGAGAGTTCGCAATTTTCAAAACGTGCGAACTATCCCCTAAACACGTCCCATGAACGACCATCTCAGTCTGCTAGGCCATGTCCGGCCTCACGACGCTCCTTATCCAGCGGTACCTTGTGCGCGAGACGCGACCGCGAGCAGGCCGCTGCAGGGCGGAGAAGAGAAACACAAGACGGATGAGGGAGAGGATGGGGAAGAGGTGTACCTCGAGGCGAGGAAGTCGGCAAGGTCGACAAGGCATTCCTCGACCTCGCTGACATCGAGAACCTGGATTTGCGGTATGCGCTATGAGATCACGCCTATGCTTAATGTCGTATGTAGATAGGCTCCTGTCGTTCGCTTTGTTTTGAAATTCAGCCCGCGCTCGATAGCCATCTTAGCAGGACCGAGACTATAACACGATATAACCGAACACCTTTCGGGAGGTACTTCGCCGCGGCTTTGGTCATGTGCATGAACGTTTGAACGTCGAACAGCGGCGTCCTGACGTTCATGTCAAAGTTGGGATCAAACTCCGCCTCTGCAATCTCGTGGAGCTGTCCGACCTTCACGAATGCCGCGTTATGGATCAGGATATCGTGCCTCCCGAGCGACTTGACCATATCCTCAGCAATGCGGATACCCTCCTCAGTGGAGGACATGTCGGCCTTGGCGGCCACAGCGCGTCCGCGGCCCTCGTTTTTAATGTGCTCGACGACATTCATCGCCGCAGCTTCGCTGCTGCTGTAGTTGACAACGACGTGTGCACTGTCAGCTGCGAGTCCGAGTCGAAGACAGCTTGCGGATAAATTAGTGATTCAGTACTTCGTGCCGCAAAAAAACCACAGGTCTCTTCAGTGCCAACAGGCGAAAGCTGAGATCGAAAGCGAAGTATACTATATGTAGCTATAGACAAGAAACGTGAGCAAGGCGCGACAATAATGCCGCGGTCCTGGTGGTGGAAACCATGTACGATATTTGTACACAGCATGCATTTATTAGTATTGAGGTGGAATTTACTCTCTCATACGTCACGACTCGTGGAGAGCCATTGCACGCGCATGCACATTAATTGTGTACGGTCTGTGCACAAGCGTCGACGGCACGAGTGGCGAAGAGAACAGTGACACATCTGCGGCCGGCATGCTGGGAATGGGGGCCTCTTGAGTAAGTTCATGGCGCATTGCTCTCGCCGCACCCAGCAACTCTGCTGTCCAATCTTGGTGGCTTACGGCACTCTGACCTCCCCCTTAGTGAGCAAGCATTCTATTGCATGCTTATGTATTCATCAGCATTACATTTTCTGCGTTTTACATACTGTAAATAACATTCTCGTTCTTTGTGCCATACTTATTGAGGGACGAACGTTCTTTCTAATATGGTGGACGACGAGCTTCATGTTAGCGTTCTCCAAATGGCTTCTGATTGGTTGGTGAATGCATCGAGCCGTGGGAATAGCGGACCACAATCACAGTTTGAACGTAAAGTCGTCGGCACCAGATGAACGTCTGCACATCACCCCCAAACACCACTCACTCACGACCTGCGATGACAGAGGACGCTAATGGGCACGACGAAGAGAAGGATTCGCATCTCGTGGCGGACAGTCCCGACCAGATGAGCTTGGCTGAGCATGAGGATGGTGGGGAGCCCAGTGAGAACAACGAGGCCAAGTCACCTATGCAAAACGGTGGGGATGGTAGAAATGCGAAGCAAGGGAAAGAGGACAGCAGGGAGAGCGAGAGCGAGGAGGAAGAGGACGAGGACGATAATGCGGAGCACCCCGAGCAAAACGCACGTGTATCCGACCGCTACGATGTAGGTGCCGCTGACGGGGGCGAAGATGATGAGGACTATGACGAAGGAGATGAGGACGAGGATGATGACGAAGAGCCTGCACTCAAGTACGAACGACTAGGAGGGTCAGTGCACGATCTCCTCGTAAAGGACTCTGCATCCGCGCTAGCTTATTCCCACCAACGGCTGGTACGTATACAACCTTTTACCCGCGAGGATGCTGATTTGTTTCTTGCAGGCACTTGGTACGCATTCGGGCATCGTTCATCTTCTGGATATGCAAGGTGAACGCACCAAATCCGTGAAGCCGCATTCTGCTAGTATTCTCGATATGTCACTAGACGAGACCGGTGACTTCATAGCCACTGCATCCATGGACGGTAAGCTATTCACTTACTGCCTAAGTTCACGTCTAACATACGATACGTAGGACAGGTCGTCATATACTCACTCTCCACGCCGGAAGTCTACTCGTTCGATAAGAAGCGACCAATGCGAACAGTATCGTTGGAGCCTAACTTCGCAAAGCGCAGCACGCGTGCATTCGTCTGTGGTGGACTGGCCGGAAATCTCATCCTGCATGAGAAGGGGTGGCTCGGGCATAAAGAGACTGTCCTTCACACCGGAGAAGGGCCCATTTGGCAGGCTCGATGGCGTGGCAGGCTGATTGCGTGGGCAAACGACTTGGTATGACACTTTAGCCCCGTGCATGACAAATTTTCACCATATTATGCTGCAGGGTGTCAAAATCTACGACACTGTATCCCAGATGCGCATCATTTACATCGACCGACCTACCGACAGCCCGCGCGCAGACCTGTTCAAGTGCACACTACACTGGCAAGACGACTCGACGCTTTTGATTGTATGGGCGGATCAGATTAGGGTCTGTCGAATTCGTGCACGTCCACGCTCTAACGTCAACCCTTCCGCGAATCTTCCCCCGTTGGTCGTCGAGATCACAGCCGTCTTCCAGCTCGACTGCATGATGGCTGGCATCGTCCCTTACCTCATGCCGGAGAGTGCAGGTTCGCACACCTTGCACGCCGCTCCGACAAACACGACCAAGTCGCAGCGGCCGACGCTCACTGCGTTCCTTATCCTCGCGTATACCCCTCCCGACACGTCCCTTCTCACAGGCAACGAGGCTGCATCGTCGCGTGCGGAGCAGGCGCGCAAGGCGGCAGAGCGGCCAGAGCTGCGCATCATCTCGCGAGGGGGTGAAGAGCTTGCGAACGACGCGCTGAGCATCACGAGCTACGAGCGCTGGGCCTGCAACGACTACGTGCTGATCGAGGTACCTGCAGCCGTGGAAGGCCAGGCTGGGAGCTATGTTGTGATGAGTCCGAAGGACGTCGTGCTCGTGAAGCCTCGTGACTGGCGGGACCACGTCTCTTGGCTTGTAGAGCGGAAGCGGTTTGAGGAGGCACTGGACGAGATCGAGAAGCATAGCAAGGAAGGTGACGAGGACGAGAAGCACGAAGGGATCAACGCTGTGACAATCGGACAGCGGTATATCGAGCATCTGGTCAGCGAAGGTTAGTGTCCCCCGGATAATTCGAAGTAAAACATCGCTGACTTGTCCAGCGCAGATGACTACATCAAAGCCGCCCGTTTGTGCCCGAAAGTATGCAGACAAGATACGAAGCGGTGGGAAGACTGGATATTCTTCTTTGCACAGAAGCACCAGCTACAGGCTATCATTCCCTACGTGCCGACAGAGGAACCGACGCTTGGACGCCTTGTTTACGAGATGATCCTAGCTTACTTTTTGTCACAGGACCGCCAGGTGACGCTTTCAGGCCCAGTGAACTCAAAGCTACTTGCTGACCAGATTCTACAGATGTTGCTGAGGACAATCAAGGACTGGCCGGTGGGTATATATGACATATCTGCCGTCATAGTTGCTGTCCAGGCGGAGCTCGACCGTGCTCCCTCAACGTCGACTTCACCCTCAAGTCCGGTGACATCAGACGCTGTGCTCCTCATGGAGTGTCTCGCCGAGTTGTACACCATGAACCGTCAGCCAGGGAAGGCGTTACCATACTTCCTGCGCCTGCGCCGTCCCAACGTCTTTGACCTCATCCGGGAGCACAACTTGTTCACCGCAGTGCAAGACCAGGCGCTGCTCCTTGTCGAATTCGATTTTGAGCTGATGGACAAGCGCCGTAAGGCCGGCGAAGAGGTCGATCCGAACGAGAGCGCAGCGATCAGCTTGCTCGTGGATCATATTCACTCCATTCCGGTGGGTACTATCTGTTAACGCTGCACGTGACAGAGGGCTGATGCACGCTGTGTAGATCGGAAGGGTGGTGCAACAGTTGCAAGCCAGGGACTTCTACCTGTACTTGTACCTAGATGCGCTGTTCGCTAAGGATCAGCACTTGACGTCGGACTTTGCTGACACGCAGGTGAATTCTATTATGGATAATGTCTGCTAAGAGTGACTGACTGAGACTTGAACAGGTCAAGCTGTACGCTGAGTACGCTCCCAAGAAGCTGATAGACTTCCTCCGGTCGAGTAACTACTACAACTTTGAGCGGGTGCGTCAAGCAGTCTCTTCTTACACTGACGATGTGACTGACGTCTTCAACAGGCCTATAAAGTTTGCGAGGAGCGTGACTTGGTCACAGAAATGGTGTTCTTGCTTGGTCGCGTGGGTGACAATAGAAGGGCGCTCAATCTAATCATCGAGAGATTGGGTGATGTCAATCGGGTATGTTCGGGGCGGTTTCACTTATGCTAGATCTGACTTGGACTGTTCTTTCTAGGCTATCGACTTTGCGAAAGAGCAGCACGACGATGACCTCTGGGAAGACTTGCTACGCTATTCGGAGACACGACCAGGTTTGCCCTTCTGCTCTTGGTGTTCTCGGTACGCCTCTAACATCTTCCGCCGTAGCCTTTATTCGCGGTTTGCTAGAGAATGTCGGCGCTGAGATCAACCCAATTCGTATTATTCGGAGGATCAAGAATAGCTTGGAGATCCCTGGACTGAAAGGCGCGCTCATTAAGATCCTGCACGACTTTAACCTCCAAATCTCGCTGCTTGAGGGGTGCCAAGACATCTGCAACGGTGACTGTGCCGACCTTGCACAGAGGTTTCACAAGAACCAGACAGCTGGCTTCTTCCTCAGTGGTACGACCACTTGCGCTTGCTGCAACGTGGGGGCAATTGACGGATATTCTACAGAGAAACAGACGTGCCCGGTATGTGGCGATTCGCTCATAGAGAGCAGTCAGTCGCTGCTACTCCTCTTCCTGTGTCGGCATATCGTCCATGCGCGTTGCATGAGCAAGAGCGAGCTCTTGCAGCATCACACGGAAGTCGGGCACAGCCTCGGCGGGCGCGCAGGAATCGGCGAGAAGATCGCCTTGTACGTCTGGCTTAATCTTCCTCCTGTACTGCTGTGCTCAATTACAATGCAGGACGGCGCTCGTCCGGGCACGCCTCGACTGCAGCTGCCCAGTCTGCCAGAAGAAAGGGGAAGGGGTACTACGGACTTGACGGCGCATGGCTATGATACCTACAGATTCGTCATATGTGATACTAAGCACCACTTTTGCTTATGCGCTATTTCACTGGGCAGCGTTAACCCAGGCGACGTAGACATGGAAGATACGATAACGCGCCACTATGGCAGAGGCACATTATCACTTCTTTTGATTCTTCTGTCCACTTGAGAAGTGCTTTGCCCTCTCTGGCTCTAAGACACACGGCAGCAATTATCCAAATTGCCCCGCGGCGGCACGGCTGCCATATGTCATGCACCCGGATGTCCATAGGGTGTTGGGATGTATTATCGTCTGGCGTGCCGCTTGGCTTACGGCCCCTTGCCAAACACGGGCGATGAGGTATATCACCTAGAGTGCTTACAACATGACCGGTGCCTTGACTCTCACTCGGGCTCAGGAGTATCGGCTAGCACAGTGTTAGCCGATTCCCTAGGAAGGCTCAGCTCTCATTCGCTATTGGCTACACATGGTCACAGTATCTGCCTCAGGCCTTCCAGAGGCGCAAAATGCACCCAACCCTGCGGCCTGATCTTGAGTGGAATTTGCTCAAGCGCCCGTCTGTGCAACTTTCTGTGCCCCACTGGGAATATATTGTGCCCCAAAATGCCAGCCCTCAGAATGATTATACTCAAATGGAGTATTTTGTGGCATGTATACAGAGTACAAAGTGTCCAGAAAGTCTGCCTCAGATCCGAAAGGTCCATGTTCAAGTGTCTAGCCATAAGCATTCGACTTCCTGCCACAAGCATATGCATCTTTCAATGCTACTCCCGGCGCATGCACAGCTAAGGCTCAGTATTCGTACTCGTCCACACTCCGCAGACGTCCTCGCAAAGCTGAGAGCAGGCACTCTGGGCAGTTCTCATCTAATCAGTCGATGATAATGTTGATCGACTTTGATAAAGTTCGACGCTCCCTGACGCCATCCGAAAGCGGAAGCTCGAATGACTTCGACCGTAACGACGTTGAAATGCAGCAACGCTTCACTTCCTGTCCTTTCTTCACCTTGCCACCACAGCCAAAATGACTCTACGGAGGCTGTGTGTCCGCGGTGACTCGATAAAGGTTGCACTCCCTGAGTAAACCGAAATTTTAAGTACTACGGAAAGCAAGGCGAGTGATATAAAGTTTGAGAATGGTCACGCGACGTGCCAGTAGCTCACCACCTTTCGCAGATGCGTCGAAACTGCTCAGTGCTTAGCTACATAGACTCGCCAGTCAGGTCTGGTCTCTACGCTTCGGGGGAGGGGGGGGGCCGCATGCATCTCATTGCATCTCATTTGGGCAAGGGATGCGACGCTCGCAAAAAACCAGCCTAGTGCTCAGCACTCAGCGCTCAGCTTGTGGGCCGATTGTGCGCGCTCAGCCGTGCCTCAGCCATTTGGCCCCGGGGGCGCTGCATGCGTCCCTGATGCCGACTTGCCACGTCCCCGCTTTGATACACTCTGATCAAAGGACATTCTGCTGATTGCGTTCAACTGCCCCTTCCTCTTCGACTTCCACCCCTAACGACACAAATACGGTTCTTGTGTCGAATTTGAGGTGCTGCTCAGGGACCAAGGTATGTTTGTCATATACTAAGACTATGCGATGGCTTACAGAACGACATGCCTAAACCAGAGTCAATTCACTCAGCTTCGCTTGTCGCCATGGCTTGTCGAATGCCTCAGGAACTAGTCGACATCGTGCTCGAAAGCCTCTCTGACAACGAGGCATCGCTCAAGAACTGTTCCCTTGTCTCCAGGGAGTGGTCAATCTCAAGCTCATCGCATCTCTTCAGAAGATTCCGTTGGCCTCCCTGTGTTTCCACTTGGAAGATCTCCAATGAGATCTGCGAGAGTGCACTCGAACGCGATAGTGGCTTTACATTTCTGCTGGGATTACTCTCGTCTTCTACGCGACTTCGAGACTCCATTTGCGAGCTCTACCTTTGTTGTCATAGATTCGGGTGTACATCCAGTTACAATCTGGACGTCTCGTTGTTCTCTACATTGCCCCGGATTCTCGCCATTCTCCCTCGCCTCCGCGTCCTGGAACTTAACGCTTGGCCTGTCTCCCCTCGCAAGTCCCTTGCACATATGCGATTTGAACAGCAACAGGCCTATGCCATCGAAGAGCTGCGGATCATCTGCAACTTTAACATCATCCCGGTTCTGCTTTCCCCCTTCTGTCGTATCTCCAAGCTCACTATCACCTGGCGCGAACTAGGTGTAGAAGAAGCCCAGCCGTTCCGCCCAGATACACCTATTGAAGTGCGTTCCATCACTATCAACGGCCTAGAGGAGGCCATCCTGCTATTATTGCAAGGAGGTCTGGACCTTACGGCTGTCCGTAACCTCACGCTATCATCTCCGCCGAAGGTTTCCAAACCTGTTCTCGGGTCGATCATTATGTTCATGTCCTCGATAGAGTCGCTTGGATACGAGCAAGTCGACCCCTCTGCCGCACCATTCGACGCACAGGTTTGTCCTCCCCTACACACCGTCAGGTGGGTGGCGGTCTTTTCGCATTAGCCGTGGAACCTCGGGATTTCATCGACGAGGAATATGAGGACGCGATCGACCGTGACGGGGTGGATGCGAGCCGTGTTGGAAGGGATATAGACGGAGGTGCCGCTGTCACCGGAGGATATAGTAGGGCCGTTGCCGAATGGAAAGGCGATGACGAGGAGATCGAAGGGGGCAGCATCGAATACTCCGACTGGGAGCACATCCTGCGTGACCTCCGAATCTTGGTCACGGATGTCACCGAGAACATCACCATCAACCTAAGAGTTAACGAGGCGTACACCATCGACGATTTCTCGGAGCCTGACGATATCCAGGACATTACAAGATCTCTGCGAAAGGCATTTTCCCTTCTCGACTGGGCTGGTCTCCAGGCTGTCACCCGCAGGTGCTCAGTGCTAAAAAGTCTGCGCTTTGCGATCGCCTACGAAGGCTTCATTAGGCCAGGCGAGTGCGCGGGAATCTTGCTCAAGGTCATCAAGAAGAGTCTGGCAAGCGATGTAGTCAGCAAGGTGCGATTTGAAATCGTCGATTGTAAGCCCTCATGTATTTCTCCAACCGTTGACCGGCACTAAAAACCGACTTAGAGTTCCAAGGACTGTCCCCTGCGTCATTTATTCGGTTATTTCTGCCCAATATCTCCAAGCGTCACTTCGCCCGAGGTGTTCACGGCTATACAATGTATTCGTAATCATCACATTGAAGTTACAGGACATTTCTACCCATGTACTCCCCAGCCGCGAGATGTTCGTGACGTTCCGTTGATACCTTAGCCAGTCATTGCAGATGCCACTCCAAGAACATCCCGGAGCCGTTCTGCAAGTGAGTTCGAAGTCCTCTCTACTGCGATAGCCTTCGATGACAGTCTCACAGATACAGAAGCTGTCTAAGCAATGTCCGAAGGAGGATCGAGGGGCACAGCGGGGACGCGCATCTGCCAAGAGAAGCCTGCACGGGAGGCTGTTCAGGGATTCAGCGCCCTGCCACAGACGCCGTCGCACATCCCCAGTGATAAAGAATCGCCATGTACTTCCCATTTGAACGTGCTCCCCGCCTACCGCGGCTGTCTAAGGTATGATTTCACGTCGCTGTCCCAAATTTCCACGCAGAACTGCATTTATCTACGGGGCATACGCGGCAGAGAGCTTCAGCGTCTGTGCCTGAGCGGCTTAAGAAGCTTCCATGCCCCAGACATGTCAGTGTGCACGACTCATTGGTTTGTATGATGCTGTGTGTACAAAAATCCCGCAGTCTTAGGGTTACGTCCGACAATGGCGGTACCCATATAAGACGGAGTAGGTGCACTTGGCTCTCAAAGCTCTGCCTCAACCCTTGCTCACCAACGGTACCCGAGCATGTCGACTGTCGCTCTGCAGCAGAACCAAGCTGTACCACAGCAAATCTATGCCACACCTGGCGGCAGGGCTTCTGCACGTCGAGTTACATCGTCCTCTCGCAGTCCGACTTCGCCGTTGAGTCTTCGCTCGGGGTCCTCTGGTCCCATTATAGTCGCAAGCGTCTCCGGCCAGTCATCTCCAAGCACGGACTCAAATTGTAACGAAACTCCTTCCGCGGTCAATGCCCTCAGGATTATCCGTTTCGCGCCTCAAGATGTCGAGATATTGAAGTATCATCGGTCCATCCACTAGTGGGTTCTGGCAGCTGAGCATTTTAATCACTGTTTATGTATCTGATGTCCTTATCTAGCCCCTCAGATCACGACAAGTCTGTAGTCAAAAACATCCAGCCGTTGCAGACATCCTTTGATCGGTCAGAGATTTTGAGTCGTGTCTTGGTCATCGATGCTGACTACGTCTACGCAGGGAAACACGCCTAGCAAATTGGACTGAGATCCGGGGTGGGAAGCCGTACTTTCATGACCCGGAGAGAGTGCGTATCTTTTTGACGCATCAATCCTAGTAGTCCCTGGCTCACCGCTTCCTAGTTGCTGGTTACTCGCACGGACCTCTACAATAGCGACAACCTTGTCCATATTCAGACAGCCGCGAAGACTTTGTACGATCGTCTCGAGGATACTCGCAGTCGCGTACCCGACGATACTGAGATAGTGTTGTGTAAGACATGGTTTACCGAGGAAGGAAAAGACTCTGAAGAGGCTGTCGGATACTACTTGGCGAGCATGTCCAAGCAAGCTGTCTTTTGGTTCGAGCCATCGGAAGGCGAAGAACCGACGATTAGTGCGCATCTGGTCACGGACTATGGGGTTCGCTGTGTTGTTTCACAGCCACACCTTGGTACGCGTCTCTGGATTTTACATCTCAACTCGCTAACGAGATCAACCCGAGCAGGACTAGCAGTCAAATGGCAATTCTGGTCGGTACTGTCTCCGCACGTTTGTTAAGCACGAGACTAATGCTCCCGCTAAGGTTACATGTCGAACTCTTTCCTGGTCACCGCGCCTTGTCGCAAGACGCCATGCAGGAGCTCCAGCATGCCTTCGATCTCGGCCAGTGTGGTATGGCCGCTCCGTCAGAGCGAATGGACACATGCTTACACCCCGTTCGCTGGCAGACGCAATCACATCGCAGAATTCGATGTTCCCGTACGATCCGGATACCGCCACGCGCTTGTCGAAATGCTTCAAGAGCATCACTAGTAAGCCGCTCCTTGGGTGCCATGAGTCGAAGCTAACACCTTTTGTAGCTGATAAGGCCAACGGAGCAGGGACTTTCATCGCAGGTGTGTCATCAGTACTCATTCTCTGGTTGTTGTCTGACATGGCTACTGCTACTAGCACGGCTACTCGGCACAATATGTGAGCAGCCACTTTCCCACTGGACTACAAATGCTTTAACTACCACCATAACAGATCGAGAGCGATTCATGGCTTTCTGGGGAGAGCCCGGTGCTAGGTTGACCCGCAGCGAAGGCGCATTACAAAAGGATACCGAGAAACGACACTCTTGGTTCCTGATATTGGTGTCGCCTATATTCTTCTTCATGCCGTTCCTCTATATGCAGGAGTTCGAGGGGCTCTATGTGGACAAGACGGTCCACTACTATCCATGGCGCATGTTCATTGATGGCCTCAAGAAGGATTGGGAAAACTCCATTACTCCGGTGTGTACCTCGTCATTACTGATGCTGCACGAGACTGAATGTATTGCAGGCGACAGTGCTGATTGCCACGAATATCAGCTTCTTATCGATCAATAGCATTGACGGAAAGGGAGGCCCGCGAAAAAGTACTGCACAGATCATGAGCTACATCTCGACTATTCTGGCGACCTTCATATACATCGTCTGCCAGATTTTGCAGAGGCATCATCGGCACCATATCCACGGGCAGGCGACAGATGCGGTTCGTTCTTCTTTCGTACCCTCTGTCGTGAAATAGTGCGACTTACACCTTATATATCTAGCTCCAATACATCTCCAGAAGGTCTGAACGACTAATCGGACTGGAGGCAGTGGCCGTCGCATTCAGGTGAGTTGTGCGCCAAAATGGTTCATGGGCCACGCCTGAGTTCATTTCACGAGGCTAGTATCCCAACCGCATTGTTCCTGTGGAGGTCAATCCGCTTCATGCGATCTCATGGCATGTCACTAACTTTCTGTTTTGTACCAGCATGCTCACCTTCCTTGCCGCCATGATGACCGTCTTCTTCGACGATACCGCGTTCCCGACGCGGATTGCTCTGGGAGTGCTACTCGGCCTGATGTTCATGGTCCTGGTACTGTTACTGTACCTCGAGTCAGAGGGTTCGGCACGTAGCACGTTCGACAGCTTCCGTCTGGCCAATATGGTCTTCAACGCGGTCTCCGCATGGTGGAAAGCTCGCTTGCCGAGCTTCAGCAAGCCGACTCCTGATGATGATGATGATCGCGCGGAAGATGAGCAAAGCTCGAGCGGTGCTGCTAGTGCACTGTCTAGAGCGGGCATTGCGGGACAAGTGCGCCGTGTACGACGTTGGCTAAAATGGAGTAGGGAGCCGACTTCCAGCCCTGTCTAGGATCGACAGGCCCTCCAACTTTCTCGAGCATAGAAATTTGCGCGCACGTCGTTCAAATTGGTTATATATGTTATACCCTGATACCAATATCTTCGAAGATACCAATACTTGTATCAAGCTCAAGGTCTATAATGCATCCGGAATAATTTGTGCGGAAAGAACTACGCGACCCCGCTTGCGTGAGGTGTAAGTCCCTTGAATTTAGCGTACGCCAGCACCTCCCCCTGGTTACGCTGCCAATGCTGGGAAACCTGAGGTGGCGGACCGATCCGTTTATGACGCATGTAAGGGGCTAATGCCGGGCGGGCACCCTAAATTGAATAGGAGGTCAATTTTCCGCAATGTTCGCCGTATTCCGCATTGGCCCTTTCTCCGTCCTACATCCTCGCAGTTTACTATCGCGCATAAGTACCTGATAGCCGACATCCAGAAGAGCCCGTGATCAGATAGTGAACGGGCACAAGGTACAGTAGGTATGCCCCTATCGCCTGTCTGGCTTAGTGCTCACCGAGCTGGCTATCTCCCAGAGCTGTCGTCAAATGGATAAATACCGGAAGCCTGCAAACGTTAGCTCAAGTAAACACCCTAAATTGTATCTCGAGGATGGTGACCTTGAGCTGTCCGCTGAAATGCCCGATGGGTCGCGACAGCTCTTCCGGGTTTCTGGAGCACAACTTCGTTGCGTCTCGCCTGTCTTCAGCGACATGCTCGCTCTGGGAGGACCTCGCGATGAAGTTGTTATGATGCCAGATTCTGCGGAGGATCTCGCGGCCCTCTTAGAGTCTGTGTGCATCCCCAGGTACGCTACAGAACACAGATTTTGTGGAAGCAACCTCATCATCTCCTCTGGCAGCTCTCTCGTCCGCAAATTGAAGACCACCCCTGAGTCGCAATGCGCGATCGAGTTGTTCGGGCTTGCTAAGATAGCGAGAAAATATGGAATGGACGACATCACCGCTGTAATTGTAGAGCACATCCAAGAGCAGTGGCCGCGGAGCCTCGAGGAGTGGGACGCCTCCTTTGCCACATGGAGAACCAATTCGAAGACTGCCGCGACGAGAGGGGACGTCCCTGAACCTGTCTCCGCCATCAAATTCGCATTGGAGTTTGATGTGCCTTCCATTCTGCCCGCGGCATTTTACATGCTCTCCGTGCAGGATTTTGGCGACACCACCACCGCATCGCCGGGTGCGGAAAGCATGCCTTCCATGGCACGCTGGGATCTCACGGACCATGCGATGCTACTCAAACTCATCTGCGGCAGAGACAAAGTACGAAACCATTTTAAGACGTACCTCTCGTCCTTGCGTTGCGAGCAGGTTGCAAACCCGCAGAAATCGCAATCGAGTATAGATGCTTGCAATCATGCCAAGAACGCACTCCTAGGATCGTTGATGCGCGGCGACTCTGCTTTCTACCCACACGGACAATGGGATTATTTAGAGATCCTGCGGCTTGTACAACTGTACAAGCCGCTACGCGAGAGGTTTTGCTGCCTCTATACTGCGAAGACTGTAAGTACTGCAAGGGTCAGCATGTGGGAGAAATTGCCCGAGTATTTCGGTATAAATCGCAGTGATGTTCATTAATTTCTTCCCTTTAAACTTGTAACGACAGACCTGTTATGATTATGTCACTGCACTGTGGTTTCCGCGCCGCATCATTCAGACTGGACCATCGATGTAATGCGGGATTGCATTGCCCTGAATCTACACAGGGTCTGGTTTATCACCCAGCCACCTCCTCCTGGACCTCGTTCAGCACAATTTCTGGCTTCGCCACTAATACTTATATCAAGTTCAAGGTCTATACCACATCCGGAAGAATTTGTGCGGAAAGAACCGCACAGCGCCGCTTGTGCGAGGTGTTAAGTTGGCGTATACCAGCGCCTCGTACGGCTCTCACCTGGTTATGTTGCCAGTGCGAAAATTGGCGGAACGATCCGTCTAAGGGGCTGGTGCGGCCAGGCGGTCACCCTAAATTACCGGAGGTGGGGCCAGCTTCCCGCAACATTCGTCGCATTCCGCATTGACCTTTCTCTGGCTAGCATTCTCATTCCAATTTACAATTGCACACAAGTATCTGATCTGAACAGCTCGTGATCACGATAGTGAACTGTCACAAGACACAGTGGGTATGCCCCTATCGCCTGTCCGGCTCAGTGCTCACCGAGCTGGCTTTCTCCTAGAGCTATCGTCAAATGGATGACTCTCCGACGCCTGCGAACATTAATTCAAGTAAACACCCTTCTCTGTATTTCGAGGATGGTGACCTTGAGCTGTCCGCCGAAACGTCGGGTGGGTCTCAACAGCTCTTCCGAGTCTATGGAGCACAACTTCGTTGCGTCTCGCCTGTCTTCAGCGACGTGCTTGCCTTGGGTGGACCTCGGGATGAAATTGTTATGATGCCGGATTCTGCGGAGGATCTCTCGGCCCTCTTAGAGTTTGTGTGCATCCCTAGGTGCGCTACAGAACACAGACATCATGGAAGCAACCTCATCATCTCCTCCGGCAGCTCTCTCGTCCGCAGATTGAAGACCACCCCTGAGTCGCAATGCGCGGTCGAGCTATTAGGGCTTGCTAGAATAGCGAGAAAGTATAGGGCGGACGACATCACCGCTGTGATCGTAGAGCACGTCGAGGAGCAGTGGCCGCGGGGCCTTAAGGCGTGGGACGCCTCTTGCGCTATCTGGAGAACCAAGCTGGAGACTGTCGCGACGGGAGAGAGCGTCCCTGAACGGCCTGAACCCGTCTCTGCCATCAAATTCGCGTTGGAGTTTGATGCGCCTTCTATTCTGCCCGCAGCATTTTACATGCTCTCCGTGCAGGGTTTCGGCGGCACCACCACCACCACCACCACCGCGTCGCCGGGTGCGAAAGGCGTGCCTTCCGCGGCGCGCTGGGATCTCGCGGACCCTGCGATACTGCTCAGTCTCATCCGCGGCAGAGACAGAGTGCGAAGCAAGTTTCTGGAGTGCCTCGCGCCCTTGTCTTGCTACCCTACTCTCGTTACCAGTTCAGGGCTGTCTTCGAGAAAAGACAGGTCTACCATCGCCCTTTGCAACCGTAGCAAGGATGCGATTCTAGGACTGCTGATGTGCGGCCGCTCTGCGCCTTCCCTGTGCGGACAGTGGGATTATTTAGAAATCCTGCGACTATGCTACGAGCAAGTCAAGGTGTGCGAGGGGATGTGAATGGTGCGTCTGTCGCAGTTACATTGCCTCGCATTAACATGAGGTCTGGTCCTGCTTCTGTAACCCGTCCTGCTCTTCCTCGTCCACTACAACTCCTGCCTCGATCAGCTGGCAAAGCTCCCCTGTCACCCACGCCCACCCGCCGTTGCGTCGATAATAACGCGTGTACACGAAAACTTGCCTGTTCGCCTTGCGAAATCTTCGCTTCCGTAGGGGCCAATGCCGCGCGGCGGCAATGGAGGTGCTCGCGGAGCAGAAACCTAGACGCGGTCTAGGTGGATAGCGTTCCATGCGAGGGCTCGCGGAGCGCACTCGACGGGGTGCTATCGCTTTGTGCAATGACCCAGACGCGGTCTGGGTGGATGACGTTCCATGCGAGGGCTCGCGGAGCACACTCGACGGGGTGCCATCGCTTTGTACGTGTCCGAATGGACAATGCTCGCGGAGCAGAGACCTAGACGCGGTCTAGGCGGACGGCGTGCCATGCGAAGGCTCGCGGAGCGCACTCGACGGGGTGCCATCGCTTTGTACGTGTCCCGCTGGGACAGAGCAGAGACCCAGAACGCGGTCTGGGTGGATGGAGTTCCATGCGAGGGCTCGCGGAGCACACTCGACGGGGTACCATCGCTTAGGTGTGTCCCGCGCTGCGGGTACGAGGCTCGCTGAGCCGTAGGATGGACTACGTCCGTTTGAAGTTTAGGGCGACCGCTCGAGGATGTGATCAGCGCTAGGTATAGCAGGTCAGCGCGGAGAAGAAAGCGGGGACGACGTACTGCTGTGTCTCTGTTCGGACGTTTGTCGTGTTTGCCGAGTTTTGTGCGAACAACTTACGCAGGGAGGCCTTGACTATCAGCTCACGAACGCGAGCCTGGACATCAGTTGTGAGAAGGTAGCCATTTATCGACAAAATTTACTACAGTACGTACAGTACGGAGTCATATACCCACAACCTATCATTAGCATCGCATCCTTCCTTGACCGCCAACTTCGTCGGCAGCGCATGCGGAATACACGCGTGATCTTGAAGTCGACTGCAAGATGCGGTCAGCAAAGTGGCCCCGTTAGAGCGCATGCTTGAGAGAATAGGAAATCATGGCGACGAATGAATACTGGGAACGCACCTGGTTTAGCGTAGAGTACAGGTGCGAGTGCTGGTTGCCTCAGGGGCCTACACGAGCGCGACGTTGAAGGTCAACATGAATGTGAGCAGTCAGCAGGGGACGCAGCGCACTTCGAGATGTTGGCTTCTCGGGGGACTCCCAAGGCCACATACGGTTTGTTCCGGCGGATATTGGGAGTGGTAGCGTTTCATACAACGCTCTCCCCTGTGCATAGGTCGCCCTACTGGTTGCTCGGGTACGCGGAGGTGCCTGCATTCTTGGCGATGTTGAGTGGCTGGAGGACGTACTAGGTGTCGATTCGGGTGGACGCTGTGGCTGTTGCATTGCTGGCGGTGGTGTTCGCTACTTGCAGAGAGCGTGGGGGCGGGTGGCTGGGTGAGGCCAAGCGTTATATGTTGAATTCTTGAATAGGAGCTGAGTGATCACACGACCGTTTCAGCTGCCCCGTGCAAACCGTGGCAACGTCATCCCTACCCACTTGGCTGCAGCAGCTGAGCTGGTGGGATGACCTCAGAGCCCAGACAAGCTAACCCAGAATGGACTCGACGCAGTGGGCTGCTGGAGTCTAGCATAGAGTTACCAAGTATCCAGAGTCAACTTTCACACAACAAAGCGAAGCACAAAGCTGCTAGTCCAGCGCAGATTTACGCTACTAACGTGCGCGTAAGTCGGAGGAGCTAGTGCACGACGGAGGGACAAGGCGGGACGCCCATCCCGCCTCTTGATCCGTCACCACGTGGCCTGCCCCGTTCGCTGGCGCCCTGCCGGTTCGGTCTGCCGAAAGACTCCCCAAGATTTAGCAACCAGACCTCCTCCAGGATGGCCATCGAAGTACCAGCGTCCATCCGAGCCCTTTTCTCTCGCTTTCCGCTGTACACCTGCCCGCAGACGATATCACCATACCAAGCCCAACCTCTCCGGACACCGACGCTCTGGGTGCACCCGCCGCGGTCTACAAAAGCTCACAAGGAGCCCGGCAGCTCCGAGTTACTGAGCAGCGATGTCGAGTGTTTGAAGTGGCAGGCCTATCTCGCGCTGCGCTTCTCACAGACACCCCAGCCGTCCCACGTAGCCGTGCGCTGGGACGTGTCCGTGTCAGGTGCGGTTGACGGACGGCTGCCGAATCTACACGTCCCGTTCGACACCGTACCGCCGTCACTCCTCGGTTCGTCAGAGAGCAAGGAGAAGAAAGCTAGAGATAACGGCGAGGGAGAGGTTCTGCCTGCTCACCGCATCCCCGAGTGGGTAAACGGCCGGCTTGGCGAGGAAAATGGCGAGCATGAGGGCTACAGAGACCTTGACGCGCAAGACGAGAGCAGGGCTTGGGTTGCACTGCTGGAAGGAAATGTCCATGCCGCCCTGGTGCGTCAGGCTTTCCCGCTGCACAATCTCTGACGCGAACTCGGCCGAATGCGCTTTCAGATTGCGTTCAGCCCTGCGGAGACGTCTCTACTTGAAGCAATCTCTCCCGACCCCTCGTCAAAATCACTCCTCACCGGTGGCCCACTCTCAATCTCATTGAACCCTCCGCCGGCGCCGCTGACTGGTCTACTCTCCCTCTTCCCGGCTTATGGCGAGCGTGTCGACTTGCACGCGATTGAAGAAAAGTACAGAAGCGCAATAAAGTCTCTGAGCGATAGGCTTGGAGAAGACACATGGATACTGGGCTCCGCGTACGTGTCGCCGTAGCGTCTCGCTGATGCGGGAGAGTGCTGACTGCCCACGGGCTTCAGAAATCCAACGCCTCTGGACGCATTGCTGTTTGCTTATTTGCACGCCCTGCTTCATGCCAAAGACAAGATCTTGAGGTTCGAGGTGGAAAGACGCGAGAACCTCGTCGCATATGAAGGCAGGATACGCGCAATCGTCGGGAACGCATTTGTCCCGTACCGGAAGTAGCACTGTCAACTCTGGGCGTCCCATTTTTCTGGCCTTTGCATAACCTGGCTGCTTCATCTACAATTTCCTCAACGTCGCGATCGATGAGAAGCTCTTCACGAACCCGTGATCACCAGCCCTGGTGCCAGCACATTTCTTGCGCTCCTGCCTCAATCGTTTTGTGCCTATGCTCGCGCATATGCTGTCAGCCACGGCTAAGTTAGCAGCTTGCTGGCAAGAACACAGAGCCTAGGCTACTTTCGCACGCCGCACGCCGAAACGTTGTTATAAGAGATGGTGCTTGCAGCACTTGTCTGGGATATTTTTACTCGTTGATACAATGTTAGCTCCTCAGAGTGCGTTTAGGCTGCCATATGAGAAAGAATCTCCGCGGAAGGACCTGGTTCAGGAAAAGTTGTCGTTGTCTGGACGGCACCACTCCCAATTGTCAGCCGCCTGTAGTGCGACAAATTCTAGGCGATGCAATAGTAATCTGATGGATAAATGTGTAACGGCATAGACAATGTCTCGTCGACCGCATCTGCCTTTCAAACTGCCATTCCCTGGAAACATCTGGTGGTTAAACATAGCACTAGACAGTTTTTTCCGTGCGAGAGCACCTACCCCGTTGACCATGATGCACTGCCCATTCACCCACCCAGCCTCGTCCCTCGCGAGGAACGCGACGAGGGGCGCTATGTCTTCCGCCACCGGGATCTGTTTCTGCGGAAACAGGTTCGCGATGAGCTCGACGAACTCTTCGCTCTTGCCATCTCCACGGAAGAAGTCGGTGTCGGTCGCGCCGGGGGAGACGGCGTTCACAGTGATGCCCCTCCGGCCGAGGTCTTTCGCGAGGACACGCACGAGCTGCTCGGCCGCGCCTTTCGAGGCGGTGTAGATGAGGTACTCGGGTGTGACGGCAGAGGTTTTCGTCGTGTTGGACGTGACAAAGACGACTCGGCCGCCTGTGGACACGTCCGAGCAGCAGCCTAAGATCAGCGTAGTCCCGGCCCCGACGTAACGAACGAAGGCTCACCCTTCGGAAGGTGCTGTGCGGCGGCTTGAGTCACAAACAGCGGCGTCCTCACGTTAATGCTGAAATGGGCATCGAAGTCTGCCTCGTCAACCGCGTCGAGCCCGCCCACCGTCTTGAACGCCGCGTTGTGGACCAGAACGTCGAGTCTCCCGAGTGACTTGACGGTGTCCTCGACGAGACGCGTGCCCTCCTCGATCGACGACATGTCGGCCTTGGCGGCTACAGCGCGTCCACGGCCCTCGTTGTTGATGTCCTCGACGACCTGCTTGGCCGCGGCCTCGCTGCCGTTGTAGTTGACGACAACATGTGCGCCATCAGCTGCGAGCCGGCGGGCGATGGCGGCCCCAATGCCACGGGACGAGCCTGTGACAATGGCGACTTTTCCTGACAGTGGAAGTGACATGAGGAAAAAGGCAGTGCAACGTACACGGAAGATATGACACTCGCCAATGGCTTCGCAAACCGGTTATATGCGCTTGCTTTTGCATTTAGTCTCGTGTCTTGACTTCTAACAGTACCCCGCGGCTGCTTGGTTTTTTTGGGCTGTAAATATTCAGACGCTGAGGGCCTACGCAAGCCTCCGGCATCGTGAGTGGGTCACTCGAAAGACGAAAATATGCACATGGACTTTTGAAAATACCCACTAGAATTCTCCCAGGCCTCTCGTTGCCGATTCCCGACTCATCGGAATATTGGTAAGGTAGTACCAACCCGTCTTCGTTGCGCATAGCGACGGTGTACATACATATCGCCCGCCGTGGGACCTTGAAGTTTGAATCCTTGGATTCGCCGGCCTTCCTTGGCGGGACGAACCCAATCCAAATGGCAGTCAAGCAGATCAAGAAACCACGTGAGCTGCGCGGCGGATCAATTTGATGCGCCATCGTCAAGGCTCGCCGACAGTCGCGATTGCGGGACGGTCGCCAATCCTCCAAAGGCAGGGCGCGTCATCTTGGTGGCGCGACAATCACCGAGAAACCGTGGCTGACTCCCGCTGTGCCGACGCAAAGTTGACGGCACAAAAGGACGGATCTTGGGCTCGCGAGATTGCGAAGCCGTGTAGAGCTTACTAGACTATCGTACCGGCTACTGGCACAACCCACTACTTATCTGACCTTGCACGAGCCCGTAACATGAATCATAGAGTGGTGACGACATTAATTTAACATACACACATATCTAGATTTTAGTAGATTTTGCTATGTCAAACGATATTTGTGGGACGATAAGTGGAACGCAAATGGAACCGGGAGCCATGAATACGATGATGACGATGACAAGCCATAGTCATCGGGGCTGCATGGTCGAGTTATCTGGATACGCGAGTCCCAGGGACTCGAAGTTCAGCTTCGAAGTTTGCTCGGAAGAGTTCAGTCGAAGACGGCGACAGCGAAAGCGAGGATGATGATAACGAAATCCCGAAATGCTCGTCCAGCGAGCGGTCACTGAAGCGCCGGACGGTCTCAAGACTAAGACCCTTGCGTCCAGGCGGCTCGGTATCTCGAGGTGTATGCGAAGCAAGAGAGCTGAACGGCAACACCGGGAAGGGAGGATGTCCAAGTGTTCAGGAGCCGCTAGTATAGGCTAGGCTGCCAAAGGTGCCGTTTGGCGCACCCGGAAGTGGACCTGCCAGTCCCGCGCGGCCACGGGCTGTAGGCCGACTAGCTCGAGGTCGGAAAATGTGATGGCACCGGGCCCCATCCGCCAGCGCGTACCAGATCTCGAACACTTTGTCGACAATTCCTACAGATCGCATTAAGAGGTCAAAAGGTGCGAAGGCGGCCCAGTACATAGAGGGACATACGTTGAGAAATATTTGCATGTAGAGACTGATGCACCTCGCCAGGTCTGTCCGAATGGTGGTGGCAGGAAGAAGAATGGAGGCCGACCAGGGCTCGTAATCGGGCCACTAGGCACGTTGTATCGTCTATGAGCATCACGATAGAAAGTAATGCATGCTTCGTTAGTCACGCACCAATATTCGTAGAGTCATGGACCTCTGACACATGGGGAATAAGGCGCTCCGCACCAGGGTAGACGCTCGCTAAGTTGGGAACCGTCTGCGGCGCTGGGCTTAGCATAGCCGCTGGGCTGATGGGGCTTCGTGACGTGTGCGGTGGCTGAGACTTTGAAACGAAACTGGTCTTGGCAAAGTGCGAAATGCGACGAGACTTGGGCGTCGTCCGCGTGCCGAGTGTGCTGTCATCGCTCTCTGGCTGGCTGCTAGGGGCCGCCTCATCCTCAGGGTTGCTCGCCTCGCGGCATGGATGCGATGGTCCAGCCAGTTCGCTGCTGGTAGCTGAAGCTCTGCCGTGGGCGTCCGCCGTAGAGTGAGGTGAGAACATGTGAGAAAGTTCATGATAGAGGTCTGACGAGCTAGGCCTATCCCTCGCTTTGTCCTGCCAGCAACGCGTCAGCAGAACCCAGAGTGGTTCTGGGAGGTCATGGCGGGCTGTATCACGTGCTGGGCGCTTGCCACGGCATATAGCCATAGAGGCTGCAAACGCCGGGCAGCTGTGGAAGGGGGAATCGCCATTGAAAATCTGACAGACGGTCAGCTGTAGATTCATTGGAATCTGAGGCCGAACTTACCGCCCATATACACATTGCAAATGAGTGAACATCGCTTTGGGGTGTATGACGGACATGCTGGAGAGCGTAATCCTCCGGAGACAAAATCTCTGGCGCCATATAGCGCACTGCGCCGGTGGCCGCAGAACTAACGCTAGCAGAGGATGCATCCGAGAAATCTGACAGTCCGAAATCTGCGAGGCGAACATGGCGGGTGGCGTCAATGAGGATGTTGTTCTAAGGCGATGTTCATTAGGGCTTCACAAATAGAAGATGCGGACGAACCACATGCAAGTCTCCGTGGACGACATTCTTGCTATGCAGGTATGCCAAAGCTGAAGCTATCTCCACCACCTATGCCCGGTTCCTGGTCACATGTTGTACACATTAAGACAGACATCGACACACTCACAAACCGCTTGATTTCGTCGAGGACAAACAAGTACGCTTCAATGAAGTCCATGATGTTTCCATACGGCATCCAGTCCGTCACGAGACAAAAGTGTCCTCCGAAGAGTTCGCGGTCAACACCTACAAGCTCGCATATGTTCGGATGGCTGAGACTGTGTAGCAATGTGATCTCGCGGCAGAACATCTATACCGACAATGGGTGAGTGATGAGGCGCGAACGATTGCAGCCATGGACAGGACCTTCAAGCACTTGGACATCTGGCGCGTGCAAACGCGCATCGTCTTCAGTGCCACGTGGCGTGCCCGGTATTGGCCTCTATGGATATCAGCATATCCTCCGGTGACCTGTCTCGCGTCTTTGAGGGTGACACCTGTGAGGTACAGGCCCTCCGGAAGCTGGAAGGAGGCCATTGACAGTCTGACGCTTATGCGGTGAAGTTGACCTCGGAAGGCCTGTATTTCCGCATCCGGTGCAGGAAAATCGATCTGTCGTGAGAAGATACCACGTCCAAAACCACTGGCGTACAAGACCTAAGATGATGCGCAGTTAATAAATTAAGCTTTATATACCTACAAACGGCGCCCACCGAGTCGACAAGAGTCAGGAACGAAGCTGCGTCGTCCTCGCGAAGCTCCATAATCTCTCCTCTGTCGTAGAATACAGCCTGTCGAAGCATCATGAGGACATAGCGATCATCTTCCTCAAGAGCTCGCCAGATAGCATCTCGGCATGACAGCTTGGAAGAAAGCTGTATAGCAGTTAATAGTGCCCAGCCGATACGCACAGGAACCTACTTCGATCAATTTCGAGCGTCGTGGTATTGCCTTGGCCAATAGAACGGCCCGACTTGTAGTGAATCCGAGCGGTCGCTCCAGCTTCAGGAATAGATCGTATCTGAGTACATTTGTTATCATCATTGCTGTCCGACTAGTCTGACTCATCGTGACGTACGCGGAGCTCACTGCGAGTATGGACCTGTTGCTCCTTACCAAGTCCGAGATGCAACTTGCAATGATGGATTCCGTTTGCTGTACGGCTCATCTAGAATAGTTGGCTATTAAGACGAGCGTTGACACACACCTGATACACGAGCCCCAGTCCAGAACCTACTGCAGGTCCCACGAAACGCTGAATAACAGACTAGAGGACCATGCTACGTGTGAGCTGACTGCGGATAGTGCTTGCTATATCACGCACCTCGAGTTCCGGAACCCGTAAACCTGCGCACTCCTTCGCGTGCTCCATCTGGCCATATAACGCTGCTACTCCGCACTGGGAGGCCGCGACCATCTCCTGTTGATCTTCCAAGATTCCGCTTTCGCTGTTGGTAGCCTGAGGCATCGCTTGTTGATAACAGTCGAAGAGTTTTGCACGAAGAGCAGCCGTTTGTGTTCAATGAGTCACTGGTGCATGGATTGACCAAGAGAGATTCAGCATGCGGAGCGACAAGAGCTTCATATGGCCACGAGCGCCGTCGTAATAGCTGCAAAGATGGCGTCGGTAATTGCTACGTGTTGGAGAGCCCATACTCCGACTCGATGTGGACCTGCAAGTGCGAGCCTGAGGGTGGCGGGGCCAGTACTGACCTATCATGGCACGGTTCGTTTTATGGAGTGAGCAGTGAACCAGTTCATTAGAGGCAAGAAACCAAGACGAGCAAGAGCAGAGGGCTAGTTCAACTGGTGCTTTATGACAACGAACTACGGAGAGGACAGGTAGCAAGCATTGTACTGTGTGTGCGTATTTGTCCACCCGACGGAGAGCGTCCACCTCTGTGCCGTCTGTGCCGTCTGTGCCGACCTCGGCACGTATAAGGCGAATCAGATGGAGGCGCTTGCTGCCCTTCATTGCAAGTGTAAGTACCGTAAATGCTCTTCCTTCTTTTGGTCACCATAAGCTCTATGGCATCCATACACTATCCCATGGAGCAGCATGCAGTTTAGTTCCAGCTCCAGAGTGCTGGCAAGCGGGAGGCCACAGCAGCAATCACAAATCGCTTGTAATAATTGATTAGCGGACTTTGAAGGTCCTTCTCAACTTGTACCTCTGCCGCAGGGGGGTTTCGAGCCATGAAAGTCCCATTACAATTCTCTACTGGCGAGTCGACAGGAGACTACAGATATACATTGCTAAATCTCTCTTGCCTACGCATCTTCCACTTCACTGTTTTTAATTGGTTAACAAGCAATTAGCAATCATAATATCACCCTAGCGCAGCCTGTGTCCTTTTACTGTGTTCTGTGGTGGATATGAGCACACATTCCGGGAGGTGCACGATATGTACACGAGACGTATTGCGGAGTCTCTGAGGCTGTAGTCCATACGCATCATTATCTACGACTAGTAGACGGTTCTATGCGCTCGAAATATCCGTGTAGTCCTGTAACTCCTCTTATGTAGCAATACCTGAGTTCCGATGGCGCTACAAAGTCCTCGGTCCATGCCAGGCTAAGCCCGATATACGTCTCTCGCCATCCGCATTACATCGGTGGCATACGACGAGCATCCATTAATTCGGCCTTCAGCCTGCCCATTGAAGTCGCTATAGCTTCTTACAGCGCCATGCCCTACGGAACAAAGCACAGTCAGCCAAAGCCTCTCGAAAACTAGATCTGGCAAAAACCCACCCCATTAACCATGATACACTGTCCGTTCACCCACCCCGCCTCGTCCCGCGCCAGGAACGCGACGAGCGGCGCGATGTCCTCGGCGACGGGGATCTGCCTCTGCGGGAACTGGCTCGTGACGTACTCGACGAACGCGGCGCTCGTGCAGTCTTCGCGGAAGAATTCGGTGTCGGTCGCGCCGGGGGAGACGGCGTTCACAGTGATGCCCCTCCGGCCGAGGTCTTTCGCGAGGACGCGCACGAGCTGTTCGGCCGCGCCCTTCGAGGCGGTGTAGACGAGGTACTCGGGCGTGACGGCGGAGGTCTTCGTCGTGTTGGACGTGACGAAGACGACGCGGCCGCCTGTGCGGTGCGGCAGCGACGTCCGAGTAGATCAGCACGGCAGTCTGGCCCCGAAGTTAATGGACAATAGGCTTACCCTTCGGAAGGTGTCGTGCAGCGGCCTGGGTCACAAAGAGCGGTGTCCGCACGTTGACGCTGAACTGCGTGTCGAAGTCCGCCGTGCCGACCGCGTCGAGCTCACCCGTCGTCTTGAACGCCGCGTTGTGCACGAGGATGTCGAGTCTCCCGAGTGACTTGACGGTGTCCTCGACGAGGCGGACGCCCTCCTCGACCGAGGACAGGTCCGCCTGAATCGCCACGGCGCGCCCGTGGGCCTCGTTGTTGATGTCCGCGACGACCTGCCCGGCTGCGGCCTCGCTGCCGTTGTAGTTGACGACAACATGTGCGCCATCAGTTGCAAGCCGGCGGGCGATGGCAGCCCCGATGCCGCGGGACGAGCCTGTGACAATGGCGACTTTTCCTGAGAGTGGGAGTGACATGGCGTGAATACGGTAGACGGTACTTACTGACAATGAGGAAGAGTTATATATGTGTGCTTGCTCTAACGTTGCTCGTTGTGCAGAAACAGAACTAGGCCTAGGAGCGTCAAACTGTGTGCATGTCAGTGCCGAGGGCATACGCGTTGCATACACGACAGAGCCGGAGAAGCACGTAAAAAAGGTTTGGCTTACGATATTGTGGATGAGCCGTTTTCGAAGATCCAAAGTTGAATGCACATCAGGAACCTCGGGACCCTGAGGCCGTTTCCCGATCGGCATATTTGTAAGCTCGCCGGGGCCTACGGCCTGAGAACCGCCGTGAAAAAAACCAGCTATGGCACTGCACTTCGTATTTTTGGAAAAGAATTCAACATACGCATGCTTTCCTGAGACACTCAGGGCAATCTCGAGGGCTTCTTATACTCGAAGGAGCAATATAACCACGAAGCTAAGTCTTGCGTGTTACCATCGCGACATACAAACCTGACACTCACCTGGTGACTCTCTACTTGTCAGTGCGTCACTATGCAAAATACGCTGCAGTAGAAAGCTGATAATAAGCGACGCATTGATATAAGGCCAGCTGCCAACGGCCTGCAGGTATGTACTCTTATGAGCACGAGATATTAGGGAGGCTTCCTCATAGCGCAATCTCCTTTTGAACAGGCAGACGGTGCTTGTAAGCTCATTCAGATTGTCTTGATGCTGTGCTCGTGGCACGTCGACCGCATACGCCGATAGCACTGAAAATATGAACAACGGCGGAGCTATTGCTAAGCCCACTTGAGAGTGAACATGATTGCCAAAAGCGAGCTTGCGATTGGATCTGAGCGACTTACGTTCGGCGAACAACGGAACTCCGCTGATGGGCGACAGTATCGTGGCGTGGGAACGCTCCACACTGCGGAAATCACTGGCCCAGAGGCTCGTGCTGGCGACGCACGACTAGCCCCTGCTCGATCTCGGATAGTCTAGTGCTGCAACGGCCTGCAGCGCAGAGAACCTGTCTATCTCCCCAGACCCCGTCCAGAGCTGGGTTCAAAGTTCACACACCCACCGTCGCGTGATAGCCTCCTGTCCCGCCAATAAAGCACGTGCCGCACGAAGTGCTAACCCCCTCCCTCGCCCCACTTGCATCTGCACTCTACCTACCCCAGTCACCAGCAAGGACCCAGCATGTCTGTCCCGCCGCCCGCGTCGCAGTCCTACGTCCCGCCGTCCAACGAGAAACAGGCGCTGCACGCCGCGGGCGTCGCGCGCCCGTACACGCCCGGCGGGACGCGCACCCCCATCGTCGACGAGGAGACCATCCTCTGGGACGTCGACCGCGTCCCGCCGGGAGAGCGCGACGGCTCGTTCGTCGCCGTCTCCCTCACCGTCCTCGTCCTCGTCGCCGTGTCGCTCGCTGCGTTCTGGTGCGTCCCTCGGCTTGTGCAGATCCGACCCCGGGTGTGCGCTGACGGTCTCTTGCGTCGTGTGTGCGCATGTATGTGTGCATGTGTTTCTAGGCTCCTGGGCAAGTGTCCCTCGGCGAACTTCTGAGCGTCTCCCCCTTTGGTCTGTTATCAGGTACGTCTGTCGTGCATCATCCCCCGCCCTTTGCTTCTGCTATGCATGATTACCACAAAAGAGATTTACGCGACTGTGCACGTATATTGTGCATAGGCATGAGCAAATGACGTTTTCCAGATGACCTCTGCATCCCTACTTTCTTGTAACTTCCGCGTCCGCGTTTGCAAAGCGATGAGGAAAGCTGACTAGCTCGCAGGTCGCCGCTCGCGCATATATCAAACGTTTCCGCTCTATCACCCCGAAGATCTGACCATTCACCCTCTTGCCACGCCCCCCTAGCTCGAACAGCTTTTTCATCGTGCTCTCACCTCAGTAGGTGTCTCCGCTATTCTGTCAACCACTGCATGCATCCACCATGTTCGCATGCGTTCTTTCATAACGCGCGGGTCTTGCCCTCCAGCACCCGCAACGCCACTCGCTGACCTCTCCCGCAGAATCTTGTGCTACGACCAGAAACTATACGCTGACGTCCACTAATGCCAACGCTTCTTCTAACGACACACGCCAACGAGAGCAAACTAGGGGGGGCTACACTATTATTCCAAGAAACCGATGCACATCCGGGAATTTCGACTACACTAGTTTGTAACAAATAATAGTAGTATATAGCGCAACCGATCCCAGTACAACTTAGCGTGCTGCGAAACAACAATAAATAAACGAAGCGAGCGTTCAGACGGCCGCCGGAGAGAGGGGTGTTCAGTCAGTGAAGGTCGTCTACAGAAGTCGGAGAAAACATAAGGACGTAAAAGCATCGCCGGGCATCGGAGGAGTCGTAGCAAAAGGCGCCATGGCCAGGGCTATGTCGCGCCCTGGACGGGATCCGTGTCCGCATAGTTCGGGCCTCTGCCCTCGGGGCGCGGCAGCGGCGGGGCCTGGGTGCCCGTCGGCGAGCCGAGGAGAGGCTGCTTGTCCAGGTTTTCGGGGTTGTCGAAGCGCTTGCGCAGCGCGCGGACCATCTTGGTCATCCTGTGTCCCGCGGGAAGGGAATAAGAGAAGGAGGAGAAAGAGAAGAAGAAAAGCTGTGAGCAGCGCATCGCGACAGGCGGCCAATGAGGTATGAGACGCACCAGATGAGGTTGAGTAGCGTCAGCGTCGCGTGGCCGAGCAGGAAGGTCGTCCAGAAGACGGGCGGCATGGCCGCGCGGACCGGGCGCGTGAACATGACGCGCCAGAAGGTGATGCTCTGTGTGCGCGAGGTGAGGTGGTCAGTCTAGGCATCGTCCCTCTCGGCGGAAGCTGGGCGAGACGCACGATGTGCCATCCGTACACGATGCGGGCTAAGAAGAAGGTCGAGAGAAGAAGGATGCCGTTCACGAGCTGGAGCGTGCTTCCCGTGCGGCCGGTCTTATCAAGGAACCTAACACCGTGTCAGCGCGGACAATCCTCCGGTCTGGCCCTGAAGGAAGCGTACCAGTGGATGTTCAAGAATGGCGTGCTTCTGCAATAGAACTCAGAAATGGATGAAAGCGGCCAGCAGACGTAATAGACACGCACAGCTCCCACAACAAGAAGCGGCACGAGAAGTATTCAAGGTATGGTTTCTTCACAAGAAAAACGAACATGAGTAGAAGTCACCATAAGACAAAACAGACTTACGAAGACCAGACTATACATGACCACACATGCTAGGCCGTGCAATACGAAGCCGAGGTCTGTGAAAGTCACAAGCGCATCAATGGTATCCCACAGGAAGTATCTGTAAGGAGTACGTAAGCGGGTCAGCAAGGTTGGCGAACGTGCAGCAGGAAGGCCACTCGGGTGGGAACAATAACAAAGCGGTGAGAACATGTGGGAAAGCGGCGGTTTTTACGCGAGTGCACGAGCGATGTCACGCAGATCAGGACAAGGCGGGCTAGCTTGCGGACAAGGAAAGGCAAGCTCACGAAAGGGACGTCGACTCACCCGACAGCGACGGAATTCGCGACCTCTGCAGTTCTATGCCACCCAAACACCTTGTCCGCAATTAGGGCGGGCTCGTTGAAAGCGCGAAGTGCGAGTGCCATGACAGCGACGGCATGCACGAGCGAGACGACGTGTATGTTCCTGCAACCACCAAAGAGGTCCCACCGGGAGTTTCACGATCCAAACACACGCCATCGGCGAGCACAGAGAGAGAGCGAGAGAGACAAGCACAGCCATGAGCACCCTTCCGCTCGCACCACAGATAAAACGGCCGTGCACGCACCAGTTATTCCTCGCCCGCCGGTTCTTCAGCTTCCCGTAGCTCTCCGGCGCAAGCCACCGGCTGAGCAGAGGCGCGACGCCGACGTGGATGGCGGTGAAGCCGAGCGCGCTGTACGCAACCAGCGGGAAGTTCGGCGGGAGGTGCGGCAGATCGAGCGCGCGCGCGAGCGGCAGCGCGAGCCGCTGCAGGAAGGCGTCCACGCCGGCGAGTGCGGCGCCCGCCGCTGCGTGCGCGGAGGACATCGTGTGATCTCGTGCGTGTGCCTCGAATCAGAGCGTGTGCGGCGTTTCGTCGGTCGTGTGCGTGCGTGTGTCAGTACGCGCGCGGAGGGGGCTTGTCGTGCGACTTGCGGGAAACGGTGCGCGCGGGGTAGCCGCGAGAGCTGTTCACGCCGTGGAGGGAGTGGTGGTGGTGGAGGAGAGGGAAGAAATGCGTCTGCCCAGCTGCGCGCGCCGGCCCACCTGGAGGTTACGAGAAGCTGTGTACGAGGCTCGTATGACTGGGAAAAGGATCCGTTGCGGAAGTCGCCGGGAGGCTTGCGACGCGCAAGACAAAACGCATCGCACCTGATACGTGTAGGGGGCAGCGCGCACGAAACGGAGGTATTTGGGTTTTGTGAGGTGGTTGCAGGAGAGAGAAAGGCTCGATACTGGCTCGATGGATATGCCAAGATCTAGATGTGCATTCCAACTGTGGAGTCGACCTCGGGTCGGTTATTACATTACTTATTATTCCACGCATGTAATGTATGCCTCCGTATACCTCCGCAAGGAGATTCCATGCATCTCCATAAGCACTGCCTGACGGCAGATATGCATCGCTCAGACCGCTAGCACTCGGAGAGGCTGTAATACTCAAGCAGCGACTGCAAAACACGAATGAATGCCCTGACAGCAGCGCCAAAGAGGAGTCAAACATCAAGAAACCTTCGGTATACATGTATGCATATGCTTTTGGTCAATGTTCCGGTACATGCACAACACAAACTGCAGAAGCACCTCTGCGCGAAATTTAGTGGAATAAAATAGAAAGCATGCTGATTGCATTGGTGGGATACAGACCTGTGTGTAGCGAGAAACGAGCCGGATGTATAAGATATAGAAAAGCGGGGGAAAAGGGATATCAACAGCGATGAAAAGAAGAAGGGGGGAAAGAAAGCCCTCAATCCATAACCGCAGACCAAGAGAAGAAGTGTATTACACCCGTCGCTCCGCTCCGACCAACCTTCGCCCTCCATGCGTCGGGACACGCACCGAAGCGGATCTACACTCCAAATTTCCCTTGACCTATTCCCAATCTCCTTGCAACCGATGCTTGCGAACGTTTTCAAAAAAACAGATCGAGTTTATGTCCAGACTGGGTGCAACGCCATGGTGGCAGCTTACATCCCATAATGGCGAGCAAAGGTGGATGGGACGGTAGGCGGAGTTGACGAAAGAGGCCGGCGTCGATGAGGCGGTGACAACAATAAAGGAGCGGCTGATGTAAAGCAGTAAAAGCACGATTGAGAAAAGCGGCGAGGATCAAGGGGGCCCGAGCTTGAGCAGTGTGCAGATAGTGTATCAACGGAACAGGACACCGAGGAGACAGCAGGGAAGATGCGGGAAGAAAGAGGAGCGGGAAGGTCGTCGGCAACGTGGGGCAGATGAGGGAGGGAGGGGAGGGGGGATTCACTGTACGGTACAGCAACCGCCTTTCTTCCCTCCTGTCAATGCGTAAGGGTCTTCGTTCTTCGCAACAGGTCCCCATACTGACGGTACCTAGCAAGAGCGTCTATGTCAGCATCATTGCACAGCATGTGAGCGGGGACAAAGAATTCCGCAACGTTGAGGAAAATCTTGAGGATCGAAGGGGGATAGATCGTGAATATGACAAGTCAGGAACTCACCAATGGATCTTTCGTCGTTTTGCAGTATCGGATAAGACTGTGAAATGTACCGGCGTGTGTGAAAAGTGCGACAGCAGCAGCGGAGACCATGGGCAAAGCGGCAGCCAACCATGAGCAGTCCGAAGTAACGATGATAAACAGGTCAAGCATATCGTTAGCGTTGTTGTTTCCACCGATGACAAGCAGTTAACGTACCTTGCACTGGCCTCACTCACTCGTATTCTCGGGCGTGCCAAATCCTCCTTCAGTCTCTGATTGTGCTCCGTCAACCTCCTCAACTTCAGCTCCGACATTGATTGCTTGTGGGGTCGCGAATTCATGATGGGCCACTAGCGGGGTGCCGGTTCCGACCGAGATAATTAGAGGATACGAAGAGTGAGTGCGGGGTCTGCGAGACTTTGAACGAGCGGCTTTGTACACTCCGCTGGCGGTGGCGGTGGAAGATAGGCGAGATGGGCGTTGGGAAGAAATGGAAAGAGCGAGGCGAGGAGAAAGATGGGAAGGCAAGGGTCAAAGCGCTTTAGATCAGGAACGACCAGGGAGAAGCTAGGCACGACATGACACTCACCAGTGTTCACAGAACAGCGTTTGGCACAGCTGGCGACGACGACGACGACAGCGGGGGATGGCGGGGCGGAATAAGTCAACTCTGGCGCTGTCGTTCGATTACCGTGTGTCCTGTGCGAAACAACAGGACGCAGTTTTCCCTCGCTGCGTATGCCAACAGTTCCAAATCAGGACCAGATTTCTGCTTCTGACGCACGAGCGCACTCACAGGAAGAGAAAGCGCAAGCCCAGAAGCAGATAAAGATACAGAGAAGGAAAGGCAAGATGGTGGACGTTGCTGAAACCAGCGGGGAGAGGTCGTTGTCGTCGTCGAGCCGGCGATGCCCAATGTCACCAAACATTGATGCATCAGCGACTATCCACGTGGTGCTCAGTCGGCGAAGCGCCGGACTCGGGTACGGAGTCGTTTTGCGCTCGACATCCGGGTCGATGTCACACTTGTTTGCATCCAGTATCAGAAGATGTAGGATGAAAATCCAGAACATGCCTATCGCCTTCTGCACGATGCTTTCTAACCAAATCTTCCGTTGGATTAGCTGGGTACACAGAAAGAAGACAAAACATAACAGGAAGAAGTGAACGCAGATAAACTCAAGATAACGGGCTGCTACGGTTGGGAGAACGAAAGATCCAATGGCGTGCATGAAATATATGTAACATGAGAAACGGAACGTCTTGTATGTGTCTCCGGAAGAGAAAAAGAAATGTTCCGCAAGTCGCTGAATGAATATGGAAATTTGGCATTAAAATACTGTTGTGCTTGGCGAGCGTGGTGAATGTAAAGAGCGTGAGGAATGCACGCGCAGAGTCGCGGCATGACGGAGGCAATCGGGAGCGGATGTTTCATCGACGGAGACGAGGGTGGGTTGTGGCGACACCTGAACGAGAAGACGAGGCAGAGACGCGAGCGGTGATGATGATGGCAGCACAGCCAGGTTATGTCGCAATGCGCATTCTTTCAGTTCGCGACCTGCCTCGAGCTCCTGGCCGATGTGCAGCGGGCGTGTCTCTCGAGTAACCTCGGAGTTACATGACGGTACAATTGCAGCCCTCTGCTGCTTGTGCTGGTGCGTACGGATCCTCCGCTTTGGACACGGTCCCCCATACAGATGGGATCAGGTAGTCCTTCGTCGTCTTACAGTATGTGATCAAGCTAACGGATGCCCGATTCAGTTCCGTGTCACAGCGAAAGGGTGGGCTGCTCACCTGAGGCTTGCTTCGCTGACCTTGATCCTTGGCCGATTGAGATCCTCCCACAACCGCTGATTATGCTCCTCGAGGCGACGGAGCTTGAGCTCGCTCATGGACTGCTTATGAGGGCGGCCGTTCATATCTGAAAGCTAGTTGGGTTGGATATGGAAGACAAGGAGCCTATGCGGTCCAGGGCGGTAGCAAAGGAACGAGGGTGCGAGACAGATCGCCTGGGCTTGAAATGAACGACGACTGAGAAAGTAAATTCTCAGGTTCTCTGCAAGATACGAAAGCAAGAGCCATAACAACCGCAAGTAATTGCGGATGCAGACCGGTAACAAAGTCCAGTCAGAACAGCGGTCAGCGTGAGCAAGAAAAGTAGCGCACCTGTGAGGATAGCAGAGAACGCGACGAAGGAAAACCGCGAAAAAAAGAGAGCGGGGGTGTGGGGTGTCGAAGGGAGAATGAACAGACCCACTTTCAGAGGGGTGCAGATCCGTCGCGCGCGGCGCTCGGCCATCAGCGACTAAGGTTCAAACGAACCGATCCGCCCTCTAGACGCCCTTTGCTCGTTACTCTTGATTCGTCAGGACTGTATACTCCTCCTCCGCCACAGCTCAAAGAGATGGTCAGGCAGCTCTCACAGCGCGTCGCCGCGCACAGTCCGAAGCTACACAAGCTGGCGCGAGCGAGTAAGTGTTCTTGAGGTGTGCGCATACAGCTATCCAAGTCGCTCACCCGCGCACACACTAGACCGCATCGCGCCGGCGCCCAAGTCCCCGCTAGCCTCCAAGGGCTTCCATGCGAAACATGCACGGTTCTTGTCGAGCGGCCAGCCGGGTCCGTTTGTGAATCGGTACCAGAAGAGCAAGCGGCCGGTCCTCCCCACGATCCTAGAAGAAGACGAAGAAGAAGAAATTCCCGTACGCCCCAAACGCGACCTGCGCAGAGAGCTCGACGCGCTAGAGGTGCAGGCCGACGACGACGAAGATGGAATGGATTGGGATGAAGAGAAAACACTAGTCGCTCTGTTGCAAGATGAGTGAGTCAGACTGACCCCTATCAACCTGGATATATGCGCCTTGATGCAGGCTTGATCTTCTGGGTCCCAGTCTAGGATCAGTTGAATGGGAATTTGGTATGCTCACTATTGACTTAGTCGCTCAGAAGTCTCCGACTCTGAAGAGCTCGTCGCGCTCGCGGACAAGCTGAAGGCTCCGATGTCCGCACAGGCCCAGCAGCTGAAGCGATACATGGCAGAGACTATTGTTCCTGCCGTCCAACGTGTGAAGACCGTGCACGACAAGCTTGAAGAGGAAGGTCAGTGGCCAATGCTTGCTTTCAATTGTGGCTTAACCCGTAGACGTACCCGAATTGCAGCCGACATGGCCTACGGGACAGGCCTCCTCGCATTCAACGAGGTCTGCAAGCGAGTGGAGACCATGGCCCTGCAAACGGAGGACGAGATTCGTACGGAGTACATCGATTCCAAGGTCCCTTCGCATATCTCGTGTTGAATGCTCTGCACTGAGGTGTCACTCACGACACAGAAACTTGTTGATTCTCTGACCGCCCAGCTAACCGAAGCCTATCGTGAACGGGAGGCCCTGTGGTCGCAGTTCGAAGATGACTTAGCAGCTTGCGGTACATCTTGAAGCTTCTTGATACTTTGCCTTTCTTGCTGAGCTGCTCCTGGTCTTGGATCGTACACAGCCAACCGTGCGAGAGCATCCATCGAGGCGCTTCCTGGCGATGTCGAAGCGACTATCGCCAAGCTTGAGAAGAAATCGAAAGATATGGAGAAGAATGCGAACAGCTCGACCTCGAAGCAGAAGATTCTGAAGGACCTGCTGGCCCATCTCTAGACGACACTCTGCGGACACTGCATATCATCAAAGCTCTAAGCATTGCTCTCGTGTAACTTTTGACAGCTCGCGCTCTCAGTTTACGACCTGGAAGGTTTCGTGATACCCACTCTCTTGCCCTCTGTAATTGTAGTGCACTCGCCGAGGTGTTTTGGAATGCATATCCGGTTTCGTCATAAACGTGTATTCACTCCGCGAGGCGACATCATAGCTTTCGTACATGCATGAGGACTGGAGTACTCCAAATGTACTCCATGCGCTGAGGAAGTCCGCAAGTGTATTGCAGGTAAGTCAACATAAGTTTTCTGATTGTTGTTTGGTGTATGCAATATCGCCATCTATGAGCGCAAGATCTCCATCCCAAGGCGTGATACTTCCAGTGATTTTATGTACATCCTCGATAGATCACGCAGTCTTGTTTAGAACTCTGCTGTACATCGAATGGCAAATGTGAAAACTATTTATGCAATTGTCTGCTCGGGGTAGAGGACGTCTATAGAGTGCCCAGGAAATTGCGGACGCTGCCCTCCGGCATGGCCCCTATGAACTTGCTCACGGGCTTACCGTCTTCGAAAGCGATGACAGTGGGGAGCGACGAGATCTGCTCATAGATACGTCAACTGCAGAACCACAAATGGGACGGGGGAGGCGTACCTGGTATTCCTGAGCCAGGGCCGTGTGCTTGTCCGTGTCTACTGTCACGAGGTCAAGGGCCTTACCGCTGCCCGTCTTAACCTTAGGGTCGTCGGTAAGACGCTTCAGGATGGGTGAGATCATCTTGCACGGACCACACCAGCTATGGTAATATTACATCAGCACGTGAGGCCACAGTGCGTAAGTTGTGCGGCGTACTCGGCATAGAAGTCGACGAGTACGACCTTTTCTTTGTTTGCAACGGCCGCCTTGAATGTCTATGATGGATCCGAACAGCAGGAATAGGGCAAAATGCGCGCGTAGCCATGGTAGTAATCATGTGAAAGATGGCATCTGTGTAACTTTGACGTCCGTCTGTACATAGTTTGTGAGGCACCGCACCTCTGGTGTAGCGTCCAGGAAGTGGACCATCCGCGCCGAGGACGCGTGAAACGCCCTGCGGGCTGTGAGAGGCGCATTTCTAGAGATTGCACGGAGGCTTGTTGAGACGAACATGGTCGTCCTGCGGAGGATCTGTCACCCGTCTCCGCAAGAACAAGACAACATCTCCGGCGCTCGCCGGGATTAACTTGAGGCGCCCATACGGCAGCGTCTCCCGCCACAAAGACGCCATCAAAGACAAAGAGTGCGCGTTCTTTACGATGCATCGCCGCTTTGTACCCCAGAGTCTGTGCTTATTGTCTTGTATCCTGTCCCAAACGGTAATAAAAGTGGATATGCCTTTTGTTACTCGCGACCATGCCTCAGGCCTCATGGTGCAGGGCCCAGGGCTACCACGTTGCCTGATATCAGCGGACAATCGTGAGACATTTTGTTTCACCGTAGTCACGGCAACGACTCTGGCGACCATCCAGAGTACAAAAGCCAAGGGCAGCGCACTCTGCAGCCCAGTTTCCGTCACCCTCCTTCTTCCCTCTTCCCCCTTTTCCAGGTCATCTTCCACAGCACCGAGCAGGGTGCGTCTCACTATTGCCACATGCTGTATCGACGCTGACCTTTCATGCTTCCAGGCTCGTTTCGGTTTACTCTTTCGTCAACAGCTAGCTCTGCTCGTTACCCACTGTAGAACTTGAAGTTCGAACCACCGACCACTTCGCCTTGCCCTTCCTATCCAAGCACTACCGATTCACGATGCGCTTCTCCACGATCTTTGCTGCTGCCCTCTCCGTCGGCGTCGTCTACGCTGAGACGATCAACGTCATGGTCGGCGCGAACAGCACGCTCACCTTCACCCCCTCGGAGGTGACTGCCCAGGATGGTGATGTCATTGCCTTCACTTTGTACGCACGCCGGTCCCTCAGAGTTTCCACGCCGCTGACCTCCTCGATGACAGCTTGACGAAAAACCACACCGTCACCCAGTCGTCGTTCGCGGCTCCGTGCACGAACCTCAGTACCGACAGCGTAGACTCTGGCTTCCAGTTCGTTGCCGCTGGCGCCACGACCTTCCCGCAGTTCAGCTTCAACGTGACCAACACCAGCGCGCCCCTGTGGTTCTACTGTCGTCAGACAGGGTGCGTCCACGCTTCTTACTTGCAGTCTAAATGCGCAGAATTGCTGACGTTCAGCGCCGCCACAGTCACTGCGGGATGGGCATGGTCTTCGCTGTGAACCCGACCGTGAACAAGACGTTCGCCGAGTTCCAGTCCGCCGCCATGGCGACCGCCAACTCGACGACGAACTCGACGACGACGACCAACTCCACCGGCACCTCGGGCTCCTCCCCCAGCAGCACGTCAGGTGCCCCAGGCGCGTCGGGCTCTGCCGGTGTGTCGCCCAGCTCATCGGGCTCGGGCAGCTCGCCGTCGGCCACCAACAACGGCGCCATGTCTGTCAAGACTGGCGGCGCGCTCCTGCTGTCGGGCGTCGGCCTCGTCGCGGGCCTGCTTCTCTAAGATCGTGCGCTCGGATTTTTGGACTTCTTTGGCTTTGCGTTTCTGTCATCCTCCCGGTTTCGATGCAGTGCTGTGCATGCATATATGCTTTGCTAGCGTACCTTTCGTTTGTTGTCGACTAAGACCGTGTCGTTGTGGAATCAAGTACCCTTGACCTGGGACATCATGGTGTGAAGGGTTGGATGGGCCGTCTGGTGTTGCCATCCCGACCAGCTTCGCCCGTTGCGACAAGTACTCGACCAGCTCCCATGAGCTCTAGACAAGCGAAGACAACTAATAAAAATGACTAAACTGCATAGGCTGTGACACGAAAAGCGACAGTATTAACGCAACATCCAAACTCCAACTCGAAACGTCCGACCAAAACTACTCCATTCACTCCATGTCCGTATCATCCGCCTCAGGCAGCGGTATCGGCTCAGGCCTCGGCAGCGGCGAGTGCGGCCTGCTGCCCGGCCGACTGCCCGGTCGACTGCCCGGGAGCGGTATCGACGGCGAGCGCGGCGGCGAGTACGGCGCAACAGCCGGCGAGTGCGGCGGGATGTCGTTGCCCGCGGTGCCGTCCATGTCCTGCGGCTCCTCGACGAGGCCGTTCGGCGTCGGCGACAGGAAGGTGCGCGAGGCCGAGCCGTTCTCGGACGTGTACAGCGCGGAGCCGAGGCCGTTCGGCTGCTGCTGCTGCGACGGCGACGGCGGCGCGGGCGAGAGGGCGCGAGGCTCGGGCGAGGGGCTCGGGGCGTTCAGTGCCTTCTCGCTCTCGCTGGTTGGGGTGGCCGTCCCTGGCGTGGGCTGAGGCTGTGGCGCTGGAGATAACGTGGGAGTCGCGGCTTTGGTCTTGAGGCCGTCCATTCTGCTGAACATGGTCGCGAAGCGGGAGGCTGCTGCCGGGCGGGACTGATCCGACACGTTGCTGATCGAAGGCGTCCCAGGCGTCGGCGGTGCCGGTGATGTCGGCGCTGGCGGGGCAACTCGCTTCTCATTGACGACGATCTCCAGCATCGCCGTGGGTGCGCGAACATTCTTGAGACCAGAGAGCTTCTCGTGCAGATACTTGGCGTCTGCGAGTAACCTGCAGAAGGCGTGAGAAAGGGTAAATTCGATGTTAACAAGACTAACCTCTCTTTTGCCTCCTGAGACGGCAGATCGATGGCCGCATACTCTTCCGACAGTCGATGGTTGATTGCAGCGAACACTTGAGTCATGACATACTAAATCGACGTCGCGCTGTGAGACATCATGCTTCTCATTCATGCGGAGACGACGCACCTCAACCACTGACACAGCCAGGTACCTTGACAACACTTTATGCAACGTGACGGTCTCTTTCACTAGCAACTCCATGTAGTCGTTGATGCCGCCATCTTCTTTCGGTACGTCCCACTTGACAGTCTGCAGGGTCCGTATATGCGCACTGAGTCGGTCGCTCATAATTGCAATGAGCTTCGCATGGATCTCGTTTTGGTGCTCTTGGTAGTCCTAAGGCGTAGAAACGGGTCAGTCGATCAGTACATTACAGTCAAAAAGGGGATATCAGCGTACCCGCTTCAGCTTATCGAACTCAACCAACATGACGGCTTGTTTCTGGCTAAGGTGGCGCCGGAAGGTCTCTCTCACATAGGGTATAAGTGATATCATGATCGAGAGGCTCTGCGATGCCAAGGCTGGGGAACGATGAGTACACAATTTGCGCGTAACATGACATCGACTCACCCAAATGTTTTGCGGTGATGTTTTTTAAACCAGCACTGCGCATAGCACCCGCACCAAGGACGACCTGACATGTCCGCGAGTTGAACGCCTTCAGCAGCTCGATCGTCCGTGACACGCTGTCGGTCGTAAGGGTCTCGAGGTTGATAATGACCTTGAGATAATCTGCGAGGAGCACAAGCACCTCAAGCGTAGCCGAGACGGCGAAGAAGTGCCGTCCTTCGATGTGCAGATGCTTACCCGGAGAGTGTGACGCAGAGCGCCGCTTCGCGGACGGCGAGCTAGAGGGATTGGGCGTGAGGTGCAACGGCATTTGGAGTGGAACTATTGGCGAGGGAACGGGGGAAGACGGTTGCATCAAGCCACCATTAGTACTAAGCGTCGGCGACTTGGGTTGGAGTAGTGGTGAGGTTGGCTCTGGCTCTGTTCCCTCCGGTCGTGGTGGCGGGTCGAACATAAACTCGACGGGGTCACGGATGGAGGCATCTACGATGAGGTTCACAATGTTCTGCACGGTCGGTGGGACCTCGGCTGGGCTCCACTGCTCGTCTTCTACTAGCTTCGAAGAGGCGTTCAGACGTGATTGATGGAAGCTTTGGAGGAAGACTTTCGACTGTAGCCAAACCACGTTAGCCGTGCTAAGTGATGTCAAATACGAGACACTTACCTGCCCAACGATGGCACCCCTCAAGCCGACGATCATTCGTCGACTCAGCACTTCGCTTCGCACGACGAAGTCCCATGTCTTGTTGAACAGCTCGTAGAACTCCCAGAGGTCGAGTTTGGCGTGCTCTTCTGAACGCACGGTGAGCACCCGTGCAGCGCAAGCATTTGCAAGCTCTGCAGCAGTGGACAGTGTTTCTTGAAGCACCGGCGTCAGCGCAGTCGACTGAGAATATGACGCAGGCGTAGGGGTAGAAGGCGAGCGAGGGGTGGGTCGGCTGCTATAAAGCAGAGCTGAGCACATCATAGTAAGTGCCAGTAAGGGGGACCTACGCCTGAAGGACAGAGTTCACAATTTCGAAGATGACTTCGTTCTGGGCCTGAATGCCTTCGATACTGCCCAAGAAGGCTCTGTACATTGTCTGGGCGTGCCCTAAAAATATCGAATGGTCCAAGGCACGGATAGCTTTGACGGGTTCTGTGCTGCATAGACATAGCAAACGAGGCAGCCACGCGACCAACGATCGAGACGAGAGAGATGTATATATGAGTGCATACAATCAATGATACCTGCGCGGAGACAAACGTACGATGGAGCTGAAGCCAGGTCTGTCTCATCTCCGAGGTCGAGAATCGGTACGTTCTGTACAAAACGAAAATAATTTCAGTCGCCATTCCAAGGTATCTAGCCGCTAGAATATAAGCGGGACAATCATTCTTCTTACCTGATGCAAGATGCTGCGAACCTCTGCGCACGCGACTTCGCGCCATTGCCTGAGGGCATCTTGTACAGCACCTGTCCTTGCAAGCGCATGCAGCAGAGGCCGTATTTGGTCCCCGAATGACATCTGCAGCTCTCTTTGCTTCAAATCATCCTTGACTATTTGGTCAATGCGATCCAGAAGATCAATACGAAGAACAGAGACCAGCTCCGTTGACAATGAGGTAGCGATTTGAGATGTAAGGGCCTGCAGTTGTGACGGAAGGGCCGAGAATGCGGATAGAGAAGATAGCGGGATAGATAGCGACGGGCGTGCTGTGGTTACAGACGACGGTTCTGAGAGCTTTTGCAACTGTTTCTGCGTTGCGAGGGGTGACTGGGACAGTGGTTCGCGCGGAGAATGCGGTTCCGATGCGTTTGATACCTCAGTCTCGTCTTCTTGGACGGTTGGCAGTGATGAGCTCCTGCTACCTGTATCCTTCTTTCCCACATGAGCCGTTGGCGTCTGCGATTCGTCCTCGCTGTCCCATAGCCTTTCCAACTCCTCCACGACGTCCAGCGCCTCGCCCCACTGGCCAGCATTGACAAGCCCCTTCGCGATGCCCACCATCTCCTGCACTGCAGCAACTTCCCCCAGTGCTTGCCTCACCTTTCCCAGATTCCGCTTTCTCTCCTCCAACACCACCACACCGAGACCCTTCTTCGCTGTGCCATCGTCAACTTGTTTCAGCAGACCGCGCAACGAAGATATCCGGGTCAGACATCCAGCACTTTCGCTTTGGAGGTCCTGCAAATTTGAGAGAGCGGCAAAGAAGCTGTGCGACCGTATGCTAATTTCGCGTATGAGATGTTGCTCAATCGTGTCGAGGTACGTGGGCAGTGTGTCTAGCGGAGGTTGGTAGGTCGTCGGGTCGAGTGTCTCAGAGAGCGTGGAGAATGTTGAGGTGGATGGGTCTTGTTGAAGCACAGTAGCGAACGTCCGGGGGTCACCTAGATTGAACTCCTTGTCGAAGTATACTGGGGATACCGAGTCCAGCAGTGGTAGCGCTTTGGCCTGCCCTGGGCGAGGTGTCCTGGGCTCATCCGTATCTTGCGGAGGGGCGCTGCTCGCCTCACCGATGCGCGCAATGCCTTCCCGCCCTTGCTCTGCGTTCCGGACAAAGTTGTCCCACTCTGGCGCGACAGACTTCAGATACGCGTCGAAGTCCTTTCGCCGCACTCTGGGAAGGTCTGCAGGCGGTACTGCGGGAAGAGCGGAGTGAGCCTTTGGAGGTGCCTGCTTCTTATGAGGGTTGTTCAGGACAGTGGATATGGCTGCATGACAGACGCGATAGATGGCTGCGCATCAGTGGATTGCGGTCATCGGAACGTTGCTGCGACGCACCATGGAACCCATGTACCGAGCTCGTCCAATCCGCACCCACACCACCAACATTGGATATCCCAGCCAACGCGAGATTTGCGCCAGACGGCGTATGAACCTCTCCGTATGGACCCACCATGGGACCTAAACCAAGGTAATCACCTCCGCGTCCTTCCGTCGACTCGGAGACACTACCGGGTCCTCGCTTGTAAGCCTCATCCCACGTGAATCTGAACGAACTCGTAACTGCATTCGGAAGAGCAGGCAGCTCGCCAACAGGCGAACCAGGCCGGGACGAGCTGGAAGCGTAGTCGGACATGGGACAAGCAGGACGGTGAGACGAATGTGGTCGCGCGGGAAATTACAGATGTTTCTGCGTCATGCAATTGAGGCTCTTGAGTACACAGAAAGAGCTAAGTCAGTGCTTGGTGGTATATGTCCGTTCAGCGGAGCGGACGAGCTCAAGTTATATAATGAGCGTCTCCGCTGGCTGTATCGCATTATGCCGTACTTCTTGCTTATTTGTTCAGTGATTTCGTGAGAAGAAAAATAAGCGTGATGACACAATGGATGCCTTTCCACAGCCGTCTAATACAGAGCTTTGTAGACTAGTCAGAATAAATCGGACACGGCATCACGGCAGATCTTACTTACCACTGTCTCGGTCTAAACAGTTGCGTTTACAGACTCGAAATCTGGAAGGCACGAGAGAAATTTGGAACTTTTTTATCGCAAAAAATATGCCAAAACAGCTTGAAAAAATAAGTAAGAAAATGTTGTATTTTTCGCTCGGCAATCCGGCAGCCGAGCCGATTGTCCACCAGGCCATTTATCAAAGCGCCCGGGGAGGCGGCACCCGGACGATAATAGGCTCGGCTGCCAAATTGCCGAGTTGCCGGACTGCCGGATACCGAGCGAAAAATACAACATTTTCTTACTTATTTTTTCAAGCTGTTTTGGCATATTTTTTGCGATAAAAAAGTTCCAAATTTCTCTCGTGAGGGGGGTCAGACCCCCCTTACAGACCAGATTCTACGTTTATAGACGTGATTTCAAACTCCGCATGCGTCGTTGCACTTGCTCCCCCACTTACGCCGCCCTCCGTCTTGCTAGATGTGTACAGTGATATTATAAATGGAACATATGGTATTGCCTGTCTGGCCTTCGGGTGAAATCGGGACCGAGGTAGGTATGTGGTGAGCTCGTCGACGTTCAATGTATACGGCGCGATTGGCCGATGACCAAGAGTGATGCTGCCCCAAAAACGGTCCCTTGGAGCACCTCATTGGCAGCAGATTTGTGCTCATCTTCCAACTGCTACCAGAGCAGTGCTAAGTTAGGGTCTATCAGCGATACACGGAGCGAACGCGTCCACTCGAGTGTGTCAGCCCGCAGTCGCACTCTCGAACTCCGCTTATGAAGCGAAATATTCTGTTTCTTCGCTCTTGGTTGCTGTGGTTTTATAGATTGGTACCATTAGACCCTAGACTGTAGTTTACACTCCACACTATATTCTGGAATCTGAAAAAACCCTGTGGAAAGGCATCCAATAATGCTATTGCGATACAAAAGGTTCACTCAAGTCTCACTCACTCCTGCTAGATGCATGACAAAAAATCCAAAAGAAACCCCCAAAAGGCACTACCAGGGTTCGAACCTGGGTTTCAGGAAGATAATAACTATCAAAATCCTGAGTGATAACCCCTACACTATAGTGCCTCTAGATTTTTGATCCTAAGTTTTCTGATAATAAGAAGCATTATAATAGCACTACAAATGAACTTCCCAACCGCCCTCATCTTGCCCAAAGTGCTATCTGTACCATAGTCTAGCTTTACTCAGCAAATGATACTACGCACTATAGTTGCGAGGTTCGGCTTGTTGATTACTTGCCCACCCTACGGTCTCTTTCTTTCACATAGATGTCGGCCATGTCACTACGTTGACAGAAACGCAATGACTGAAGCGTTCTCCTACGTTACCTTGCTACGGAGAGCTGTACCTTCAGAATTACTACTCGGAGGACTTTGTGTAATATTGTGGCGGCCATGTGGCGGCAGAGGACAGCTCGGCCCGTGAGTCTGCACTTTAAGTTCTTCTAAATCCACATACCCACGAGGCAATGTAAGCACCGCCTGCCCCGTGTAATGTGCCCACCATCTCATTGCCCCTTGGGCTGCGACAGCGATCACCACCGACTTGTGCTCGAAACTCCCCTCTCTCCACAGCCTGAAGGTTGTTTCGGACCACTCGACTAGCACCTACAGGCTCACAAGATCCGCATCTATACTACTTGGAACCACTTTCCATGCCTAAGATCATATCGAGAATTCGAAAATATCGTGCGTATTATTATTGACCTCAGATCCCGGAAAACGGCAGCGAGCGCATTTCCCCCTCCTGAACTGTGTAGGCTCATTTTTGCGGTCAGGCTCCTGGCTTTCGAACTTTCTACAACGCCTGAAGATCTCAAAGAGAAAGAGGAAACCCGGAGGGCTTCCCACCCCACTGACTCCGGTGTCGTCAGTCCACTTTGACGACACTGCAAAGGGTGGGTTGTATTCACTCTAGTAGATTGCATGGCTAGTTAATGCTCATGCCATTTCTTCAGACAAGAAACCTGTGCCATTTGATGTCTTCCTCCGCTTTTGGGAGCAACTCCCCGGCGAACTGCATAATTACATTCATCTCATCCTGGAGAACTCCGACGACAAGAACACTGCTTCAGCGCTCTCCTTAATCTCGCAAGTCTGGTGCCGACACTTTCGTCCTCGTCTCTTCGCTTTACTTCTGCTGGCAGGTGAAGAGGACTGTCGTATTCTTTTTCGTATAGTGCGGTCCCCGCTATCGGCCTGGCTTAAAGAGCACATCACAGAGCTACGCTTCGATCACCATCATCTTCACGATCATCGGCTCTGGATAGCACTTGTCTCCGTTCTCCCAGCGTGCCGCCGCATTGAGCATAACTTCAAGGACGACCCCGGACGCATATCATACAGCGCGGCTTTGAAGAGCTCGTTACGGAGTATCACTTCCTTGACACTCGTCAACTGCAGCTTCCCGTCGCCCCAGATTTTGCTCCGCATACTGGCGGATATCACCGACCTAGAAGCTGTTACTCTCGTGGACGTAAAATGGCCGGATGACCGGCTCACAACAGCAGCTGGCACTGCGAACAACGTCTGCACGGGCGCTTTCAGTCACGTCCGCTCGGTCACGATGCGTCGCTGCACGAACAACTTGGTAGTGCCCGCTTGGATCCTGGCCGCCGCGAGCACACGACACTCGTTCACCAGGCGTCAACCTGCAGGGCTAGCAGTCCCTGCAGAGACACGGGCCATCATACAGCTCATCCAGGTATTCTTGGGTGACGGGACAATCAGTTCTTCAGAGTTTAATACCAAACAAGCGACCCCAGGTGAGTTTGAATTGTCGCCATACCAGGCTGCCGTACTCATATAATACTCCTAAGATACTTACAGATTTGTTGGTTCTATGTCAGCTGGGCGTTATACTTCAATGGACATCGCATACATCTCAGTTCAGGTCGTCAAGTCTGCACCTTCCGCCAGCGGCATCGAAACCTGGTCCGTCCGCCAAATCGCCCTCGCTGATTCGATTCAAGACGATGGCAAATCGCACCGATATTTCCATTCTCGTGATTGGCCCACGGTCGCTTCTCTTACCCCCGCGTTCCCACGACTACAAGAGTTCCAAGTCCTCTGCGGGGAGGAATATTCGGAAGAGGACTTCCGCGCGCTCTCTGACAAGGTTGCGGGCGCTGCGAACAACCACACGCATCCGCAAGTCGCACTTAGAAATGACCCTAACATGCCAGATGGGAGGTTCTTGCAGCCAAAGCTGTTTGATCGAACCGATGAGCATCTGAAGGCAGCACGAAAGTCAAAGGTACGAGCTGGAAAGCACAGCTACTTGACATCTAGCTAAGCGATCTTTTCGCACAGAGACTGAATGGGCGTCTAGGAATTGTTATACCGCCATATGCTGCCTCAGCACGATTTGACTTGGGCCGCGCGACTTGCCTCGAAGGGACACGTACAGACATCTTGGATAGAATCCACACTTGGGCAACTAATCGGCATGTACCCGATGACGCCGCGAACCTTACTGTCCTACCCGCTGACCATCAGCCCGACATCCTCTGGTTGAACGGCCTGCCTGGCTCCGGCAAGACGGCGATCGCACGGACCGTCGCTTCGCGATGTCACGTAGAAGGCATTCTAGGAGCGAGCTTTTTCTGCTCACGGTTCGATGCCGACTGCAGTAACCCCTCATTGATCTTCACGACCATCGCATACCACCTCGGATTGTTCTTTCCGCCTTTTAGGGACCAAGTCTCGGAAATACTGAAGAAGGATCCCCTGCTGGCGTATTCTGCCATCACTCGCCAGCTCGAGGAGCTGATTATCCGGCCGCTGGCACACCTCCGTAACGACGGCTCGCCCATTCCACCATGCGTTGTGGTGATCGATGCACTGGACGAGTGTCGAGACCTGAACACTACGTCTGCGATCTTGTCTGGTCTGCTGAAGCATGCAAACGAACTCTATCCCCTCCGGTTCTTTATCACCAGCCGTCCTGAGTACCATCTTGTCGCCAGCTTCGATGCCCCCACCTATCGCAACGCCACTAGTCGGCTATTGCTTCATGAGGTTGGATTAGAGGTTGCCGCCCCGGACATCAAGCTGTACTTTACCGCGTCTCTATCAGATATTAGAGTGCGCTTCGGGCTGCCAAGGTCTTGGCCCGATGAGGCGGACGTTGAGATCCTGGTCCGGATGGCGAACGGCTTGTTCGTCTTTGCCACTACTGTCATCGAGTTCATTGAAGACCCGGCATATAATGATCCTGCTGGGCAGCTCAAGAGACTCGCGTCCACCGCGGTATCAGCTGGCTCCCACAGGCTGCTCGATACACTATACCTGCAGGTGCTTGAGACCGCCTTCCCTGAAATATCGGATGACCTGTCGGTCCGGCTCAAGTCCGTCCTAGGTTCCATTGTCATCATCCAAGATCACCTTCCTGTTGCTGGCCTCTCGTGTTTAGTCGGGCTCACTGCTGGCGCAGTATACGACTCCCTCATCGGTCTCCACTCTGTCCTCGTCGTACCAGAGTCTGAGACGTCTACGTCAGCTATCCGCATAATTCACCCGTCCTTCGCCGATTTCTTGGTCGATTCAGACCGCTGCACGAATGGATCATTTGCCATTAATTCGCGGCAACAGCACACGGACCTACTTCGCGGGTGTCTTAATACCCTGCGAGAGTTGAAGCGAGACATCTGCAATGTTCGGGACCCCTCCCTGCTCAACACCGAAATTCCGAACCTGCTCGATCAAATAGAGAAGGCGATCCCGGCGCACCTGCGGTACGCCTGTCGGCACTGGTACACTCATCTGATGAACGGAGAGCTCTTGGACGAAATTTTGGACGCACTTCTGGAGTTTGTGCAGAAGCAATTGCCGTACTGGGTCGAAGCCTGCAGCGTGCTCGGAGTGCTAAGGGAAGCTATCTCGGGCTTAAGCGAGTCTCGGCGCAAGCTTACGGTGAGTGCAGTTTACTCTCAGTGATACCTCCTGTGTCTAAAGATTTGGAGTAGGACTTGAATGACGACCGAGCTCGGAACATTGTAGCTCTGTTGAACGACTGCGAACGGCTCATCATCGGCTACTTCCCTGCGCTCAGCGCTGCAGCGCTGCAGCTGTACCATTCGGTATGGCCACTCATTCCGAGGAAGACAGTACTTGCGCAGACCTACGCGAACGAATGTTCCGTATCGAGCTCCGTCGAAGTTTTCGGGAACATGACAGACCGTTGGGACGCGTACTTTGGCATAGTCACCGCACATGAAGGCAGACGGGTCAACGCCGTCGACTTTTCCCCCGACGGCAGAGCGATCGTCTCTTCAGGCAATGACAGCAAGATACGCATTTGGGACGTGCCTACCTGCACCCTGCTTCTCGTCCTCTACAGTCATTCCGAATCCATTCTCTCTGTCAAGTACTCTCCGGACGGCGCTCGCATTGTTTCTGCTGCTGGTGACTGCACGGTCAAGATCTGGGACTCAATGTCTGGCATGCTTCTCTTCACCCTGGAAGGGCACACGAAATCGGTCCGCTGCGCAGTCTTTACGCCTGACGGGAGGCGTATCATTTCTGGCTCCAACGACCATTCCATCAAGCTCTGGGATGCCGAGTCAGGAGCCTGTTTGGTGACCTTAACTAAGCACCAAGGCTGGGTCACATCCATTGCTGTGTCTCCGAATGGTCTGTGGATGGTGTCGGGCGCAGATGACTCGGTCTGCCTGTGGACCCTGGAGGCGCCGTACACTCGTCGAATCTTATTGGAGCGGGGAGCCGAGGGATTGTCCTATTCTGTTGCAGTCACACCAGACAGCTCCAAAGTTCTGACCACCACAAGGGATGGAAACTCAGGGCAGCTGGCCGTCTGGGATGTCAAGACCGCCGAACACTGTAACCTCCAGCCGGCAGGCCGGCCGTCCCTGTCCATCTCCAGTCCCAGTTTTCTCACGGCCGGAGACAAGTTTGCATGCGGATCGGGGAACTCTATCCTCGTCTTAGACCTCGCAAGTGGCGAGGTTCGACAAGTATTCACCGGTCACACCGACGATGTCACCTGTATCGCTTATAATCGAGATGGGACTTGCATCGCGTCTGGCTCGTTGGATGGCACTGTCCGACTGTGGGATACGACGCAAGATGCAATGGACACGCCGCGACCCGAAAATGTCATCGAGTCATTTGATCCATCCAGGGAGGACTGCCGCTTGGCCGTCTTCTCTCATGACAAAAGCCGTGCGCTGTTGATACGCGATGACGAATCCATCGAGGTGGACAAGACGGATACGTGGGACAGGGCATACGAACTACTGCGCTTACCCTCGGGGTGTGAGCATCATGCAGCGTTCTCGCCGGACGACGGGGCGATCCTTACGGTATCAGAGGGAGATCCTGGCGAGGTGGTGCTCTGGGATGCTGCCTCTGGATCGCTGCGGGTCCTGTGGGAAGGCGAGCCGGTCGCTGCGCGCCGGTCCTCTTCGTCCGACAACACGTTCATGTGGAGCAGCGTGTTGGGCTACATGCCGCACTGCTTCGGCGGCCAGTCATCGTCGATCATGCTCTCGCCAGACAGCCGGTACTTACTCACAGGAGCTATCACTGAAGCCGAAAACCTTGAAGGACATTCTGCCTGTCTCTGGGATGTTGCAACGGGCCAACTCATCCGCGAGTTTGTCGGACACAGTGACGCCATTTACTCCGTCGGCTTCTCCCTCGACGGAAGACGCATCGCAACGGGCTCCCTCGACGAGACTGTCATCATTTGGGACGTCGCGACCGGAACGCGTGTAGCAACGTGCAGGGGACATTATAAACGGGTGCTCTCAGTCGCCTTCTCTCCTAACGGAGAACGCGTCACGTCGGGAGGTGATGATCGTCGCATTATGGTGTGGAATGCAGAGGGAGGAGAGCTACTTAAGTCGTTCGAGGGGCACACGGGCCTCATAGCGTCGGTCGCCTTTGCTCCTGGCGGGGACGTCATCATTTCCTCCTCGAACGACACCACCATGCGATTCTGGGACATTGAGACAGGCGCTTGTCTCCTCGTCCTCAACCCGGCTACCTGGGGCAGCACCGTGCGACTGTCCCCCGACGGTTCTGGAGTCCTAGTTGATGGTGAACGACTCATTCGGCTATGGGCACCTCTCGATGAAGACGCGCAGGCGGCGGCATCGCTTCCTTGGCTCCCGCGTCGCACCTGGCCTATGTACTACATCGAGGAAGGCTGGATCTTTTCTCTGACGCCTACCCGACGGACGCGGTTGTGTTGGGTACCTGCAGACTGGCAGGGCTTGAAGGGATACCATGGGCAGAATGTGCTATTTGGGAAGCGGCGTATCAGGGTAAATTTCTCGGCGTTGAGTAGTTACCTCGAAGGTTTGCGCACTGATAGCACGTAGAAGTGTATTTAGGGTACTAGCTACATTTGTATTGTTTCTACTTCGAAAACACTGTGTGACCCGTAAGTTCACAATAAGAGTGAGCGGGACGTGGCGAAAGATACCAGCATCTTCTGTTACGAACGAGGGAAGCAAACGCGCGGCGGTACAGCTGGTCCGAACCGATCGTATTGCAGACACACACCATACAGTTACGTAACTGATGCTACGCAGACGTTCGTGTCACTGGTAAATCCGATCTATTACTTGAGGCAGCGAAAGTGGCGCAGGCATAACAACCGTGAAAAACGGTAAATACGCCCAAGAAATACATGCAAGGCAAGATACACGTACGACGTCAGCCGACTTCGCCTCCTCCTCTGCAACTCGTTCGACTTTCCCAGCAGCAGTGCCTCGCACGAACTCGTTGCTGTTCGCCTTATGGATTCCGAGCACGAGCGACCACCGCCTCTCCTCACCCTCGACGACGACGTTCGGCTTGGTCGACAATAGTTTCGCGTTGACCGCGACCGCAGGAAGTAACAATCACTTTTGCCGTTTTACGGTGTCTTCCCTTCGGGCGGCGATCGGCAGCAGCAGGCTGCCCGCTACCACCAGGCCCCTCAGCCTCGCTCAACTGCACTGGTGGGAGTCCTCAACGTCCTTGCTGCCTTCCTCCAAGTCGTGCAGGGGCAAATGCTTGGTGCCGCCGAGGGCGAAGCGCACGAGCGAGGGACTTGTTTCCACTAATGGCGACGTCTTGTCCAACGGGTCCTTCACGTCTTGTGTGATCTTGACGATGCTTCTTAGGCGCAACAAGGTCTTGGTACTCAGTACAGGGAAACGCGATGGACCGCTGGGCGATTCGCGAGAGGGCACCGGCGGTACTGGAGGCGCGTGGACATCAGCTTTAGAGCGTTGCCGTCTCATCGCTAGCCCGAAGCCAGTGGCGATCAGAACCGACGAGAGCGTCTGGGTGCTCTCGTTGAGAAGTAAGGAGGCACGAGCCCAAGGGCAAAGAAGGCAGAATGCGATAACATTGCCGTCGCAGGCTAGAACTCCTAAGGAAGATGGTGTTGGGGCAGATCCTGCAGGTGCGCACAGATTTGGGGCTTCTGCTCGGACTCCATGCCACCCGACTATAACGAAGAGCGTCTGAAGAAGACGACCGTCAGCACCGACAATCTACAGCAGGCATGCGGCGTACCTTGGTGGAAAAGTTGTGACAGATATGCCGCCTCTACCAGCCTAGTGTCCTCCCGCTTCGCACGCAACGCCCGGTCTCGCCGTCAGGGATCCATGCGGCTGGCACGAAGTGCTCCGCCTCGGCCTAGACTCCTTGTCTGGCGAGTACAGTAAATCCTACAGCGCATGTCGAAAGTTATTTGTCAAGGCGGGCGAAGTCAGCGCCGAGTACAAGACGTCAAACGACACCGGCAATGACACACCTTGGCGCTGCGAATTGCTATCGTCCACATATCGCGCTCCTCCTGGCTGTGGGCATAGGCGCAAAGGGTCTGGCGGGGACTGGAAACCTCAAGGTGTAGCTAGGTGTTCGCTCGGCTCGTTCGGCACCTTAGCTAGGCACACCGAGAAGACTTTGGAGCATGTTGCTCGATGTAGCCCTCGCCCGTCTACTCCAGCGACTTCTTGGTGACACCAACGCTCGATATCCGTTTCGTCGGCCGTCAAGGGCAGATGGGCATACAGCGACAAATATGGGTAACGAGAGGAGACCGGGGAACGTTTGAACCTCGATCGGAGAGACAGACGGAGGCTATGCTTTGTCTCGGAGCGTTGGAGGTGAAGCATCGAGAGCATAAGATGATGACGAATGCATAAGACGCGGATATTCCGGGACGTCGCTCAAAGGTGCCAGAGACTTGAGTTCGGCGCGAACCAGCCCTCCGACCGTCCATCTCTGCAGAGCTGACCTCCACCAGAGGTCTCAAGTAGAGGGCCGTTTTCGCTGTGGCATAAGAGGCGGCTTCGCTCCGCTACGTGATTGATGTTCTTTCAGCTGGCAGCTGTGTTCGTGGCTGGTACTCACTTGGTCGCGGGTTGCAGCATTCATGTGGCTAGTAGAGATCACATAACGCACCTAAGGAGGGCCTCGGAAATACGTGTCTTTAGTTAACTCCGTAAGCGGCCTTCTGGTCCTCGTCAACTGCAGCGGCTCGAGAACAGGCGGTTGGCGCAGTACGGACCGAATAATCTGAGCGCCGGAAGTATTTGTAGAGGCGCGTAACGAGGTAACGGATAGTAAGTTACTAGTTACTTACTTTTGGGGCAGGTGATTCAAATCTCGAGTACTTACGTAGTTAGTCTTTTTAGTATTACGCTATCTTCGCACGCATAGAGTTGCGCTTTCAGAATTACTATCCTGAAGGTTTCACCCGTTCGCTGCGTCTTATAAGACGGTCGACATTATGTAAACAATTAATCCTTCTCCAGCCCAAAGGTATCCCGAGTACTCTCCTCTTTAGCATGTCGCTTCTAACCGGCCTCGCCTCAGAGAGAAGACGCTGAAGGTCTGCTTTGCTAGTCTGTCTACGCCCGGTCTTATGCTGCAGAACAATACTCATGCCAGGCTGTGTATAGAACTTCGTTGTCGGTATCGAACCACCGTTTGCCGTTCAACCTGCTGTGGTGTCTGCGATCACTACTGTCACCGAGGCCGACGAACTTCGTGCGATTTGCCGTCGCGTCGCTCTTGTCAGCTACGTCACCTGTCTGCTGCCTTTTGGTACCGATGACGCGTCACCCGTTGGCCGTCACATGTCCCGTCGTCTTACCCCTTCTCCCGCGTGGCGTTAACCTTCTCCTTCCGAAATCCGCCTCTTTTGCTTCATGTTTGAAATCGGATGTGAACACATATACCTTCGCCTTGTTTTGGGAGTGTTGAGGTAACGTGCAATACCCTTCTCTGTGACCGCTAGCTGACATAAACCACGAATTATGAGTAGATAGCAGGGCCACAATATCCGGATTGTGCCCATCCAGAGAAAGACTTGTGTCTCTGGTTCGGAAGACGGGCCTGCGGCGCTTCGGATCACCCGACATACGCACCCCCACTGTCACATCCTCCGACCTAACGCCACCCAAAAGCCTCAGTGCATGTGATCCCATTTGGTGGTGCCAGTGTAAACTCACCGCGAGCTCGCTGGAGATGTACTTTCGCCGCCTGGGGTACCCCGCACTCCAACCGATCGTCACAACTTGTCCGGAACCACTCCGTTGGCAACACGCATTTCATGCCTAAATGCGCTCACATGTCAACGATCAGAAGACCTCCAACTTGGCCTTTACCGCCGTTATGTCCTGACCCGAGCTCACTTGCTCCGCCTACCCTGTGCCGCGGCCGACCTAGTTCCCAAGCCAGCTGATTGCGATGGAGTGCGTGGTGAAGGTCACGACCTGGTGCTTTTCCTAAACACGTCTCTATGGTCATTTCTCACTCCCGTCGTTTCACCCTGGGTTTCATGATTGCTTCGCAGCCTCCATACTGGACTTGGCATGGGTCATTTTCTGGCCTCTACCAGGGCGTACGGGCTTCTGCAGAGGCTGCTGCCTGGCAGGATCCGTTATCTCTGCTTGTTGAACGCGGGTGGTTATCTCGACTCGCTTCTTGGCCATAGACGAGGGCATCCAACAGATTCGCGAACGCTTATTGATCGGAACTGGTGCTCCATTACACCACGAAACGCAATGGTCGGCCCCCGCCGCGACCTGGCTTGGCTTGGGTACCATACCCTCGGGGGAATCAGGTTCAGGTACGCCCGTCACCGCCTTCTGCTGTTTGGGCGGTGCCCTTCCTTACCCTCCGCCTTCCGTGGCCTCCCCAGGTGGAACACATCGGGCTGATAGCGGCTCTACCAGTATCGTTTATGACAGGTCAGCATCTTTATCTCGGCTCACGAGACACGCGCGCTCACAACGGCGTAGGCCACACAGCGATTGCATTCCTTGATCGTCCGTGCTCGTCTCCCCTGCGTGGGGCGGGGAGTGCCATATCCTGCAAGAACCTACGGCTCGCATCCCGGAGACTTGAGCGAGTCTCCCTCGCTCGCCTTCGGCCGTAACTCTAACTCCAAAGGATGCCAATTCGGCATACACAAACAGTACCAAAATCAAGCTTCAAGCCCTGTTGCAGCACAACTTAGTCAGGGCTGCGGGGTCAGCTGAGAAATGGCAGGCAGGATAGTCGCTCGGGAGAGCCAATATAGCCGCACGCTGCCCCTTGTGACCTATTCGCGGGAGCTGCACGCCAAAAAACCTGCGCGCGGCGGGGGAAAGCACACGGCCATGCTTGGGCAATGAGGGAATATCGCGTCTGGTATGGTTGCCCGAGTCCAAGGGGCTGCGATAAATGGACTGAGATTCTCCCTGAGTGCCGTCTGTCGAGTGTGAAGGGAGGGCAGCGAAAATAACTCGTATCGTATCGATCACCATCGCCACCTCCCGGCGCGCCTCTATAGACGATGGGTGGGGCGGATGTACAGCGCGCGGCGCACGACGTGAAGTCCCTGAGTTTCTCTCCCACCCGGGCCAAAGCAAAAGCGCGGATAATTTTTTACGGCCGGACGCACACCCCGCATGTAGCGCAGCGCGCGCGCGAGCCCTCTCATCGCGCGGATGTCATGTCACAGGTCCCGACGTCATAGCCACTGCACCCCTTCCGCAGGGCGCGCAGCGGCTCCCAACGCGATAAATATACCAGTCGGGGGCATGGTGGCTGACGTTGGGCCCCGGCCGGCGGCCCTGCATGCGCCCGCGTCCCAGGGATCGCGATGACGACATGTGGCAGACTCAAAAAAAAACGGAAAGCAGATGTAGATGGCCAACAACGTCGGCCGTGCGCGCGGCGCGGCCGGGCACAGTGTTACTGTATGTGCGCACGCGTGCAGACGACGCAAATACCCGTCATGACGATGCCGCCACCGTGGGTCCCTCCGCTCGAAAAGGGCCCGACCTGGAGTAGTCCCGGCCGGGCGCGCATGCACTCGTTTGTTTTCCTGCAAAAAAAAGGTAGCATGTGGAGCCGGAGACCTTGGTGGCGCAGCGTCGCAGCAGCGCCGCGGGTCTGGCAACTCCCAGGACTTGTGTGTGACCTGCAGTGGAGCGGCGCGTTGGAACTTGAAGTTGACACGGAACTCGAAACGCACACTCGCAAACGGGTGGGAAACGTTGGTGTGGTGCATGAGCATGTTGTGCTATGTATGGTATTTCGCAGTGGACTGGACGTAAAATACATGTGGTGCGTATGTGTGTATGGGGTGGGAGCGGTGGTATTTGCGGAACAAACCCAAGGACTAGATGCAGATGCGCGTGTAAAGATGCGGGTCAATATTTTATATGCAAGGTGTGTGTGATGCAAAGTACGGTAGGTGGGGCAAGAGTGTATGGGAAAAGATGATGACGATGAGAAAGAGAGAAAAACAAGAAAAAAGGAACAGATAGATACAGCGACGCCCCGGGCGATTTGTGCGAATGCGACCGACGTTTTGCTCCAAAGTGAAGGAGGGGAGAGTTTTTGTTACAAATCCGTTGGGGCGAGCGAGAGCGGCGAAACAAAAATGCGACGTTTTGTAGAGCCGGGAAACGACATGCGACGATGCTGAGTGTAGGGGGTATGTGCGAGTAGACTGTGCTGAGACGAAAAGGCGCGATGCGATGCGGTCTAGCGATGCAAGTGGTGACGAAGAATGGTATACGATGCTTTTGATGGCGCGCGCGGGGGCGCGAGCGCGGCGGTCGTCGCAATCACCGGAAAGCGATGCCGATAGCGCGTGACGCGACGCCGCGCCCACGCTCCCTCGCCTTCAGCCCGCTCCTGCCGTTGCCATACCCCGGCGCACCGGCGGGCAGGACCTCGTCCAACTCGTCCATCCTCCTGCGCCCGCGGATCGTCCGGTCCATGTCCTCCCTCGAGACGTCAGTCTTCGCCTCGCCGTCGTCGTCCTCGCTGCTGCTCGCGAAGGCGCAGTCGCGCAGGCCGCGGGTGAGCGCCTCGACGAACTCGTACTTGGGCTTGCGCTGCGGCGAGCTGTTGCGGCGGCCGGGGGCGAGCGCGATGACGGGGCTGCTCGAGACCCACTCGGCGACCTTTTCGATGCTGTCGACCCGCGCGCGCTGGGCGGCCGAGAGGTGGCGTGGGGGCGAGCGCGCGGTCGAGCGGCGGCTGGAGGAAGAGCGGATGTCCGAGTCGCGTTCCCGCCGGCGGCCGCGACCGCGGGAAATGGGGCTTGTCGTGGTCGACTCGATGTGCGCCTCGGCGTTTGTGAGGACGACGGTCGCGTGCGAAACCGTGGGCGTCGTTGGGGACGCGTGCAAAGAGCGCGAGATCGCCTGTAGTGTGGACGGTGTGCGGCGAGGCGACGAGGCCGTCAAGCCCGACGAGGGCTTCACCGAGCTGCTCTGGAGGAGCGAGAAGTAGGCGGGGAGGCTCGTGCGCTTGGCTTTGCGGCGGGCCGAAGCATCGTCCTCGTGAAGCGAGAGCTCAGATATGCAGACCGAGGAGGCGTCGTCTTCAGTACTAGCATAGAACGGCGAGGGTAGACCACGCGAGACGCCGGAGCTAGACGCAGACGACGAGACGGCAGATGTATGCCTATGAACTGTTGGCACAATTGAACGGTGGTTCGTCGCTGAGGGACGGCGAGCATAGACCAGTCCGGAGAGGTACCCGGGTGACTTGGAGCCGTCGGCCAGCATGTCGATCTGCTCGGTGTAGACGTAGGGGTCGTCGTCGTCGTCGTCAGTGGTGACTGACGACCAACCTGCGGACGATGCGGAGGACGACGAGAGAGAGTATCGTGGACGGTGTCCGAGCATGGAGGGGACGAGTGCCGGTATGTCAAGGTTACTTGACTTCATGGAGGTCACGGAGGGCGATGGGTGTACGCTGCTAGTTGCACTCGAGAGCGATGGAGACGCGCTGTCGAGGCTTTCGCACTCGTCGCTGCAGTAGATGCGACTAGAGCGGAGGTCAGAACTGGGGTTTCGTAGAGGGGGAGGAGAAGAAGGCAAGGTTTAAGTAAGGTCGCAGAGGAAAAAGCCGGAAGAGGCGAACACGAGGCAGAAGGCATACTCTGATATGCGTGTATGGCAAAACAGAAATGAAGTGTGATAGGAAGATCGGGACAGAAATGAAAGATGCCTCGAGGACAACGTACCCATCCACTGGCCTGCCGCATTGTATGCATACTTCGGTCTCCTCGAACATTGCGGTTGATGTGGGTTGAGCGTAGAGTTGAGCCGAAACGCCTTGGGGGGCAGTCGTCGCTATGGACGCTTTGTACGTCGCGAGATGGGGCGTCGAGAGCGCGGTAGACGATGTGAAGGGTGTGAGGGGGAAGGGGCGGGCGCAGGGGCCTTACCTTTATATTCTGGGCCTGACTCATGACTGCACAATTCGAGACAGAGATCTCGCACAAAGGCGCAAGTCACACAAGCAGTCACGGCGCTTCTTGCGATGCTTTGACGTGCCGTCGGAGCTACCGCTTTTGGGGTCGCATCTCGCTTATTTTGTCACGTGTAACCTAGGATCTATTCCCAAAGCGGAACGTGTGACGGTGACTTGGACCGAAAGCGGCTGCAAACCTTCCCCACCCCAGCTGCGCTAAGATCTAATCTAATCTTGTCGCGTATGTCGCTGCCATCGCACGTTCTCTCGGCTGTCCCCCTTTTCCCTCCCGCAAGCCCAGAACGTCTCCCTAAAGGCCGATGTCGTCCGCTGTACTTTCTTCCGCTGACCTCGACCTCCGAACGTGCCAAAATGTACATGCGCGACTGTTTCGTTTGAGCGTTGCTCGACTCGCTTGCACCCATGCTTCATGCCCAATCACGTTTGCTCAGACGGTCGAGGCCTGCCATCGTGATTGCACGCAATAACTGCCCGGTCAAGCTCACGAACTAATCTTTCGACCCTCATTTTTTATCTTTGCTTCCTTCATTCCCCGCCTTCTTATTTCGCCAGGGCGAAAGATAACACATTCAATGACCGGCTTCTGAGCGATTCTTGGGCCCTTGTTCGCGAGATTCATCCCGCGAAGGTGGCGCGTAACCTTCTAGTATTCGATTACCCAATTCGCGAAGCGGCCATGAGCGTAGGCCATGACAAAACTGTATTTGCCTATCAACGAAGTCACCAGTGAGCACCCCTATCGCCGGATAGGTCTAGTTCAGGACGTCGGAATATCGGCCTATAGGCGATATTCCTCATGTCTTTAACCGCTGGCACTCGTTTGCGGGCCCTCCCTACATGCTGCCGACAATCGCCTGTGACGAGCCTTTGTGCTTCCTTGCGTCAAGCGAGCCTAAAACACGCGCGCAGCTAGCACCATCTGGATTCACCGGTCTTTACAGCGTGCTGGCAGCATACGTGCGTCAACCGGCTTCTGTAAGCAGCCCAGCAAGTAAGCACGTTCTGACATAAGTACCCTGTCCGAAGCCGAGCATTGACAATCCGGATTAATGGTGATCGGTGACCATAGATAGCTGGAGATTGGTCCTTTGTACGAAAGTGAAAGCTCCTTGGTGTCTAAGACACATCTATGTGACGCTGCTGCAGCGGCCGCACCTGCCTCCATGCTTCCGGTGCAGGCCTGAAAGAGGCTGGGCTCGTCAAGAAATCACATCAGTCACACCTTCGGTGAGGTCTCCGGCTGACGTGGAGGGTACCTACGCTCATCTTGCAAATTCATGCGCAGAACATCGTCACCGTCACGCTGATTCTATGCTTTATTTCGCCCACATGGGCACGTGCCACAGGTCAGGCTTCCCGCCCTGTAATAGCCCTAGTACTGGGCTTGCGGTCGCAGCTCACGCCCATTCCTACCCCTGAAAGTCTAACTGGCCTTGACTGTCGGGAGGGAACGTTTCTCGGCACCTGCGCAGTTACCGGTGCCGTTGAACAGAGAGAGTACTGCAGAGACGTCTCGGCAGTGTACTCTGTTCCGCGATCGTGCCGCGACAATGGGATGTATATGTGCAACTGGCAGGCTTCTGCGTGATGGAAACACATCTCGAAGACTCGGTGAGATTCTTTTCGTATCGCCGCAGCCCTCCCGTACACGACGAAACCTATCCTGTGCGGTTCATCAGTGCCGTACATCATGCGGAACCCAAGTATCTGTCCCATGCCATCCGCCACGGAGCCTACCGAGACTTATGGCTGTGTAAAATTCTGGGACTTCGTCGCTTCGGCATCGCATACGGCCGGGACTCCCGACACTTTGCTGTCGTGTGTGGATGTTTGGCTGCGGTTCAGGTCGCGACGGTGCGCTCTGCCTAAGTTCAGCCCTTCGTCACGCACACGTAGATCTCATGGCCGGGGCCATCTCCATTTTCCCCGGATTCGCCCTCGGAGGAGCGAGGGAAACACTCAGATCGAACATACAAGAACTTAAGTGCATGTCAGCAGTAAGCATATTTATCCCCAGACCTTGGTCATCGATATACATAGCAGGTCGCATGATGCAATCTCTTGTGCAGATCCTACGAATTTGTCGTCCGTCTACGCAACACATACGTCGACCTACATCCATTCTTTAGCTTCCGGCGACGTTTGTCAGCAACAGGGATCCTCAGTTCGCGTCCGCGTCATTGATCATGCACGCCACCCGCGTGTCGTATTGCGTCTAGGCCCGCCGGATGATGGGATGTGCTGCATCAACGCTACACCTGCCGGCTATGCGTTCCGTCACTGACACGCACGCACAGAAAAAAATCAAGAGTTACGGAAGATGCTCCACTACGGTCGTCACGCAACGTGCGAACTGCCTCACGCGCCGGTTCGTCTGTTCGTACCTGTGCGTGGGACTGAACGCACGCGCACGTAGCTCTGAGCAAAATGACATCACAACTGCGTCGCAGTGGGGTGTGACTTTGCCCACTCGTGCGCCATTTTGCGCGATTTTTCCGTCGCGCGCTGTGCGTGACACCTCCGCTGATCCGTCGTGACATTTGTGACAAGTCCGCCTCCTGCGTGACACCTCGTGATAGAGCAGAGCGGGATTTTTTCAATACGCCGTCGCTTGCCATTTTGGAATGTGCCTTGAGGGTGTGTTTTGCGAGCCACGTTTGTAAAGCGTTTTGGGCCACTTGGTCTGCCGACCGCGCACGGAGGTGCCATCCTTGGCCATGAGACTCCCTCCCTCTGACTCGCGAGAGAATTATGGTGCCTGCAGATTCCACGACCCAGCCCGTAGACTTGAAACGAACATGCCGTCCATCGGGACTCTCGCACTTGCAAGTCTTGGTCTTAGACGGACTATGGTGGACACCGGATTGGCTGAACCAATCCTAAAGTGAGTACAAGTGCTTGAACAGAACGCCTGCTATCTCACCTGCGTGGATGACCCACTCCCCACGTGCGTCTGCCACGGACTTTAGGCTACGACGTGCGAGGTCACATTCTCGTGGTCACGTCCAGGACAATGGGTGCGTGAACAGGGTGTTTCCCACGAGAGGTCTTGACTCAAACGCTGCGCAGACCACATTCCTCGCGAGCGACATGTTTTATCGACGCCTGACCGGGACCCTTGCTTGCGAGACACGCTTCGCGGCTCCCCACATTCTCAGACATGCACCCTTAGCGGGAAGGGATCAGCGCGCGAGTACTTTGGCCTCCCCGCAGTGCTGAGAAAGCGTACGCTTCAGCCTTCAGACGTTCCCGCTAGTTCCTTCGCGTAGGGAGCCCGAAGTAGGGACACGGAAGAACCCGCCCTCTTTGTGCTACATGTAAGAATAGAGCTGCTTCCCATCCCATTGCACGCATGTTTGTCCCATCCAGCTCGTTAAAGAGTTTTACGCGAACTTGATGCTTGTTCGCATCCGTCGTTCGTAGAACGTTCCATTGCGCAGTTCTTTCCTACACACTCAGGAACCGCAACCCCGCGATCACTCGCACGTTGCCACGATCTGCTACAGTAGTTGCTGTGCCATCGACCTTGTGATCATGGTCAGCTCCCTGGCAAGCCTCGCCCTGCTCCTTATGCTCAGCAGAAGACAAAGTCTCGCCATACCTCGCTAGGCAGATGTCATGCAGGAGTCCTACGATGGAGACAGCGCACATGTGCCACCAGATCAGAACCTCGCCGCGTCTCTGTGGCGGACGTGTACGCCCGATCAGTCTTACTATCCGCTGGTCAGCTGCTTTCCGCGACTGAACTGCATCTCGCCAGTATTCGGCAGCCACTCTTACACACCAGTCACTTGGTAATCTTTCCCGTCGCTCCTTCAGCAGGATGGTCACGAGTGTATTTCACAAAGCCAGATGGTGCATATATACTGTCCCGGCAGGCCAAGGTCGAATTAACGGATGTTGTATGCCTTGCTACTAACACGACGGTCGGGCGGCTGACTGGGTATCAGAGACAGGAACCACACTACTAGCCTAGACTACAGGTAAATTGTTCTTGAATCAACCCGGAAGCAAATTATATTCGACCTCCAGATCGCGGCACCTATCTAGGGATGAACATTTGACAGCTTCGGGGGCCCAGCCACGGTCGACTCGCACGTACGGTCACTAAATACATCCGCGCCCGTTCGCGCCAGCCTAGCGGCGTGCCACATCGAGGACCGGGCGCAGACAAAGCACTGCGGACGCCTCATGGGTATGGAGGTCGTCTCGCGCGACTCTGTCCCAGGCGGCTCGAACATCGTGATCATCTGCCGCACGGACTCTACGCAGGTGCTCGGCATGGACAATTTTATCTTCCACTTGAAGCCAACTGCCGTATCTGGGCGATGCGGCGGGTGCCCCACCCAGTCCCACCCACAACGGTCATCCCGCTTGTGTCGAGCACCTGGACGGACGCAGCGCCCTGCCAAGCCGACGCCGACAGGTGCAACTCGTTGGCCAAGGCTCCATACCAGCCACCACACTAGCGGGCGCACAGTGGAACCCCCCTCGTGGCGTCGACTAGCGCGACCCAAATTCACTGTTAGCGGACCGGTGCGGTCTGCCCTCGGGCTTGCGACGATGATCTGCGGCGATCCACGATGGCGAACGTTCGTCCCGCGTTCTCGACCGCCGTGACGCGATGATGTTGCCACTCACCTCGCCAGAACCGTCGCGAGGGTCACAAATTGCGTACAGAAAATGCATGATATCGACACAATTCTTCTCGCCTTCTCGCCCTGTGCCCTTCGTAGCTAGACTCCCTGATTCGACGGTGCATGATAAAATCTGAAAGCAGGTGCCCCACAGATTGACCGTGTGCACCGTTAAGCACCTTGCAACGCGATTAGATTCGAAGCAAGTAAAGAGATTTAGAAAGAAAGAAAGAAAGGCGACAGGATATACATCCAAGGAATCGCAGTCCGCCGCTACCATGAGGTCGGGTAAAATCTCCGCGCGGGGAGACAACGGCAGTTATAGCATCAGCCTAGTAAGCGGCTTTGGACAAGAGACGGCGAGAAAAATTGGAGAAGAGAATTGGATGTCTGTCGACACTGGAAGACTATGGGCCCCAGGGCCCTTATATCGATGCGGTGCTGTGGCCAGCGGCGGAACATAGAGTATATGGCAGCGCAGAGTCGACAATGGGTAGAGTCGGAGGAGGGAAGATGACGGCACACATGGCAGGGTGACGTGCGGAGTACCGAGATCGAGAACATCGCATGTGAAGCGATGGCAGTGAAACGAAAAGCTTAGCAAGCGTGCGCAAGACCGCAGATGTACTCGGGTATATGACATTTGAACCTTTGAACTACTGTGAACAGACAACTTCGAGCAGAGGCCTGATCCTTGGAGGAAGATGTGAAAGTGCCGCCTCGCGAAACACACGTGAGCAGCACTCAGGATTATTCAAAAGTAGGTGACCGAAGTTAAGCTGGAATCGAAGCTTCGTCAAGGAATGGCACCGCAGTGCGAGATCGCACAGAGGTGTCCAGTTGAGTGAGGCGATGTAAGCCACATAGTGGGCTATCGCGGAATGGATTCGCACGATTGAAATCGTGAATACCGACTATAGGCGTAGGTTTTGAAGCTGGGAGCCGTCGATCTGGGACAAAACTGCCATTAGGTTACCCCAAGACGAGGTGTTGGGGTCTCTGCGGAGCTGATGAAAAGTCTGGATCTCCAGGGAGTGCAGGGAAGGCCACGACGAAGCGGTCGGCTGGTACGTGCCAAGGCAGCATGCAAGATTGCTGAGATTGAAAGCACTTCGGATTAGGACGTCCAGTTCGTAGTTCAGCTTGTCTGACACGGTGAAGGTGTGAAGGTAGGCAAAATCCAAATGTCCGGAAAGCCAGGGAGCTATGATGGAATACGAATTTTGCTGGTCAGTGAGCCGTAAGGAGTTGATCTTGACGCGAGATGGCGAGGGATTCAGAGGGACGGTCTCTCTACGTGTGATCATACCGAGGTAAGTAAATCTGGAGATTGAGCGGAACAGTGTGAGAAGGGAAGTTATGTAAGAAATGTCAGGCACTGCGTCGTTCAAGACACCAACTGCCAAGTAATGGAGAGTGCGGGTCGGTTCAACGGAGTCGGATGGTATGCTTGCGCAAACAAATTTAGGGGCGAAGAGACGGAGCGACTGAAGACGAGGGAGAAGGTCGACTATCTGCAGTAGGGTGTGTATAGGTAGCTCTTCAAACGACAAATTTTCAGGAGAGCTGACACGCTGCGATGACAAACGCAGTGTCCGCACATAGGCAGATATACGCTGGCTGCGTGACAGCGTTTCCACGCAAGCGGCAAAACTGCACGTCTTGGTGTCCGGGTGACACCTACACTGTGTCTCATGCCTTGAAGAATATTTCACAGTGGTGTGAGGGCAAGCTGGCCAAGAGAAGTCTGAGGAGGGACGAGGCGAATGGCACCCAATCTTTGCAGACGAGGGAGCATTGGCGCAATGCTTGCTTGTAGTTACGCAGGTGGGCGATAATCTCGTCAGCCAGCTCCTGCGGGACTTTTCGGCCCCCTAACACAGGACTACTGTCCAGCTCTCTCCAGGCCGTCTCAGTCATAGGAAGTCTGTGTACGGCTGATTGGTTATCGGGCTTATTGCACGATTTCCAGCTGTCAACACACCTTCGATTCAGGAGGTAGGTCGGCAATGGTTTGGCACAAGCGTTGGGGCCCACCGTGCCTCTGAGCGCCAATTAGCTAGATAAGATTACTGTACCGCGTTATAGATTGTGACTCCTCGAGATCAAGAGCAAGATTCCAGGATCCTCTTTAACATTTACCTACGCACACTCATACATCGATTCCAGCTTCAACCTAGCGTCCCGGATACATACTTGACGCTCTCAATTGCATTCAGCAAATAGCCTGAATCTTGCCATCGCGTCTCACTTTGTGGCTCGCTTGCCTAACACAAGGCATGATACCTGATCTCGCTGTGCTCGCGGCAGTAAACCACCGCGCGGTGGACGCCTACATCGCAAAGTTGAGAAGAAGGTGAGCACGAAGCGGACGCGGAAATATCTGGACTGTATAAGCTGAGCTTTGTATAGACAAGTCGTCGGCTCGCGTGAAGCGGCTCTAGAAACACTGCGCGTACTTCGCCAGGTCGTATCAAAAGCACGGTTTTCCAATATCGACCAGCTGACCGGGATTATTCGTGGCGTAGGCGGACGCTTGGTGGAAGCGCAACCAAAAGGTTAGTCTCCCCCTCCTGCCCCGATCTCGGCTTGCTGAATCCGGAACTTTATAAGAACATTCCGTCGGCAATACTGTCCGCAAGATCTTACATCATGTACGAGACGAATACAACGCCGCGTCGAAAGAAAAACAAAGCACCAACGAGCGGTCTGGCTTCTCGCTCTCCCACTTCGTCCTTCAGGGCCAAGTACGCAAAGATATATGGCCGCTACAGTCTCTGCCGCTTTCCTCAGAAGAAGCTCCAATAACTCTACGGGAAGACGACTCCAATGACCCCGACTCTTTTGCAAAAGTGATGAAGCCGGTGGTTATGGACGCTATTCAAGACGTGCTGGACGAGCTGGAGACAGTCTATGACAACATCGCAAAAGCGGCGAAGGAGCACATTAACCCTGAGTGCGTATCCCCCCTGCAATATCTCATGTTAAGCTTGGCCCACACGCCACCAGCGAGATCATCCTGACAATAGGTCATTCAAAAACTGTCGAGGCGTTCCTCAAAGCTGCGGCACATAACCGTAACTACACTGTCATCGTTGCAGAGACAGGACCCTCGTAAGCACTGCCGCCCCCATACTCTACGCCTTGCATAGTAGCCCACTCCGCATCTTCAGATACAGCGGACACACGATGGCCAAGGCTCTCTCCTCCGCGGGCATCTCAACCTTCCTCGTGCCCGACTCCTCAATATATGCACTGATGTCGCGCGTGACGAAGGTCATACTCAGCGCACACGCGATCCTCGCCACGGGCGGCATGTTCGCCATCACCGGCTCGCTCCTCGCGGCCACCGCGGCGCGCATGCACAGCACGCCCGTCGTCGTCTGCGCCGGCCAGTTCAAGCTCACGCCGCTATGGAACCTGTACCACGAGTACGGCGCGCTCGACTTTGCGGATCCGAGTAGCGTGCTCGGCTTCGAGGAGGGGAACCTCGTTGACAAGGTCGAGGTCCTAAACCCGTACTACGACTATGTTGCCCCGGATTTGGTCGATGTATTCGTCACGAACGAGTGAGTTATATGACTGTGTGCACGAAACATCCTGCTAACTGTTCCTAGCGGTGATCACCCACCATCATCGATCTATCGGTAAGCCGTCGTATTAGGTCCATGTAGTGTTATACCTAACAATATTACCTCAGGTTGATTAAGGAGACATACGATGACGAAGACACCACGCTAGAGTACAAGATCAAGTACTAGTGGAGCAATCGGTCTGTACCCAGCTATAACTCCGATGATATATCCGAATCCCACTACGCGTTGCTTACACTTGCTCGCATTCGCACGCATAACACTCAGCTGTATCCACGCCACCACACTGTATCAAGTAACAAATTAATATAATCGCCGCCCTAGATCTAGTATACGCCTATGTTTTGGTACTGAGGATATCGTAGAATGCCTCCTGAGGTAGGTCGACCTTGCCAACTTTCTTCATGCGCTTTTTGCCCTCCTTCTGGTTCACGAGGTGCTTTAGCTTGCGCTCGTAATGCCCGCCATAGAGCCCCGCCGTGACGTCCGCGCGGAGCGCCTTCAGCGTCTCGCGCGCGATAATGCGTTTGCCGACTGCGGCCTGGATGGGGACTTCGAAGAGCTGACGGGGGATTACTTTGACTACAGCGACCGTGGTTCAGCCGGTGGCCGCCTTAGTTTGTTGGGATCACTTACAGAGCTTCTTGACCCACGCCCGCCCGACTTCATCTTCGGCGGACTTGTGGACGATGAGTGCGAGGGCGTCCACGGGTTTACCATTCAGCAAGAACGTCATCTTCGAGAGCTTGCTGGGCCTGTATCCGGCGTCTTCATAGCTGTAAAGCGTTGGCAACCTGAGCAATCGTCCTGAACGTACGAGACTGGGGTTTACCCACTCAAAACTCGCAAACCCGGAGCTTCTACTCTTCAGCTTGTCAAAAAAGTTTGTCACAATCTCGCCGAGTGGAATGATGCACGTCAGGATAATGCGGGCATCCTGGCTGCCGGAAGCATCCAAATAGCGGTGGTCCGGTTCTTCACCACGATGCGTGAAACAGAGGTTCATCATCTCTCCCAGGTATTCTATGAAAAGTAAGTAAACCGGAGAGGTTCAGCGAATAGAAATCCACGTACCCTGGGGAACGATAATGGAGGCCTTCACTACCGGCTCCTGGATTACCTTCACCTTAGACGTGGAATCGGAGACATCTGGGAAATCGGTCGGGTTGCTGATGTATGTCTCCTTGCCGTCACCCCAAATGACTGCCGGAACAATGAGCACCACCTCTGCTGACAATGGCCTTCCAACGCACCCTTGTACGGCACGGTGGGTGCAGTGATGATGACATTAGCGTTGTACTCGTCTTCGAGCCGCTGGCGGAAGACATCCATGTGCAGGGACCCAAGGAAGCCAAGGCGGCAGCCTTGGCCGAGAGCAGACGACGATTCCCGCGTGACCTCGACACTGCGATCCGTCAGAGTCAGCTGGGAAGGCCGTCAGCGAGAGACAGTAAGGCGGGCCGGTGGCACGCTCACCCGCTTGATCGATTCTTCGAGCTTCAGGAAGTCGTTGCTGTCCACCGGGAAAACACCCGCGTACACCTATCTCCGTTTTCAGCGATGGTCTCACCTCACTCATTGAGTTCGGCAAACGCACCATAGCTTTTGCAGGCTTAAATCCGGGCATGGGCTCTACTGGCGCTCCGACGCGGTGCAGTGTATCACCGATATGCGCTTCAGCTCAGTGAGTAACACGGGTAGTCACATGCCGAACTTGACGTACCCTCTGAAGACTCCTTCATGTTGCAGGCAATAAAACCTACTTGCCCAGGAAGCAAGGTTGTAGTAGGGGTCTCCTCAGGATGCATGATACCCAGTTCGACAACCTCATATTTTTTCCGGGTGTAACACGACATGATCTTATCACCTTTCTTGAGGGCACCCCCTTGGATATTAACCAGAGAGATCACGCCGCGATATTTGTCGTAGCTGACATGGTCATAATGAGTATTCCGCGGACATTACGAAGACAGAACGCATACGAAGAATCGAACAGGAAGGCTTTCAAGGGGTCGTCTACCTTGCCGGGAGGAGGGGGTATTCGCTCAATAATAGCCTGCAAGACGGCCTCCATACCGATACCACTCTTTGCTGATATTTTAAGCACATTGTTGGGATCTATGCCAAAGATGGATTGCATCTGGGCGGCGACAACCTCCGGCTGGGCCGCTGGGAGATCAATCTGGTATTAATGTCAGCAAGGCATAAGCTCATCTGCACGTCCAATCTACCTTGTTCAGGACGGGTATAATCTCCAGACCACGTTCCTTGGCAGCATGGAAAACGGATAATGACTGAGCTTGAACACCTTGCGAGGCATCAACGAGGAGAAGGGCTCCTTGGCAGGCTGCCAATGAGCGGGAGACTTCCCAAGCGAAGTCTACATGGCCCTGTCCGACAGGCTCAGTGCCAAGTTAGTCGTGGGAGAACATGAACATACAGGGGTATCTATTAGATTCAGGAGATAGTTCTTCCCACCAAATGGATGAATCATGCTAGTAATCTCCCTGAGCACGAGAGCTCTTCATGTAATTTTCGGGTGCGCTTTACCTAGCAGTCTGGGCCTTCACTAGCGTTCAGTCAATACTAGCCCGTGGAAGACAGTATATTATACAGACCTGTAATGCCGCGTTCACGCTCAACTTTCAGCTTATCCAGGACTTGCTTATTCATGCCCTTGTCCTTCTTCGCAATCGTTCCCGTCAACTGTATGGCAGGTTATACCCATATTTACACGATCGTTCAACCTGACAACCTTACCTCTAGTAGCCTATGTAGTAAATTTAGCTTCCAGTCAAGTCGTGAATGATGGACAGGCTCACCGGTCGGCCAACGTTGACTTTCCATGATCTTAGTGCACTAGTAAATGTCTGTACTGTTCCTTCAAACACGGCAGCACCACTCACCAATGTGAGCAATGATAGAAAAGTTCCTACGGTTTTTTTAGCACCTCGATCCGCTCACTCCTGCTGGCCACACACCTGATAACTTCGCAGGGGAAGTCCTCCGTCCTCACCGCTGCCGGAGCGGATGCCGCGGCGTAGCGGAGGATTACATTGGTGCTGAGCGAGCGGCTAGAGAACTTTTGAGATGTATTATGTCTTATAGTAACCTGAATACATGCTCTCCTCCAACCTTCAAGCATGCCACTGCGAATGAGTGTGGATGAGACGAGAGACAGCGAGGAGAGAGGGCAGCGTCCCAGACCCCGAAATTCTGCTTAGTCAGCAATGAACCAAACGCGATGGGCGCTTTTTGCAGATTCTCAGCGACGTTCGCGGCGGGCCAGAAAGCATTTCCACTTCCCACATGTCACTGCAGGAGGTATCCGAGGCCAGAAAGGCGCGATTGCTTGCGCTCAGAAACCGTAAAGCTGGAGAGACTGTCGACGAGACGTACGTTGTCTATTCTGATTTTGGTCTGTGCGGACGTACTGAATCGTTCCGCCGTAGACCATCAAACGAGCCTCTAATCAAGCATCGTACATTCGACCCTGAGACACGGACACTCAAGAAGCATACCAAAGATGAAGACATTGAAATGGAGACCGTCGAAAAGGAGGTGGAAGGTCTCGCAGAGAAGATTGTACAAGAAGATGCCGAGCGGAGAGCCCAAGACCTTGTGCGTTCCCAGCCCTGATCGGGAATGGACAACAATTGACTGCTTCGTAGGATTTGCACAATATTGCTCCGAGGCGGCCGAACTGGGATCTCAAGCGTGACCTAGACAAGAAGCTCGCGAAGCTGGAGAGAAAGACTCAAGAAGCGATACACACGCTCATTCGTGAGTGCTGACGATTCCCATCCATACTATTCCCGGCTTTTCTGAAACTCTTGGCGGTCAGGGCAACGACTAGCGGCCCAGAACGGACAGTCTGATGACCTGGTCGGCGCAATGAACGCGCAAGCGAAGCATGGCCAGCTTGATGAAGACGTCTCAGATGAGGACTAAGTTTGTACGCGGCTCGTTCTACATACCACTTATCCACTTTGCTGGACATAGCCGCAAATTACCACTCTTGTCGATCGCTGTATCTCAGCTGGTGAAAGTGTACTGCCCGAGATTACTTCAATGTAAGTACTGTACCTGGAACCAGTTGGCTATCACTACAACAATGACTATCGAATGTCTAGACGAGTCCTCTCCTACAAAATGGGCCTGGAATTCAACATCTGTATCATCCTCTGATCCTCAGCAAGTCGTGCGCTATGTTGTCGATGTTGCCCATGTCCGTTCATCTGCGATGGCTGGATGGCGGAATGCAACGAAGGCAAGACAATGCTGTCTGTACGCGTTCGAGTGGGCGAGCTTGATACGGGAGATATGGCGCGCGGCGGCGATGACCCCGTCGATGACGTAGCGTCAGAAGTGCGCGACCGCGCCTTGCCGCTCCTGTAGATGCCTGGTGGAACCGATATCGTTCGCAACGATTGGTCCTGGTCGGGAGTGGGGATGCTCGGCAGGTCGGAGTAGGTGAAGTACGCAGTCAAGTGCCACTTCCTAGGTTTCGCATTCACAGAGTCGATGACCCAGGCCGAGTACGCCTGCTTCACCAGCCCGAGGGGCTGCTTTTCGCTGCGTTCGTAATGTGACTGCGCGGACGAAGACCATGTCCTCGAGGGGCCATCGACAAAGCGGTACGACCTAAGCAATATAAGCTGTTTGCAATTGGCTCGGTCGATTTAAAGAGCTTACTTGACATTTTGGTCTGCTGGCGGCTGAGGCTCGTCGGTCGAGATCTTTTCGTCATAGAACAAGTAGGGCTCTCTCATCCGACTCTGGGACCACGCTGCATGCGCAGGGCCGTCAGAAACGGGAGAAGGGGGTGCTGATAGACAGTCATAGGCCCACCTCGATTGTCGGTCCACCGTTTGAGGCCCATTTCATCATCGCTCTCTTCCCAGACGAAGATCGCCCCAGACTGGATGTACGTCGCCCGTTCGAGTTCGTTCAAGCGGCGGACGACGGGCTTTAACATCCCTAACCGGACGGCCTCGAACACGGTGTGCGCATCCTTCGCGTCCCTGACGTGGAGGCGGGGATGCGTCGGCCGTTGGGTGTCCTGTGCTGGTGCGTAATACATGGTGTGTCAGGGGGCAGATCTGTGCTGACGACGACGACGCAGTGAGTATTGCTAGTGTACGGGCAGCGACACTGGAGGAGGAAGCTAGGGGGGCGGCGCTGGTGTATCGGAGACGCAGCTGTCTTGGACTGGTGGAGTTGTATGGCCTATATACGATGGCGAGGCAGGCACCCACGGTCCCGTAGGTATCTACACCTCCGAAACCATTGCCGACTTGGATGGATGGCCATAGAACGTAGTAGCCGGGGACCGAACTTCCTTTACGGCCCTCAAGAGAGGTGCACCAGCCGCTCTGAGAATTCATCGCAGGCGATCTAAGAACAGCCACGGCCTTTCCCCGCGGGAGCAGTCAAAGTAATGCAGGACCTTGCCGCTGTGTCGTAACACGCAGTGTGAAGTTTCGGCGGGTAAGTCGGAGAGCGTTGCCTAAAACGTTTGAGTGCAACGCTTGAACTCAGCGGGGAACGCAGTATGGATAACTCTGTTTCATGAGATCGCCGTTTTGGGCAGGCTGCTTGGGGTACACTGACCGCTGACATTGAAGCATGCCCTGCTGAACCATTCAACTTATCTCAGATAGGATTTACTTCGCATGTCATTCAACGCTTCCACGGGAGCCCGTGGGCTGCATGAGGCAAGCGCTTCAAGTCTCTCCGCCCCTCGATGAAGGAATCTTCGTCTAAAACACTGAATGACTCCGTACCGGTGAACATGGATAACCGCGTGTGACTTTCTCAGCAGACCCCCGCCGTTGGAGCCTCTTATGGAGATGACATTACAGGACCTGTTCTCACCCGAGTAGAACCCAGCAGAAACGCAAGGATCGCATTGTGTCATCGTATCATCTGCCGTACCTTTCTGCGCAGACCACAGCAGCCGAAACGAATACACCGCCGCCGGCCACTCCTGCGCCGCATGTACTATGCTATGAGCCTGAGTGAGAAAATCATGTGTATGCTGTCCACCGGCACCAGTGCTTCAACTTCGTCCGGGTTCACTACTTGCCTCTTTGCCTATCAGCCATATTTCACATACGTTGATCCAAGGAATACTGAGGTGATATTTGTATTTTTCATCCGCTGTGGATGGTCGGAGCGCACAAACCTCACTTTTCTCACCCAGTCAGCTGTGCAATATGAGAGAGATTAACTGAAGGGAACCTTAACAAGTGCCTTAAACTTTGTATGATAACTGTGTCTTGTGAAATGTTGGATTAAGGAGATGCTGAGCAGGTAGCTAAGCGGTTCGTCTTCAAACAAACTTCACACTTTCCATAAAGAGGTGCAGCCGGGAGAAGCATCGGGTGTGTGATTGCCTGTTCGGGCGTGTGACACCGGATAAGACTTGGCGTCTATCTGGCGGCTAGCCACCGTCTTCATCCCACTCGCGTCGACGCCTTACTCTCTAGTTACCCGCTAACTCTCGCTTTGCTATGCCTTGTGATCCAGAAATGTCAAGTAACAGTCGAGTAACATCACTAGTACAGCTTTGCCAAAGAGGTATGTTGAGGAAATACCCCGGTATACCACGGAGGTCTGATGTATCCGGATCGCAGTGGCATCCGCCCATGTCGAAAGTACGCTCGTTATTTTCTCATACTCGACTGATTTTCTCAAACATTTACAGATTTCTGTAGCCTTGGAGACGAGGCATCGTTTGAGCTGTTCGCCCCGATTTTGCAGAACTGTTCCGCCGAGGCACTGTTGCGCTTCGAACAGGCCACCCCAGTTAGTATGGCAACTCGTTCTCGGGAAGCTCAACTAATTCCAAGTGTCATTGCGTCATCTAGTCACTGACAGACTGTACCTCTGGTTAGTTTCCCTCTTCACGGACACGCCGCTGGAAACTCACACTCAGCAGAACTATGGAAAGCGCTATGCTTCCGTACATATCCCCTTCCGGCTGAAAGACGTAACACAGATACCGAACCTGACTCGTGGCGCGAAGAGTTCTTCGTAGGCGATGTGTTCTTCTGCCCTCGAATCCGTGCTTATTTTTGGACAGATTCTACGAGATTTAGAGGCGCGGCGCTTGGAAGCCGTGGGCTCCAAGTTGCGCATCCAGCGAGAAGAGCTGGAACAGCGCAAAAAGGATTCGCAGATTAAGCTTACAGATAAAGTCCCGTCCATGAAGCGCTATCGCGGCGGTTGTAAGTCCTTAACTTACGTGTCTGTGTCAGGTGGGCTGACCATCGACCTCATGTAATTTAGGGGGGCAAGCACAGCCACCGAGAACGCTTTTGCAAAAGACTCGTGCAGATGCTGTTAGGATGCAGAAAGGCATTTACGGCGCGCGCATGATGCCTGCAATGCCGGCCTCGAAGACGTGTCGGACTCTATCCAGCACCACCGCCACTAAGCCGTCAATTGCTACCGCAACGCCCATCGATCCTCCAACCGGTAAGGTTGGTACTCGGGTCACAGTATCCGCAGTGGCGAAGCCACACCCAGCAGCTGTCATTGCGAGCCAGAACGTGTCATCAACGCCTGCCTCGTCATCACCTGCCCGGCCGGTTCCCACCAGGACACCCTCAACCACTGTGCCGCCGGCTTCGCCTCCCCCGTCAACTCCTCGGCCCCCACAGAGTTCGCCACCTCCGATCGCGAACGAATCTGGTCCACTGAAAGTGCCGGTAGCTCGGAAGGATCCCATGGCGTCCCTATTCATGCCGAAGCACCGTGCCTATTCACAACTTCCCACGCACTCGTCCAGCATGCGGTCCAGAGCATGATGGCACTACATCTCTGCGATGACTTATCCTACTCCTATTCAGTCCTGACTGCCCACCTCCATTTGGTCTCTGTCTCATCTCACTTGCTGCACACCGCACACATCTCCACTTCCATCGCTTTTGTACGCACGACAAACCTCTAGCCTGCATTCGCCTGCCACTTCTCTGGGTCCTTTTGCATTGTACTCTTATACCCGCATCAAGTCAGATACGGTCGATATACTGGCGACTAATTGTTGTACTACTTTTCTGTATGCATAATATGACGCAGCCTGTAGCGATTCGCGAGAGCGGCGTGTACACCTGGGGCGGGCGATGTACCTGATATGTAGCAGTTCCAGGCATCTACTCGATAAGCCTTGGACCCTTTCTCGAGTGTTCGAGCTCTAATCGCCAACATTGAATTCGTTAACAACGTGAAGTCAAGCGTATGTTGTCGTACGTTACCGCAATGGGATCCAGGACAAGCCGTTCCACGGTAATAGCGGGACATAGCCGAGCCATGTCTACAGGGCTCGGTCGGCAGTCCATGCCGCAGGATGGACAAATGCCACTTGTAGACGGTACCATGGCTAACAGTGAGGCACAATCAATATCTGTCCTGTTCCCACAAGCCTGTTTTGACAGCCCCCAGTCCCGTGCGCGCACGCGTGCAGTACGAAGAGAGAACGAGAGAGCGGTAGCGAGAAGTCGAACGCACTGGTCGTTTGTGTGGGAGACGTCGCTGAGTTCTGGGAAGCACAAGGCGTCGCGGGCGGTGACTGGGAAAACGGATGCTTGGAAAACCAGCGGAACTTCCTCGAGGCTTTCCGGGCACCGTTCGCGGGGTGCCATACCTGAGAACGCCGCCGCAAAGGGGGCATATTGCGGGAGGCATGTGCGAGAATCCCGTTTGTAAGAAGGGGCACGCATTAGCCTTCAGAGTTGCGTGGAAAAATAAATGGGCACTGGTCGCAGCAGTACGCAGGCCGGTTGCAATCAGAGAAGATAGGCTAGAACATAGCGCAGCTGTTTCAACCCTATCACGTCACTCGGAGAAGAATATCTGTCGGGTTTGCTGTGCCTTGGCAGGTTGCTGGCAGCGAAGGGGATGTGAAGATCTTGCCGCTCGGAGAAGGTAGATTGACCAGAGGATGTGTTCCTTCGAAGGGTTCCGGGGCCTGACGGACGTATGCGGCCTCAGTCTTACACGTTCTCGGGCTCGGCCCAGGATAGAGGGCCGTCCGCAGCACAGGACACCTTCGCAGCCGCAGTGTGCCCCGTCTTGCGGCCGCCTCTCCCTGCAAGAGGCTATCAATAATACAAGCTTGTCTGGCATGAGTCATCTTCACATAATAGAGAGCTACCAGACTCACGGGCTTGCTCGCAAACGCAGTTACATAGAGTTAGGTCCTTGACAGCTCATGTTGAACGTGCAAAGCGAAACAACTCGTATGTCGTCCCTTCACTTAGGATACCCACCTGCGCAGCAGTTGGAAGAACATCCTTTCTCAGCCATGGGCAGTTGCGAATTACCAGCGGTATGTCTATACAGTACGGCTACAGGTGCATCCTGCCGTACTCCACGACCGGTGGGACACTGATAGATGCTGCCTCCCAAGCTCCACTGGGGAAACAGGTAGCAGCGACAACACCGATGCACGGAGCCTCGGAAAAGCCATCTAAACCCGCCTTGGTTAGGTTGCTGACCTGGTTGATGGTGCGAAACATACATACGAGAGACGATGTGCTGCGTGTGGAGGTAAACGCGGAGAGAACCTTCTTTGTTATTTACACTGTGATGATCTGAGACACGGTGGCGTGACCAGACACGTAGTACGCGACTACACGGGTCTGAGGCTCCTGGCACCAAACAGGATTAGCGTACGACGATAAATATAATATTGCATACTAGTCCGTGGATAGTATTATATTGTGACACTTCTATGCGCACATGGAGACCGAGGAACAATGTGTTACTAGCTTGGGCAGGAAGAATACAGATGAGAAAATGAGATGCGCCATGTGAATGCAAGTGGGAGTGTGAGATGGGCGTGCAAGCAAGAGGTCGAGTAGGAAGATATGTACGAAAGTTAGTGGAGGCAAGTTGAATGCCCAAGCCATACCTGTAAGATAAATCCTGCCGTGTTACTACAAGGAGCGCGACGTTCCTGCGATGCCGAATCCTGATGCCCCACCTAGGCCATCCCCGACCCATTCTCTGCCCTTTCCTTTGCCCTTCCCACCGCCGTCGCGCTCGAGACTATCCGAAACTTCCGCGAGCGCACTAGAACCTACCGTCCACACCGGGTTCGCCTCCCATATACGGATCGTGTGGTCGTCCGAGCAGGTCGCGAACATCCTTGGATTTGCCGGGTTCCACGCAACCGAATTGACGCTGCCGTTTCCGTGCCCTGGAAGTGTCTCGAGCAGCGTTCCAGAGCCGCGATGCCAGATGTATACGTTGCCGTCTGCGATGAGCGCATCAGTGCGTTAGGAAAGCAGACCCATATCTAGCATACGACACACCTTCGCTCCCGGAAATGATGAAATTCCCGTCCACACCACCAAATCCGCTCCGTATAACATGGCGGGACTGCCTGTGGCCTGTGTACTTGCGCACCGTCCTGCCGGTGCTGATCTCCCACAAGTGAATCTCCTGCGAGCATAGGGCCATGTGATATGTCAAAATTATTCACAAAGGTGGGATGGTTGGTATGACCGACTCACGGCATGCAGACCAAGCGAGTCCAGTGCGCGGTTTATCAACACATACCGCGAGTTCTGCGACACCTTGACGCTCGTCAGCTCTCCCTCCATCTTCACCGACCTGTCGCGACACCCAACAGTTCGGAATCAGCGCCAAGTGCATTCAACAGGGTCGGGATGATGTACGTACGTCTCCAGCTGTTTTGTCAATAGGTCGTACACGATGATCCGGTTCTCTGTTGGCCGATTCGCTGGTGTAGGCGCAGTTGATCCCGCCGGAGGCGTCGCAGTTCCACCACTGGCGCCATCCGACGTCGGAGCTACGCCACCCGCTGGTGGTAGCGGCAATGGTGTATCGTACATGCCAATGGCGACGAGCTTGCTGAAGTCTGGTGTGATAGCAAGGTCCGTCACCCGTATCGGCGTCCGGCCCCAGGTGTCCCGCTGCTTTCCGTCGATATCCTGAGAAATGCCCGCGCAGTCAGTGCCAAGAGACGACCCGAAACACTGGCCTGTGTGCACGCACCCAAAGAATTATCCTCCTGTCAAGTCCGCCGGAGATGAATCCAGAGCCGTCTGGCAACCATGCCAGCGCGGTTACGACGTCAAAGTGGGCATCCAGCACCCGTATGAGTGCACCGGTCTGTGTGCGAGAGAAATAGGGTCAAAATCCCGGTTTCTGAATGATAGGCACCCTCGGCACGTACCCTGGTATTCCACATGTGTATGTAATTTTCCGACGCGGTGAGCAATACCGAGTCGTCTAGCGACCACGCTACACAGCCGACGGGGTATTTGTGGTCGCGTAGGATAAATTGCGCGTGGTATTCTCTCGTCGACGGGTCTGCATCTGACTACAACACAAATTGCAGCTCCGTAAGTTGTCATCGACCATCGAACGACCCAAGTACTTACACCTATTCGCCATATGATTGCTGACTTGTCTCTGCTCGCCGTGGCAAGATAGCCGCCACTATGACTCCATTGGAGATTCCAAACCTCATCATTGTGTACCTGAAGGATCGCAGTCGTCACCCGCGGGAACGCTTCCATGTCGCATTTATGATCGGCATAGAGTGAGAACGTCCGTGCATTTGTTGGTGCGTTGTGATACAGACATTGCGCCTGCTGGTATTCCCGCGCCTGATCCAAGAGAGTGGCGAACCGACGTTGCGGGATCATCACTGATGACGGTATGTATCCTGAGGATGCTGATAAGTATAGCTCTGTTCTCACGGGGGTGTGACATGCGTACGTTGCAAGTTGGCCAGTAGCCGTCGTCTCGACGAGCCACCCGCTCCATCCCAACCTTCTTGTCGTCGCAAGTCCTCCAGATCCTGACACATGAGTAAGCTACAAAGTGTCCGTGAGCGTTCGGCCCTCATCACGTAATTTCATGCACTTACCTCGCAAGCGCGTGTAGCTGCTCCGGGTCAGGACTTGAAGGTGCGAGCTCATTCCGTAGTATGTGCAATGCCGACGCTGTCTCTCGAGCTTCGAGGAGCTCTAGGTATTTCTGCTGACTGATAAGGAATTTCGCTTCCTATGTGCCGTTTAATGATGCCGAGCGGGACCGCAGTAGTGGCATTACTCACCCAAAGCCCCTCCTCCTCCGAAAGCCCTAGTCTCAACAGAGTGTCCTCTGCGCTATCCCAGTCACCCTCCAATATACATTGTCGAAATCGGGAGACGTCTGAGGTCTCCATCGTGTAGCCTGACTCCGCCTCCAGAGTTGCAGCAGACTCGCTACCACAGCGTGCATTTCATGAACGGAGAAGCATAATGAGACTGATAAGAGCACTTACATGTATCCCACATCACGCAAACTTTGAATGACTAGCCGCACAAACTCCTCTCTGTCTACATGCGAGTCGTCGTAGAGGGTAGTGCCGGGCAGTGACACCCGTGCCACCGACTGTGGGTGCTTCTCTGCCCTGTGTCCGTCCGTCAGCGGGGCCTTGCCATTCCCATTCATGAATGGCGCAGTGAAACCGTTCCCCTTGAACACACCATTGTGCCCGTTCGAGAGTGCAGGCGTCGAGGGCCCGGCCTCGGGCAGGGCGTCAGGAGAGACAGAGAGTGTCGAGTCGGCGTCGTTGCTTGTGAGCCGCATGTGTGCAGCAGGCGTGTACGTGTCTTCGGTGGTGCGTGAGCGTTCGGTGGCGGGGGTGGTAGTGACAGAGCTGAGGCTGTCGACTCGCGTCCTTTTTCGCGCACGGTAGGCGTCCGGGTCTGCGTCGCGGTGCGGCGGTGACGGTGGGAGTGCTCGCGAAGACGGATGGAGGAAGGACAAAGATGACAGTTCAGACGAAGGAGCAATTGCGGACTCGGTGTCGTCTTCCTCGAGCTCAGAGCGGCTGCGAGTCGCCGGGACAAGGCTTGCGCCGGCTGTCGTCAATATCTGGGTGCGCAGAAAAGCTGAGCTGGATGCAGACGGAGATTGAGACTGAGAGCGAGCGGCGGTCGCTGGAGGTGCTGATGCTGGTGCAAATGGTAGTGTACTCGAAGGGACGACGCCCCGCGGTGTACTCGTCTGGTGTGAATCAATGGTGACGAAGCGTGCTACGGGACAAAGTTCTGCGTCGTCGACGCCCCTTGGCGGGGCAATTAGGGGCGAGCTTACAACAAGAGTCGTCTGGATGAGCGGTAGAATGAGATGGTCGAGGACATGTGCTGAACGCTAGGCGGCAGCTTTCTGAATCATTTATTATTTCGCAATCCGATGCCACCAATCACGACCCCGCAGTGTGCCCACAAGATACACGGATATCGATGAAGAGTGCACTAGTCTCAGCCCTGCGATATTGCACAGAGACTATCTAAGGGACGGAAGCACTTCAATTCGAGCACCCATCCAGACGGAGACAAATCGAGGTCTTGGCGGCATACGTAGCAGTCTCGACCCTGTCAAGGCTGAATGAGTCCCCCTCTGCTAGCTGTCTATGCTACATATTTTATCTATGCGGGAATGCTGCAGTAGATACATATAAAGGGTTCCTCTTTCGCCCTACACCTGGGCAGACACATGCCAGTCAAGGATGTCCTCCCACTTGCCGGGGAGCAGCTGCGAGATCTGCTCAACGTCTTTGTCCCCACGTCCGGACAAACACTAAGAAGTGGTGTGAGCACTCAAGTTGAAGGTTTTCGAGATAAAGAAGCACGTACAATGACGATGTGTTGGTCCTTGGGGAGCGTTTTCGCAAGACGGACGCCTTCCCAGATAGCGTGCGACGACTCGAGCGCAGGAATGATACCCTCAAGCTGCGTAATCAAGCGGAATCCGCGAAGAGCCTCCTCGTCGGTCGCGACAACATACTGTGCGCGACCAGAGTCCTTCAACCAGGCGTGCTCGGGACCGACACCCGGATAGTCAAGCCCAGCGCTAATTGAGTGCGTCTCGATAATCTGGCCACCACGGTCCTGGAGAATGTATGTACGCACGCCATGAAGGACACCAGGCTGGCCCTTCGCGAGCGTCGCACTGTGGCGATCGCCGTCCGTGCCCTCGCCCCCTGCCTCGACGCCGACAAGCTTGACGCTCTTGTCGTTGATGAAGTTGTAGAATGTGCCGATGGCATTGCTGCCGCCGCCAACACAGGCGACGACCGCGTCGGGGAGGCGGCCAATCTCCGTGTGCAGCTGCTCCTTGATCTCCTCGCTGATGACCTTCTGGAAGTCGCGCACGATCGTCGGGAACGGGTGCGGGCCGATGGCAGAGCCGACGAGGTAGTGCGTCGTCGAGAGGTTCGTGACCCAGTCACGCATAGCCTCGTTCACTGAGTCCTTGAGGGTGCGCGAGCCAGAGTGTACGGGGATAACGGTCGCGCCCAACATGCGGATACGGAAGACGTTGAGCGCCTGTCGGCGGACATCCTCGGCACCCATGTAGATAATACACTCCATACCGAAGCGGGCACAGACAGTTGCAGTCGCGACACCATGCTGTCCTGCACCAGTCTCAGCAATGATACGGGTCTTGCCAATCCTGCGAGCGAGGAGGATCTGGCCGACAGCATTGTTGATCTTGTGCGAGCCAGTGTGGTTCAGGTCTTCGCGCTTCAACCAGATCGTCGCACCACCTGCATGTTGGGTGAGGCGATCCGCTTTATACAGGTTCGAAGGCCGGTTCATGTACGGGTAGAAGCTGCGGAGTTCTTTCCAGAACTCAGGATCGGCCATCGCGCTCTTGTGTGCCTCCTCGAGCTCGACAAGGCAGTCGTAGAGGGACTCCGGTACGTACTGGCCACCAAACTCGCCAAAACGAGCAGGCAGGACGCTTGGGTCGGAGATAGTATGAGACGGAGCGGGACCTTTACGATTAACATTGAGCACGGGCTCTGCGCGTGGATCACCGGTCGGGGTATGAAGACTATTCTGGCCGGGCATGCCCTTGAGGCTGATCTGCCTGCAGTAAGCCTCGACATTTTTGGCGAGTTCCTCTGGTGGCGAGTTTTTGATGACCGAAACAAGGCGGCTGCCAACAACAACGCCCTCTGCACCTGCCTCAGCGACGTGCTCGAAATGTTGGCGAGTAGCAACACCAAAGCCGACTGCGAGAGGCACGGTCGCATATTCCCGAACACGAGCGATGATATCGGGCAGATCAGTGTTCAGCTTGCCGGTATCCGAAGAGCCGGTCGTGCCCATCCTCGAAACGACATAGATGAACGTGTCAGCAATTGAAGCCAAAAATCGAATCCGATGAAAGGTCGTGGATGGTGCAATCAGTGGGACGTAGGAAAGACTAATTTTAATAAGGTTAGCGAGATGAATGACGTTAAAGAGCCATCACAGACGTACTGTGATTTTTGGCATTTTTCACGGAAGGCAATGGCTTCTTCTGGTGGTAGATCGACCATAATGAAACCGTTGGCACCAGCTTCGTATGCATCCTGAATGGCTTTGTCTTCTCCATAGGCCAGCATTGGGTTGTAGTAGCCTTGGTAGATGTAAGCAGATGGATCACAAGAAGTCTATACAGACACACCCATAAGCAGTACAGGAGCAGTCAAACCCTTGCTGCGAGCTTCCCGCAAGAGACCCAAACACGTAGCATAGTCTAAACCATTCTTAACCGCAATCTAGGGTTCATGTATGAGGACGTTCCAACGGAGTCGGAAGGGTCTGTAACGCACGGCGTTGGTCTCCTGGATGGCAGGTCCGTCCGCGATGGGGTCTGAGAAGGGCACACCGAGCTCAATAATGTCTGCACCACCCTCTTGCATTGCAAGCAGAACCGGTACAGTATCCTGGACCCGCGGATAACCGGCAGTCACGAAAGTGACCAGGGCAGGGGAGTTCTGCAATGGCTTTGAGTTTATGCTTCGCAAGCGACGGCACCAGGGCGTACCTCCTGCTTCTTCTTTTCAAAAAGACTTTTGAGGGCGTCCATGCTGTAAAGAGTGGCGAAAGAACGAGGCGAGAGGCGGGGCGTAGCAGGCAGTCGGGGAATCGAGACGACTGCAGCTGGAGGCTATATAAAAATTGACTCGAAATCTAATCTGACTTGCCTGGGCGTCTGATCCGATCAAGCAAAGGACCCCGAAAACCTTTGACCGTCCGTTGCCATCCCCGGTAAAAGGCCAGCAATCCTCCGGTAAGACTTGCGTGCAAAGGGGGAAACTCCGCAGATACTGTCGCAAGAGATCACAGCCCAAACGTCGGGGCAGAGTCAAGATAACTCGCTTTAGAGAGCAAGCTGATGCTCGGTGGTGGTTGAGGTCCTTGAGGAAACTGCCGGCTGGGAAATAAGCGCCTCGGTAAGTGCCCCAACTGACCTCCTCCGCGTCCAGCACTCGTAACGCACCACGTATTCGCCGGTTTTCATTCCGGAATGGAGTTGTCACAGCCATATGATGAATCTAAGGTACTCATCATCTACACCGGCGGAACGATAGGCATGCTTGTTGGCCATCAGGGATACGTTCCAGAGCCGTACTTCCTGACCGAGACACTCTTCAGCCAGCACAGGTTCCACGATCCGCTTGAGGAGTCGCTGTTCTCCCACTCGGCTTCAGTAGAGGGCTTCCGGACCTGGAGCAGTAACAGTAACAGCGGGCGGAACACCCCGCAGTCGAGCACATTTGCGAGCAGGGCGCCGTCACCCGCGCGCGTCGGACCTCATCTGCCGTCGACCCTGCTGGTCCGGTCTTCAAGGCCAATTGGCGCAGCTGAGCCTCTAGCTGTCTCGGGCAATGCACGTCCCAGCCAGTTGCGTCGCCCATTCTGCCGGAAGGTGTCAGAAAACGTCTACGAGGCGAACCTGCCCAGTCTTGTAACGCCGCGTACGACCGCGCACGGATCAGGCGGTAAGCGCGTTCGATACGTGATCCTGGAGGTAGGCATCGGCCTTTTGAGGTCGATTAAGATAGCATGCTAACTGCATCGCGTAGTGGAGTCCGCTATTAGACAGCAGTAACATGGAAATTGCCGGTACAGTGGTTCCAGTATGGACGTGAGCCGTTGATACGAAATGCGCGCAAGGCAGACTGGATCCGTATCGCGACCGACATCGAGCTGAATTATGCGGCCTTTGATGCATTTGTCGTTCTCCACGGCACGGACACAATGTCCTACACTTCGTCAGCCCTCAGCTTCCTCCTCGAGGACCTCGGCAAGACTGTGGTACGCTCGCTCCCTCGGCGCATCGGAACAATGACGAACTTCCGCACAGATCGTAACAGGAGCTCAGATTCCGCTGTCACAACTTCGAAATGATGCTGTCGACAACTTGTTGGGTGCGCTGGCCCTTGCCGGACACTACATCATCCCAGAGGTCTCGCTCTTCTTCAACCACACTCTTTATCGCGGCAACCGGGTGTACAAACACTCGTCGAACGACCTTGACGCCTTCGCGAGCCCAAACTTTGCTCCGCTCGTTCATGTTGGTATCGACATCACCGTTGACTGGAACAATGTCATCAGGCAGACAGGCTTGCGGCGATTCAAGGCGCACAAGCGTGAGTCTAATGACCGGTCCATGCGAAATGTCAAGCTAACGCTGCCCATTAGAGATGAGTCCGCATGTCGGTGAGTATTTTTCTTGGTCCGGCAGTCGCGGAATTTAGCCTTGACCGTGCTACAGCCACGCTACGCCTCTTCCCCGGTATCACGGCAGCGACCGTCCGTGCCTTCCTTGCACCGCCCATTCGAGGCCTTGTCCTAGAAACGTTCGGTGCCGGCAACGCCCCGCAGCGCGGAGACCTCCTCGATGCTTTCAAAGAAGCCTGTGACCGCGGCGTTGTTATAGTTGCTATCTCACAATGCTCCAAAGGCACTGTCTCTCCCGACTACGAGACAGGTATTGGCCTGCTCAAGCTCGGCATCGTATCGGGCGGTGATATGACACCAGAGGTGAATCTTCTTCATGCACAACGTGCGTGAACACTCACGACAGCCCGCAGTGCGCACTGACCAAGCTCGGATATTTGCTCGGCAAACCCGACATCTCTGTCGAGCAGGTGCGCGCGCTCATGGGCACGCCCCTCCGTGGCGAGCTCACGCTTCCCGCGCGGGAGATTCCGAAGGCGCCAGGTGGGCACACAGGGATCGAGGACTCGCTCGAGAGCATCCAGGGCGTGCTCACGCACGTCGTGCGCCTGAGCAGCACACGGCTGCCCGCCGCCTCGCCGTCCGCGACACCTATGCTCGGGGATCGCGCGCGCGATGCCGCGGCGTCGTGGAGCTGGACCGCAGCGGAGGCGGTGTCGACGGAGGTCGCGCTCCTCCCACTGCTCATGCACCTCGCCGCGGCACGCGACGACGTCGAGGGCCTCGCGTTCTGCCTTGCATCTGGCGACGCGAGCGCCGCTGCGACGTCGCCTGACCTCTCACGGCGCGAAAGTGCGCTCTCGCCCAGGAGAAGCGCCACTGTCGTCGGCGGCATGGCCAACTGCATCGACCCCGCGAGCGGCCGGTCGCCGCTGCATGTTGCGGCGCTCAATGGGAGCGAGCTCTGTGTCGGTGCGCTACTCGAGGCGGGTGCGTTGGTTCACCTGCGGGACGCTTTGGGGCACACTGCACTTTACTACGTGTGTATTTCGAGCTGTTCGCATCATAACTCCAATTCACCTGCTAGCCACAGGCTGCGCGGCAAGGACACGAAAATATCGTCGACATACTGGTCAGGGCTGGCGCAAACCTCGGCGGTTCGGACGTCGAGGGCGGCTTCGTGCGTCTCACTATGCAAAAGGCAGTTCTCGCGCAGGATGAACGTGCGTTGCGGATATGGAAAAAGGCTGGTGCAGATATCCAAGAACAGTAGAGTCATCACAGTATCATCCTAGACAACATTCACGCCACTGGAAGTCACGTCAAGTTTCGATGTATACACAGCCATGTAATAGAAGCAAGCATATCGCAACCAATGTAACAAACATTCTGTACTCGTGTAAATCCTTATTTATCACCCCAGAAACATGTCGAACCTACAGGAGACGATGGTTTCTGCTATCACGACTCAAAGAAAGGGCCGACTCGCTGACGAAGTGGTAACCTCGGTCTAGCGCTGTCATGTTGTCAGACGCAGAGGGTTGTGTGCTGTTCACGTGAAGAGGCCTCCGGCTTGCAGCTACGTGGAAGATTGTAGAGCTCAGAAAGGCCACCCGCGAGTACAATATCAATGAGCTCCATAAACATACCCAAGCTAGCAATCCAAGAAATACATCGCACAAACGTCTACTCATCGATGATCTGGTCGATCTCCTCCTCGTCCTCGTTGGATTGGGTAGCGGCAAGGCGCGCGCCGAGGGTCCTGATGAACACACTCATCTGGTCGCGCGAGAAGACGAAGCTCTCGCGGAAAAAGTCGAGTCGCTCCCGGAACTGGGCGCTCTCCAGCTCGAGGTTCAGCGGCCAATATTGGCATTTGGCTTCGAGCTCGTCGCGTGACGCCGGTTGTGGCCGGTTGTCCGGGTCTAACGCTGTCTTGGGAAACCACATTGCGCGTATGTTGAACTGCAATGCTGTGGTGCCGTGTCAACGATGGGCGAACGACAAGGTGGAGACAGACGTACTGGGATTCCCGCCGCTACTGCTTTCTTCCGTCTTGGTTGCGTCAATGTACGTATAGGTACAGTTGAAAGTGTACTCCTTGAGGTCTGGCCACGAGGGATACGGCGACGGCAGACTGGTGACTTTCGTGATGAGTAGGTTTGTACAATCTTCGTAAAGCTTGGTGACCTCGCCCTGTAACGGGTCTGGGGGGGATGATGTATGCCCGGCACGCGGACCTCCGTTTAACTTCGACGCTGGCGGGTTCTTCGCCTGATATTCTTTGTGCATCCTGCTCTCGAAGTCGAGCTGCTGTTCCAGTTCTTGGTCTAGATAGGATTCGTCAATACAATGCGACAGGGCTCTAATGGTGCATACATTTTCTCTCGAGCTGATTAATCTTCGCATCCTTCTCCTTGATGACGTTCTCTAGCTGCTTCGTTTTCGCATCCAGATTCTTCTTCTCCTCATTGACAGCCTCTCTACTTAGGAACTGGACGGCGGGATTTGACTGCGAGACAGCACCGTATCTAGCCAGCTTAGCCGTCTGCTCTTCTATAAGCTGCTCTTGGGCTTCAAAGAATAAGTTAGCTACCGATGTTGATCCATAGCTCATCTTGCGATACCTCGTATTGTCGCATCGTACTGAACTATGCACTCTTGAAGTTTCTGTTCTGGCTCCGTCTGTCGTATTTGCAGCGCTTCCTGCACCTGCTTCACAAGTCTTTCTCGATGTGAAGTGACCTGTGCAACCTGTGTAAGCTTTGAAGGTATACTGAGAGACCTGCAGACACGCCTCTTCCAGCTGCTTGCGTAATCGCGCATTCTCTCTCTCTAATGCTTCATTCGTAGCATTTTCGCGCGAGGGACGCGTCTGAGCCTTGTTTGGCGGTTTCGCGACTGGTCGCGGTTTGGGTCGTGGTTCCGCCTTCGTCCGCTGGGGCTCGACAACCTGCACACCATCCACTTCCATAGCATCCTCTCTCTCGTTTTGCGCCAAATCATCTTTCGCCTTTCCCTTCCCTTTATTAGCTGCCTTCCCGTTGGCTAGCGGAGGGTTGGTCGCGGGGGCTTTGCCCTTGTTCTTCGGTGGTGGTGGGGGGCTGTCTCCGTCGGAATAGAGGATTATGGCGTCTTCAGGTGCAGAGGTTTTGCTCGTCTTAGACGGTGAGACCTTTGCGTTCTGGGCCGTCGCAGTTTTCGAAGATGGTCCCGCTGCAGTGCGACTAGTCTGCTGAGCACGAGCGGGGGCTTTCTTCGGTGGCGCGGGTGTGGTAGGGTCATACCCTCCTGAGTGATTTTGAATGGCAAGTGTTTGAATTCAAAAGACTAAGACGTACCGAGATCGTCGTCAGAATCTAGCATCGTGATAGTACAAAGAATGCTGTCCTTGTGTGCGAACGCGTGAGGCTCGACGCTCGTGGCGTGTATCGGGCGTTTATTCACGTGGACGATATTGGTCCGATACACGTGACATCAGAACCCAGCAAAGCCAATCTTGTGCATTATTGGATAAAAAGCTGGTGGCCTTACTATTTCCCGTGAATATTGGACAAATAGAAACAGCCATCGTTCGCGACCGCGCGCCTCGCCTCTGTACGCCATGCCTCCGATATCGATCTTTCAACACGTTCGTCTTGACCGCCATCGACGAGCATGGAGCAATACCTCGCAAACAGGCGGGCGCTCATTGTCAAAGACAGGGCGGCGCGCCTCGATGTGGCACATTCGGACATTTTCGACGACGAGGCCGACGCTTTCGTCTGCCGGGTTCGAGCTGAGGAAGCTGTCTCAATATGGGGACCTGAGAGCACGCACACTCATGGCGAAGGGGATGTCACACATCTCTTCCCGGGCATGGCGTTCCTAACAGGTGAGCATACGCAGAGTCCAGACTCGTCACAAGCGACGTAAGATTGACTGTGTATGCTCAGCGCGGGATATCATCGTCAAGACAAGGCTGTTTAAGATTATGAGCAAGGTGTGTTGGACTGTAGCTGTACCTGAAATATCTTAAGCGCGTTGTAGATGCCGAAAGGTGCTCTCTTGCATGCACATCTAGATGCGACAGTGAACGCGCGAGTGCTGCTCGACCTGGCCCTCAAGTATCCTGCCTTCCATATAATGGCCGAGCAGTCGCTTACTGCGTTGAACTTGAACTCCATACGGCCTAAATTTCGCCCATTACCTCGCTCGGTGTGGACTGAGCACTGTAGCCTGACAGAATCTTATGAGGTGGGGGCATGGGTCCCGCTCCATAAAGCGCGAGAAAACTTCACGTTCGGCGGGCCAGAGGGTTTCGACAGATGGGTTATAAGCGCTCTTACTATCAGCCCAGCCGAAGCCTACAGGACGCACAATACGACGGTCAAGGCCAGTGCCAGCTCTGTTGCGCTACTTCGAGTTTAGTATACTCATAGGTTACTCAATAGATTTGGGACAAGTTTACATCGACGTTTAGAATGGCAAGCGTAAGTCTACAGTACCTCTGGAAGGAGCGTGTTTCATGGCAATGGCGCAGGGTCTCATCCACTATCTCCCGCTCTGGAAGGAGTACGTCCGGGCCTTCCTGCTCTCATCTGTCGAAGACGGGATCTCCTACATTGAAGTGCGCGTTAACTTCTGGTATCGGTGCGTCTACGATTTTCCACACGCGGCGCGCATATATTCAGCTATGTGGTAGTTTCATCATCAATGAAGAGGGCGAAGAAGTCGTCTCGCACCACGACTGGCTGGCCGCATTCGACCGCATCGTGCACGACGTGCAGGCTGAGCTCGCCGCTCAAGGGCGTGCAGATGAGCTCATCGGGTGCAAAATTATCTACTCGACAATACGCAATGAGACGCCGGAAGACCTCGAGTGGTACCTCGAGGACTGTCTTGCGCTCAAACAGGCGTTCCCGCACCTCCTTGCTGGTGCGCCTCACCTCCGCTTGCATCAATCTTGTATTTGCGGCTGTGCTCACAGTTTTGCTGAAAAGGTTTCGATCTTGTCGGGCACGAAGACCTCCTGCGGCCGCTGATCGATTACCTGGTGCCCCTTCAACGTTTTGTCGCACGTCAGCGCGAATTAGGCCTCGACATACCGTTCATTTTCCATGCGGGTGAAACCCTGGGCGACGGAACTGCCGCTGACATGAACCTCTACGATGCCCTCCTGCTCGGCACAAAGCGCATTGGGCATGGGTATGTTGTCACTAATCTCAGTTCCATGACAAGCAGACTAAGCGCGCGCATAGATTTTCGCTCATCAAGCACCCCGAGCTCATGAAGATCTGCAGAGAAAGAGACGTCGCCATTGAGGTGTGCCCCATCTCGAACGAGATCCTAGTTAGCCAAGTCCACCTTGTGCGCTTCATCTTGAGCTGAAGGACTGTTGGTGCAGCGACTGACCTCGTCGATGCCCGCACATCCGCTCGCGGCGGTCATGAATCACGGTGTACCGGTGACACTGTGCTCGGACGATCCGTCCGTGTTCGGGAACATGGGCCTCTCGTACGACTTCTTTCAGGTGCTCGTCGCGAGTGAGCTTAACAGCTTGAAGACGATGGGGTGCCTCGCACGAGATAGTTTCAAGGTTGGTTCTATATCTATTGATAAACCTTATGAGATAGCAGCTCATGTTGTACATGCATTGTCGTAGTACTGTTGCTTGACGGACGACGAGAAGGATCGGGCAACCGCTTTATGGGACAAGCAGTGGAGAAAATTCAACGACTGGCTCGTGCAAGAGCAACACAGGACACTCAACAATTGAAATATCGCTTTTGTCCAAATGTTTCATGAGCCGAAATACCCAGGAGAACATGCTCGTCAACCGAGTAGAAGGTAGAATACCTCCAGGGGATGTAGAACAGTAGATTCATAGCATCTTGTATGCAAAACACCACCTCTCACGCGAACACCTTAGAGACTGCGAGCTCGTCCTCGGGCCGCTTCCTGCTCTCTTTGCGCCTGCTCTGATCAATCTCTGCGTCCTTCCGATTGCCATACTTTCCTGCCTTCTCGCGCTTGATCGCCGAGCGGACTGCAGCCGGGGACACAAACTCTGCCGCCACGGTTAGCACAGTATTACATACAAGTATGACGTGAGACTCACCTGGGTTCGAGTACACGGTTGCGCCGCTGAACGCGCCCTCGAAAATGCGGATGGGAGTAAGCACGAAGCGGGGGCCGATCTCGATGAGGCTCATCTGCGGCGGACCGTTCGGCTGCAGTGGGTCTTTCTCAATGATCTGAAAATTGCGGAACCAGGTTTTGTTGTCGAGCAGCGAGAAGGTAAGGATGTGGTCGATGAACGGCTTCGCTTTGCGCGCGCTTGGAGATACACCGAATATCTGCGTTTCTTTTAGCACGAAGCTCAATACGAGGGTGTGGCGGGGGCGTACGTGCGTGAAGACCTCTTTTGTGAGCCGACCCCATTCTGTGTCGTCGAACGCGTGGTCAAAGCTGAGCAGCCCTCGGCTACCTTTGAGGCAGTTGCCAGTCATCTTGAGTTCGTCCATAGTGTGAACGTTCTGTACATGCATCTTTATGCTCGGTCCATTTGGCGTCTTCGCTGCCCACAAATACAGATCTTCGTGTCTACGCGCTTCAAAATAGAGGGCGTTATTACAATTATTGAGGTCTGCGAGCTCGGGAAGGAGGTGTAGGTGGTTCTTTGAGTCCAGCTTTGAGTCTACGGAGTCCCATCAGCATCTGGGACACGCAGCAACTAAAGGCATATGCATACCTTTCTTAACATGTGGCAACAAAGCCTCAATGTCATTCATGAGATGCCGCATACGGTGGGTAATGCCGCGAGATGACAAGAGCAGCACCCGCTGCTTGTTCCTCGACCGCTTCTGTGAAGGCTGCTCATCTACATCTATAGCATCTGCCTTACGCTTCCCCTTTGGGTCGGCCTTGTGGGCATTCTTTTCCTGAGCCTTGAACACTGAGGTCATGTTGAACGAGATAAATAGCAAGAAATGAGAAGGGGCGAAACGAAATGAGCAGCAGGCCTGAAAAAGACGCCTGCACTTTTTGGCTTTGTCACGTGAGAGCGCACTGTGAGCGCTTAACGAGGAGTGGAGGCGAGCCTGCCGCCAGCCCTACACTTGAAAGCTTGAACCTTCAAGGAACTTCTGACCTTCTCATTCTGTTCGCTGCGCACACTTACCATCAGTAATGCTGGGGACTTGTCCGATATGCCTAGAGGGACTCACCGCGGTAGTCGAGCCCACGACAATGCCGTGTGGCCACCTCTACTGTCTTGCTTGTGCATCCTTTTGGTTCCACCAGGGCGACGCGCCGCAGCCTTGTGTTATATGCCGCAAGAACTTCACTGGGGGAGATATCATCAAGCTTTGGCTCACCACCGAAAGCCAGACTAGCCAGACGCCCGAGCCCGCTGCGGGGGATGGGCAAATATCGGCCGCCGCGCAGGAGGTGCTTGATGCATGCGAGGCGGCCGCTGCAAACGTCGGTGCGAAGGAAGAAGATGAAGCGTTGGCCATAGCTCTGTCCAAGTGAGCCCAGGGGTCCCTGATACTCAAGGATAATTTTTGATCGGCCTGACAGAACCGGGGCCTTTGCGGACGGCATGGAAGGCCGGTACGAGGTCGGAGTCATGGCGCGTCCCCCTCAGCATATCGATATAGTCTGAGAGTCTAAATATCTGTCTTTGTAGAATGTGCTCAAGAATGTCCGCTCAGCTCTCCTCGACATCCGCTCAGTCAGTGTTCCTGTCTCTGTACTCCGGCATCTCATATTGAGTCCCCCTTCTCATACAGCTCCTCGAGAAACGAGCGTCGGCACCTGCGCCCGCGCCGGCACTTGCTTCTCCACCTACCGGCGAGATCACGCGGCTGCGTGCGAAGCTAGACCGCGATATCCAAGAACTTTATAGGGAGAGCGTGCTGGCCGAGGAGGCGGGGCAGCGCGCACAGCACGAACACGAGCAGCGTGAAGAGGAGCTCCGCCAGAGACTACAAGACGTACGCCGCGCACTTGACGTTGCGCGCCGGAATCTGCACGAAAACCAGATCCAGGTTGCGAGTCTGAAAGACGAGATGAGCCGAGCGCGTAAGAACGAATTGAGGTACAAAAAGAAGGTACGCTTGACTTCAGAGTCTATGTCGAAGAAATGTTGCTAACATCCAATAGTATCATGCTCTGAAGCAGGAAGTACAAGCCGCAAAGCGAGACGCGAGACGGAATAGTCCCGCTGTAGAGGACGATTCGCTAATCATTCTATAGGACATATACTTACACTACACATTACAAACCCCCGTTGCATCTGAATGGCTCCTGGACATTTTACTTAGATATATGCCCCCACAACGCTTTGCTGCATTTGATCACGCGTGTGTACTATCCGGTGTAACATGCCCCTGGAGTTGTGAAAGAAAAAAAAATACAATAAATAACAGCCATTCGACATGGAGTGGTAAGGCATTACGAAGGAAACTAGCACAGTTGGCAGCGCAAGCTACGCATCAAGAAGTACAAGAACAGGAAAGCATACAGCATATAGACACTATACCAATGTTCAGTGCGACGCAGATCGTAGCTGCTTCTGCTTCTCTTGCTCCAAGCGCTGTAAAAATAACCGATCGTCAGCGGCTGAGATACAGTCCAGGTGACCCACAGACATACGCTATAAAGCAACTGAACAGCAATTTGGATGTTGTTCGGCGCTCCGGTTATGACCACTAGACGTTCGCCCTCATGCGCCGCCGCGGGCGCGGGCTGGCCATTCATGCCTACACCAACCGCACCAGGCTCCATGATCTTGATCTGGCTGGCACTGACGTGTCGAATCTCGTTGATTTTGGAACCACCCTTGCCGATGATGCAGCCGACAAGGTCGTTCGGGATGTAAATCTGCTGCGTCTGCAGCTGCGCCCCTGGTGGGGGCGCGTGTGGCTGAAGAAGCGCGGACGCATGACCGATCGGAACGTACGACGAGCCCTGATATGGCGCTCGGCTGCGTGACGTGCTCGAGGGTCGATACGACGAGTTCTGGTACGATGGCATACGCTCGTTCGCCTCGATGAGAATATTCCCAATGTAGTATGTTGCAATGTGGATTGCATCAGCCACACCGGAGACGCTGAGAACGCGCTGTGGAGGAATGGTAAATGAGTGAGGTCACAAGATGTGGAGAGTATGCAGGGTAATACCTCAGTGGAACCAGGGAGCATGCCTTCACTGGCATTCAGGCGCGCCCCACTGGCGTCTTGAATTTCCTTTATCTTTGCGCCGCCCTTGCCAATGACAGAGCCCATCCGTGAGTTGGGGATCATGAACTTGATAGTCACCGCTCTGCTCCCCGGGACAGACGGCTTGTCAAACGGCTCGTCATTGATCCGCCGTACGATGAGACCGAATGCCTATAACAGACATAAGCCTGAGTTCAGACGGCGGTATGACGAAAACATACCTTTGAGACGGCGTCCAAGGGCCCGCTAACGTTCAGAATGCGTTCTGGGTTGCCTGGAATACTCTCCGAGACCATGACGCGTGCCCCGCTCTTCTCGCGGATTTCATTGACGTGTGTACCGGCTTTGCCAATGATGATAGATGCGTCCTGGGTCACAATCAAGCACCGCATGTGAATGTTGGCAGCAGGCGAGCCGGAGGTTGACTGCGTTGCGCTCGGCGCAGCAGAAGTCGTCGCGGCAAAATCTGCAGCGGGATCTATGCCCGCGGTAGCAGAGACCGCGGCAGCTTTGTCGGCCGACGGAGACGGCGTCGACGCGGCGGTATCGTCTATGGTTGGCAGTGCCTCCATGCGATCGTTGCGTGCAGGAGCAGAGGCAGAGACAACAGAGTCCCTCGTTCGCAAGTCATCCGATGTAGCGCCTGTGTTGGCTCGTTTATGCTTGGGCAGGTCAGCGTCTGAGGGGGAGCGGGACCGCTTGCGCGTGGTATCGGCTTCTGGCATGGTTGTCAATTCAGTTTTTTCAGAGTTCCAGTGATGGAGGGCCTGTTAGCAAGGGAGAGGGTTTGGGAGGTGTGTCGGGATAGGTGTACTTGGGTTCTGGAACGGGGGAGTGTGGACGGTGAGGTGGGGGATGCGAGAGGGATGGGAGGACAGCGCCGCCATTTCTGCGACTTACCTGCTGAGCACTGCTTTGAACAGCGAGCACGAGGGGCCGGATGACGAACAAAGCGTCGTCAAGGATGTCGGGGCAGAGCAAGATGTCGTCGACGTTGCGCGCTCGGGTTGTTTGATTCGAGGTGCTACAATCGGCATCCGCCGTCGGCTTATTCCGCAGTCTCACGATCTCCGTCCCTTTGGAAAGCGATCTTTCGACTCTTCGAGTTGTAGAGGAGCAGGAATACAGTACAGCAAGAGATACACTTATCTATAGGTACAAGAACTAAGTGATATGTGATTAAAATAACGAAATTAGCACGAGAAGGAAATGTAGAATAGATGATACAAGAAGGTCGAAGGTTATGGTGCAATACACGGAGGGTCGTACCAATGAGCCGAACACAAACGAGCTAGGACTCCGAAGATAGCAAAGGCTCTGACTCAGCGTGAGGAGTGTAGAGCGGCAAGGGGATGGAATAATCGATCTTGCGGTCTCCATTAGAGTAGTATAGTTGCGAGTACGCTGGCAGCGTGGGCGCATACGGCGCGCTCGGCACTGGCAGGCCGGGGAGACCAAGGATAGCGTCACCAGAATTTTCGCTAAGGGAGCGCACGTGTCCTACGACAGTGGGCGTCGAGGAACGCGAGGCCTGCTGCGAGCTTGGTGGAATCCTAACAAACCGCAAAGGAACGTGGAACCGCAGGCGCTCTGCTACGCGCTCGAGGTTCTCGCCCTCGCCAAGGTCGTACGTGCAGTTTAGGGTCACGTACATCCGGTGGCTGACGGTAAGCAAAGGAGAGAGGCCAGAGGTTCGTATTGCTTTGCTCATTTGCCACGAAAGGTCTATGGGCGTCCCATGATGGCCGGTCGAAATAGGAACCTCCGCAGCGAAAGAGAACCAGGTGTTGGCCAATTCCGTCTCCATATCCCGAGCGAAGACGTATCCATCGCCGGCTATTCGATAATGGCCAGAGGTGTCGACCGGAAGCAGCGAGAAGGACCTCAGCAGCACGTTGTTGTTTAGTGCCTGGGCGAGGCCCGTGCCGTAGATTCCGTGCAGAGGATGTGGTTTGAGTAGGGGCTTTTGTGGCGGCTGCTCTTCTGCCGGAGGAACAGGATACTGTGTGCTATATGCCAATAGCGGTCGGGTTCTGTCATAGCGCTTGGGTTAGGAATGAATTTTTGAAAGCGTTATTGCGTCGCCTACCGATATCGCTCGCTTTGCTCAACCTCTATCCAAAAGCCTGCCACCCGGAGCCGCTTGCACTCGTTCTCTGGCAAGCCGTTCGTCCGAAGCCGTACTGCAAAGGCAATTTTCTCGTCCTCCACGCTGATGCACTCCGGCACTGACATCTGGACGCGGATCTTGGAGAGCGCTTCTCGCGGGAAACGACTCTCGGCATTCAGGTCATCAGGGCGCGCAGAGACCTCATAATGTGCGATGGGGAAAGGCAAGGCGGAAGTGGACGCATATGACGATGGGGTGGTGTATCTAACCAGAGGGACGGCGACAGGCTGCGCAGTCAAGACCTTTGTTTGAGATTGGAAGGGGAGACAAAGGCTGGAAAGCCAACTTCGCGATGGCACAGAGTCGTTGTTTCGGATCTTCGCAGAAGCATGCAAGGTATAGCTGGTCCCGCCGTCGCGCTCGCCAAATGGCGAGCTCTCTGGCAGCCACCCTGGGACCGTCAGATTGAAGACAATATCCCATGCGCAAGACCTCGAGAGATCATCCAATCCTTCGTTGGTGAGGTCGAGTGGCTCGGCAGCTACCAGATCTTGCGATACTGTGCAGAGGCGCACAGCGGTGTAGCCTGTCTCTTCGCAGAGGAACTCTGATTGGCCCTCGAAGGTCACAACGAGTGACTCCAGCACCAGCCGAGTAGGTTTGCTCTCCTCGAAGCAGGAGGACGGCGGTGTCAGGGTGATGTTGACATGACCAGATACAGAGTATCTTGTGCTGCAATTTCACTGAGAACATCTGGAGACTGCCTGGAGCATCGAATGCTTACCTTTGATCAGGAACACCGTACATATCGAGCGAGCTCGAAGATGGAATAATCTCCAGCGCAATGGCCATGGTGGCGGAGGACAACGAGCGAGCCGGGCAGGGGTACGACATCGAGGTGGGGTACGCAAAGCTATATAAACGATATGCACGCGTTGGGCGAACACCACGGTCCCACTCTCCAGCCCTTGCGGTACGCACGCGGGGCATCTGACAGGAGGTTAATGCGTGAAGAAGCTGGAAAGCATCAAGCCCGGTTTCTGACCTTTTGTCCTGTGCCCATTGTCCTTGCTGATCTGGAGCTTATAGATTCCAGCGAATCTGCGACCCTGGATGTATCACTATGCTCACCGTGATAAAACGGCTGATGCAGGTCATTCATGCCGCCTGTCAGACAATAAGGCTCATCATGGCGGTTTTTCGGATACGCGCTCCGGGAGGTGATGGATATCGGGTTCGCATGCCTGCCCGCGAGGTCATACATAGCCTTAGATGAAGCTCCAGACAGATTCCTTGCCACGGGGACAGCCTCTGAAGATGCCGAGTGCATTGTCACCGTCAGTGAACAACGTGAGCATGTAATGAAAAGCAACGGAGCGTCTATCAACCCCGACTGATGCGCCCACGATCCACTGCCACGAAGACCGCAGCGAGCAGAAGTACTAATAATCCGTGCAGTCATATATTGCGCATGTTTCCGTACAAACACAGATTGCACAAATTTTCACAGGGGGAGCTTGATGCGATCCTTGATAATCCAGGTGGGAACAGGTCCATCGCACAACGCGATCCAAATCTCTCCTCCGTCGAAGCCGTCAACAGCATCATCCTCCCCACTCTCTAAGTGCTGCTCGGAGTAGTTAAGTGCGACCTTATCTTCACCCTTGTCGACAATCCTGCCATCTCGTTTGAGCTGCTCTACGACCTTTGTCCTCTCCTCAGGCTCCGAGTCATCAATGTAGAAGAGCGAGACGTGCGCCAATGGAGGAACAACCCGCTCCCCGAGGCTCTTCTTCAGGTCCTCCCGAAGCGCGTCGAGCCCCCCAGCGTGGTACACGGTGACGTATACCGACATAAAGTACTTGTTCCCGACGTCGACAGATTTAAAGCTGACAGGGACCGCAGGCTGATCCTTCGGGATCGCCGCGCGCAGTTCATCGAGAGGAGTAGACGAAGGTACAGTCGCGAGTGTGACGTGAGGCTCAAAGTGAGGGAAGGAGGACGGCGATTTAAACGTAGAAGTCTTCGTCCTCATGATCCTGTGAAGCTTTGCTGCGACGTCTCTCGACGGCACGAGCCACAAGGAGAGACCTGCGAGTATGGCGCGCTATCAACAAAAGTACGTATACTGGATATGTGGCAAAGCTGCTTGCCCATGTCGATCTGTAGATAATGGGTAACCGTAAGTTGGTGTGAAGGCTTATAAATCGGTAACACTGTAACCGTGCGTAGCGAAAGTCCGAGGTTACTCCCCGCGAGAGCGGTTAATGAAAGGCTTTCTTGAGCGCTTATGCGTTATGTACATTTCGCGTTGCCCACCAGATTTGCCCACCTGTAATGATTACCGCCACCCTCAATGGGCTCGGCTGTACGTGGAAATCGCACAACACTCATAAGTTTTAGGCTCGACATCAACGGATGCGTAGAGGAAACTTGACTTTGGCCCGTAGTCTAATCTTACTCTATCCTAGTCACTCAACTTCAAGTTTAGCCAGATATTAAATGTAACGACACATGAAGTACAAGGCTAAAATAAATAGCGGTAGCATCCCAACCCAATTTCAGGTATTCTGGTACTCATGGTGATCTTTAGGGGCTGTTAAGTTGGTTGCCAGCTTAAGTGGCTCGGATTCGCTCTCACATCCAAGGGAATCCACACGCACTGCCAGGACTGTTCGAGGACAGGTGTTGGTAGATTTGCCGTCAATACGACGGGATCTTTCAATATGCATCTATCAAGGCGATGCATAGAGTGTGGCTATACACCTCGGTGAGAACCTACACTTCATAAATTACAGAGATCACTGACGAGCATCTCCACAGTGCAGACTCTGACAAGGCTCTATAAAGCTGGGAATACAGAGAAACAGTGTCGAGCACCTGCAAGATGCTGAACCTCTCCACCCACGCGTTGGAGTCAGTTTCGATCTTTGCCCAAATCGTCCCGCCCCCACCACCAGGGACTAATTATATCGCCGCCATAAGCCCTACATTGACATACATGGTCGTTGTCGTCATGTTCTTGGGCATGTTCATCCCACTGTTAGTGACGTTATTCCTACTCTCTACTCGAGAACTCAGGCATCGGCCGATCTTTATCCTCAACGTCTTCAACCTGCTATTTGGCGTCGCCATGTGTTCGACCGTGATCTGGCTCGAGGTATTTTCATTGATCTCCGGGCGCGTCTGCAATCATGGCTCACGGAACTTCGCAGTTCAATGCTATCTTGCGATCACTCGACATCAACAAGGCCATTTTCCCAGCGTTTTTCCTGGTCGCTCTCGCGCCTATCCTCATTAGCTCGACCCTCTTCGTTCGTGTTATCGCTGTCTATTCATGGAGCAGAATATCAACCGGGAACAAGTTGCTCGCCTACGGCTTTCCCATCGCACTAAGTACTGCGCGAGTGATCAACCTGGCCAGTGGTTTCCCGGGAGCTCTCCGCGCACCTCGCCTTATTGACAGCGCGACACCATGGCACTCCGATACTACGAAGGCCGAGTGTTTCATACAGTTAGTTGAGAGTACGTAGGCTACTGCTGCTTGAGCTCCCGTTCGATCAGCTGTCTTATGACTGGGATTCTACAGATACGTTTCCATGCTATTTATATGGAAACTGCGACGCACTACGCAGCTGTCTGCCAGCGTCAGGATCTGAAGCTCGAATAGGCCATCCATACGGCTATGCATATCCCTCAGGCTACTCACCTCGTGCACAGATTCGTATATGAGACGTATCCGCATGCTCATGTGAATCGCAATCTCTAACTTCATCATCCCGGATCTCATCAGTCTCGTCGTGCTTATTGGCTTATTCCTCTCGGAGAGCGTCGACGTCGAGATTACTCTCATATTATTCTTTGTGAACCCATGCATGGCGATCATCGGCGTGCTCTTCGCCACGGTCTGGGCAGCCAATAGTCACTGGCAAGCGGACACAGAGTCGCCGCCGCCGTCATTCTCGCTTAACTTAGGTTCTCGTCTAAGAGAAACTTCTCAGACATCAGACCGAAGGCATTCCCAAGTCGTCCGCTCGTCCGCTGCCAACTCCGTACGGCATCCTGTCGCCGCAGAGCCTGACTCTGCCGTGGAGAAGATGCACTGCGATAATTCTAGCAGACCTAGTTTACAGCAGGATATTGATACCTCCGTGTCGTTGTTAGCATCCGCCTAGGCTATCCTTTGGGGCGTGCGTGCTGGCTACCATATCATTTATTTCCGCAGTCAATTCCCTGTTATCTCATACACAGAGAACGTGTGATAACTTGTGTCATTGAATAAGGTCGCATCTCCATGGCGGCTTGCCGTGGGCCTCGTATAAGTGTACCTCGTTCTAGCCTCTGGCTACTAGGTGATGCCAGTACTTGAATAATCGAAGCCTGAACCACTATTGTCTTCATGGACAACTACAAATGATTTGAACGTGACGATGAATCAATCCAGAACTACGAGTGCGAGGCATACTGTTGAAATTTATTTTAAATGTCAGACTGCAAAGCCCGAGTAAGCCCAGTAAGCCGTCTGCACCGCTATGCATGCGGGCCCGGGCCCACTCGTCAATTCTCAATCCACAGCGGCAAGATTGGAAGTGACAACAGACAATAAGGTACAAGTGAAAACCAATGAGAGACCTTCTGTCCACTAGGTATGTACAAGTCCCAGCACACCGGCGCATAGTGATCTATTTATAACTCACGCTGTATAAGACAGACCCGGATACCAGAGATGTGGCGTGCCTGCTACGCAGCACTGAGCCAAGCGATGCGGATGGTGCACTTTCTCCCTTAGCCCATACACTTCAAATCTTGAGCCACCAAATAGGCCACTCTTGTTATGGGGCCCCTGCCACCATCTAACATCCATCCATCAGTCGAATGTGTAGATATAGCACCAGTGCTATTATCATAATTGCCATGTGGGAAAGCGAAGCATTGCTGATTCCCCTTCACTGCGGTAAGCAAGCGACGATATACAACGCAGTCTTCACCAGGGCATAAAGCTGTCAAGTTGGTTTCCACCAGCAGGTCGGAATGGACGTGTTCCTGGAACTCATGGTTACGGCAAGCGATAACACAAAAGAACATAAAGACGTTGCCGCCTCGCTATTTCGGCACCCGTATTAGATGTTGATACTCAGTAACGCGCTCTTGTTTGCTTCGCAGGGTCAAGAGCACATGCGCGTCGTCTGGACGTCTGTCGTCCGAAGCGAGTATATATATATATATATGGACCTCTGAGGTCTACGGCCTGCCAGAGAGAAGGGAAAGGCCAGAGCGGTGGACGTGATATCCCAACAGATATCTAGAAACCCAGTTTACAGTAAGCCTTCGTATCGACGGGAGTATAGATACCCGACGCCAACAGACTGAACTATGTTCTGCAGCAAGCACAACTTCCGCCCGTGCATGCACGCAATCCAGCCGCGCCCCATTCGCCAACAAAGCCTTGGGTAATATTTTCACCCTTTGAGTTACCACTGCTGACCAACTTTCGCATCCCTAGCCGTGTTCTGTTTTACTCTTGGAGAGACAATGCGCAAGCAGTTTACCATTGTACCACGACGTACTTTAAGGACGAGGCCCAGGACGCGGACAGGCTGCAGCGCTACAGCGCAGAAAGCTCGTCTCTGCTTGTGCAGCACGCCAGAGCCAAATTCGACCGCGCGATGGACATCATGCGAACTGAAGGCATTGCTTACGACCCGCGGCACAAAGGCGCTGTGCTTCCATACGGCAATGCGGGGCAACTCGCGCGGGACGCACGGCGGTTGTGGCAGCATCTCCAGCAGGTCGTGGCCGAAGACGAAGGCTGGGTGCGCATGATGGACGGCGTGACAGAGCAGACGCGCCTGCAAGCGACTGAGATGCTGCGCCGCATTGAGCAGGCCTGGATGCTCCATGACGCATTCACAGTTGGGGCGCATAAGTATGCTCTGCGGTGGCGTGTAGTCGGCAAGACGGTCGTGTTCAAGGTACGCTGGGTGCGGAGGGTGTTGAGGCCGTTTCGGGCGTTGGCATAATAGTAGCGAAGGCAGTGCCGTGCAGGTAACTGGACATTGGGCATTGTTCACGGATATTATATCCCTATACGAATGTATTGACAAGGACCTTGGCTTAGATCGCATGTCTGTCAGTATCAGCTCAAATTTAAGAACAGCGGAACGCACAATAATTCGAAGTGCACTGATGCTTGCGAAGCGATCAGCAACTCACAGCAAATTAACATACCTATCCCGCACGAAGAATCCAGATAACTTTTCAGTATTCCAAGGAGTGCATTTCTAACACAAGTAGCATTGTCATAGCGCGATCGCAATACGAACAAGCATCATTTTATTGACGACTGTCCAGTCTCTAAGATAGTCACGCAACATCCAACTTGCTGAGTGCACGAAGAGATCCGAGGCCGTTTACGATGACTCGCCCATCTCCTTGGCGAGCTGCTCGGCCTTGGCTTTGGCATCTTCGATGGTGCCGACCATGTAGAAGGCGGACTCGGGGAGAGAGTCGTGCTGACCAGAAAGAATCTCCTTGAAGGAACGAACAGACTCCTTCAGAGGGACGAGCTTGCCCTCGAAACCGGTGAATACCTGCGCGACCTGGAAGGGCTGCGACATAAAACGTTGAATCTTACGAGCGCGCTCGACCTATAGGAAGTTTGTTAGATTTCGCGAAGTTGGCAACGACTTTGCTACTTACAGTGAGCTTGTCCTCCTCTGACAACTCATCCATACCCAGGATAGCAATAATATCCTGTAGAGACTTGTAGTCCTGGAGGATCTTCTGCACAGCGGTAGCTACGTCGTAGTGCTCTACGCCGACCTACGGACACGTCACCGTTGAGCACCTATATCGGCACCAGAAGGATTTGCACTCACGATACGGGGGTCGAGCATACGGGACTTGGAGTCAAGAGGGTCGACGGCGGGGTAAATACCAAGTTCAGCAATCTGACGAGACAACACGGTGGTAGCGTCCAGATGAGCAAAGGTGGTAGCGGGGGCAGGATCCGTCAAGTCATCAGCAGGGACATAGACGGCCTGCACGGAGGTAATGGAGCCCTTCTTGGTGGTAGTGATGCGCTCTTGCCTGTAAGAGCGAGAGCGTTAGTCCCACACTTTTATATCGTGCAAACTGACACATACATGCCACCCATGTCTGTGGAAAGCGTGGGCTGGTAACCGACGGCAGAGGGAATACGACCAAGAAGAGCAGACACCTCAGAACCTGCCTGGGTGAAACGGAAAATATTGTCGATGAAAAGAAGCACGTCCTGGCCTTCCTCATCACGGAAGTACTCGGCGATGGTGAGACCAGTGAGAGCGACACGGGCACGAGCACCAGGGGGCTCATTCATCTGACCGAAGACGAGAGCGACCTTGGAATCACCGTCGAGGTTGATAACACCGGTCTCAATCATTTCGTGGTACAAGTCGTTACCCTCACGAGTACGCTCGCCGACACCTGACGGAAAAGTTGAGGATGCGGAACTAGTCGATTATACGCAGATACATACCGCAGAAAATAGAGAAACCACCATGGGCCTTAGCGACGTTGTTGATGAGTTCTTGGATAAGTACAGTCTTGCCGACACCGGCACCACCGAAGAGACCAATCTTTCCACCACGGGCATAGGGGGCGAGAAGGTCAACGACCTTGATACCGGTTTCGAGGACCTCAGCGGTGGTCGACTGCTCGACGAATGGAGGCGGGTCATTGTGAATGGGGAGGACTTTGTCGCCCTTGATTGGACCACGCTCATCAATGGGCTCACCAATGACGTTCATGATACGGCCGAGAGTGCCCTTGCCAACAGGGACCTGAATGGGAGCACCGGTATCGACGACCTTCTGACCACGGACGAGACCCTCGGTACCGTCCATGGCAATGGTACGGACGGAATTCTCACCAAGGTGAGCCGCAACCTCGAGGACAAGGCGACCACCCTGGTGGCCCTGAACCTCAAGCGCGTTGAGAATGGGAGGGAGGGCCCCAGTCTCGAACTGAACATCGACGACGGCACCGATGACAGTTTTGACATGGCCGATCGTACCCTTAGCCTCAGTCGCGTAGGTGCGAGCTTTGCGGACGAACACGGAAACGATTCACGCCGATGACGAAGAACAGCACGCAGCACCAAGCGAAGCGAAACCACCAAGAAAAAAGTCGCGCAGAGCGCGTCAGCACTGCAGCCGGCCAGTCAGAGACGGACTACGTACCAGCGGGGGCAGCAGCACGGGGGAGACGTGCCCGGGAGCGAGACGAAGAGGAAGGAGCGGCAGCAGCACGGGCAATGACAGAAGCCACGGCAGCAGTGGAGAAGAACGCGTTGGTCTTCTTTGCGCTGTTCAGCGCTCTGCGCGAGAGACGGTGTACGCCGCGTGAGGTGAGCATGTTGGACAACGTCGACGACGATGAAGTTGGTGAAAATCGGGCGAGCTAGGCGGGCCCGTATAAAGTTCCTTTTTCTTCTCCGACGCCGGCTTCATCCGACTGGCGTAGCATGCTTGCGCGGCGCTTTAATTACACGCCGATAATTTTATGCGCCGCTCAAATTTCGACGCCTAAACGACGCTTGCTACCACAACAGTGCGCTGATCTTGCGCTTTTCCCCCCGCTTTTACACGATGTGGACATCCCTCTCGTCGACAGAGCCCTTGTGGTGACCGCGGTACACACTACCATCGTCGTTGATTTGTCGCCCCCGCTTTAAACGTCAGGTGGACTCGGGCTTCGGATCACGTGGTCGCCTGGAGATCCTCCTAGTGCTGAAAAATTGCTGCAGGTGAGTATGTAGAAAGAGATGGGAACATGGCTCTATCTTCATACAACCATCAGCGTCCTAGCATCCCTGTCTAAGAGCCTACTCCTTTCGTATTTATCGCCTTGAAGGTTTACTCTCAAAAGTATGTGCTTTACCACAGCATGTATGACACGAATTGACTGGAGTAGTGTGCGGAATTCTAGGATTACTCTCGCACGAACCCTTGATCGACGTCTCGACTGAGATCTGTGAAGGCTTGTCACTATTGCAGCATCGCGGCCAGGATGCGTGTGGTATCGTCACTTGCGGGCCCAAGGGACGGTTCTACCAGTGCAAAGCGAATGGCATGGTCAGGGACGTTTTCGATTCTAGCTCACTGCCGCGCCTGATTGGGGGAATGGGTGTCGGCCACGGTGCGTCTGCCTCCCTTTGAGATGCATTTATCCCTGCTGACGTGAAACAGTACGCTACCCGACTGCTGGAAGCTCAAATCATGCAGAAGCCCAGCCATTCTACGTAAATTCGCCGTATGGCATTGTGTTCGCCCACGTATGTCTACCAGACCATTGTGTCATTGTACAAACGCTGATCATTCATCGCAGAACGGCAATCTCATCAACACGGCTGAGCTTCTCCAATTCATGGACCAGACCGCGCACCGTCACATCAACACCTCCTCCGACTCAGAGCTGCTCTTGAACATTTTCGCCGACAATCTTCAAAAAACGGGCAAGTTTCGTATCAATGAAGAGGACATCTTCACCGCCATTGGCGATCTCATGGGACAATGCAAGGGAGCATACGCGTGTGTGGCCATGCTCGCAGGTTTCGGAATCATCGGCTTCCGCGATCCGAACGGTATCCGTCCACTCGGCATGGCGTCGAGGAAGTCTATTGGCGGTGGCGAGGGCCAGGACTATCTCTTATCTAGCGAGAGCGTTGTTGCGGACGCATGTGGGTTTGTTGACTGGGAAGACGTCAAGCCCGGTGAGGCCGTCATCATCACGCGCAACCGTGTCTCGCGCAGACAGGTCGGCAACGGCACTGCGTTTGCCCCTGATATCTTCGAGTTTGTCTACTTCGCCCGACCCGACTCGGTGCTCGACGGCATCAGTGTGTACCGCAGTCGCATGGCGATGGGCGATGCTTTGGCTGACGAGGTCAAGCGTATCCTCGAGGGAAAAAAGCTCTCAGTGGATGTCGTTATCCCTGTACCGGACACGTCCCGTGTCGCTGCGCTAAACCTTGCTCAAAAGCTCGGTTTACCATACCGTGAAGGCTTTATCAAAAACCGATACGTGGGCAGAACGTTCATCATGCCTGGTCAGCAGATGCGAAAGAAGAACGTTCGTCGCAAGCTCAATGCTATGGCCCTTGAGTTCCAGAACAAGAACGTCCTCATTGTTGATGGTGCGAACTTCAGCTCTACATGGTTAACCATCGCTGATCTTAGCGAGTAGACTCAATTGTTCGAGGAACAACTTCCAAGGAAATCATCCAGATGGCTAAAGATGTGGGTGCGAAGAAAGTCATCGTTGCAAGCTGCGCGCCTCCGATTCGGTTCGTCTCATCCGTTCCGGCCTGTAGTTTTTGCTTATCCTCTACCAGCTATTCGAACGTGTACGGCATCGATATGCCGTCACGCATGGAGCTCGTCGCACACGGACGCAGCACTGACGAGATCGCGCAGGCCATCGGCGCAGACCTGGTCATCTTCCAAACGCTTTCGGACCTCGTCGAATCTGTGCGGAGCCTCAATCCGAGCATTGAGACGTTTGACTGCTCCGTCTTCACGGGCGAGTACGTCACCGGCGGCATTGATGAGGAGTATCTCACTCGGCTGGAGAAGACTCGTGCCGACAACATCAAGAACGGAAATATCGTTGGAGGCCTTGGGCCTATCGAGGGCAAGGGTGGAGGAGGGCTTGCAGAGCCTGTTAGCGGTGTGAATGGGAAGGAGCCCGTGGTAGCGACCGGTGGGCCTACGAATGGAGATGATACGGTAGGATTGCATAATGGATGGAAACTGGGTTAGAGATTGCGTCTACACTAGCGAAATGTCATCAGCTCTGTAATTGTTATAGATCCGACTAGTTTCTTTCAAGACAAAATATAGAGAAGATTGACAATGTATCGAGTCTATCGACGACTGCGTTGTAGCTTGTATCCAATATGTAGCACACAGCTCTTCACTCTAAGGCTCCAACTGTTTAGTTTACGTGTAAACTTTTTTTGTACACACACAGTAAATGGTTGTAAATGTTTATAAACAGTTTATAAACAGTAAACAAACAGTTATTACAGGGATCTAACCCACTCTAGTGGATTGCACCAGATTAGCCTCTGAGAAACCTGTGTGAGCCTACTGCTCTACTTGAGCCTGAAAAGAGAGGTACAAATGTCAGTACTTGAGCAACGCAAGGCGCTTGCTTGAGGCGCGAGAGAAAAGCAAGGCCGCAGCTTCTTACTTACGATATTGATGTCCCAAACACTAGGCCCGACTCGGACGTGTATAGATAGTGCACCTACTCATGCGTACAGGGAAGGAGCAATGCGTGCATCACATCCCGAGCATGGACCGGCCATCAGGCAGCATCTGAACACTCTGTACCTCAAGCATCATGCTATGGTCATCCCTATGGCCCGCTGGTGTCCCCTACGCATAGTACGCAGATTGCGGGCACACGAATAGTCTCGATCGGCCAGTGGAGGTTGCGGGAGGACAAACACTGGCAATCACAAGCTGCGGGAGTGGTATTGCCAGGCAGCACTGTACTGCGAGGGTAAGACCTACAAAGGTATCCGTGGGGCTTGTAAGAAGCTTGCAGTTCCGCCTTTAGAAGGTTGGCATGTCCTATCATTGACCCCATCGTTGAGAAGTGGGCCGATAACCTATGCAAGTGTTAGCCTGGCACTTCGGGGGTGACACAACATACTCTCGCGCTAGGACTTCGAGAGCTGGCCTAGAGAAGACTGCCGCATGGGTGCGGACCTCTAATTGTTGTGGGCGTAGCCCCAGCCTCCTATTTTATTCCCATTTTCTCCGATTTATTTCACGTTTATACGACCCTCCAAACGTCGTCGGCGCATAGGCGCCAGTTTACAAGTCCTAGCCGAGCGCTAACACCTTGAAAACGCATCACCGACGGGCACGCATCAGCGCATCAGACGCGCCTGCATCGCCGCCGCCTCATCGCCGCATCACGCTTCCTCGGAAACAGCCGCACTCCGATCAGCAACAGACATCCGATCTCCGTCGGCCCGGCAACGTCATACAACATGACACACCGGCCCCCGGCTACCTCCGAGTCCGATCGGCAACGGACTTCTTATCTCCGTCGGCCCGACAACGTCATATGGTATGACACACCGGCCCTCGTTTCCCCGCCTAAGTCCCCTAGACACTAGCAGTCGCCGTAGCACCAGTCGCTTATGTAAAGCCTGGTCCGTGCGCAGCCTGACTAGTATATAAGGCTACCCTTTGTCGCTACCTAGCCCCATCTCAACCTCTTGGTTAATTGGGCTAGGTAAGCCTTTACTTGTATCGTAGTACAGATTGCTAATACACTTGGTTAATTGGCTAGCTGAATAAGCTAACACAGTAGTCGCCAGACCTCGTCG